CCCTAACCCTAACCCTAACCCTAACCCTAACCCTAACCCTAACCCTAACCCTAACCCTAACCCTAACCCTAACCCTAACCCTAACCCTACGTCTTGCCAGGCTTCCAATGCGCCAACACTGTTCAACCGGTGACATGAAACCCTAACCCTAACCCTATACCTCAGCTGTTCAGTGTGACCTGGTTAAGCTATCCTTTTTTGTGCCTCAATTTTTTCGCGCATTTTAATTGCAAAAATTGTGTCACGCTGAGAGATTATTTTATATTCCGTCTTTTCGGTGAACCCCTTCATCCTGAACAGCGGTGTCGACTTGCATTGCCATTGTTTGTCGTGGACCGCACGGTGCACCGTCCAGAAGCTCATTCGCTTCATCTTGAACTCAGCCCTCAATATTGTGGATCGAGCTTCACTGTCCCACAATTGGTTTCGGTGGGACAAAGCTGGGCATCTTCATATGGTCAGTGCGTCTGGCTGCGCAGCAAGTCTCGCAAAAAGTTTCTCGACGCTGATCCCCGCTTTCTCACCTTCCGCTCCATCTTCCACCTACCCGTCGTGATCTCGACAGCGCTTCAAGGCATTTGACAGACTTGGCGCCCCCTGGAAACTGGAAAGCGACCAAGGTACCCCTTTTCTGCACATCACGCACACCGTTCTCCCGCTCATGGATCGACAAGTTCTGCAAAGAGTGTCTCGATCCGCCGTTTGAAGGGCTGCCGGATGACGCCAAACTCGAATTGATCGAAGGAGACTTCGTTGGTTGGACGCCTCTTGAAATCGCTCGACGTTACGTGGTTCCCAACCTGGCTCGCGAGGACTCGCCGTTCACCAGTCTCACCTTCGCCATCGCCGATGATCAGTCGCACAAGGATGGCAAGGTCTTGATCCCAGGCATCGACGAAGATTACTTCCGAGACGGAATGGAGGGCTACCCGCTCAGGATCGAAGCGACGATTCGACAAGAGCCCGAAGGCGTTTTGATCGATGCTTTCCTCCTTCACGAGGGGATTCATGGCATGTGCAACAAGGACTCAGAGTTCTACTACGACAACACAAAAGATCCCGAGTACGTTGCCGAGAAACAGGCTTGGCTCGAAGCGGGCAGAGACCTAGGTAAGTTCATACATTGATTGTTGCAGGCTTGATACTGCAGCCGACAATGACGTATCACGTTCTTCGATCTGCCAAAAAGGGACACTGACGCGCCTCAACGCTGTTGCTCTTCTCGACGTTGCATGCGCACGCTTGATACACATCGACTTTGACGTTGTTTGCGTCAATCGACATTGAACAGATTCTCCAAAGCCATTCATCGAAGGCCTCCCAGTGCGCAAGTACTACCTCTATACTGACGGCAAAGAGGTGAGCGTCTGTCAAGACGAGGTGGACGACCCTACAAAAGAATGGTGGCTCGACGAGCCGAAAAGCGATAAGGTCCGCGAGATCAGCGAAGAGGAACACTTGCGAAGGTGGAAAGCTCGCGTCGACGCTGCCAAGGCCGAACGAGAAGCCAAGATAGCTGAGGATGTTCGGCGCTGGATAGCAGGCACATACGAATACCCTGCTAACAGGCCCCACATCAACGGCACGTTCTGGCTTCTGTCCAACGGTCAAGTGTTTCTTGGCGGCCCTGAATACGGGCCAGGCTACGTAATGGACGCGTTTCCAGAGCGAGTTGAGGTGGTGCGCGAGACCACTCGGAAAGAAATGTACGAAAGGTTCCTAGCCGAAGAAGCCGACAAAGTTACTCAGGCATCGACAAAGGACGGGGACGTTCAGAAGGACGGCAATGCAATCTGAACCAACCGAATCATGCACTCATGCACTCGAATAACACCTCAGACGAGACTCCGACTTGGACTGAGCAAACGGTATCGATTACAGCTAGAGCGTGAGAGACAAGTGGGAATCCGTATTGTATGTATGGTTTGTGTATGTTCAAGACCGAGACGTGAGCAGTATGACTACTAGCTCTATTTCTTGCCCTCGTCGGCCGCCTCCTTGGCATCCTCCTTGGCATCTTCAGCGGCTGCCTTGGCTTCCGCCTCGGCCTCCTCGCGATCCTGCTTGATCTCTTCGATCTCATCGTCGATGCCAATGGCCTCGTCAAAGTCCTCCTGATCGGGCAGCTGTCGCTCAATGAAGGGTCGGATGAGACGCTCAAAGTACGGGTGCTCCTTGAGCTGCGGGTTGTTTCGGCGCACCATGCGGAAGTACTCGCGGTAGATGTCGCCGTCGTACCTGCCGATGGGCGAGTTGAGAACGTGGTCCGATATGGCGAACGAGTCGATGAGGGGGATAGCGAATGTACGCGTCTTGGCACAGTATTCGGTGACCTTGGCCGAAGCAAAGTCGAGCTGCTCGGGTGTGACGAAGCCACTGCGGAGGAAGAAGGCAGCCTTCTCCTCCAGCTGCCAGAGACCGTAGAACTTGGCCAGCAGCTCGAGGTGCTCGCGCACACCGTCGTCGCTCTTCTCGACACGCTCCACAGCCGAGCGGAATTGTCGGAAGATGTAGCCGGCCGTGTGTACGCTGGCAGCAACGAATCGCACCTGCGAGCAGTCCTCGAAAGCTTGCTCCCTGCTGCGTCCCTTCTTGAGGCATGCCTGGTAGTCCTCGGAAGCCTTCTTGACGGCGTGAGCGGCGACGGTCGCCCAACCGCGGTCGATGCCGTCAAGTGTGTCGAGCGCTTCGTTCGACTCGCACTTGGCCGACAGGACCTTGTCGAGATCGTTCATGTACATGGTACCCTGGCTGACCTGCTTCTTGCCGTCCAGTGCGTCCTGGAAAGCCGAGATGAGGAAACGACCGGACTGCAGAGCGAGAATCGTGTTGTCACCTGAAGACGATGGAGAGCGGAAAGAGGGATTGGAAAGAAACGGTGGTCAGCGAGGGTTCTGTGATCGGAGAGTGTGAAATGCGGCTGCCGTGTGAACTTACCCTCCCATGTGCAGTGCACGGCGAAATCAGAGTACATGTTGGCAAAAGCGTTGTAGGACGAGTAACCGTGACCACCACACGCCTGTCGCGATCGGTCGATGGTCTCGAGGGTAGCCCAGGTGCAGAAGGCCTTGAGACCGGCACTGGTCGAATGGGTCTCCTTGAGCTTCTCGATGGTGGCATCCAGGCTAGGGTCTCCAGGCTCCAGAGACTCGAGCGCCTGCGAAGTCTCTTCGTACAGACGCTGGAGCTCGAGTGAGGTGTAACCGAAAGCGACGGCCTGAGCGACCAGAGGCATAAGACGGCGCTGGTGGATTGGGTAGTCGATGATCTGGGTCTCGAGCTCGGCCTTGGCGTCCGACTTGAACTGTCGTCGCGCAGCAGCATATCGGACCGAGATGGTTAGCGCCTTTTTGGCCGTGTTGGCGGCATCCGCTACCATTGCCGTTCGACCCTGGAGCAAGGCACCGTAGGTAAGCTGCTGAAGCGGAGGCTCGCGCACCTCACCGTCACGGGTGACCTGAGTGTGCTTCATGAGCATGTATGCACGAGGGATGCGAACGTTGGTGAATTGAATGTAGCCGTTGTCGATACCGTCACGACCCATCTTCTTGCCGATATCGCCAATGTTGATACCAGGAAGCAGCTGGAAACTCTTGGGGTCACGGAGGGGCACAATGAAGGTCTTGGTGCCGTAGCGCTTGCCGTTGACGATAAGCTGAGCAAAGACGGAGCAGTGCGTGGCCGTCTGAGCAGCACCACCAATCCACCACTTGGTAGCACCGAGATTCGGAGTGTGGATGACGAATTCGTCCGTGGTGCCGTCGAAGTGCGCGGTGGTCTCGAGACCGGCGACGTTGGAACCGTGAGCCAGCTCGGTCATACCGAAGCAGCCGAACATGCCCTGGCAAGCAATGACACCCTTCTCCATCCAGTAAGAGAACTGGTTGGGGGTAGCACCGGATCGGATGGCACCAAGGAAAAGACCGTAGTGGACACCGAGACGGGTCCAGAGACCGGGGTCGAGAAGCGACATGAGCTCCATACGCTTCTGGAAGTCGTCGACGGGCTCGCTGGTGACGTAGTGAGCCAGGCGCTGGATGCGCTGCATGGTACGCTCACGAATTTGCTCCTTGGTGAGATCGTAAATGTCAGCCGAGTAGAAGACGGGGTCGCGGCTGGCTTCGAGCATGAACTTTTCCTTCTTGACGAGATCGTTCTCGCTACCGTGGTGCTCGATGGACATCTGCGGGTCAAAAGGAAGCGAACATGGTCATGGTCAGTGTCTGAAGCTTGGCAGCGGAGCGAAATTCGGTCAAGGAGAGTCAACGTACCTTTCGGACGTCAAAGGGAGGGTTGGCCCTCTCCTTTGCCATGGTGTCCATGGTGAGACTGTCGGTCCAAGACGACATGATGGCGCGCTTGTCTCGATAGGTACGAGTGGACCAGGCGGCTGAAGGGGATCAAAGAGCTTGCAGAGATGAAAGCAGTGAACGGCAAGCCGAGTCGTGACCAAACGTGGGACGCGGTAAGTGATGTATATGTCACGGCGCGGTGGGGAGGAGATGGTGGAGTGGAAAGAGGAAGAGGTGAGCCAATGTCGAATGGAGAGAGTGTGTGAAAAGAGCCCGGCGGCGATTGTACGACGACGAGGGTTGAAAGCGGATTTGGCTGGGTGCCTACAGCTGAAAGGCAACTGATGAAAGCCGGGCGTGCTGCTGAGCCAACGAGGCGCCAGAAAGCCGGTTTCAGGGCCTTTGGGCGTGTGTGTGCGGGGTAGCCAAAAGCAGGCTAGACAAGGAGCCAGACGGCCGGCCAATCCATCGATGTTGAAAGCGCACGCTGTGAGGCTGAGCTGCAGCCAAAAAGACAGACACGCACGCCTGATCCGGTCATCGAGCGTCAGCTTGGAGAATGCGGGCTTGAAATTGGGCAGAGACTCGATTTTTCAAATGGCGAGGGCGCAATTCTTATTCAATTGTTTGAACCCTTGGAGAAGCCAACGCATTTCAAATTGAGCTCCACAGGTTCTCGACTCTCTCTCTTTCCCTTTCTCTCTTTCTCCGCATCCATCAAGATCGTCAGCGCCAATCATCGTCTTGAAGTCTGTACATCGACGCGGGGTCGTGTGCCTCTTCTGTCTGTGCCAGCTTGCAAAGTTGAGACTGGCTGTCGTTTCCTTAACCACTGCCGACATTGCCGTTGAGCTGGCTCTCTCCCGCCGCGAGCTGTACACAGGACTCTCGCAAGCTGTATTGGCACTGCTTCCCACAGAGCTCGGCACGGTATGCGATGCTTCTCTCCACCGAATTGCCGTTCATGCAAGACATGGTGTCGAAAAGCCACGCTTACGAGATCAAATGCTCACAGCCTTAGCATTCTGGTTGGCAAACGAGAGAGGGATGGCCAAGCGTGAAAGCAGCCGGCTGGAACGGCCTTAGCCTTTTGACAGCTGAGGATCTGCAACGCCTTTTTCACGCTCAAGTCGCAGTCCAGAGTGCAAGTCGCTGGCTTCGACTGTCCTGTTTTCTGGCATTGTTAGTTTGAAGGGAACTTGTTAGACCGTGAAGGTCATCGGCCAATTTGCTTTTTTGGAGCTCGGCCTTCACAACGTCATGCGCAACGAACAGCCGAGAGAGCATGTCAAGGCACACGGTGGTGCAACAAGCGAAGCCTTCTTTTGAGCAACAACCGATGTTCGCAGCAGGCATGACGAGTAGCACGTTGAGGTCATTGAGCCCTCCTTTCGGAGTCGAAACCGAGTCATGGTCCGGAACATTGCAGTCTTGAGCCAAGCGCCGAAGGGGAGGCTCAAGCTTCACAGCCTCATGCAGGATGGTTGCGTGCCGCCGGCATCCTCTCCTCGTCATCGTGTGGCACAGACCAGGCAACGCTCGAGCGCATCTTGCAACCTTATAAGCTCATTGCCCAGAGTTGCTTGCCTTCGTGTCCGACCTAAAGATCCAACACCATCGCTTTCCTGTAGAGAGTTCCCTTCACGATGCCAGCTCATCCCCATCTCGGCTACGTCAATCCAGGTGAGTATTGCAGACGTTCGTGAGGTGCGCGAACCTTTGCTCTGCCAGCATCCTCGTCTGACATTTCATGCGCTACAATGCCCTTGCCCCACCGCCGCAGTCACCGGCCACGATTTCGCCGATCCTGGAGTCTTCTACGACCATCCGAGCCAGACCTGGTACGCCTACGGCACCAACGGCAACGGCAAGAACATCCAGTGCTCCTACACCAAAGACTTTTGCTCGTGGTCCCACCATGACCAGGATGTCCTCCCCGGACCTCTGCCCGCATATCAGTCCGGAGCAGAAAGCTTCCTGTGGGCGCCCGAAGTGATCGAGGCACCCCAGGGACGCGGCGGCTACCTCCTGTATGTCTCTTGCCAAGACGCCCACTACAAGAAGCAGTGCATCGGGGTAGCCTACTCCGACCGCAGCCCCCTGGGTCCTTTCCGATGGATTACCGACCGACCGCTCATCTCTCGCGGTGAACACGGCGGTACACTCGACCCCCAGCCCTTCGAGGACCCCAACAGTGGGAAGCGCTACCTCGTCTACAAGACCGACTGGGACAAGATGTATACCCAGCACCCGCAGCTGTGGCTCTCGGAGCTCGCACCCGATGGCCTCTCCCTCGTTGGCGACATGCAGCCCCTACAGGCTCCCAAGCACCACTACCAGCACGGGCTGCTCGAAGCGCCTTACCTGTTCTACCACCAGCCGAGCAACTCGTACGTCCTCTTCTTCTCCTCGGGCACATTCAGCAAGGACACGTACGCCACGTCGTACGCCATCTCCCACTCGGGCATCTTTGGTCCATACGAATGCCCCTCTCATCCATTCCTCGAGACGGACAAGGCGAGGCAGATCATGGGTCCCGGTGGCGCGTGTGTCGTGCGCGGCGTCGAGAATGAGCACTTTATTGTCTTCCACGCGCTCGAGAGGGAGGAAGGAGACAGGAAGATGTGCGTCCAACGCATCGAATTTGCCCAGGATGGAACGCCGCATCTGTCGGCACGACCTAACTGCGGCAAGCGACTCCGGTTGGGCGCGGAACAGGAGGACGACCATCATCACTTTGGCAACCAGCCCCCAGTCGGAGGTGCATCGGGTGGTGGCGGCAAGATGGGCAAGTTCCTCAACAAGGTCAAGGACAAGCTCGACTCGTAGATCCATACACACGCTGTCCGATCCGTAGAACTAGAATACAGTCGTGCCCTTGAAAGCACCTATCATCGCGTGAAGATCGGGTATCATCTGGCAGCATTGCGAATGCGTATGTACATGTTTTGTGAGCGATAATCGCGGGCCGAGATGGAATGTCGTCTATGTTTCATGTCGTATTCGAGAACTCGCCCTGCGTGTGACCCCGAGTCACAACTCTCGCTTACCTATCGTCCACCGTCGCCTCCATGCAGCAGAACAACACCCAATCGACCCCAGCCCCAGAACATGGCCCACAGGCCCAAACCAGCCAGAATGGGGAGAGTGAGGTTGTCATCCATGCCTCCGATCTCGAGTCCCTCGGCGACACCCGCGACGAGGCCGGATCCGAGGCAGAGCATCCACCACGGCATGCCTGGCACGTCTTTGTGAGGATTGGGCAGGGTATCAGCCCCCAACGCGCGGTCGGCTGCCGTTTTGCCGCCGAGGAAGATGGCAGAGAGACGATCGACTCCCGGCAGAAGGCCCCAATGGCTCTGACCGCGGAAGCCGACGGAGAAGCCTTCCCATCCGGTGCCATAAGCGCCGGCGACACGGTTGGTGCCAAAGATGGCGGGATGACGAGAATCCTGTCCCGACCACGAGATGCCTCGGGGGCGGACGTTGCTCATGGCAATGGGAGTGCACCAGAAGAGGTACGCGGTGAGCGCACCGGTAACAACAGCAGCGAGGAAGCCGGCGGTGGACTTGCGGCGAGCGAAGGGCGGGTGGGGAAGAGGAGGCGTGTATTTGCCGAAGAGCCTTCCGAATAGGGAAGCGGACGTGTCGCACCACGAGAGGATCATCACCGAGACGCAAGCAATGTCCTCCGGGAAGAAGTGCAGCGACGAGATGACGCCAATGAGATACCACACGACACCGTTGACCTTGTCCTTTTCGGACTCGCGCATGAGGAAGCCGAGCACGCGCTCGTAGAAACGCTCGAAGGCCGGGTTGTTTAGGCGGATGACGTCGGCAGTGACGACGATGCCGAGGAAGATCGAGAGGTTTCTGGCGACGGTGGTGTAGTCCTGCTTGGAGAAGTAGAGCTGCAGGACGAGAAGGCCCATAGAGCTGTGGAAGACCTTGCGTGGGATTTCCCAGCTCTTGCTCTCAGCTGATGCGACGTGGCCGTTGCTCGTCGATTTGGAGCTGGAAGCGCGTTGGACCGCTTGAGGCCGGCGACGCAGCTCGCTGCCATCATTGCCGTTTGCAGAGATGGCGGATGACTTTGCGTCATCCTCCGTCTGCAACGCCGAACTTTGTTCGAGCATGTCGCGGTCAAAGTCCGACTCTGCTCTTGACAGAGCTCGAAGAACAGCGGCGCCCTTTTGCAAGGAGGATGAGCGGCGACGCGTGCCTGTGGTGGAGCCGTTTTGGGAGGCGGACGAGGAGCCGGTCGGAGGAGGTGAAGAGGCCGGGGAGTCCGAGACCACCTTTTTGGAGGAACGAGTCGACATGTCGGGGGACCTGTTCCAGAGTGTCCGAGATGGAGTGATCAAGACTGACGAGGATGGACGGATGGATGGACGACGAGGTTGAGGAAGAAGCGACCCAAAGGCAATGAGAAACCAACATGCATCAATCCCCATCTGAGACGCACGCACCAACGAGGCTGAATTCTTCTGCATCAGCTGCTTGTTGCGCCTCTTCTTGCTCGCAAACAAAGCGTCCGCCTCGCTCGTCACGCATCCGCTTCATCGAATTTAAAAAAGTGACGATGCACCACCAATTCCCAAGCGAACGCGTTTTGAAGTCAAGGCGGGCTCATTTGAGACATCAGAACGTATATTTTGACAACAACCGAACCAATTTGCATCGTAGCAGCTTCTTAGCGCAGTAGGTAGCGCGTTGGGCTCATACCAGTCTATGAAAATTTACCTTTCCGCTGCAAAGCGGTGTAACCCAAAGGTCGTCGGATCGAAACCGACAGAAGCTACTTTCTTTTTTGGCCCTTTTTTTGGACCATAATCCTCAACATCATCATCTCCCTACCACTTGACCGCCATCATGAACAGGCCAGGCGGAGCGTGCTGTCTTCCCTCTCAGGGCGAACGGAAAACGTCACGGGCCTCGAAGAGATAGAATTTATGATGCTTGCATTGCTTCACGGGAAAGAGTTGCAATCTATGGGGAGGCACCTCACGAAAGGTACCCTTTAGCAAGCGCGATCTCGGCATTCATGACCGAGCTCGTGGCCGCGCCGATCATTACGTTGTTCGACAGCACGACAAACTTGATGTCGAACACGGGGCATTTGCGCACACGTCCCACGTTGACACCCGCGCCGTTCTGCCAGTCACGGTCGAGTCGGGGTTGTGGGCGGTCGGCCTCCTGATGCAATGTGATGGCCTGGGCTGGCGCCGAGTGAACGCCGATCTTTTGCGCTTCCGTGGTGAACTCCTCGAAGCATTTCTTGACCTCCTCTACCGAAGGAGCGGGCTGGTTCTTGAACGAGACCGAGACGCATTCCATGTGACCATCGATGACGGGGACGCGGTTGCAGTGCGCCGACACCTTGAGTGCGTTCTCCTCGTGGTAGTCGAATGCCGTCTTATCGGCCTTGATTCCACCGAGGATCTTGGCCGTCTCCCATTCAATCTTCTCCTCCTCGCCGCTGATGTAAGGCACGACATTGTCCAGGATGTCGAGCGACGAGACACCGGGGTAGCCTGCACCGGAGATGGCCTGCATCGTGTTGACCAGGATCTTGTCCAAGGGTCCGAATCGCTCCTCGAGCGCTTTGAGCGGAACGACGATGCCCGTGGTGGAGCAATTGGCGTTGGTGACGATGAAGCCCGTCTTGGTGCCCACCTGCTGTCTCTGGTATGGCAAGATCTCCATGTGTTCCGGGTTGACCAGAGGCACCACCAAGGGGCACAACGGATCCGTGCGGTAGTTCTTGGCGTTGGAGAAAACCCGCAACTCGGCCTTGCGGAAGGCGTCCTCCACGGGTCCAGCCGGTCCGGAGTCCAATCCAGAGAAGACGACCTGGCACTCGGAGAAGTGCTCGGGCTTGCATTCGTAAACGGGCATCTGTGCGACATTGCTAGGCACTCGGCGGATCTGCTTCCACCTTGCTTCGACTGCCTGAGCGTATGGCTTGCCGGCCGAAGAGGACGATGCGCCGAGGGCAGCAATCTCGAATTGCGGGTGGTCGGCGAGCTGGAGAATGAAACGCTGACCGACGGTGCCCGTAGCGCCAAGCAGGCCAACCTTGAGCTTTTGCGATGATGAGGACGACGACATTGTGAATCGAAGAGGTTTTGATGACGATGGGGTGGTGGTGGTAGCGACGAGAGCGATGAGGATAGCGCGAGAAGAAAGTGGACCGAAATCCAATCTTATCGGGGACAGGCGATGAAAGGTGACTCGCCACACAAAGCCTTAAAATTGACCGAAATTGCGCCTAGCCGAGCCTCATGCGCTGCGCTGCGCTGCGCTGTTTTCTTCCAAATCGTGCGCTGCGCTGAGCAGTGTGAGTTGTGGTGGGGACACTCGAGTCACTTCAGCGCGGCTCACCGCGCCTTGCTGCCTTCTACCCATTCGCATCCCAACCACTGCCTTCTGCTACTGTCAATTTGTGCACACCCAAAATGCTCGATGAATCATCACTCCCCGTCACCCCTTACGAGCGGTCTTGGGACAAGATCCACTGGACAGCCTTCACTATAGCCGGAAAAAAATGCTTCATGAAACGCAGCGTTGACCCCCGCGAATTCAGAGTCGACAGAGACAACCACAGGGTCGTCAGCTTTACCAACAGTGCCAATGCTGTGCGCAACGAGAAGTTGGCCATCGACTACGTGCGGGAACACACGAGCATCCCCGTTCCCAACATTGTCTTTTATCTTGACGAGGGTGATCGCGTCTACCTCGCAACCGAGGTGGTCGAAGGCGTCACCCTGGGGGACATTGAGGATCCCAAGGATGAATTCAAGGTGTGCAAGCAGCTCGACGCCTACGTCACGGAACTCGAGACTCACCGATCGTCCAAGATCCGCGGGTTTGGTGTCGACGTGTGCCTTCCTGTTCACATGCACGACCTGAACAACCAGTACGAATCAGAGAAGTACGTCGAGGTAGAAGGCGATCCCTTTGTGCTTTGTCACGGCGACCTCCATCCAGGCAACGTCATTGTCGATCCCGAAACGATGAAGGTCAAAGCGGTGATAGACTGGGAGTTTGCAGGATACTATCCCGCCATCATCGATAACCGTCGATACAAGAACTACCACCACTGCATTGTTCACCTCGCGGATGGCTCACTCGTGCCTCAAATGACGCACGCCAAGAGGGCCAGGGAGCTCCTCAGGCGCTACGGGGTATACTACAAGGAGGAAATCCAGCGCGAGGGCCGCATCGAGATCGTCGACGGAGAGCCAGTCTACAGATACCCATCGCCAGACAAGGAACTGCCCGATCCGAACAAGGTGTTCGTGGTTCCTCCCATCGCTCTCAATGCCGTGAAGAGGTCTTCTGAGGCTGAGGCCGAAGACAAGACCGCCGCCGACGCAGCACTTGCCACCGACGTAGAGCAGACTGTCGGTTGAGCGCCAACTAGCTTCATGGCAACGTGATGTACGTGCAATTACAATCGAAGGCTTACATGCAATCGACTACCGACAGAACGCCTTCTAGGTCTTCATGTTGTTCAAGATCTCCTGATACGGTTGAACGAGCGAAGTGAGGTTGCGTGGACGTGCAAGAACTTGGAGCACCTGAGCGCACAATTGGCGTTTGTCGAAGCCCAGAAGCGTCGCCTCCCAGTCTTGATCCTTCTCGGGCTTGCAGTAAATGGGACCAATCAACGACTTGATCAGGTCTTCGGCCTGATTCTTGATGCCTTCCTCGGCGATGCGCTTGGCGTACGACATCAAGTGGTTCTTGTACTCGTTGGCGCTGTCGAGTATCGCAGCTGCCTGCATCCTCGCCTCGAGATGGCGCAAGGTGACGGCGATCACAAAGTCCGACTTCTTGTCTTCCGGTACGCTCATCTCGACCGGGGGCGTCTCGTCGTCGTCCGACTCTTCTTGCGCTCCGACCGGGTTGTCGCCGTGCACACGACGAATGTACATGGTGTTGATCTCGGCCTCGATGGCACGCACTGGGTCGCGGATTGAGGCCTCGCTGCCGCGGCTGCGTGTGCGCCCATCCCAAGCTTCCGAATGCTCCGCCCACCAGCCGTCGCTGATGCAGACCCAGCCGAGCTTCCTGTCGTCGAATGTGTACGCCTTCTCGCTGTGCAGGATCACGACAGGTGCGCCGTTGGCGTGCACCGTCATGGAGAAAAGGTTCTCTGGGTCGCCAAGCAGATTGAGGATCGACACGGGACGGTGGATCTCGTGGTCGGCGCGGATGTTCCATCGATACATCAGCCCAGAGACGGTCACCGCCATCAACGTGACGCCGTTGCTCTCCAGTCGATAGCATGCCGAGTCCAGCAGCAGATTGCCCACCCTGCGCCCCCGCGCCGAGTAGATCAAAAGCGTAGAATCTTCCAGTGCGACTGCCGAGAAGAAGGACGTCGTCGTGGCTAGTGTCGCTGCTGTTGGACTAAAGTCGAGCCACAAGACTCGGTCCTTGTCCGAAGGATCAAGTCTGGCAATCTCTGTCGGCCGCGACTCGTCAAAGTTGCGCATCTCGATCGAGATGCCGTCTTCGTCTCGGCGATAGATGTTCAGCGTCTCTGGCACCGACAGATGCACGCCAGTGCGTACGCCGTTCTCGACGATGCCGCTTGCCCCTGTCAATGCCTCGCGCAGCACTTTCTTGGGTCCAGGGGGATCACGAGGATGCTCGCCGCCCAGCGTTCGACCGATGTCGGCCTTGGTCTTGCCCTTTTGAAGCTTGCTGATGGGCTCAATGTCCTCCGTGTCCGTCTCGGCCTCCACTGCTGCCGCTTTGCGCTTCTTGCCTCGCATGAATCGCTGCTGCCACTCGGTCCAGAATTGCATCATGTCTTCAGGGGTGGCACCCTCGGGCATGATGCCGAATGGCAGACCGACTGGGATGTACTGTGTCAACGATGCGACGGCACCCGACGGCACGGCCATTGGCTGTATCGACGTGTGCGCGGATGTGTTGGCCGCCATAGCACCATTGAAGTGGCCGTTCGACATGCCCGAATGGGCTCCGTTCATACTTGGGCCAGCCCCGAACCCATCTGTTGTGGTTCCGCCGACAGCCTCGCGCATGGCTGGATGATGTTGCATGGCTGATGTCGAGGCTCGTGGCGCTGCTGCCGGTTCTGGTGCGTACTGAATGACCGAGGCTGGTGCGGGGGACAGATCGTCTCCCATGAGTGTTGGTCGAATGCGCCGCTTACCGTCCACGGTGATAGTGATGGTCTGCTGAAGACGCTCCGTCTTGTTCGCTGCAGGACGAACGTGAGGAACGCTGCCTGCGATCGGCACAGGCGCCACGGACGCTCTTGCTGGTTGCGGTTGCCCTGCCTTGCGCGGCTGAAGGACGTTGGGTCGGTCCGAGGTTCCGAATGCCGAAGCTACATTAGAGGTAGCGGCGACATTGCGAATTCGCTTGACGCCGTGCTTGGCGCGAGACTGCTCTAGCCTTTCTGCGCTGAGCGCGTCCGAGATAAGATCCGGGGAGAGGCTGAACACGGCGACGGTGCCATCCGACGAGCATGCATAAAGAGTGTAACCGTCGGCTGACCACGAAAGGTCCATGACTTGGCGCTCGAAGACATCTCTTGCGACCAGGACCGGCTGCTCGAGGCCAGTGACCCAGATCGAGACCGACTGATCCAACGAGCCGAGCGCGACCACGCACGAGTGGGTACCGCCATCGAATCCCTTGAAGATCTTTGGGCTGAAGGCAGTGACGACCACGGCATTCTCGTGGCCGACAAAGTAGATGTCGCTGCTCCAATTCGACCTCTTGACGACGCTGGCAACGAAGACAGGACCACTGGTGGCATTGGCGCAAAGCAAGAGGCTGCCGTCGGGGGACCAGCTCGGACGACGGAAGAAGGCGGTCGAGGGACTGCTGAGGAACGGTTCGGTGACGGAGCGCTCGAGGCTCCAGTCAGACGTGCGCCAAACTTTGACACTCTTGTCGTCGGATGCCGTGGCGAGGTATTGGCCAAGAGGATCAAAGACGACACCTTTGACGAAACCCTGATGACCACTGATGGTGCGTAATCTTTCAAAGTTGGTGCCGGACCAAATGATGACTTTGGAGTCGAGACCCACCGAAGCAATGAATTCGTCGTCGCCAGACCATGCCAGATCCACCACGTCGGATTCGTGGCCTGCGAGACGGCGATAGGGTCTCCAGCTTTCGATATTGACCTCGCTGGATCCAAAGCTGCCTCCTCCCATGCCGCTGGGATCGAGGTCCCATATGAGCGCTACTGTGTCATCGGAGCCAGACGCAAGGAAGCGACCTGAATTCGCCCATCGGACCACCAGCACACTGCCCGTATGTCTCGAGAGCGTGGATAGCAATCGATGCGAGTTGGCGTCCTTCTCGGCTGCTTGGTCGAGGATGGTAGCTGTGGACCAGATGCGGATCTTTGTGTCGAGACCGGCGGTGGCGAGACGGCTCGAGTCGGGATGGACAGCGACACTGAAGATGGTGGAGAGCTTGCCCTTCTTGTCGTCATTGTGGTGCGCGACCCAGTCAGGGAGTATGATAGACATGGCTGCTATCAAAGGCTGTTTCCACAGCAGGGCTTGTGGGGATCAGCGGATACCACCTCGGTATAGTGAGCGGGTCGGTAGACAGACAGGGTGATCAGACTCGCGCCAACGTGTATGAGGTACAAAGCCAATTCAAAAAAGCGGGAAGAGCATGGCGAAGGTGCTTGGAGCTGAGGAGATTGCGGCCGCGAGCGAGTGTTGAAGCAGGCGACGGAGCTGCAGCTGAAGTGCGCCTGGTGCCGGCGGTCAGACTATGGAGGATGGCAGTGAGTCGGTAGAATGCGTGTTGGCTGAGTCGAAGCAAGAGAAGGTGCAAGGACAAGCGAGCGTGATGTTGAGCGGCAAAGGAGAGAATGGAAGATGGCGACGAGGAGAGGAAGAAGAAGAAGCAAGGTGGACTGAGCTCAGTTTAGCCGACGAGGGTCCATCCGTCCAAACGCGACGAGAGGGCCAACATGATCTGCTTGTCTTTGTGCTGTCACACAAGCTCTCTTCCCTCCTCCCTCAGCTCAGAGTCTTCCCTCTCTCTACCTCGTTTGCACGTCCCACGTCTGCTCGCTTCCGCTTCATACGCAAGGCAGCTCAAATTCGAGCTTGTCGGATTCGAGCCGAAGCTTCTTCGGGGCGGAATTTGCCATTTCGATCCCACGCACGTCGTTTATGTTCGTCTCTTTTCCTCTTGCGGGCCAGAGCCTTGGACAGCATCTCGAGCCTTCGAGCTTGAGCTCTGCGTCTGTCTTTGGCTTGCTGCCAACGCGCCTTTTCTCGACCGAAGCTTGATCCGAAATGCAGACCAACACACACGCGCCCGCCCTGGCAGATAAGCTGTGCGTTTGAAAGCAAGAGATACAGCCCACCAGCTTTATCAACGTCCGACATCAGTCAGCGATCGTATCGAGTCCCGGTCGACCTCTGACTTGGCAAGTGTGACACCAGTAAAGAGTCTTCTGCTAGCTTCACAAACTGCAACAAGAGTCGAGCCGGTCCATCACGTTGTGCAGACATGAGCAGAGCACCACAGGACCCTGTCCAAGCTGTTCTTTCGGTTGGCGTGCCCCTTCGGAAGAACCGGCGAATTTTTATTAAGACGTGTGAGACCGTCATCTTGGGGGAGCGCCAAAAAAAAAGGACAGAGCGAGAGAGGCGAGAGAGAAAGAAAACGTCACAGCTTCTCTTGGCTGGCGAGGGCCGGGCGGAAGAAGGTGGATTTTGATGATGGACGAGCGTGCCCCAAGGGAGAGAGAGCAGGCAGGCACTCACGTTCATGATTCAGGGTGTGTGCGTGTGATTGGAGATGTGACCACCGATTCGACATTGGAGCCTTTCTTCTATCCCTCTATCACTTCATCCACGTCAAACCTATATCCAGCCCTCCTAAGCTTGATCGCACCACCAACGAGACGACTGAATAAGGGCTCCTTCCGCCCCTCTTCTTGCCCCGATCACGTTTCCCTGCTTCGGATCCTCTCCGTGCAATTGCGAGCTTCGGCAGCAATCTCGCCGACGAAGAGCGAGTCATCCTCGTTCGGAACCCAGCCGCCCTTTCGCAATCGCTCCGACAGCGTCGTAACGCTCGGCACAAGTGCAGCAGGTGACGACCCCTCAAAGTCAGCATGATCAGCACAAAGTAAACCCTCGAACACAATCTCATCACATCTGCATCGGCAGTTCTGGATCACATTCGTGAATCATCGAGACTGGGAAAGCCGTGACTTGGCAGAGAGTTCGCGCACTTGCAATGCAGCACCAGCAAGGCGGCTATCGCCCTGCTGCGGAAAGGTTTCGATTCAACGAGACCGAGGCCGCATCACCCGCCTTCGATCCGCTGCGCTCTCCCTCGCCGTCACCCTCTCCTGCTCTCTCAGCGTACTCGTACTCCTCCACCTCGAGCGCCGACGACTACTCCGATCACGAGCAGGACCCAGACCTCGCTTCATTGTCTCTCGAGGCGATAGATGAGCCGCAATACCAACTCGCAGATGGAGCCATCGCGCCGCGAGACCGTCATCTTTTCGCACATGGTCTCACCAATGCCGACCTCGATCCTCGCCAATCAGGCATCCCAAGTGGTGCCGCCACTCCCGTAGCTTCGCAGTCTTCATCGACCAAAGCACTCAAGCAAACCTCCCGCGCATCATCCTCGTCGCCCACCGGTGCCAACCTATCGGCATTCTCTTCTCTCTATCGCAGCTTTTCGCCACAGCAACACACTCCAGAGGGTTCGGCATCGCCTTCACACGACGCATCTCCGTTCGCAGATGTCCCAGACAGCCTCGAGGAAAAGCGACTCCCATCAGATTCGGAGGAAGAGCAAGTCGAGCGCGATGCTGAAGTGGACGCCGAAGCTGATGGCTTCGATGCGACTGACGTCGACGAAGAGGACATGCATGCCGACGGGATTCCAGCTGCGAGAGGTTGGCGTCTCGACGCACGTCAAGCCGACACTGAGCAGTTTCGCGCAAAGGTGCTCGAGCTCTTTTCCCAACAGCTGCGCCTCTTTGGCTGGACAGAGGAGACAGTCGACGCTTCAGTGTCGCCTCTCGACCCTAGTCAAGTCAAGTTGAAGCGCATCAGCGGCGCTCTCACCAACGCCGTCTTCTTTGCAAGTTATCAGCCACCCGACACTGCTCGCAGCATCGCGGCTCTACCTCCGACCGTCCTGCTTCGTGTCTATGGCGCCAGCTCAGAAGCGCTTCTTTCTCGACGCGCCGAGCTGCTCATCCTCCATACGCTGTCGAGCCTCTACGAGATCGGCCCACACATCCTCGGCACTTTTGCCAACGGCCGCGTCGAAGAGTTTTACGACTGCGACCCCATCAACAAGGACGGCATGCGCGACTTTGGCGATCGCGAGGCGTACATGCTTCCAGCTGGCAGTCTCGTCGTCAAGGGCCGCGAGGGTCGCGCACACTGGGTAGCGCGACGAATGAACGAGCTCCACTCGGTCCCCCTTGAGGTCATGCAAACCGTGCTCGAGCAGGGCAATCTGCGTGGGCCCAGTCAGAAGGGCTTTGGACGAGGTATCGAGAACCACATCATGGCCTGCTCGCATCGTCCTCGTCGCAAAACGACTCGTCAGCGCTTCCCGTCAGGCCTACCAGACAAAGACGTCGCCTCGCCTCATGCATACGGCCTCGATAACCGCGGTCTGATGCGCGAGAGCCCCGCGCCGATGGGGCCCAATGAGCCTTCCCTGGCCGGCAGCATGGATAGCTACCGAGGCTACGCATTCTCGCACCGCAACAGCTCGGCCGTCTCGCTCGACTCGCTCGCCACCAGCTACAACTCGCAATCCAGCTTCTTTGGTGACAGCCCAGCCATGACAGGTGTCACCAGCCCATCCCTGTCCGGCTCATCAGGCACCGATACCCCCAACTCGTACTTCCCACCCGTCACCAACGGTCCCATGAGCCCGCTCGCATTGGGACCGCAGGGACGATCTTCGCACAAGCAGTCCTCCTCGCGAGGCCCTTACCCCGGCGTGTGGCGTCGACTCAAGAGATGGTTGCGCGAAGCAGCCAAAGTGATCGAGCTGGTCGATCGCTTCGCAAAGACGGAGAGCGGCGCCAAGGCAATCGCCATGTGCTTCTCGGATCATCCATCCATCCGCCAGGAATTGCAAGCCGACCCAAATGCGCTTTCGACGGCAAACATCGGCCCCACGCCTGGTAATCTTCGCAACTCGCTTCGTGCCATCCGCGCCCTTGACTTCGTGTCATTGTACCGCGACGTTGAGGATTTCAAACGATTCGTCAGAAAGTGGGAACGCCGAGAGGGGCCTTCCCGACGTGTTTTTGCGCACAACGACGCTCAGTACGGTAACTTGCTCGCCATCAAGCATTTCAACGCGCCCGCCGCATCACGTTCCACGCAACCAGAGCAGAGATTGCGAGATGCCAAGTCTCCCTCCGTGGAAACGCCCTCCATTCCAGCCGGCATGCCCCGTCTATCGTCGCACGACAGCAGACGCGAGAGCACCGCGTCAATTCCAGGCTCGCAGAGTCCCGTCTTCGCACGATCCAAGAGCCGCAGTCGTGTCAACTTCAAGAAGCCGCCGCCGCTCCACCACCGCATTGTCGTCATCGACTTCGAGTACGCCAGTCCCAATCCGCGCGGCTATGACATTGCCAACCACTTCCAGGAATGGCGTGCAGACTATCACCACGAGACGCTCTCCTGGTCCCTCACGCACCACGGCAGCTATCCGGATGAGCAGCAGCGCCGCAAGTGGCTCCGCGCATATGTGGAGCAAGGTCGACTCCTTCGCATGGGTGGTCGTGCGTCTAAGGGCGGACCTGTCAGTTCTGACGTTCCCGGCGACATCTCGCTGCCTCCCCCCGTCACCACGCTCCAGTATCCGTCGGCAGACACGGAGATGAAGGGACCCATCACGGTAGAGAGGCCGAGTGCGCCGGTCACCCCTGGAACGGGCGCAGCCCAAGTCGCAGCGCTGGAAAAGTCATTGGGCGAACGGAAGCGACCGACCGTGTCGCAGAACAGCTCGAACGCGTCTTCAACATTGCGAAGAGGCTCTTTGTCGAGTCTGTCGTCCAACGACAGCGAAAGCATGCAGAGCAGGGTCTTGGGAAGGAAAGGCAGCATCGAATCGATCTCCTCTTCTTCGTGGCAGGCGCCTCCTTCAGCTGTGGCGCGAGCTGTGCCCCCATCTGCTCCTGGCACACCCGCGAGCTGCCTCGGCATCGCTTCGCCTTCTTTGGAAGGCTCGGCATCGCCTCAAGTGCTGGCGCTCGCCTCTCTGGACGCGAGCATCGAGAAGGAAGTGGACCGTCTCGAGCGCGAGGTCCATCTCTGGAGTCCAGCAACGCATGCCGTCTGGGGCCTGTGGGGCATCGTGTTCGCACGAGAAGAGCTCGAATCCGTGCTCACCCGAGCCAAGGCCGAAGCAGAGGGTCAGCCGGTCGAAGAAACCGTGCTTTCGGATGTCAGCACCAAGCTCGTCCCCTCGGCCGCGTGCGCCGAGAGCTTCGACTATCTGCGCTATGCGCTTGGCCGCATCGAGCTGTTCCAGCAGGAGTTTCAACAGCTCAAGGAGCTTGGCATCGACGCTATCTGAGGCAGTGTTCACATCAGCAAGGAATCAATTTCATAAGTCGAGGAATCAAAGCGTTCTGATTCCGGAATTCGGAAGTGTTGATCTGAGGCGTGCATGCTCCACATTCGTTCGACTGAGCATCTTTGAGAGAATCTTTGCCTTACACCACCAGCTCCTCATCTTGGAACGAGGGTATTGGTCGCTCGGTCCACCGCACCACGCTATCGAGGACCACACTGAGTGGCCACCCTCTCCACACTCGCCCACGATGGACTCCGCGGCGGCGCAAAACCTCGCGGTTCGCAACCTCTACGCCAAAATCGAAAAGGTCGGTGAAGGAACGTACGCCTCGGTCTTCCTCGCACGCAACATCAAGACCAACCAAAAGGTCGCCATCAAGAAGATCAAGATCGTCTCCAACGAGAATGGCATGGACGTGACCGCCATCCGCGAGGTCAAATTCCTCAAAGAGCTAGATCATCCGAACGTGATCAAGATGGTGGATGTCTTCTCCTCGGGCTCCGCCTCTCCGTCACTCAACCTGGTGCTCGAGTTCCTCGATACGAACCTGGAAGCGCTCATCAAGGACAAGACGCTCATCTTTACGCAAGCCGACATCAAGGGCTGGATGGCGATGCTCTGTCGTGGCATGGAATACTGTCACCGTCACTGGGTGCTGCATCGCGATCTCAAGCCGAACAACTTGCTCATCTCGCCGTCGGGTGAGTTGAAGATTGCCGATTTCGGTCTTGCCCGTGAACACGGCGATCCAGGGGCGCGGATGACGCATCAGGTGGTGACCCGGTGGTACCGTCCACCGGAGCTGCTGCTAGGCTCCCGCGCCTACTCTTCAGGGGTGGACATGTGGAGCGTAGGATGCATCTTCGCCGAGCTCATGCTGCGCGTACCCTACCTGCCAGGCGAGTCTGACGCCGAACAGCTCAATACGATCTTCAAAGCCCTAGGCACACCGAGCGAGAAGGACTGGCCATGCCACAAGAGTCTGCCGGACTACAAGGCGTTCGAGCAACACCCGAAGAGCAACCTCGCCGACCTCTTTCTCGCAGCAAGCCCGGAAGCACTGGACTTCTTGCAACGCACCCTCCTATTCGATCCACTCAAGAGGCTCAGCGCCAATCAAGCCTTGCACCATCAGTACTTCAAGCAGAGCCCACCACCGACATCGTTCAAGCAGCTTCCGAGGCATCCGACAAAGGCGTTGGATCCAGACGACCCGGCATCGCATCCGCTGCTCTCGGATAGCAAGGAGAAGAACGAGGCGCGCGAGAAGCAGCAAGTTCGCGGGAATGGTGGGAATAAGCGACCGCTTGACGCGAAGGAGATCGAGGAGAGGAAAAGGTTGGCAAGGAAGCTGGCGTTCGAGTAACGGTTGAGGATCGGTCCTTCTTCGCATCATGTATTTGTACCCTTACATTTAGCAGTCTTCAACGCTTGTTTGCGTTCCAAACATCGCAGAAACAAGAGCAGGAGCTGGGCACATGGAAAGATTCTTGATTGGTGAATGACTTGGAACATCGTTTCACCCGTCGAACACCGACATGCAAGCACCACACATGAACAACACACAAGCTAAATCACCGGCGAAATTGATTCTGACATTGACCGCACATGAGCTGCGACAGCGTGAGGAGCAAGTTCTGCTAAGCGGAAGTTGTTTTCTGGCCGAGTCTTGATGTTGGGAGTGAATCGAGGTGAGCGCGAATAGGGTCACTTGGCGGTCACCACGGAGGGAAAGTGAAACGAAGGGAGGGAAGGGGAAGGACGACGCGTGTCACGATGATGTACCACGACGTCGACACGAAGAAGAAGGGCCACTACAACCGGCGGGGGAGCGTTCTCGATGGGCTGCGGAGTGTTGCTTTGCCGTCAAAGGAGACGGGTGAACACGGCATACTGTAGGTAGACGCGGAATGCAGTCGTCTTTACAAGACAATTTCGTCGTCGTCGTATTCGACAAAGGAGGCAGCCAGACGGTCCGCGTGTGACCGTTCGGGACGCTGTGAAGCTTCGACTGCCGCTCGTTGATTGGCTTCGTCGGCCATCTGCTGGACCTCTGCCGGACTGAGCTTGCGGACGACATGGAACGGCTCTGCGGAGTCTTCCGATTGAAAGGTTGCGTTGTACTCCCGGTCTCCCAAGACCAGTGCTATGTGATCGTTCGATAGGAGATAATGCTGAAACTTGCGCTCTGGCATTCGACTGTTTTCGGCACCAATGCCGAGGTAAGCCGTCTCGAAATCTCCGTTCCTCCAGACGAAGTTGGATTCTATGAGCGGTTGCATGCAGAGGCACAACAGAGGAGTTGAAGATTTAGGCACGTGATCGACGAAGAATGCTTATGCCGAGGCATGAACGATGCCACTGATAACAATGCTTACCGTCCGGATTGTTGGTGACTTTCACGTCATTCACACAATAGAATGGAGCGTTCGGGAAATTTCTGCATGGTAGGAGCGGCAAAGACATAACGCATAAGCTAGGAACGTCATGAGTCTGAACACGGAACGAGCCAGCCCGTAACTTACTTGTCCCACCTCGCCGTCATACCGAAAGTGTCGCCCCGTTTGGCGCCGCTCCTTTTGACCCAGGAACCGAATTGACCACCTTGTCCTATCGAGCGTGGAGAGAAGAAGTCAACACGGAAGCTTTAGCTGTCTTGAGACTGTTGTAGGTTGCTTGTCATCAACTATGAGTACCTACTTTGATTTTCGACCCAAGGAACGCAGCGAAGCGCCCTGAAGTGGCGCCAACCTCTCTCTACACATGCGATATGATGAGAGAGCATGGTAACACGAGAGGATGATCAAGCATCATGGTGATTGAGCAGATATCCCAGCGTGAGATCCTGCATCCGATCGAACGTGCCATCTCGTGTGAACCTACTTACCGCACCTCGCCATGGGATATTCATCGCAAGATGTCCCAAACTTTGCATACTTCTCCTTCCTGTTTCGGCCCTTGCAAGGATCGATCCTGTCGACAACAAGAAAAGCCCAGTGTCAGCTCAAGACATCAAAATTGCAAGACTAGCAGATTCTCCTGCTATGATAATTCTGAACGCAGAACCCACGTGCAGCCTCTGTCCTGATCGCGATCCCCGATGTACTTCAACTGCTCGGGCTGCTGGCCTGAGAAAAAGGCGTAACAGAAGTTATCGCATGGACCTGTACGTGCAAAGTGAACGGATGCGAAACGTATGTATAGCATGCAGAGCGTCTGAGGATATCGTCAGTAGTGCGAAGCGAAAACGGTTCTTGAATAACGGGAGCATGTAAGCGAGCTGCCACAACGTACCCAGAGCGCCGCCACGCTGTATTCCGCCAGATCCGGTGAAGGGCTGGCATTTCTGTGCTCCAAAACAAGTGAGACGGTCAGTTGGTCTGTCTGAATGACAAGACGATCAGGCTTGCATGAGGCCGATCGCTCGTTTGTGGACGCTTACCAATTCGAAGTCTTCTACCTGGACGGCGTCGATCCAAGCTGGGAAGAGTGCTGCCAAGAGGCAGATTAGGAAGAAGATCGTCATGATCAAGCCAAGAGTTGGGCGACAAGAATGAAAGTGAAGCGTGTCGGGGTGAAGGCAGATCGAAGGACTGGTGTAAGATGACAGTCTTCCGAAGAGCACAAGAGGAACAGAGCCCTTCTTATAAGATGCGCTTGCGCCCAGATGGAGCCACAAAGGAAGCGAGCCACTCAAAGGGCAGTCCCCGCCAAGAACGGTCGGAATCGGATGCTGCCACTGCATACAAGACGCTGCAGACAACCTAGTCACTCGACCTCGTCATTCGACCTTGACGATGCTGCATTGCATGCTGCATTGTAGAGGCTCCATTGCCGCACCCACAAGGGAACGGAGAATCCCGATGTGATTGTCAAAGCAGTGTATACAGAACTGTCAAGTCTCACATATTGAGCAACGCATGTTGACGCCTTTATTTCGCTTAGGGGAGGATGCATCAATACGAAACCGACAGAAGTTTCGTGAACAGGCGCAACATCCGTCGATGAACTTTCTCTGAAGCATGAAGTACCACAGGGATGCCGCATATTCGAGGTCGAAAGTCAATGCTGCGCAAATGTCGATTTCAATCATTGCTGAGCGGACCGGCAGCCCACTACTTTGGCGGGCGCGAGGATGGGTTCCTGAGACAGCGGGCTATACAATGGAATCAAGGGTGCCGCGGCTCGGTCCTTGTCGGTCGGAGAGACTGTCTTCTGGGCAACTTGATGATCTCGTGGTCAGTGCGTTTGGGCGCATGCATGATATCGTTGAACATGGAATACCAATCGCAGACGCTCCAAAAATCGTTTACATCACGCGCCGACAGGACGGATCAATGGCACTTTTGCCACCTAGAAGCAGTGTAGCGACTCGGCATGCCTTTGTGCGAAACATGGATGCGCCGCACGGTCAAAGCCGGACGGTCCCAGTATCTTGTGAATCCCAACCCGTCTACCGGCGACTTTCAAGTTATGATGAAGCGAAGGTGGGACCGACACCGCCTTCTCATGAAGTTATAAAAGGCTCGGTTGCCGCGACTCCGTCGACTGCTCGCGATGGGAACGCGTGCGCCGAATGAGGCAGCTTTGCAAAGTCCTGGCCGGTGCGTTTCCATGTACGGTACGTTGCGCGCTGGCGGTTGCCACTATCTACGGAATGCGAAGTCTCTTTTGTACCTCGCTCTCGCCTCTTTCCTTCTTAAGCACAACTACCAAACGTATCACTTGGCCGCTCGACAGATCTCACATTTTACGCATTAGCTAAGTCCCTCTGTCGTCGGCATGGCTCCTCCTCGAAAGGTAGCACCGAAGGTTCCCCTGTTCTGCACGTCTACCAAGCCATTTCCTCCTTCGTGGACCGAGAAGTTCTGCAAGGACGCTTTGGATCCACCCTTTGAAGTGCCGGAAGAGTCCGAACTTGTTCCCATCGAAGGCGACTTTGTAGGTTGGACGCCCCTGCAGATTGCGAGGCGCCACGTCGTTCCCAACTTCACTCGCGAGGAGTCGCCATTCACCAGCCTCACTTTTGCCATCGCTGACGACAAGTCGCACGAGGATGGCAAGGTGCTCATGCCCGCCATCCATTGGGATTTCTTTGACAAGCCAGGATCGCCTCTCAGGATCGAAGGCACAGCGCGAGAAGGACCAGAGGAAGTTCTCATCACTGCATACCTCCTTCACATCGACGAGCGTGGCATCAACAACTACTGGGACGACGACGATGACGCGTACGATAACGACACGGACTCTGTTTATGTCGCCGAGAAGCGCGCATGGATCGAAGCGGGCGGAACCATTGGTAAGTTTACGCTGTTGCTGCTTTCAGCTCACGGTCCACAGACTGTAGGGTTTCGATCCTAATTCTAAGTGATGAGACGGGACTCTGACGCTTCCACACCCTCTTGTGCTCACTGACGCGATTGACATCGCGTCTACGACTTCGATGCACGCCGTGATCGACTGTGTCGTTCGTCTCGCGCGACCATACCACAGAAGCCCCTCCTAAGCCGCTAATCGAAGGCCATCCGGTGTATAAGAACTATCTTTACGCCGACGGCAGACAGGTCAGCGTCCATCAGCATAGCGTGGACGATCCCACAAAAGATTGGTGGCTCAAGGACCCAAAGAGCGATCAGGTGCGCGAGATCAGCGATGAGGAAGTCATGCGAAGGTCCGACGCTGCCATCGCCGCACGTGACGCCAAGATAGCCGAGGACGTTCGTCGCTGGATCGAAGGAACTTACGAGTATCCGACCGAAGACCCGACCAAAAGACCTGTGGTCAAAGGCTACCGATACCTGCTGTCTGACGGGCACATCATTCTCGGCGGCTCTCCGCAGGAGCCTGGCCAGGTGATCGAATCGTTTCCCGAGCGAGTCGAGGTGGTGCGCGAGATCAGTGCTCGAGAGTCTTACGAGATGTGGCTCGCTGCCGAGGCCAATCGAGTCACTCAGGCATCAACCAACGATAGGATTGAAGGGAAGGGCACAACAAATACGATTGCCTAGCTTAGCGCGATGACACCATCTGCATCACAGCTCGAGCTGCAATCTATTTTCACCATTCTACTATGAGCAGCGACGTGTGAATGCTACTAGATCGGCATGCTGGCATTGCTAGAGGCCAAGCCAGTCGTCGTCGAAGATGAAGCACGGCCGATTTCTCGTCTGTTCGATCTGACAATCGGGTTTTGAAAGAAATGGCGTGGGTTTCCCGTGGAGATGACCGTTGGCGTGTCTGCAGAAGGAGCGTCGCTGAACCCTGATTTTGAGAGAGCAAGGATTTTTGGCGCATTTGCTTATCACCACGGCACGCCATCGATCTACGCTTTTCCATAACCGCGTTTGCCACAAAGGGTGGATTGCCGGTCGCTCAAACCTACCACAGATCTCGTCATTCAACGCTTGTCCGTGGATCTATTGTCGGAGAATGCGCTCACACGTGATAGCATCCGATTAGCATCCCGACCATCTGCACAAGCTCAGCCTCCATCTGGCCTTGGCAGGGTTCATCCCGACGACAGCTCAGCCTCGCGCCGCGCCTGTCAGAATGCATATCCGGCCTCTCGCGCGCGCTAGGTTTCCTCGATCTTCTTCAGCCTTCGCTTGTTCCAAAAGTACGCCATCGAAGATAAGATGAGCCTCCTCGACGCCGTCCATGGAGGTGCAAGCGGATACGACGTTGTAACTCCGATGCCGAATCCGTGGACCACCATATCGCTCATCTCGGCTGCTCGGATTTTGCGCGGTCAAGTTTGATTGCGGCTGAACCCTTTGGCTGCAGGGTTTGGCTGTCACGTCAAACACGCGCAAATCTTTTTGGTTCGCTTTTGTTCTCCGTGGACAAAGCACGTTGTCCCTCTGCTACATAGCCGCACATCTCAGTCTTCCACGGTCGGCGTTTTCTTCTCGAGAGCACGTCAACGCCAGGCTTGTCTCCGTCCCACACCATCTCTGCTGCGCAACAGACATCGACGTTGACCCATCTCCACATACACGAATGGCGTATGGTCGTACATCCGGTCCTTCGTCGACGTCTAGCTTTTCCAAATAGATCGCAAAGGGTATAAAGAGAGCAGCTCTCGACCCGAGTCAGCACCCCTCAACAATCATCGGCCATAAAACCTTATCTCGCCTCAGCAATAGCAACAGAGACCAATAGAGACACTGCATCCTCTTCCGCAATGACCTCCGCCGTAGCATCATCGTGGGTGGGAACCCTGCTCAACCAAGCCTCGAATGGCAAGATCTTCCCGCGCCCAGAACAGCGCCCCGGATTTGTTGTCCCATCATCCCTCGCATCAGCATCGTCCAGCACCGCTGCTGCTTCCTCCTCAGCAAGGCCATCGCCTACGACAGAGAAGAAGAAACCCTTCGACTCGGAAACCACCACCATCTGCGAGCAATGCCCCAAGAAGACGATCGATAACGACGCCGCCTTGGACGATGTGACCGGTACCGACATCGAAGCAGCACTGTCTCAGGCACAAGGCACCAACACAGTCGCACGTGTCGTCTCCGAGTCCAAAACCGAGTCCTCCCCTTCCGAAAAGTCGACCAGCTCAACCACGACCGATGAAACCATCATCGTCGGCTGGTACGGCGACGATGATCCCGAGAACCCACGCAATTGGTCTCCTCGCAAGAAAGCCTCTGTCACCTTCCTGATCGGCCTTCTCACCTTCGGCGTCTACTCCGGCTCGGCCATATATACGCCCTCGATCCCCGGTGTGATGGAGGAGTTCGACGTCGGCTTGACGAAAGCTACGCTCGGTCTCTCCCTCTTCGTACTCGGATATGCAGTGGGTCCGATGTTTTTGAGCCCGCTCAGCGAGATCCCCGCCATCGGACGCAACTGGACCTACATCCCGAGCATGATCATCTTTGTCATCTTCAACATCGTCGCCTCACTCGCGCCTAACTACAGCACGTTGATGGCGATGCGTTTCTGGACCGGATTCTTCGGCTCCCCAGCCCTCGCTACAGGCGGTGCGAGCATCTCCGACATGTACGACGGCGTCGGTGTCGCTTTCCCCATCGCCATTTGGGCTGTCGGTGCGGTGTGCGGACCCGTGCTCGGACCCGTCATTGGTGGATTCTCGGCCATGAACCTGGGTTGGAGGTGGCCCATGTGGCTGCTGACCATTCTTTCGGGCGTGACGACCATTGTTCTCGCATTGTTCCTGCCAGAGACGTTCGAGGGGTACCTGCTTCTGCAGCGCGCTAAGCGGCTCCGGAAGCACACCGGAAATGCCCAGTTGCGCGCGCAGAGCGAACTGGATCAGGCCGCTACCAGCTTCGCCAGCCTCACAAAGGAATCCCTGCTCCGTCCCCTCATCATTTCCATCGAGCCCGTCGTCTTCTTCACCTCCATCTACCTCGGCGTGGCCTACGCTTGCTTCTATCTTTTCTTCGAAAGTTTTGTCATAGTCTTCACAGAGACGCACCGCTTTAACCTCGGCGAGAGCGGGCTGCCATTCCTGGGTCTGGCGGTGTCCGGCGTATTCACCCTCCTCGGATACCTGTGGTACCTCAAGTCCTACTTCAATCCTCGGTTCCTAGCCAAAGCCCAGCGCGGCATCATCATCCCCGAGGACCGCATTGGCATCGCGCTCTTTGCCTCGTTCTTTGTGCCCGTCTCGCTCTTCGGCTTTGGCTGGACGAGCCGCGAGGACATCCACTGGATCGTCCCCATCATCTTTTCGGCTCTGCTGCTGCCCGGCGTGTTCTTGCTCTTCCAGAGTCTGCTGGTGTACCTGCCCATGTCGTATCCCAAGTACGCTGCGAGCGTGCTGGCCGCCAACGCGCTGATCAGGAGCTCGTTCGCAGCGGCCTTTCCGCTGTTCGGACATGGCATGTTCACCAAGCTGGGCGTCGGCGTGGGGTGCAGCGTGCTGGGCGCCATCTTCACGGTGCTCATCGTGCCGCTGTGGGGGCTGCAGAGGTACGGACATGTGCTCAGGAGGCATAGCAAGTATGCGCATGTCTACTCCGCAACTTCGTAGAGGACCAGATTGCTTCATTTGTATCAACGTTCTTCTCACACTTTTGCAAAATAGACGTTCCATTGCCATATCCTCATTGCCCTCGTTGTGTGTCTGACACCGACTCGTTTGCGCTAACAATGCTCGGGGAGGTCGACCTGGTGCGTCTCACTCGGTTCAAGCCCCTTCGCGGTCACAGCTTGCTACTAGGCACACTCGGCTTCCTTCCACTGCTCAACCTCCCCTTCACCGCTCTCTGCCGCGCCATTGCCCTCCATACACCCATGATCAGTCCCACGGGCGGCACCAACCACTGCATCAACCACCTCACCCTCCCTCGCACGCCCCCATACCTATCCACCCACCTCCCCACCAGTCTATCCACCTGCATCCGTAGCGCAACACTCGTCTCCCTTTCCAGCCGCCTTGTCCATTCTGGTGCGCCTCGTTCTTCCTCCTCCACGCGCTCTGCGAGATTTGACGAGTTGTCAAGCACTGCATCGGCGTACACGAGCTTGTCGTCGAGGGGCAGCTGGGCGTTCAACCTCTGTTCTGCGTCTTCTGGGGTCAACCCAATCCGCTCGCCGTCCCGCTTGAGCATGCGTTTCAACTGATCTTCGCGTCGACAGTAGACAAGCACCATTTCGCCACACCACTTCCACAACCCGGCTTCGACGAGCAACGGTGTGTCGACGACGACTACGCGCTCGCCTTTGAGCCAGTAGCCGATGAGGAGGCGGATCATGCGCTTGCGGATCGCACCGTGGGTGATGCCGTTCAAGATCTTGGTTTTTTCGGGCGTGGCAAAGGCAAGACGGCCCAACTCGGCCCGGTTGAGGGTGCCATTGGTGTTGATGACGCTGGGACCGAAAGCGGAGCGGAGGGCGGAGAGCGCTGGTTGACCAGGGGCGACAACTTCGCGGGCCAGGACGTCCAGGTCGATAATTGGGATGCGAGCGGGATGCGAAGAGATGAGATAGGACGCGGTCGACTTGCCAGAGGCAATGCCGCCTGTGAGGCCGACGACCAGCATGATGAGACGATGGTGGTGAGAGTGAGGGTGAAGGTGGCCCGAGCAGTTTGAATGTGCCGATTAGGGCGCCTCGGTTCGACCGGCAGATTGACAGCGCCGGTCCTGGATCTAACATTTTTTCGTTTTTCGCAGCGCCTCACACTCACCATGCTCGACATTCTCGACGACGACAGACGGACCTCCAATGGGTGGCACTTCAGTGATTGCGTGGGACAGCAGTCTATCTGAATGACTGGTCGCTGGTCGCTACAGACTGCTTTTGGAGTGAGACGACTACATGGGCGACGCCTCCAACGCGGCATTGGGGACAAGTCCCAGCTCGCGCAGTGTCTTGCTGGCGTCGCTGGCGTCGAAGATCTTTCTCGGAAAGTTCGTCGAGAACTGTGTTGGACAATAAGTTGTAAAGGAGGTCAGCGCATGATCCAATGGAGCTCTTTCAGGCTGAGTGTCTGAACTCACCTTCAGCTGTGCAGCACCGCCATCCTTGCCCTCAGCCTTGACCTTCTGCGCAACATCCGCCAACGTCGCCTCTGCGGGCAAGGTTCCCATCCACATCCCACCCGGCGCCCTCACTCGCAGCCTCGCCTCGTTGGCCGAGCTCTTATTTGCCTGAGCACCCGCGCTCGCCGCCAAAGCCGCAGCACTCGGCGCCGCCGGCACCGCTTCCGTCACACCACCACCTTCCCTTTTGGCCTTGTCCGCCGCTGCTTTGGCCGCTCTCTCCCGCTTGTCCGCCTCGATTTGAGCCTTGATCTTGGCCTTGAAGGCCGCATCATCTGCCTTCTCCTTCCTCTTTCGCTCCGCCTCCTTGAGCTGCTCCTTGCGCTTCATCTCTTCCTTCACCTCGCTGAGGTCCTGCCCGGCTTTGCGACGAATCTTTTCGTTGGCGCGGTTTTCTTCCGCGTCGATCTTGGACTGAGCAGCGCGCTTGGCAGCGAGCTTGGTTCGAAGCTCCTCGAGTTTCTCCTTTTTCTCTTCTTCGGTGAGAGGCTTGATCTCTTCTGTGCTCTCTTCGAACGAGGTGTGACCCGCTTTCTCGGCGTGGAACGAGGCAAAGGCGGGTGATTTGAAGATCTTGCCGCAGTCGGTACATTTGATGGACTGGTGGCAAGTCGCAAGAGGTAGGAGTCAGAGCGTTAGTTTTGGGTCAATGCAAAGATTCCAAGGCGGCTGGTCGGCAGCAACTCACCTTGGCTTCGCCGACATTGTTGATGGCATCGTCAGCAGCCGCCAGACCCTTTTTCGAGACCAGGTCGGCTAGGGCAGCCTCGTCTTCCTCGTCGTACTGTTTGGAGACACAAGTAGCACCCAGGTCAGCTGGTCTACTTCTCGCGGATATCAGCAGCTACCATGGCAAAGAGGGCTACTCACGTCATGGCCAGCACCAGAGCTCGAACCAGCTGCGGGGGCTGCCGACTTGTAGTCGGTGGGCACAGCGTTGTCCTGATTCGCCTCCAAGTGGTCGAGTGCAGGCTGGAGCCCAGCATTCTTGGTCGTGTAAAGCGCCCAGTCGACGCGCTCTTGGGCGAAGCCCATGTCGAGTACTGTCCGGCAACACAAGCAAGGATGTTCAGCTGCATACATTCGAAGAGACCTCGATCCACCGTCGTGTGAGCAGCCCAGAACTTACGCATTGCACGATCACCCATCTTGTCGATTCTTCTGCTTGTTGCGAGTTGTGTGTGCGAAGAATGAAAGTGATGGGACAGAAGGAAAGAAGCAAGAAGACTGCGCAGCACAACTTCGTTTCGGCGCGGCCCCGCACGACACTGCTTCTGCGCTGCTGCGCTTGGCCCGTCCGCCGCCACAAGACTGTTAGACCTTCTGTCCGAGATCCGAGCCAAAATTTGGGTCCAGCGCCTTGCTCCTTCCTCGATTCTTCTTGATCCTGCTCCTGACCCTGCTCGGACCCTGACTCCAGAGCTCTGGAAGGTCCACATCTTCCCATCACACCCATTGTCACAGGCTCAGTGTCCGCCACAGTCGCTTTCGACGACTGCACCCGCAACATGTCGCAAAAGGAGATCATTCACCTCTCCTTCGGCTCCTTCTCCAACCACATCTCCACCCACTTTTGGAACCAGCAGCAGTCCTATTTCACTTACGATCTTCCTTCCGGCTCCACCTCCGATGTGCCACCCGATGAGCCGCTGATCGACCACGATGTCTCATTTCAAGCGGGCCAGTCGCCGACAGGACAGGACACGTACAGTCCACGAACGATCCTCTTCGAGACGGAGCAGGAGTTTGGCGCGCTGAGCAAGCTCAATGCGCTCTATGCATCGTTTCCTGCTGAAGAGGGGGGCAATGTGGCACTGGACAGCCTGCAAAGCTGGGGACGGGAGGCTGAGGTGATTGCGGCGGAAAGGGTGAGGACGAGCAGATACCAGCAGAGGCTCGAGCAGGAGGATCAGGGGTTGGATCCTGGCTCGTCCGACGAGGAGGATGTATTGGAGGAGTCGGAGATCGGGATACCAAAGCAGCGCAGATCAAGGAGGACGCATCGATTCTGGTCCGACTACTCGCGGACTTTTTACCATCCCAAATCGCTCGTCTCGGTCGGAGGGGAGCTGATGGCGCCCATGCCCGGTTCCTTCAACGCGACGGCTTCACCGGAGAACAGCGATGGACGTGTACGATTCGAAACGTTCTCCCAGGGCGCTAGGTACTTTAACGAACTTGAAGCACAACAAGAAGTGATGGATAGCAACATTCGATGGTTCGCAGAGGATGCTGATCTGCTGCAAGGTTTCCAATACAACATCGACACGTCGGACGCTTTTGGCGGGTTGGGAAGCAAGTATCTCGAGAACCTCGCGGACGAATTCCCCAAGGTCGCGCACATGGTCTTTGGTGCGGCGTGGGGGAACACTGTCTCGATACCAGAAGAAACCAGCGGGGACGCAGCATGGGAGAACAGGCTGGCGAGGATACGTCGCATGAACAACCTGCAGTCGCTCGTTCAGCTGATGGAGTTCTCGACCGTCGTGACGCCGTTGAGCGTGCCGAGCTGGGAGGCAGACTCGCAAGTCGGCGCGCAATGGAGGCGCTATCTAGGCAGGATCGATCTGGGCGACATGCACCATGCAGCTGCGCTCATCTCGGCACATCTCGAAACGGCGACGTTGGGAACACGCCTCAAGTCGCGCTCCGAGACGCTCTCCTCGCTCACATCGCGCCTCAACTGGCGACGCGATACAAAGCTCGTCCACCTCGGCGGCGCATTACCGCTGCCCTATCCGACACCTCTTTCCGGCTTCTCGCAAACCTCGGCATCGTCGACGGACCCAGTAGATGCACTACTTGCGTCGTACGGCTATGGCGCGGACCGCGACTCCCGCCTGCGTCAACGCGGCGCTCCCCTCGAGTCCGAATCCGAGCTCGCAGCGCGCGGCACCCAACTCGTCCTCTCGACATGGCTCGACCTGTCCCTCCCATCCTCTCTCCCCGCTGGCGGAAAGTCCCGCAAGAAGCTACTGTACAACCTCTCCCGTCCCTTCTCGCACACCGCCATCCTACGAAACGCCGACCTGAACGACGCCCACTTGGGCCTGGGGATGCTCGATTCGCTCCTCACCCAAATCCGCGAGCCCTTTGGACAAGGAGTCTATATCCCGCAGTCGTACAACGTGCTCTCGAGCTTTCCGAACTTCTTTACTCGTCTCGACGGGGGGAGGGCCATCACTGCCGGCGCCGATAAGGGGAATGCCAAAGTGGACAGGCCGAAAGATGTGCCCGTGCTGTCGTCGCTCAGTGCGACGCCGTCGAGCGTGTACCGGCTGAAGGAGGCGAGGGAGACGCTGAGCGAGGTGCTGAAGGGTCATCTGCCGCTCGCGGCATACGGGCTGGATGGCGAGGATGCCAGGGATGGGTTGAAGGAGATGAGGGAGATGGTGGAGGGCTGGATCGATGCGTATAGTGTCGGTGATGATGGAGGGGCGAGTGGCGAGGAGGATGACGGGATGGGGACGGATGAGGAGTACGATGTGGATCAGAAGGAGGAGGATGGGCTGGATTGGGACATGTAGCTCACTCACTCAATCGACGACCATCGCACATGCCAGCACGCATCTTGCTCACAGTCTACTCGACTCTTTCTGTCGACATGAGTCGCCTGTGATTCCATTCCGATGAAAGCCATGTGCGGCACGAGTCCGCGTTTGGTCTACACGCCATATGCAATGACGCGGGAAAAGTGAAACGGCCGCGAATGCTTCTGCGGCAGCGGAAGCACCTCGCCGTTGGTCAGGTTGACACTGAAGTACTCGAGCAGATCCAGCTTGTTCCATCTGCCTCTCGTGGTGCTCCTCAGCCCAAAGACCATGCGGAAAGCGTACTTGTGCATGCTCTTGTCCCTGAGATCCTCCACCACCACCTTGGGTCCTCTCGGCCTGCCTTCCTCGTCATCGTCGTCCAACCCCTGCTCGAACAGCTCCCATCGGCCCTTCGAGAAGCCTTTGGCTTTCAACCCGGGCTCGAGCCGACGCACGGTCTCCGAGGGCGGATCTGTCGTGAGCAGCGACAGCGCTGTGCCATCGGGGAGGAAGCGGATGGACCGATAAAACTCGACGACGTGGATGACGCGCACCCACGCGTCCTCGCTCAAGCCCGGGCGCGCGTAGTGGCACGCAGCGATGTAGCACCCGTTGAGCCGAACGCGAGGTTGGTTGATAAAGGCGGTGCGCCAATCGGAGTGGTGGCGCTCGTACAGGTCGGTGAGGCTGAGCGTGGGGTCGAGGATGGGCGGGTAGTAGGTCTCGCGTACGATCTCGCGCCAGAGAGAGGGCGACTTGGTGAGAAGGCGGAACTTCCAACAGGTGCGTCCGAGCGTTTCAAGTGATTGCCAGTCGGTGCCACCGAGGACTACGCCGATGCCGAGGGGCTGTCTGCGGCTCGCTACGACGACACTGCTGTCTGCGGGCTTGTCCTTGTCTGCTTTGTCTCCGGTCGCTGAAGCGTCGGCTGTCGTGGCAGGTGCCTCCTTGCCGTTGACGGCGTTGACAGCGCTGGCATCCGCCTTGCTCCCATTTGTGGCAGCAGCGGGAGCAGCGGTGTTGCTGGGTCTGGTCGACTTCTGAGCATCCACTTTGGCCGAGTTGGTCTTGACCTGCCCACGGCCCGTCAAGGCAGCTGTAGCAGCATCCAGCGCGGCTTGCTCTTCCGGCGTCGGCTTCGGCTTGACCACCTTTGCCCCTCTCCGTCCTCGTGGTGCGATGAGCATTCGCAAGATATGCAGCAGGATCTCGTCAGGTAATCTTGCGATGCGCATCGGCTTCTCTTCGTCCTCCGGTTCGAATGCGACCATTCCAAAGTCCCTCTCGCCGCCACCCTCTATCGACAGGTTGTCCAAGAGTCTTGCCAGCTCATCCGGCCTGGATTCGGGTAGCCGTGACGCCTTGTCTGCTGCCTGCTCCTCGACGGCTGCTGCTGCCGTTTTCGAGGTTGATGCATCTATTGGCTCGCCTCTCGCTCGAGCTTCGGCTTCTTTCGCCTGCCTCTCCTTGATCGCCACGTAGCGGTGGTCGTCAAAGTCGAGTGCCTTGCGTACTTTGTCTGCGATAGCGGGGCTTGATAGGAGAGCGTCGTTCTGCTGAGACGAAGTGTTGGCCAGTGCTGGGTCAGTGAGCAGCAGATGGGCTCGATGGTAGAGCCGGTCGGCGTTGCTGTTGAGCTTGAAAGCGCGACGATAGGAGGCGAGCGCTGGATCCAGCTGACCGCTTCGCTCCATCTCGACTGCATGCGCGTACGCCTCGACTGAGCTACGCATGCCGGTTTGCGTGGCTTCGCTTGCAAGAGCGGGAGCGTTGGGAGTGGCCATGATGCGGGGTGCGCGAGGCGGTGCAGGATTGGAGGTCGAGCCAGATGCTTCCGCTTCGGGAAGGTGATGTCGTTCTGATTGAGTAGATCTGGCAGCGATATTTGAGGAGGTACAGGGAGGAGAGCTCGATGCACTTGCCGATGCACGAAGGCGATCGCGCAGAGCGTGCGAGACGCCATTGGCTACCGAGCTCGTTGAATGTGATGTCGAGGAGGATGAAGGTAAAGGGTGGTACTCGGAAGGAACGACAGGGACCGGAAGATCGTTCTCTGGGAGCTGCACGGCAGGTTTCGGCATCTTGTGGGCGCCTTTGGAGTACTTGAGTGCGGCCGGCGCATAGATGGCTGCTTCGGGGAAGGGCAGCGAGGTGTCATCCTGATGCAGTAGACTGTCCTCATTTAGCTCGTCGTTGCTTCTAGCGTCATCGCTTTGCGCTTCAAAGCTTTTGCGTGACTCGATGAGCTCTGCAGTCGAAGACGCTCCTTCACGCTGGTTTGCGGTAGGAGCTTGCGATGGCGACGATGCCTGCTGTGCACTCGATATGATGTTCTGGGCCTTTGCCGTCTTACTGGTGGAAGTTGACGGCTGAGCATACGTCGGGTGACCCCTTGATAGCACTTCCTTCTTCCATTCAGATCGAAAGCGCTCGAGCTCGTCGCTTACGGGCGTGGAACGCTGTGGAGTCGCAGCTCGAGTTGCAGCCGCATCGTCGCTACTTTCCATGGGAGTTTGAGTTCCGCTTGGGCCAGCTAGCGGCGTTGCGGGATCCGAGTCGAGCTGAAGCTGGTCGTCCCCAGCAACCAGCTGATCCAGTTCCCGACTGTGTATCGAAGGTGCTGTGTTCTCCTGCTCCATGATGATTCCAAGTGCTGATGGCGAGCGAGTTGGTAGGAAGATGCATGAAGCTGCTTTGTGCGAGGCGGTCAAGGAACGGACCCTCTTTGGCCGTCAATCCTCCACACGCAGAGACGCCGAAGCTGAGCTGAGTCGGGCCGCTTTTTCGAAAGCGCAGCGGAAGTGACGATGTAACAAACTGTCGATTTTTGATCGAGATGTGAGATCCTTTCCAGGCTTGGGGAAGCAGCAAAGTTCTAGACTGTGTGCCTGTCTGTGTGTGTGGCTTGAAACGGATCGTCAACCGCCGCGGCGTCTTGTTCCCACGCAGCTGAGCATCGTCAAACCATCAAAATCGAACCGAGACGAGGCAGGAAAGCGTTCATGCAGAAGCACGGCGTCGCCCAATTCTAGGCACATGGCCAACGAGCCTCCATTGTTTGGGTCCAACAGCGTTGTTCCTGAACACCCTAACCTCATCTTCTTGTTCTTGCTCGTCCCTCCTTGCTAGCTGCTCACGATGCTCTCGGTCGCATCTGGACACCTCTGAGCCATATCCCCTGCGACTACACCCCACCAAGCATGGCCGGCCCATCACCGCGCATACCATTCTCGCAGCGTCTCGACGATCCCGACCAAGCTGCGATTCAGCATTCACACGGCGAGTTCGGCGAGCAGGTCTCTCCCCATACAATGAGTGCCGCCGTCGACCAGGCGCACATCCAGCTCATACAGCAGGTCCAGCACGAGCTGCGCACGCCCGTCCATGGTCTTCTCGGTCTCGTCGAGGATCTGCGCACAGAGCTGCGCGCAGCACCAATACAAGATAGAGATGCACGCAGATCGCTCCTCATCAAAGCCGAGAGCCTCGCCGGGCTGAGCGAAAGGCTGCAGCATGTCCTCGATGATTTCCGTGACTTTGCCGCCGAGACAATCCATGCGCGAGAGGCGGAAGAGGAACACGAGGTGCAGCCCGAGGAGCCCGTCGATCTAGGCGATCTGCTCGACACGGTCGCTGCCGAAGCATGGAACGAGCAAGTGCGCCAGATCCGCGCAGAGGACGGAGACGACGCCAGGCTACCACCACCACCAGAGCTCATCTTGCAGACCGACACTAGCTTACGAGGGTGGAAGACCGTCGTCTCGACGCAGCTCGTCAAGAAGCTCGCACACAAACTCATCTCCAACGCCCTCCGATTTACTACCGAAGGCTACGTAGAGGTATCTCTCTCGCCATCCATAGCGGCATCCCCATGGAACGAGCAGGAATTCTCCTTCCGCGCCGCTGGAGACCAGACAAGCTCGGATCAGCACTATATCGATCTCGTCGTCGAGGATTCCGGCGAGGGCATGACGGAGCACTTCCTCTCGCACCGCTTGTTCGAGCCATTTGTGAAAGCGGACAACTTCAAAGCTGGGGCGGGGCTGTCGGTCAATCTGTGCTCGTCCATCGTGCGGCGCATGGGCGGAGCTATGCACGTTTCGAGCGATAAGGGTCGCGGTACCATCGTCACCGTCAAACTTCCCGTTCAGAGCCTCCCGGAACGCATCGTCAACCCTGCCCCGGCCTCGCAGAGCGATCAGCTCATCTACCTCTACGGCTTCGAAGGTCCCGGTCTGCAACGTCTCGCTCAAGTCATTTCCGCCCAGCTCGCGACGTTCGGCAACCTCTATTGCACGTCGCACATCCAGGATGCCGACTTTCTGCTCCTCCCCGAGGAGGTGTGTCTCGAAGTCGAGGGTGGCATCGATGCGATCCTTGCGCAGACCAAGCCAGCCGTCAAGATCGGCGTGCTCCAAGCGCACGAGGATGCCGGGATCGAGTATGCTGCCTTCAAGAACGGCAGTCGTCGGCCCACCTTCGTGACACGCAAACCCTTCGGGCCGCGATGCTTCGCCAATCTGCTGCGCCTAGCGGAGCAGAATGGGGAGGAAGAGACACGAACAGCTGGCGAGACGATCCGAAAGGAACACGGGCATCTGGGTTACACGGCACCTGTCGATCCGGATCAACCGGGGCAGGTCTTGCGCGAGGGCGCTGGAACACCCCTTGCCAAACGCGCAGAAACAGGCGATGAGGAGTACAGCGACCTCCAACCACGCCGCATGTCGGTCGTGAGCGAGCAGGAGAAGAGGAACAGCGACGAAGGATCGACCGCCATTCCAGGTCCCCACAAGCTAGCGGACCTCATCGTGCCTCCAGACGCACTAGACGAGGTGCTCCGCGCGCCCCATCCCAAACCGCGCATCACACCGCCCAACTCCACAGCTCCAGTCGCGCCGTCAGAAGCAGGTTCGGCCGACGCAGACTCGCCTTCACCAACAACCACGACGCCACCAAAAGCCCACTTCAGCGTCCTCTGCTGCGAGGACAACCCGCTCAACATGCGCATCCTCACCACCATGCTTCGTCAGGCCAAGATCGAGTTTCACGAGGCGGTTGATGGCGTCGAAGCGGTCGCCCAGTTCCAGAAGCACCTGCCGGCGGTGACGCTGCTCGACATCAACATGCCGCGCATGATGGGTTTCGAGGCGTGCCAGCTGATGCGCCAGCATGTGGCCGAAACCCTCACCGAGGAGGAGCGCGCACGCAGGGGATTCAAGATCGTCGCTGTCACAGCGCTAAGCGATCATTTCCACCAGCAAAAGGGAATGGAGTGCGGCATGGACGATTGGTTCACCAAGCCGCTGCAGATGCGCAAGCTGAAGGCGGATCTGGCCGAGTGGAGGAGCCAGTATGAAGCGCTGCAGGAAGAGTAGAAGCATTACACTAGAGGAGTTCGCTCACATGGGAGCACCGCGGATCGCATCGTCATCGTCATCATCACTGCATTTGTACACCATTCAATAGACTTCTACACCACCACATCTGGTTAGGAAGCATGACCCATTGAGCCTGGTTCGAATCGCCGATTTTCACCTGAGATGCACGCGATTTCCAGCCCACTTTCCCTTTCTTCTCGCGTGTGAGAGCGCGGTCCTGCACCAAATTTTTATTTTTTCCGCTCAGCTGCAGACCCACGATTCTGCGCAGATCTTCTCGCATCATTCCACCATCACACCAACACCCAACAAAGATACACAAGATGAGCGACTGGGGTGAGTAGCTTCCAACACCACTGTGCGATTCCCACCATGCGCTGACTCATTTCGACCTGGGACTGCGAACAGAAAACGACGACGAGCCACAGCAGGTCGCTCCGCCGCCCAAGCTGTCTGCGGCCGGACGCAAGAAGTTTGATGACGAGGACGTCGAGGATGAGGTCAAGGTGCGCTCCTTCTCCAGCCTTACTTCTGCCAGATCCTGGCCATGCTTGGCTCTGATACTGACTCTTTGCTTCGATTGCGCCGCGACTCGACGATGACAGGACGATTGGGAGGAGGACGACTCGGAACCCGAAGCACCCAAAACCGCCGCTGTGCTGCCACCGCGCAAGAAGAAGAGCGTCAAGCAAAAGATTGCCGAGAAGGAGGAGGAGGAGCGCGTGCGTCGCGAGCAGGGGCTAGACGTACGTATCATCCACACACACCACCATTTGCCGGTCTCTTGTATACTGACCCTTTCTCTTGATTGTGCTTGCGTGATGCGTAGGAGTCGGACGAGTCGGGCGAAGAATGGGACGCGGATCCGATCGCCAAGCGTCGAATGGAACGAGAGGCGCAGCTCAAGTCGGATGTCGAGAACGCTGCCAACTTGCTCGGCACGGCCAAGATCGGCGATGGTACGTTGCCCTTCCGTAACCCCCCTTAAAACCCTCTCACACAATCACTGACCACTCTCTCTCCCTCTGGTTGATCCCGTTCCAACTGTCATCTCAACGCACTCTCTCTTCGGATCGTATCGCTCGCACAGACGCCCTCTCGGCCCTCCGCACCGCCAACCCATCCTCAAAGGAAGACTGGGAATCCTTCTCCACCTCGCTCTTCACCGAGCTCCTCAAATCGCAATCCACCAAGCCGGGGTTCGACAAGCACTTCGTTCCGCACATCTACCGCCTCATCGCCTCCACCTTGCGCGATGTCGACATTCGTAAGAACAGCACCATGCTGAAGACCTATGCGGAGGAAAAAGTCAAGGCGGAGAAGGAGGCCAAGAAGTTGGGTGGGCAGAAGGTCAAGGTCGCCGCTGCCAAGCCCAAGGCGGTCGGAACCAGCAGTGCTAAGAATGTCATCGATACCAGGGCGTACGGCGATGAGGCGCTGGATGACGATTTGGACTTCATGTAACCGTTCTATCGAGCGCAGCTGGTCGATGTGACCCCTGGCGTCCCGGCGTCCAGAAAAGTGTACCCCCTACAAAAACGCATTACAAACCGATTCAAACGCATCCACCCGGTCGCGCGCAGTGTGTCACGCTTTGACAGCCTGGCCGCACAGAACCTTGCAGAAACCGGCCAAACTGAGCTCAAGAGAAGGTGTTCACAATCAACCGTCAGCCCGAAAAGCAATGCAGAAACGACATCTATTGGAGTTGTGTGGTGGGGTGAGAAAGAAAGGACAAGTGCGATGCGACAATGTGAGCGATGCAGTGTGACACGCCTACGACATGTCCACCTCGGGCGCGCTGCTCTCGGTGTGCGAGTGGATCCTCTTCATGGGCGGGGGCAGGTGCATGCTGATCGGCGACGTTTCGCGAGAAAGCGCCTGGCCGAGAGGCGGCAGCGTCGTGCCGTGGTCCCGGTGCGCCGAGTGGATGGGGGTCATGCCGAAGAGCGGACCCTTCTTGCTCCTGCCCGTCGGGTTCGAGCCGATCACGCCAGCCGGCGAGTTGGTGGCGCTCAGAGGAGGCACCTGCGAGTAGGTGCTGGTGGGGCTCGACTCGCTGCTGGCCAAGCCGGCGCCGAAACCGTTGCCGATCGAGCTCTGACGGCTGTGCGAGCGGGACGAGATGCCGGCACCAGGCAGGGTAGGCAGCGCGTGGTGCAGCACGGGCGAGCCGTGCGGCGAACCAGACCTGCTGGCCGGAGCGGAACGCGAGCTGCTGCGTGCGTTCTTCTTGTGGTCACCGCCGTAGGGATGGTAGTTGTAGGCGTGCGTGTGGTGGTGTCCGGGCAAAGGGTGGTGGCTTCCATCCCGGTGCGAAGCACCACTTGCTGGGAAGGGAGGCGGCAGCGTCCTGGACGAGGGATCCGCCATACCGTGGGAGTACGACGAGCGAGACGAGTGCGGCTTCAGGCTTCCGACGCCGCCATCCAGGATATCCTCGATCTTGCTGCGACGAGCGCCGCGTTCGGCATCGGCTCCGGGCCCATGCGCGGGAGTCAGGTGGTACGCCGAGAGGCTGGTGCTCGAGTTGAGCGACGGGATGCCCTTGCTGCGCGAACCAAAGCTGTGGCTTCGCGAGAGCTTGGGAGGCACGTGCGAGGGCTGCGCAGGCGACGTGGACGCCGAAGTGGTCGCAGAGCCGCTGGCCAGCGAGTCGTGTTCGACGGCAGCAGTGCTTCGCTCGCCCGAGGTGCTGGGCGGAATGGCGGATTGCTGCACGGGAGGCATGCCGAGCGACGAAAGGTGGTGATGCGAGCGAGAACGAGCCGACGACTCCATGTAGGGATGCGATCGGTGTCGGTGCGAACCGTGGTGGCCGAGTCCAGACTGGTGGGCGGGACCCTCGTGCGACGAGTAGTGGTGGTGGTGCGGCGGCGAGTGCAGATTCGAATGACGGTGGGTGGGCGAGCCAGGACGAGAGGTGTAGGGGCTGTTGGGCACCGTGTTGCCGCCGAGCAAGCTCATGTTGCGCAGAGGACCGAGCACAGGACTGCTGCTTGGTGTCCAGTGAGCTTGGCTGTGCGATGACGAGTGGATGGCGGGACCGGGAGCTGCCATGGGAAGACGGGGCTTGATGTCGTCGTGGAAGGACGTGGCATGCTCGGATTCAGAGACGTAATCGTCGCCGTGCAAATGGTCGTCGGGCGAGAAGCGCGGCGAGTGCTCGACACTGCTGGGCACGCTCGACGAAGTGGAAGCCCATCCACCGGCGCCGTGATGCGAACCGTGCTGGTAGTAGCGGTACAGGCTGGGTGGCGGATGGCTGCCGTGCGAGGGACGTGCGTAGCCACACTCTGCTGCGTGACGGTTGGAAGAAGGTCGAGCGAGGATGGCGGAAGCGATTCGGTCGTTGTACTTGCGATGGCAGTCCTCGTGCGAGCATCCGGGCGGCGTTGTCTCGCCAGCAGCAGCCGGAGGAGGGGCGGACGGGTAGGCACCGTAGCTGCTGTGGCCATGCGAAGAGTGATATCGGTCGGCGTAGGGATCGGGTGCGTAGTGGGACGAGTGATAGCCGTGAGAAGGGGGACCCGAACGACGACCTTCTCGCTCGGCGCGTTGGAGCTCGTGCAGCTCATCGCTAGCAAGCATGGCGAGGGTCGACATTTCGCCGTTGCGGGCCGAGCGGCCGGTGCCGTGCCTGAGTTCGCGGTCCGAGTCGCTGTCGTCCCCTTCCTCGTCTCCGACTTGCCATCGGAGTTGCCTGTTGTTGATGTGGCCGGGCTTTGAGGAGGCGGAAGCAATGGCAGAAGGGGAAGTGTGGGACGAGGATGCGCCGTTCGACTTGCGTGTGGAAGAAGAGGTCTTCTTGTCGTCGTGGTGCGCACTACCACCCTTCTTTGGGTTGGCGTGAATGCGAACGTGACGGGTGAGCTCGTCACTTCGGCTGAAACGCTTTTCGCAACCGGGATGTGTGCAGACGTGGGGCTTCTCGCCCGTGTGAGTGCGAATGTGACGTGTCTGGTGCTCGAGACGGTAGAAGGCACGCGAGCAGAGCGGACACTTGTAGGGTCGAGGGATCTGGGATTTGTCGACCGTGTAGTTGCTGGCGGAGAGTGCCGCGGCTTCTGGGCTAGGATTTGCCATGTTGGTGGCAGTGGACTGAGCCATGGTGTATGAAGCGCAAATTGGGATGATGCCGGAGCGCTGGTGGACGGCGAGAGGAACAATTGAGACCTGTCCTCGTTCGAATTGAGATGCTCCTCCAGATATGAGTTGAAGGGTGGAGAGCGGCGAGCGGAACGCGGGGACGTAAGCGATGAGCTGGATCGATATGAATAGCTGATGCTTGCAAGCCGATGGACTGGAAATGAGGTGAGGCGGTGCGATGGGTCGGTCTCTTCCAAGTGTGGGGACTCCGGAAATCACCGAGGGGCAGGCGAGTTGGACAGAGAATGCGAGTCGCGATGCCGAAAATCGCAAGATTATGACCAGGATGATGAGTGCACTGGCTGATGGTGGTGCGAGTGGGGCGTAGTGATGGTGATGGCGGTGAGGGTAGTGAAAGTGGGGTAGGAGGGAGATGATGTGATTGCGGGCTAGTTAGGAGGAGGAGGAATGGGGGAGGGTGCGGGTGCGGGTGAGCGTCGGCGGTTCAAGATTGCGAGCTGAGCCCAGGCTGAGAGGGAGAGAATGTGATTGACCGAGGAGGATGTGACTGACTGAGCAGAGCCGTGAAAATGTGTGTGGATGGAGGAAACTCGCTCGCTCGCTCGCTCGTTCCGGCTTCGGAGCAACATTTTGGTTTTATGAAAAATAAATTGGAAAATCATCGATAAGCGGTGCGGACTGCGGTGTGGTGCCGCTCTCTTAAATCAAGGGAAAAAGCGGGAGAGAGAGAGAGAGAGAGGCGTGCGGAGATTGGCTGAGCCACCGCCATTCCAAGTTACCGGCCCATCACCCACACACACAGAGTCGATCTCGTTCGGTGGTCTCGATTGAGCGACAACAGCCCCCACCATGTTGTGGCTTGAGGATCAACGACGACCACACATACAGCACCCCGTATCCGGATGGCGAGGAGAAGAGACGAGCAAAGTTTTGTTCGCGCGCCGAAAGGAGCGATGAAGATCGAGAAACGGTGAGCACAATGGAGCGGCCAGCTAATTCATCCAGCCATCTCTCTCTCCCTCGTCGTGTCATCTCGAAACGGATGGATGATGTGACAGCAGACGAGACGATTCAAAGGCATGAGAGCCGCCCCCACTTCATCTCGGACATTTGAACAAAAGAAACAAAGAAGAGGCGAGGCGAGCAGCGTGACTCTGTCGAATTGAATTGTGTGTGGGGTATCACGCCTTGGTCCAACACGGCACCAGCAGCGTCTGCTGACCGGAAAGTTTCGTGTGAGTGTGTCAAACTATTGAACCCTTGTTGTGCATCGTCAGTTGATCCGCAACGTCGACGCGGCTCTTCTCCAGATTCGAGGGCGTTGAAAGAGTCAAACAATCAACCCGCGGCTGCTAGATTTTTCAAACCCTTGCTGACCATTCTCCTTTTCTTGGCTGCAAATCGCGTCAAGCTGACAAGCAAAGGCGACAAAGTTTCGACGTGACACCTCCCAAACTTTGAGTTTGACAAAAAGAGATCTGCAGGCTGCACGCTGCTGCTGCTCCTCCCGCACGTCGGTCATTCTTCTTTCATTTGCCGAGCGAACAAGAAGAAAAAAGTGACCGACCGGGGTGCAAGGCTGTGTGTGCTCTCTCAGGCTTGACCGGTCCGCGTGTTGACATCCTCGTTAGAACCGCGTCATCAGCTCCATACTCAGGAACAGAACAGGGCCGAGCCAAGCCAAGCCTGCTTTGCATCCACGTTCTCGCTCGATCGACAAACGTCTTGTCGGACAAAACTTTGCACCAACAATGAAACCCCAGTTTAGAAAGCATCATTGGATCTCATGTCACTCCGCTGTCGCCTAGGAGCCAGATACAATGGCATGCACGTCGGTCGACCCGCGGCATGAGTTCGGCCCCAACTTCCAATCAATCTGTGTCAGGCTGCTCGCTTCTTCGGAGCATTTCGCATTCTGGCACGTTGTCACCACGTACATCATCGGCTGAACTTTGCAACGTCGGTACGACCACCATCGCAATTCTGCCATTCGTCGCTCTATTGCTCTAGTTCATCCGCTCGTACCTGCGTTCGTGGAAACTCTTGCCATTGAGCTTTGGTGCTAGGCTGGCAGGAGCAGCTACAGCTCCATGGTTAACAATGCTGCTTACACGGCGTAATGAGCGAAGCAATTATCTCAGCAACGTGGGTCAAGTTGATTAATGCAACTCCTCATTGTCCAGGCCTCAAACGCAATCGATTGGCATCGTGCCTACGGCGACTCGAACATCGATCGCCTTGTCCAACGTGTCGTCGTCGATGATGCGCTGTCATTTGCAAAGTTGGTCGCCGTTACCGGTAGAACCAATCTCGCTTCTGCCAGATTCGAGTTGCTCGCCATTCCTATCCAAGCGAGGTGCCAGTCACGCTCGCCTATGCACGTTTTTGCCGTCATCGACGCTTTTCCGTTCCGATGCGCTCGCTTGACCTCAGAAGTGGCGCTCAACGGATGGACCTCGATACGGATGATCACCCGCAAAGATAAGCTCGCGGGCTTGCGTGCCAGCGCTCTGTGCGGTGTAATCGATATCAACTGAGAGAAATTTTGACTGTCGAGCTCGACGTTTGCCGACCGCAGAGCACCTGGCTTCTGAACGTGGTCGCACAGACAATGAGCACTGTCGGCGTCAGAAACCTCGCCTGTCGACGCTCGCATGCACACCCTTCTATCGCAAGAGTCAACAGCCTCTTGCTGGTCTTCTCCACGGAAGACACGGCACATCGTTGTCAAGCTTGTGCGTCACGCCGCGTCGCTATTATTTAATATCTTCTAGCGTCAGCGTCAGCTCAGCTCACGTCGAATTTGTGGCTTATTGTTCCTGCGGCTGCCCGACCGAGACTGCTCCTTTTTCTTGCGTGATGATCGTCCAGATCTCTCTTCCTCCCCCGTGGGCCGTCACTTTGGGAACGACACGCGCATCGGAAATTTTTCATCCTTGTTCTTTTTCTCCCGCCAATTAGTGACCATTATCGGACGGATCGCACCGAGCCAGGTCCGCTCTTGCGTCTCAGCGCCGGCTTATCTTTCCGAAGAGCTGGACTGGACTTGGAGCGAGGGGCTTGCACATTCCTGGTGGCTTGATTGCGTGTACCCCCTGAAGGCGACTAGGCGGACCGGCCCCTTGCAGGGCAAGGCGGGTGTTGGTCTAGGCTTGTGGATTTATCAAGTCCCCGGGTGTTGCGCCTTGTCGTATCTTGGTCACGCCAGCCGGAGACGTCCGAGCGAGCCCGCTTTGCTTTCACATTACATCTCGCCATGGTGGCATTGTCCCCTGATCGCGAGCATCGATGCGACCATGGCGTCCCCCTGAGCATGCGGCGGATCGCCTTGCGCGCTTATCTCGCTCGTTTGCGCCTGATGCGTGAAAGGTCGAAATTCCCCCGCAATTTGGTTCGCCATCGCGACCCGCTTTCAGGTGCCAATTCTTACCCCGCCCGGGGCTCGGATCGCTCAGATGGCGCAGCACGTCAAAGATGCGAAGCGAGCGAATGCGGCGCGTGAAGCTCAACTAGCCGCCTCGGATGGTGGTTGCCACTCTTGAAAGCGGCAACTTTCGTCGCGGCTGGTGGTCCATCGTAGGCCCTTCAAACGGCGGTCACCTCGTCGTTCACCGATGACCTTGGCGCTACCCAGGTGCGGGTTCTCTCAACCGCGGTAGAGATAGTGTTACTTGACGGTAACCTTCACTGCGCCTTCAAGTCGTCATAGGTTCAGATCGATAGAGGTGTGAGGCGAGCGGTGCCTGCGTTTCTGTTCTAGTGCTTATAGTGCTTCTCGAAGGCCTCGTTATGCAGGGTGCCGTCCAAAACTTGGCCTTCCCCGCAGTCTCACCGCCTAGTCCGACAAGCTGGCTGTGTCTCACCGTCGAGTCCTGTTGAGCGCCATCTGGTGCATCGACCCGAACACTCATCGTCAGCGTCATCAGGGAGCGAGAGCCGATGTCTGTGTCGCAACGTCGTCGACGCAGCGTAAGCAGACCAAACGCTGCTGCCGTCTTGACAAGTGCCTGGTAGCGGAAAGCACTTCATCGTGAAACCAGGCCTGGCTACATGCACTCCGCCTCACATGATCGATCAACCTTATCGAGCCAAGATCCAACCTGGCGGGTCATTCATTGACATTCAGCGCGATCGACTATCCGCGGGGAAGGCTTGAGGGGACCGGACCGATGCTAGCCGTGCTTCCAATGCCGACCAGCCGTCAAAGCCATGCAGAATGAAACCGAAAATCTAGACTCTGCCCAACTCCGGTGTGCGTGGGCATGCGTCGAGCTTGCGGGTCGCGTCAATCTTCGCGTAGCATTTGGTCTGACAGCATTCTGATTTAACACGCTCCTTGGCGCGCGACACGCCGGTGACACCTCTCGGCTGGTCACCTTCCGAAAGTCTCCGACCGGCACGCCATTCAGGCGCCAACTTGCCGGTTGACCATGTAGCCGGCTCTTCCACCTCCTCGTCGCCCCAGCATACGCGCGTCGTTTACGTCGATAAGAGAGATGTCGCCATCGGTGTGCGTAAGACGGCCATGTTGACCGTCGACAGGCGACCGGGATGGGGTAAGAGCTCGGTGATTTGGCTCGCCGACGCACTCCCCCGCGCTCGCTCTCGAACGTGACGACCCTTTGGGAATCCATCGGCAATCTCCCCCCCATTTTTGCGGGGAGATCCGCCGTTCATGCCGGCAAACTTCACCTCCGTCCGCGCCTCCTGAGTTTGGCGGATGGGATGGAAGCGAACGTGTTGTGACAGCTAAGCCAGTCGATGCGCGCGACCTTGTGGCTCTGATTCGATCTGCCCCGGGAAGAACAGGTGGTATGTTGTGATAAAGTTGCCGGTCAAGCCTTCCCCAGGACGCGGCGAATTGCGCTCGCCGACAACTCCAAGGCAGACACCGGTGCCCAGAACATCAAGCCTCCTTGGCCCCGCTTTGGATGGACGCAGTCCGCCTGCACCTGCTTCAGAAGGGGCAGAACAACAAAGGAGTTCTCCGCAACATCGAGAAGAGCGAAGTCAATAAGCTTTGGGGGTTCCATTCGAGAGATGCCCCGCAAATCTCGCCCTTGATCGCTCTTCAGAACCAGCGGGGTTCGAGCTGGCGAGGAGGGATCAGCTGACCGCGTAAGGAAGCGAGTGTTGATCCCGCGTCAGGAAGTGGTGCCGAGCCTGTCGTGCGCCTATGAGGATCAGCTTCGAGCACTCGGCTCTGAATCTTGCCGGAGAGAGCTCGTCTGGGGTTGACGCCGCCTGACGCTGCTTCAAAGTGACCCTCTCTCGCTCTCTCGAATGGCGACGTTCTGGGTCGGAAGACGCTGCACAGCCTAGTGCGCACCTGACCACGTGCAGCTACGCTTCCAGGCAGGCAGTCTCAAATCTGGTTCGACGATACACAACCTCGACTCCACCTCAACCCAACTCCACCTCAACCCATCTTGGAATCTGACCGAAGTCTCGCCGCCCGTCCCCCTTTCGCCTTGTCCAACAACGCATATTCCCCCGAGCGACACCGTCGTACGGTATCGTTCTCGCTGTGTGAAGAAAGCACCTTTGTCTGTGCGCAGGAGCAGGGAGCTACCATCACCGTCTCTCCGCTTTTGACGCTCCGATAAAGCAAGGTGTGGCAAATGCAATACGGACGCTGACGATTCGGTCGATCCTCGGTCGACTCCTCCGCGCTCCTTGCTGCCACACCCCTCCTTGTTGCTCACGTGGGAGCTTTGCACGATGACCCAGGCACGACTTCCTCTGCTCAAGCAGATGTCACTGCTATGCCCATGACCATTTTACCGGCAGAGACGATGAAGTGGCTAAGGAGGGCTGCATCGGGGCATGTGGGAGCGACAAAAGTACGAGAGAGGTGGAAACATGAGGGCGAGATCTACTGAACAGCAGCAACTGATATGTACGCATTGGCCGGTCTGCTGGCCAAACTGGGTTGTATGGAGTAGTGGTCAACTTAGGAGATTTTGATAAGCGCTTAAAGGTTTGAGCGTTAAGTCCAAATTTCTCTTGCCCCGGGTTCGAATCCCGGTACGACCTTTTTTCGCGATTTTTTGCTTCCAGACGATGCGGAATGACGAGGAGATGCTCCTCGCGCTTTTTGGAGCATGATCGATCAGGAAATGAGCGAGTTGTATTGGAGGCGAAGGTTGCGATGATGGCGGCGAGGGTGACGCTTGGACCGCAAGGTTCGATTTGAACGTGCATGAGCAGGAGTGGGACAATGGGGAAAACGAGTGGGAGGATGAGGTCCAAGCTCAGACACGAGATGAAGTCGTGGTTTCTGCCGCTGCAGCGAGGAGCCGCTGGCCACCGCTGCCACTCGTCGACTGCACCTTGGTACACTGAGATCGACGATCAGGTTCACATGAGATCTCACTTCATAATGCCCGGACCGAGCATTTCAGACGTCAACAGCAAGCAAGGTGTGGGAGGTACAAGTCTACTTTGCCAGTGAGGAGACGCTCTTTTGGGTATACCATACATGATCTCGGCAAACAAGCCACTGGCTTTGTCGGCGGTCTCCTTCCCTTTTCGCCTTCCCCTTCAATGATTGACCCGATCACTCCCTCGACTTGTACCTAGGCAGAAAATCCCCCTCGTCCAAACCCTGGCTACCCCTCGGTGTGGCCTGGGAAACCTTTTCGACCTCCAACAGGCTCTCGAGGGTAAACGTGCAGATGCAAGGAAATGCGCCTTTGTCCCGCTGCCTGTCGTGCAGAGCCTCTGCTTCTTGCCTCCTCTCCCGGACGCACTGGGCGGGCATCGGGTCCTCGCAGGCGTACGACGGCAGACTCAACGAGTCCGGCCTGCATCCGCACGAAGAGATGAACACTGGAATCGACACGTGGAACCGCTTCATCTTCTGCCCGTCCACATAGATCATCTCCCTCTCCTCGCCACCCGCGGGAGGCAGCTCGCCGTCGATAAAGTCGATCTCGTAGTCGAGGTAGTTGCGGAAGCGGACGGCTGCGTCGTTGTCCGCCACGGTGGAGGGTCGGATGTGGTTATCGTCTGGTAGGCGGGAGGTCACTTCGAGAGCGGGGTAGGTGTCTCCGTTGGGTGCGACACCCTCGCCACCACCCTGGAGCTTCTTGGTCGCCATGAGCTCGGCCACTTGCCTGCGGTCGAGGGAGAGGAAGGGAACTTTTTTCGGATGGACGGTTTCGATGTACCCTTTGCGAGTGACACGCGAGGTCAACGTGGTACGCATCTCGACGCTCGCTCGCAATCCTACGATCGTCACCCCTTCGAGTGGGCTGAGCAGATCGAGACTGGTCCGCAGGTACCCACCGACGGTAAACACCTCCGACCGGTTCCTCAGGCTGAACGGCCCCAACCCGTCAGCGTGCGTACGAACGTCCTTGTCGAAAACAATCATCTCGTTGCCCTCATCGTTATGGCAGTCGATGAAGTAGACCTTCCTTGTTGCCGTCAAGGTTTTGGACAGCAACCCGTGGAATGTCGCTTTGGCGACAAGTCGTTGGTTGTTGACCCCCCAGCTACTGCGTTGGAACGGCGCCGTGTCGTGGTCTACAAAAAAGCTTCGTTCGAACCGATACGTACGGCCCGGCTCGAAGTAGGTGATGGAGAGCGCCTCGTCGATGGATTTCTCGTCGTAGTAGGTGCGGTTCGCCTCCATACCCCCACGCGGGAAGGAGATGCTCTCGTGACCCGACAGCGTCAGTGTTAGGCTCTTTAGGCGGTTGCGGATGCGAGAGGAGGTGGGGGAGGAGGACGAGGCGGGGATCTTAATCTCAACGTAGGCATACAGGATCGCATGGTCGTCGTTGGACAGCTTGGTCGAGGTGAACGCCGTCATGTCTTCAATCTCGCTGTAGGCGGGGGACTCGCCGTCGTGGTTCGGGGTTGCGGTGGTGTAGGATGACGAGGGAGATGGCGTCAGTCTCGATGAAGATGAGGATGAGGTTGATGGTGACAGCAATGCATCGGACGACGGCTGTTGACGCTGCTTTTTGGAGGGAAAGAGGAAGACGTCGGTCGAGTGGACGTCAACCGAGAGCTCCATCATTTTGTTCGCTGCAACGGCGCTTAGTCTAGAGCTTTTTGGCGGTGACAAGGCTGGTGCTGCGGATCGTGGTGTCTTCAGATGTGTCGACACGGCGGACGAGAAGGTGGCAGTAGGGAGAAACAAGGGTGGCGGGTGATGGAGCAGGCGAACAGGTCAGGGTATTGATGACGATCCTCTCCTCAATGGAAGGAGTTGGGCATGTGACGTGTGATTGACAATTGAGGACGGGCGGCGATGACAACAATCTCATTGCCGAGACTATATACGCCAGGGAGGAGGGGGCAATTCCGCGAGATGGCGTTCAGAGTCATACACCACGGGCGAGGAACGGTCAGTGCGGAATTGGGCACGGCGAGCTCGGTCTTCGCAGGCACTGAGTCAGGAAGGACATCGGCAGCATCGGTGCAGAGAAACGTGGCAGCTGTCATACACCGGTCCGCGTGGAATCGTGACTCGGCCAAATACTGACACCTCTCCTGAGTACAACACGCTCCGCACCCGCCGACTTGGTCTTCTTTCTTCTTCCGCTCACTTCCTCTCCTGCGGAAGCGGACAGGTCTTTGAGGTTGCTGATCGGGACTAAGCGTTCCGTAATGCAATGAGCACATGTGAGCACGACAATGGCAAAGCTCCAATGGCGGGATGATGGCGAGGGGTGAAATAAATTAGCCGATCTAGACGGCTTTTTCGAAGGGAGCCATGAACTCGGGTAACGCTGATCCCAACGGAGGCGGAGATACAGGCTCGCCACCGTCTAGGGTCCACGTCACAATCGGACTACAGTTGACAGTGCTGAGCGAGAAGAAGGTGAAAGACGCTCGAGGAACAAAGGGCGGAGACTTCGCAGGGGTTCATGCCAGTTGCGAGGGAAAGTGAAAGGGGCCGAGCTCGGCTAGATCAACATATCGCGGTGGTAGGGACAGCATAGATGAGCAATGCCAGGCGGAGTGCGAACATGATGAGATGGAAGAGGTGTGTGACTCGTATGCTGATTGACGACGAAAGTGGAATGTGATAGACGAGGCGGGGTCGGGGTCAGGCACAACAGGACAGCCGCGGGGAGCGTGTCCAAACTGGATACTGCACTCCGCTCCGCAGGTCGCTTCTTGGCGATAATTCTCTCGATCAAACAGCCCGTTGCTGCTGAGCTTCCGTCGTGCCTCTGCCTTTCTTCTTCTTATCCGAAAGCATGCTTCGCGAAAGATGTATGACTTGGCTGTGCTATCAGCAAGGCCGCTGGAGGTGTGAAGGGGAGGGGGACGACGAGGAGCAGACGGGCCTAAGCTCGGTCTTCAAACCGGGCGACTTTCCACGTGTTCGTTCGCTCGCGACTTTTTTCCCTTTGTTCGTGCAGCTCTCGAGGCGGAAGAGATGCGCGAGATTCACATATCGGCTAATTCCGCTCGTCAAGAAGAATGGCGACATCATCGAGGCTATCATCTCTCCTCCTGATGCCCTCGATAGACGCCGATGCATTGGGGCCCCCTCTCTGAGCCGGTGACAACTACTTGGCCTGAAAAACGAGCAATTTTGAGCTGGACGAAGCTTCATGCATCCGCCGTAGATCATCGTAGAGCCGCGACGAATATCCGAGATCAGTGACTCGTTCGAATGAGGAGGCCGAACCAGGCTCGGATGACAGCTCTGCGACGCACTCCTACGCATTCGTGCACTATTTCCGCCTGCAAAGCTGCAAGCCAGGGTTCGATAAATGTTCCGGGCTTGCATTCGCGTGCATCTGGTACAGGCGCCATCATCCCGTCCGTACCGTTTTGTAAGCACGTATGACCATTCTGGCTGACCATCCGGTATGTACCAAGATGGTCCATCGTGGCTTCTGTCCGACGAGTTGAACGACGATGATGGCCTCATCGAATTGGACGGAGTTACAAACACAACGTGTTCATCGATATTTTTTTCGAGTCATCGTGGGGCCCACCTCGGCAAGGGTAACGCCGGCATATTGCTTTCTTCTCGAGACGTGTCTGCCGTCACTTCTCGCAAATGAGCCTGCTGCTGCTCAGAACAATGATCGATCGAGACAACAGCGACTCCGTATCAAGAGCCAGCATGTGGCCTGCGTTCGCATCGAGACCGAGCCACACCCGCAGCCGCGCTTCCCGCCGGACGCTCTTTGGGACCCTTCTATGACCATCGTCGGTGTTCTGTCTGCCAGACGCTCCGTCACCAATTAAGCCCTGCGGTGAGCCTTGTTATCGTCGAGCCCCAGAGTACGGCTTCCACCGTCAAGCGTGCCCACATCTCGTATGGTAAGAGAGGAAGGTGGAGCCCGTGGAGCACTTTTGCGATCTGGAAGCGTTGCGGCATCAACGCGCAAGGCTACAAGGACGTGATGAGAAGCGGTCGAGAACGTCACGAGCGACTTGCTGTCGTCGGCACCGGCTCGATACGCTCCGTCGATCGCGCGACATCGTGCTGTTCTTGATCGAGATGATGAGGGATCGACTCAGCTTTTTTGGACCCTTGCTCCGCGGCAATCCAAAGAGGACCCTCTTCGACTCAGCTTTGTTTTTGGAATCAGATGAAAATCCGATACAAAAGTCGAGCGAAAAATGGAGGCCGACAAAAGTTGCTTCTGGTAAGCCGATCGGGCCACAGATCGAGAGATCGCACTCCCATGCAGGCACGGGTTTCCGATTCGACTGCCAAGAAGTGCCAACAAAGCAACCAGTCACAGCCTACTGTAGCCGACCGACGTGCATCGCTCCTGATCTGCGATGAACTTTCTTTGCCCCTGTTCCTGCCGCAAAAGCATGGTCGATCGTCTCGTTGCCACCAACGATGGAAGCGAAGGGAATCGGCGCCCTTCGGTTGGCGCTGCGATGATGAGCTTTCGAGGGGATGGATGCTCGCAAGCGGCGAGGGACGAGGGAGGCTCGGCGAAATATGCACGATTTTTGTTGCGGCTCGGTGTGCCCTCGTGCCTAAGTGCTTCCCTTCCAGGCCAGCGCGTCTGACGCGTTGCGAGTCAAAGTCGCCGAGACCAACACTTTCCTCCTCTCCTCTGAAGGGGCCATGAACGACCGCATGCTTCGTGCATCTTGCGGTCGCTACCTGCGCTGCAGCCAAGAGGACCCCTGCTTGTCGACGCTGCAGCCCTACGGTGATCACGATCGTCGTCCAGCATAGCCGACTTGCCCTGAAGCGTGTTATTGATACCCGTAGAGTGTGCCTGAAGATCGTCAAAGCGTGCGAGCGAAGCAGGCGCATGGATGGGTGAGCTTGCCAGTCCCAGCGGCAGAACGTCGCGGGGCGTGAAGATCTGGCCCGTAAGCAGCGGGATGGCAGATGGCGCCGAACTCCGACGCTATCCTGCGCCCCCTATCCTGCGTCCTCTTGACCCTCTTCGTCGCCATCAGCTTTCAGTCTCCTTATCACCACCACCCGCTCTCCACTCCACCCTTCGACCCCCTCCCCTCGACGCTCATTTCACACCTGTCTCCTCCCTGTCACAACCCACTCAACCGACCGTCACGATGCCCACCTCGACCGTCTCGCTCTTCGCGCCTGGCGTGAATCAGATGATCAACAGCCTCGAAACCGCCATGTCGAGTCTGGACGGCGACGTGACGATCAAATTCAAGCCTACTCCTCTCGCGACCACCACCGCACCCGATGGCGCCGCTGCGACAGTCTGGAACGTCCGCGCGCACGAATACGCCTCGATCAACGGCCACACCACCACCATTGTCGAAGACCAAAAGTTCCTCGAATCGCACAACTATTTCTCCGCCAAAGACGCGGACGGTGCGCTGCTCGAGTGTCATTTCGACCACATCAACGCACCGGCTAAGTGCGTCAAGAAGCAGCCCAAGCACCATAAGACCGTCACCACCACGTACAAGCACGCGCGGCCGTTTGCAACCGCGTTCCACAAACACGTGCAGAAGCACAAGAAGGTGGCCAACGCGACGACGAGCGCGCTGGAGGAGCAGAGCCAGTCGGTGGCCGCGGCGGCGGTGGTGCAGACGCAGGAGCCGGTGGTGCAGGTCGACAGCGGAAACACAGCCGACACCTCGTCGACCGATACATCCGCTGCTGGGTCGAACTCGAGGATGAACTCGACTTCCGGTGCTGTGAAGGGGATCAAGTCCCTGCCGGTGCTGTTGGTGACCGCGAGCGTGCTCTTCACTGCCGTGCTCGCGTTCCAGCCTTGATTGCCGTGGTGGCATCGAGGACGAGGGGAAATGTCGGTCTCTGCTGGTGGTGACCACTTCCACCTCTATCCTCCCTGACACGTTAGGTGCACGGACTCCTTCGTCTTGTTTCGTTTCTTCTGCATCAGTCCTTTTCGGTCTCTCACTCATTCGCTCGTTCTGCTACTGGCTGGACTGGTATCAATTGCATCACTTTGTCGGCTTTCGCGCCTTTTGCCTCGTCGTCGCTAGTGTGTGCGTTCGCGTGTGAGATGTCACGGGTCGTTCCGCGCCGCATATTGCCTGGCCTCGTCTTTGTCGCTTGTCCTTGCTTCCGACGTCTCCCTCGTCTTCGCCGCAGGCCCACGCTGCTTCAACTTCCTCCTCGGCAGCGCCTTCTCGAGCGCCTTGACCCAGTCCCTCGTCTCGGTCCACGCAGTCAAGATCTCCACCACCTGGTTGACCGTTAGCACCTTTCTCCCCACAAATCCCTTCTCCCCTTGATCCCCCGCCGTCTCGTCCTGAATCGACTCGCCCTGCGCCCGAACGTTGCGCTCCACTGCCTCCATCATCTCCTGTGAGAGAGGCAGCTTGGCAGCCCGAATGCCGAGACGGTCCGCCTTGGCGCGACAGAGACCCTTGTAGCGGTTCTTGTCGACGATGCCGCCGATGATGTAGGTCATGCCGGGCTCAAGGTGCGTGAGTGTGTCGTCGGTGTCGGCGGTGAGGTAGATGGCGGAGGAGAGGGGGATACGGTGTAGCGCTTGACGTGTTTCTTCCGGAAGAAAGTGGCGGCCTGTTGTGCTGGCTTCGACTGCTGGTGTAGAGCTTGATGCTGAGCTGTCATCGGCGCTAGAGAGAAGAGACTCGATCCCACCGTGCTGGTAGATGGTGACGCGCTTCCACCGCCTCCATACGCCGCGTAGCTTGCCGTCCATGGCTTCGCCGATACTGTTGTTCTCGATGCTAGCTGCGCTCGTTCTTCCTTCCCCTTCCTGATCTGCTGTATCCGAGCTCGATTCACCGGGTACGAGAGAAAGATGATCCGGATGAACGTCCTTCAAGCAATCCCCCTTCGCATCTTGCCCGGTCAAGATCACCTCGCCAAACGGCATCTTGGCATTCCGATTCGCGGAATAGAGATACATGAGCTGCTGTGTCATGCTCGTCGACTCCTTCTCCTGCATCAGCTCGTCGAACCCGCAATCGATGACGAGTCGAGCGTCAAAGTACTCCTTGTCGTCGGCTCGCGGCTTTTTGCTGGCAGCCTCGCTGAAGTCCGAGCTCCTTCGCTTGTGGCTACTGTCTGGATTGGAGGCTAGATAGCGTGCCCGCTTGTTCTCCTTCTTCTTGAGGCGCTCGGCAGCACGGCGCTCGTGCTTGGTGGCCTCGAGCTTCTGTTTGCGCGCGAGCTTCTTGGCTGCGTTTTTGGACATGCCCGGTGGAACTTCGATGGGCGGACCCGCATGACGAGAGCCTGAGGCCACAGCCGAAGTCGCTTTAGGACCCTGAGTTGATGTGCTTGTCTCGGCTGCTTCCATCGTGTGTCGGTGAATCCTGAATGGTTGGGGACGAGGTCAAAGCCAAGCATGACACTCTTCGAGAAGAAAAGTTGGCCGCCAAACGCCCCCGAATTCCGAGTCCAATCACCTCCACCAAGAGGCGCAAAAATTCGCCGTTGAAATGCGCTTTGTGTTAACGCGACGCGATGGCGCGAAGAAGGTGCAAGTGTTGGTCTCGCTCCATGTCACTTTCCCTCTCGCCATCATTTCGTCCACTCGACCCACAAAGGTATCTCGCAATGGCGACTGCAGCATCCTCGTCAAGCTCGATAGAGCTCTGCTCCGTACCACTGCCTCTGCCGCAGTACCATCTGCTTGAGATCCCCAACGAGCTGCTCCATCTTTTCGACCCTTCCGCCAAGAAGAAGGACGACACATCGGCTTCGGAGCCAGCAGCGAAGAGACGCAAGACCGACATCACAAGGCTCACCATCAAAGGACGATACGATGATCAAGCTGTACTCGTGACAGACACTCAGACGTTGGCGCTGCGAGCTGTCTCGCAATCCAACTCTCTATTGCTGTGCAGCATCGATGCGGCGCCTTCGACTGCAGAGGGCGAGGCAGGACCGTCCAAGCCAGCGTTGTATCTGCAAAGCAACGTAACGGACACATTGGAGCTGGCGCCTGTTGTGCCACGGCTGGACCGCTTGTTGGGTCTACTCAAGCCGTCACAGTACGACGGCGAAGAGGAGCGAGGATCAGCAAAGCCAGTGAAGAAGTACACGCTGAAGCAGCTCAAGAGCATCGTTCAAGCGAGCCCTGCCGAGCTCGAAGCGGGCCTGATCAAGAATCATGTCATTGAAATGGACGGCTGCATGCGACACATTTCACCAGCATGGACCGTCTCAGCACTACAGATCCTCATCTCGCACCTCGACCTGCACGCGCTCATCTCGGACTCTGTTCCGCTCCAAGAAACCGTCGAGGCTTTAGCAACCGTCCACGAGCTAAATCGTCAAGTGGTCACCGCACTGCTCACTCAGTTCTTCGGCACCCTCACCGGCGAGACCGTGGCGCTGGACACAAAGTCCATCGTCCACTTTCTCGGCGTGCAATCCCTCAAGACGGCGCGCATCGGTGTGCCGCTCACCACCTTCATGCGTGACTGGCACGCAGCCTGTCTCTCACCCGACTTTCGCGCGCTTGCCTCGCTGGACCTGCTATCGGGGTACTACATCCTCACTCCCTCTCCTGCGCCCGGTGTGTCGCTCTACCCCAACCCTGCGTCGACGCAGATCCAGTTCTTCTCGCGCCACGAACTACCCGTAGACCCAGCGGCGCGGTTTCAGGATCTGTTCCTCACACGACCCAGCTGGATCGCGGCAGATCTCACGCCGTTCATCCAGGACCTGGCGCTGAACGACAAGAAGAAGGACGCACTGCTGCTCAAATTCGCTAGAGCGAGCAAGGCCAAGGTGCTCGACTGGGAGTTGAGTGAGGAGGAGAAGAGGATGTGGAACAAGGATAAACGGGTGGTGGGGCCAGATGGGAAGGCGAAGAATGTTTGGAGGGATGTGGTGATGTATTCGGCGAGGGTCAAGTACTAGCGTTCCGACAGTGGTGCACATGTTTCGGAAACGACGATACGTTCAATAACAGCTCATCGTCTGACAAGATCAGGGCAGGAGGCGCGACAGAGGCGTTGAGAGGGTCGACCATCCGCTTTTGCGGCGGTGGCGTGACAACTTGTCTGAAGCGTGGAGCCTTGTGCAATGTCAACCGCCGAGTCGTGATCGCCACCACGAGAAGGGCGGCGCACCGGCTTGTGAAGCAAGACACTCCATCGTGAGCGGTTAGCAGTGTGCGGAGACTCGATTTTAAGTTTTGAGAAAGGAAGCATTCCGGCGCGCCGAGCCACGAGGCATGTCAGCTGCATCAGCCCAGCCGAGCCGGGTCCACGCTCAGGGTCCAGACGCAGCGTCGATCCCTTCTCTCGCATACAAGGCGCCAAACTCCTTTGTGAAGAGCCTGCACACCGCCCCTGACCGACTCGCCCTGCATTGTGAGCAGGTCAACTATGATGCGCAAGAAGAGTCTCACCTTGTGTCCCTTGCAAGCAAGCATTCAGTCGACCGCTCGGTAGAATGGGACGGGGAAGGGAACCCGCTCTGAAACCGTATTGTGAGGTCGGAGTTGGAAAGAAGGTGCCTGAGAATCTTTGCGATCGTCAAAACAGACGCGGGAAATTGGCTTTGTGGGGGGATCGACGGGAAGGTAAGCGTGTGGGTACGACCCACCCCGCCCGGCTGCAGCTGGGCTTGCGTTGGACGGTGTGTGTGTACCTTTGTGTTGGAGCGGATACACGTTCCGTTTGCGCTTGGTCCCTTTGACCTTGTCCTCCCTCTCTCACCAGTGGTATAAGAACCTCGTACACTCCTTCCGACGCCTTCTCCTCGTCGTTGAATTCATCAACACCACCACCGCCCACCATGAAGCTGAGCATCACCACCGCCCTCGTCGCGCTTGCAGCCATCTCCTCGACCTGCGTCACCGCCCACCCTTCCCCCATCACCCTCGAAACCCGTGCCCCTCCTCCGGACACCATCAACATCAACGTCAAGAACCTCTATCCCGAGGACTGCATCTTTGACAAGGCACGCAACCTGTTCTACCAGTCCAACCTGTGGAAGGGTCGTGTGTCGGTGTGGAACGTTGCCACGCGCAGCAACTACAATCTTCTCATCCCTGGCGTGTCGAGCAGTGGGGATGGGGATCAGCAGATGGCGGGTCTATCCATCAATTCTGCTGGAGACAAGCTGTTTGCTGTTGCCAAGAACTCGGCTGCTTTCCGCTTCGGGAGTGGGCAGCGACCCGAGGGAGCCGAGAGCTTCCATCGCTTCAACCTTCCGGCTAGCTCCTCATCGTCTCCTGTATGGAGTGTCAGTCTTTCAGGGGTCAAGTCAGCGTTTAGGTCCAGAACGGGGACGTTACCTTTTGGACCCGTGGCAAGCGCCCAGGATAACGCGGACAACTCGTACGTCGTCTTTGCGCTTGGCATGCCTGCCATTGCGCGCGTCTCGCCCGATGGAAAGACGATTACGCCGTGGTACTCCGAGAAGTCCAACGGCTCCCAACGCCCGGGTTACACAGGCGTAGCCTTCATCCCCGAGGACAACATGCTCGTTGCCTTTGGCGGCCCTCGACCACTCACCGCGTTCGACCTTTCCTCCCCCAACCCCACCGGCATCCCTGTTCGCCTCACAGGCGCCAACTTCGGCAGCACCGACGGCAGCGAAAAGATCCACACTGTCCAAATTGCCGGCAAGAGCAATTTGTTTGCGGCTAAAGCTCCCAATACGTATCGCTTCCAGAGCAGCGACAGGTGGAGAAGCGCAACTGTCCGCAGCGCAACAAGGGACGAGTTCAAGACCAACTCCCTAACGGTCGTCACCGAGGCCAGCTTCAACGGCAAGACCCAGGTGTACGGCGGTGGGGCTTACTTTGGTGAAGGTGCCAAGGGCGGCAGGACCACGTTCCCGTTGTACAGGATCTACGGTCTGCTCAACTAGGAGCGGCGGTCGTGGTTTAGGGTCGGGTTTACGTATGGACACACTTTGGTTTTTGGCTTTGTTTTAGCTCGCGCTCGGTTGGGACAATCAGTTCGCACATCTCTTTCTGTTGATCTCGTCTCAGCGCCTCTTCGACGCCAACGATGATCCAGATCGCATCAATACATTCATTTGGCTCAGAAGATGCTCGTGGCGTGTGCGGATTCCCTACCGACTCTCAGCCCAACATCGCTCCCAGCTTCTCATTGGGGTGACTTAATCGCTTAAGACAATGTCCTTTTCGACTCACTCGTTCTTCGAGTTGCATTGCCGCTCGATCTGCCACAGTAGACAACTCATCTCCTTGGCTGGTATAAGGAGGCCTAATCTGTTGCAAGTGCCGCAGACAGCTTCGGATCGCAGTCGTGCGTGACATACCGTGAGCGTTTCGGCGGGGGAGCAGCGTCGAGTGCCCTTCAGGCTTCACGAGGAGGAGGAGCCAGCTCTTGGGCGAGATACGAAAGCCGTGCGCGCTCTGGAACCTGCACATGCTCACGGGGGATGCACCCTGCCCGAGGCTCAGCACGCTCAGTATGGCACAGCGGCGCCAAGGAACGGAATGATGCTGATGGGGCATCGACTCTTCTTGATGGAGTTGTACCACCATGAAGTTTGGTCGAGGAGGACCTCGTCGTGGAAGACCTGCGTGCTGTGTCCATCGAGACGCCAAGTGCACGGCAGGTCCAGCAACATGCAGAAAGCCCAAAGGATGTTGCGCAGAGTTGTCCAGCGATCGCTTTTTTCGAGGTCTTCTGCGATAATTGCCGAAGAGCCATTGAGACCATCTGTTTTGGCCAAGCGAGTACGCCAGGCGACCGCCGGAGGGTGAGCAGCGACACGACGCCGCGAATGAAGTCGATTTGATAATCGTATGAGGCAATCGTGTTGATCGAAAGGAAGAAATCTCGTTCTGTTCGAAGAACCTCCCCTCCAGCTTCGTCCCCTTCTTGCTCTCAATGGCCTTCTGCATTGTGTTGAGATCAAAGACGGCTGGCTCTCTACCCGGAGAGTGGTTGCCGACTCGTGTCCTGGTTGACTTGAGACGGTAGCCGACTGTGATGTTTGGACCTCCGAGGACGTCAATGGAACCGTGCAAACGATAGTAGTCGAGGTATTTCCTGCGGTTCAAGGTGGCCTTGACACCGGTGTAGACGTCAGCAGTAGAGGAGGCTGCTTCGTCGTCCTTGTCGTCTGGAGCATCGCGTTTGTTGGCTCGCGTCGAGACCATGATGACTGTGTGGGGTTTGCTGCGTGGTGTTGAGCTGGAACTGACGAACGAGGTTTAGCTCAGAAACGACGTCTGTGTATATGACCCTTGCTTTGTAGGAAGCTTTGCCACCATCATCAACTGGTCCGACTCCCTCTCTGACCCTTGCGACCTGGTCGACCTCCAACCTCGATCCTGCGTGGTTCAGCGGAAACGGAACCACCTTACGCTAAAGGCCCAGTTTGCCGACGGGAGAGCACACCAGCGAAACGTTGAAGAGCTCGATTCGGTATTGCACAAACAGCGATCGTGTACATTCGCTTCAGATCGACTTGCCTCTCGAAGGCTTCAGTGTTGTATCAGGCCGTGTATTGGAGCTCGCCAAACCCCACCGTGCCGTTGAAATTGCTGTGATGAGTGGGAAGCAAGAATATCCTGGCGAGCTCCATTCGAGCTAGGGACGACGAAGTTGCTGGGAACTGAAGAGGATCGTGTCCGCGAGCCAACGATCCTTGGTGAGCCTGTAGTCCTTGCGGATTTTCTTGTGGTTCCAGTCCGAGCCGGTGCAGTCCAGGACGGTGACGTTCGCACTTCATTCCACAATGCTATGAATCTCGTTGACGTACTGATCAGCGATGCCCTTCTTCGCGAAAGAAAAAGGTGATTTGCGCAGCTTCTTGCACAACAGGCAAGAGGCAAGACCTTTCAAGGCCTTGCCTGTGGCCGGAGGGTCTGCGATGATGCCATTGCTCAAGCAGTCACGCTGAGGAGCCGAGACTCAGATTGCATCGAATGACCAAAGGCCTGCCTTTCCAGCCATGTCGTGGAATATTCTACTAGCGTGCCAGACGAGAGTACACATGCAACCTGCTTCAGCCCGAGCTGATCTCTCGGTCGCTCGTTTTCTTGGTATTGTCGTCGCGCTGCATTGTCGATGTCACGCCGTTGCTGTTCTACTGTAGATCGCATCACCACATCCGGTTGACTCAAACTCGCCATTGCAGCCTGTGGAGTGTGTGCGGTTACATCACAATGCAATCCCCCTCGATCTGGCGCTCCGCATCTTCGTCCAGTTCCAACCCGAGCAGTCTTGGGTGCAGACGCCAGAGGATATTCGCCGCAGGAGTGACAAGATCGCGTCCAAGATGCTGTTCGTTCCTCCTACAGATGACCTCCTTGTCCGCGAGCCGATCGGCCACTTTGAACGCCCGGATGCTCTGCAGCGCATCTGCCTGCGCATGCTTCCTCTTCTTCCCGCCGTCCTCGCTGGCGCTGTCTTGCTCGATGGGAGGGAAGGGCGTCACCGTGATGGGTGCAAAGATCTTAATGCTGTCGTCGATGCCCGAGATCGCAAACACCGGTAAGATGGGATGCATCGCCATGACGTTGACCACGCTCGGATCGCCGTGCCAGATGCCGCGGATCGACGTGGTGTGCTTGTCCCACCGAAACCAGTTTCCGTCGTCCGAACCGGAGATGACGTACGCGTCGGTACCACCCGCAAAGCCGACGTCTTTGACGGTTTCCTTGTTGCACTGGCCCTTGTAGACGGAGCGCGGGTAGACAGTGGGCACGTTGTGGGTCGGGCTGAAGCCGAGATGCTGTTGCGAGTCTTCGGATAGGAGTTGCATCAGGTCTTCGTCTGAGACGGAGCCTTCGTCGTCGTCGTCGTTGTCGTCGTCGTTTTCATCAGCATCGTCGTCTTCGGCATCATCGTCTTCGGCATCGTCTTCATCATCGTCATCAATTGCGTTGGAATCGTCATCGTCGGAATCGAATCCACCAGACTCGTTCGTGTCCTGATCCGTCATCTCGACTACGTCACCTGCGCGCTGGGAATCTGTTTGACCCCTTTCCAGATCCGTATTGTCGTCCTCTACTGCCTTTTCCTTCCGTGATCCCGACGCAGCGCCCTCCTCAGGCGAGCGCGACCGTCCTTCTTGCTCCGACGAAAAGCGCACATTCTCCAAATTGGCCTGCAACACGCCTGGCTCGTCGTAAATATCAAAGCGGTAGATGTGGCCAGACGAATACGAGACGAGCAGATCTCTGCCGTTGTGCTCGCTCATCTTGCAGGCGGTGATGCTGTTGCGGTTGCCCATGAGAAGGCGACGATTTGTCGGTGGTGGTGCGTCGCTTACCAGAGCTGTGCGCCCGTCACTTTGGACCCAAGGTGTCTCGAAGCCGCCGGGTGGAATACCGAAGCTTCGTACGCACATGGTGAGGGCGTCTTGCTGCGCGTCGTCGTCCGGGGGGGACATGGCCCATTCGCGTTTGATGAGTCTGGGGATCATTGTCGGTCGTGGAGGTAGGCGAGCGGCGACTCTCCGGCAACGGCGAACAGCCATGGCTCGAGTTTGCTGACGGAGAGCGAGTAGAGGACGGAAGGATAGTGTGCAAGGGGTGGTGGGCAGGAGCCGCCTGTTCGACTGCGACAGGTGTGCGGAACACGCAGATCCATCTGACGGACATCGCCGTCCTCGCCGCACGTCAGGAATACGTCAGAAGACACCTCTGTTGAGATGCGCTTTGCTCGACCTCGATGACATCGGAAGAGCCGGATGCAGGCACCGCTGTGCTCAGGCCATACATTATACTCGCGGCCGGACGACAAGCGGCGTGTCTCTCCTTCTGCTCCTCCAGCATGGCTCGAGCCCGATGACATGTAGTTGATGTCAAAGACGCGTACGTGAGAGTCTCCAGCGCAGGTGAAGAGACGGCGTTCGGAAGCATTGGGTGCCCATTTGACGGAGAAGATGTTGGCTCGATGGCCTGTTTCGATCTTGCCGAGAGCATCCCGAGCCCCATCTTGGGGTAGTTTCGCTGTGGCCAGGCCTGAACAATGCCACCGTCGTCGGTGATAGCGCTGTACCCTTCTACTGGACCTGATTGAGGACTCTCGCTCTCTTCTTGTGTCGCTGCTGAAGAAGACGGCTGCTCGCGACGATCACGGCGTGAGGCCCCGACGTTGTATCGTGCCGAGCTGCTGCTCCGAGTGCGGGATGCCGTGGACGATTCGGCGACGGGATGAATGTGTTCCGAATCCAGCTTCCAGAGCACCACATTGCGGTCATCGCTTCCGCTGGCAAGTACCTGGCCAGACGGAGACCAGCTGAGGGCATTGACACATCCCGTGTGGCCGATGTGATGACCATGGCTGTCCTCGCCGCCAAGCACTTCGGTCTTGTCGAGGCGGTCGATGAAGTGATCGTCGAGCTGACATCTTCGCTGATGGCTGATGGACCATGAGATGGTACGCCGAGGAGATGGGTCAGATTTCGAGGCGAAGTGGAACGCCATCTTGCCGGATGGCGAGGCTTAGGAGCCAGGCTCCTGCGTATCTTATGTCATCGAAGTGAAGGCGACGCAATGAGAAGCTGTCAGCGCGGTGGGTGATGAGCGGTACGATCCGATGCTGTCCTGCTCGGCTTTCTGCAGGAGTGGCTGGTAGTGATCCGGAATGCGAGAACGGAGGAAAAAGAAGAGGACGGGATGCGAGCAAACGAACCCAAGCGGCTGCAGAGCGTATGCAGGCCATGCAGGCGTGAGAAATAAAGCGCAGTCACCTCCACTCTCGCCGGAAATCCCGCACGAGCGAGCAAGTGTTACTTTTGAGCACTCAACGCGTCTTCTGAGTAGGGCGTGACTGTACCGCGTGTGCGTATGCAACTTTTTCGGCGGGTCCGCAAAGTGTGACTGACCAGCGATACTTGCATGGCTTCACCATCGGACGGTCACCTCTCTCGATAGCCACATACAGCGCAGCTCAGCATGCAATCACTCGGCTAAAGCGATGTCAGCTCGGATGACTCGCGGCGTAGACGAGCGGCGAACCCGAGAGGCGTCGAGCGATGCTTCGCTGTGGGAAGAGGTCGACGAAGCCGACAGCTCCTTCGCCGATATCGTCACTCCTCCTCTCCGCAAGCCGTCACCACTTCCAGCATCAAGATCGGAAGAAAGACAGAATACGGCATCGATTCCAATCACCATCATGGACAGCACCGCCGAAACTTCCACTCTGCAGAATCGTCTTGAGCTCGAGCTCTTCCCGAGCGGCCAGCCATCAAGCTCGACCAGCCGGTCCAATCGTCCGCAGCCTCCCTCCTCTTTCGACTTCCAGGGAGCGGCACAAAACGAGCCCTGGAGTCAAGCTGAATTCAAAGCAACCCCGTACGTCAGAGATGAATGGCTCATCTCGGTGGGACAGAAGCGACCCACCGACTTGGTGGAAGATTTCATTCAAATCGATGGTCAAGCTGGCGCTGCACAACCACCAAGGCCACGACCACGTGTAGTAGCGAGCGGCAGCGACACGACAACCTCTCTCGCATCAGCCTGGAAAGCTCGGGCTCAAAGTGATGCGTCAACGGCGCCAAACACCAAGCGCAGCCGCTCAAGTCTACTGGATCAGCTCGACGCTATCTGTAGCAGTCCGTCACAGCAATTCAGCTCGAGTCCGCAGGAAGACGTGCACAAATCGACACCCGAGACACCAGCTGCACAGCATCGGCCTCCAGACCGTCGACCTCTCAAACCGCTTTCCAACATCCATCCGAACGAGAAAGCGCCGGCTGCGCAGGCAAAGGCAAACAATCCGAACCCAATCGATGTGGTCGACGTGTCATCTTCCCCACCCTCGCAGGCTGGTCAGCAGCACATTACGCTGATCAGCGACATGCCGCAAGAGCTGCGTGACATCTACCACCGACTCGCGTTTGGAGGCAGATCATCATCCTCACAGTCTTCGACTCCGCAAAATGCAGGTGTGACGGCGCGCGGTACTCGTGGCAAGACCTGGCAGACGACTTGGCAGGATGATGAAGGCGAAGCTGCTCAAGGCGCCGTGGGGACCTCAAGCAGGGCGAGCTCAAGCCGCGGTCGCAAGCCGACTTCGTCGACGTCGACGGCGCGAGGCGGCACAAGAGCGAGCAAGACGCGGTCCAGCAGCGCGACGAGCAGCACCGCGAAGAGTCGTTTCTTCGCTGCTCGAGGGGGATTCCGTGGGCGCGGTCGGGCACGTTGGCGAGGACGAGGGCGTTGAGTATATCCCTTCGGTCGGTATTGGTGTTGCATCTTTCTTTCATTGTCGCGTTTCTGCATTATCTCATACGCAATTGATCTATATCGCAAGCTCCTACTGGGACAGCTTGGACTGTGGCAATCAGCCAACGAGGGCTTGGACTCGAATGTCAGCGGCCAAGGGCGGAGCGATCATTCGAGGAACAGCTCAAACAAACATTGCCCTAACATGTTCAGGGTCTGGAATGGTTGAGACAAGGACAGGCGTTCGGCGGATCCGAGATCAAACCGAAGGCTACCAGTCAGGGTGGCCCTCCTCAAATCAGGGGCCAAGATCCGAAGCTGCACTGTCTTGGTGACTGACAAGAACAGGCAGAGCATATCGTTCCGGCTGGTGACGTTGGCCGACACCTCGCATGTTGACAGCCGAAGTTGAAATTCAGCGCGGCGATATCGGCCTCTGCGACCACACAAAGCCGAACACATTCCGACAGGGCCAAGACTCGTTTCACAACACTTTCTTCCGACCTTGAGATCTTCATCCATGCCATCTGCGTTTTTTCGCATCAAATGAGCGTTTTGGAGCACGGAGAGAGGAGAAAACAAAGCAGAATAGGAAGAGAGAAACAAAGCAGCCGAGAGCAAAGGAGAAGAGGTTCAGTGTGGTCAGCAATGTGTTCTGAGCATGAACACCAGATCAACGCAGAATAAGATCCAGATCGTCAAAGAATGGCGAGATCTTGTGATTCATGGGCCACAAACGTGCCTCTTCTCTCGGATCGGAATGGCGTGCAAGGATAGGACTCATGCAGCGGTACGGCGGCTTAAGATTTGCCTAGACACATGTCGACTGACGTGCACTCATGCGAAGAGCAAACCTGCGGGGCGGAACATCAAATTGACGAGATTCGAGACTTGGAAACGATGCTAATGGCGCCAGCTTGTTCCAGCGAGTCATTGACCGCGGCCTATGAGAGATGGGAACGGAAGAAGAACCGCAACGAAGTGGGGCATGACGATGACTTTCTTCGACAATGGAGCGGCTGGAAGGTTTCTCGCATGGGAGCCTCTTGCGAGATGGCGTGGGGAGCTTCGATTTTGAGAACTCAGGACGGCGAGATCGCAGCTCCCAAGGTGCATCATCATCAGACGCAGAATGAACACATTTTGTGTTTGCTCCGGCCTCGACACGGGTCGGGTGCCGCAAATTCTCCATTTTCGCCTCTCGGAGGCCGACTCGCTTGACAGCCACTGGGAAGCCATGTTGGTCTCTCTGCGAGACTCGATCTGAGAAATTGTATTCTCGATCTTTCGCTCTTGACTAGACTCGAATACAGATGCAACGTCAACGTCATGCATCCGATACAAAATTTAGAGTCGGGATGCAGATGGCCCATACTCTGGTACGCAGCCTTCCCACGCTTCGTGGGCACGCAATTCCCTTCCGTTACGGAACCATCCGCCTCGCTCGAAGCACACCTGGGCTCGTGTCTTTCCAAGTTGCAGGGGACAATCAAACACTTATACTGAACCCAAGCCTCAGAGGCCGGTACGTGCTAGTCAAGGTCACGGTGAGAACAGCAACCGCGGATCCACCTGCTGGATGTCACGGCCCGAACCAACGAAAATCGGAACGTCCGTGAGAGCAGCATGAGAAATTCCTCTGAATTTGGTGCGGGTCAAAGCGCGCCTGCTGTGTTGCTGCTGCTGCTTTGCCACAATTTCGCCCTCACTCAGCAGCACCACCTTTCCGAAACGGCGTGGGTCCCAGTGAATTGGCCCTGTGGAGCTGCGTGCATCCAGTCGCTGCACACAGCTGCCGGTGTCTTCTCTTTGGCTCGTCACACATTCACCCAACCTCAATCACAAGCTTGGTCTCCTCCCTCTCAGCCCTCAAGTTTCCACCCAGCTTGCTCCTCAGTCACACATTTCCAGAGCTGAATCACTCGTTTTCGGCTCTACCGCGGCTGTCGCTGATCTGCACTCGACTGCCCTCTTTCCTTGGCTGAGCTTCAACCCGACTCCAGCCTTTGTCTCTTCCTGCCTCTTCCGCATACACTCCGCAGCCAACTTGACCAGGCTCTCCCTTCTCATCTCCAAACCTCGACTCTTCCCTCCTCGTCCTTCTATCATCCTCACGCCAACACCAACAAGTACCTTGACTACTCTCTAGGCGTCGTTACTCGCCACTGCTGTCCTTACCCACCCTCTGCACCACCGGCTCCCCATCGAGCCCACATCGTATCACCAGTCTCATCAGACAGACAAAGCATTCACATACACAGCGGTCTGCGGTCAGCGTACAACACAGCATCTACCGGTCTAGCCTTGCATACACTCCTCGACAGTCACGGCACAACATGGTCACCTCAGCAGGCCCTGCCTCCAAGAAGGCAATCCAGCCATCCCGCGACAATGCTGCCAAGCGCAAGCAATCCTTCTCTGACGATGACGACATGTCCGACTCGGATTCCGACTCTCCCGACTCGCCCAACAAGCGCAACAGCCTCACTGCTTCTGGCAAACCATCCGCCAGCCAGCAGCTCGTCCCCGTTCCCGGTCAGCCTGATGCTCCTCTCGTCACAAAGCGCACCCTTCAGAACCGCAAGGCGCAGCGAGAGTTTCGCAAGCGTCGTGAGGCTCGTGTCAGAGAGCTCGAGGAACGATGTCGTCGCTTCGATCAGATGGGTCTCGAAGCCAACACCGAGCTTCAGCGTCTCGCTCGCAGACTCAAAGACGAGAACGAGGCGCTCAAGTCGCTCATCGCTCGTCTCGGCTTTGCGCACATGATTCCCGGCATCATGGACTCGATCAACAACGCAGAGCAGCAACAGCAACCGCAGCAGCAGCCTCACCACGCACAGCACCCGCATCACCACATCCCTCAGTCCTTCGCGCCCATGGACATCGGCATGGATGCCTGGGCGCGTGCAGGCCCTGCCCCAATGGCTGCCACCAACGACTTCTCTAACCAGCAGAACGTCTCAGCTGCCACCTCCGCCAACAAGCAGCCTAGCAGCCACAGCCGCGTGCAATCAGCCCTCTCTTCTGCACCGACGTCTGTGCCCATCTCTTCCCTCTCCTCCTTGCCCGGCCTCACCGACTTGCTTCCCGTCACTGCCGGCGGTGTCAACCCAGGCTTGCTCAGCGATGCCAATAGCAAGGGTCGCAGCAACAAGAAGCCGTCGGAGTCCAGCACCCCTGCTATCACGGTGCCCACCACTATCAAGTCGACCACCACTGCTCGTCCCATCGAGGACAACAACAGCACCTTCGACAACGACTGGTTCGCACAGCTCGCACAGACTGGCCACGACAAGGACGACGCCGACGTTGACACTGCTGTCGCCAACGACGCTCCTGCACGCAACCAAAGCTCTTCTGCCAACCCCATCCTCTCGCTCAACCTCGGCAGTTCGGCAGACAACAACAAGAACATCAAGTCGTCCGCCAACTCGAGCAACAACGCCGCGCTCACAGGCTCCGCCATGCTCGGCGCCAATGCGCGCGACTTTGGCCTCGGTCTCGCCAGCGCTCTCGGTCTCCCTGCTTCTTCCGCATCGTCCGCCAACATCTTCCCCATGCCCATGCCAACGCAGCAGAACGGCGCCCTTCTCAACCCCAACCCCATCCCCTTCGCATTCAACCTCAGCGACAACAAGATGCCTGGCGATCAAAGCTGGTGGTCTCAAGTCGCTGGCAGCGCGCTCGAGGGCGATGACAGCATCCTCGACGAGAAGGCGCAGGCAGTCGCGCAAGCCACTGGCGCTGCTTCTCCCTTTGACCTCTCCGCTTTCCTCAACGGCGGCTTGACGCCCGGTGGTGGCGGCTTCACCTTTGGCAGCCAGCAGACCAACGACGACGATGCCCTCGCCTTGCAGAAGGACAGCACCTCCTCTTCCGGCGACGACACGCTCAAGTCGAACGGCAAGAGCGGTGAGAAGCAACAGCAGCCGCAGCTCACGCAAGCCGAGCATGCTCAGATGTTCCTCCGCTTGCTCGAGGCTAAGATGACCAAGCGCGGCACCAGCCCTTACGCTCAGCTCGGTTTCCAGCCCCCCACCCATGCTCAGCAGTACGCTGCTGGTCCCAGCTTCTCCGACGCCAGCTCTTCCTCCTCCTCCTCCTCCAGCAACAACGCTGCCAAAGAGGAGGACGACTCGTCGCTATCCCCCATCAACGTCTACACACGTCTCGCGCAGCACCCCGCCTTCCTCTCCACCAACGCTACCGAGCTCGAGGAGCTCGTCGACTCGATCTCGTCGTCGCAACGCCAGCAGCGCGGGGCGATCTTCCAACCTCCGTTCAACAAGCGCAGGGCGACACCGACCAAGGTCAACGCTCCGGCGCTGTACCCACCGACACCGTCTGGGTTGACACCTAGCATCTACGGGCCTAACGGCGCAGCGGCGTTGGCGACGCGCTCGCCGAGCTCGACCGGGTCCAAAGACTTGGAGGTCGACGAGAACGCCGTGACCAAGATGCTCGGTCTGCTCGATAGGAAGACGTCGCGCGATGCGTCGGTGGGTGGGCTCGCGTTCTGATCTGGGTCTGTGTCTGTTGTTCGCTTTGTTATTGCATAGTACTTGTCTCTCTGTTTTGGTACGATCCTTTCACCTCTCTCTGTCTCTCATAGTTGCTCGGCGGGCCCATAGGCCTGGTCTTAGAGCTTGTCTCGCTCCAATCTCTGTCAATTGCATGGTTCAAGCATTCTGGTCCTTGATGTGGTTTGTGTGTTGTGTCAGATCTCGATTGGCGCTCGAAGTGCAGTTTGTCGGTGGGGGCGACGGGTTCTTTGCGCGCATTCAGACGAAACGGGGAACGGTGCAGTGACCCGGAGCACCCGCCCAATTAGCTCGCCGGCGCACCCGACAATCCCTCATCAGCCTTCACACACACAGCGACACACCGATTGTCGAGGAAAACATCATTCATTGTGACATGACTGGACATGTCGTTTTGCGAGCATTTAGAGGTTGGCAGTGAACTGAACGCCCTTGGAGATGTTGCCGTTGAGGTCGGCGACGGCCTTCTTGATGAGTTCGGACTCGTAGTCGTTGAGCTTGCCGAGAGGCAAAATCTTCTCAACGCCGGAGGGGCCGAGCTGGAGGGGGACGGAGAAGAAGGGAGTTTCGTCACCGATGACCTTGGTGACCTCCTTAGCGCCGGCGGCGTCGGCGGTGAGGTCGACATAGCCCATCTCGGGCTGAGCCAGAGGCTTGCCAGAGGCAGCCTCAAGGACGGCGATAGCAAAACGGGCGCCGGCATAGGCCATCGAAAGCGTCGCAGAGCCAGCACCATCCTTGGCCTTGACAACCTCATCACCACCAAACTGGATTCGGTTGGTCAGAGCCTCGATCTTGGCCTGGTCCACCGAAATGGGCGGCTGCGACTGAGAGATCAAGGGAACAATGGTAACACCAGAGTGACCACCAACCACAGGGATGCGGTAGTTGAGCGACTCGGTGGGCTTGCCAGCAGCCTCGGAGATGAAGGTGGAAGCGCGAACAACGTCGAGCGTGGTAACACCAAAGAGCTTCTTGGGGTCGTAGACACCCTTCTTCTTGAGAACCTCGGCGACAATGGGGACGGTCGAGTTGACAGGGTTCGAGATGACCAGGACGAATGCCTTGGGCGAGTGCTCGGCAATGCCAACGGCAATGTCCTTGACGATGCCGGCGTTGATCTGCGGGTAAGAATGGCAACAAGAATTGTCAGCGATCGTTCTGCGGCACAGCATTGCACATCGTTCTGCTTCGCCGCGGCAGCATCCTCGACGCACTGCAACTCTGATCGAGCGTCAGCAGCGGTCCAGTCCAAAAGAGGAAAGGCGTGATCTTCCAGATTGGCGGGTTGAATGCCGAGTGGCAGATTGCCGCAAATTTGAGGTGTTGGGCGCGTGCGCATGGACCAGCGCGGAATTTCGACGCAGAAACGCGGCACTTGGGCAGTGTTTCGTTTTGTTGAGTGCCAGAAGCGACTCGAGACCATCGCATCCAGAATCTTCGCAGCAAAGGGATGCCGGCTGCGAAGCCATCTGTTGCCACGCCAACTCTACATGCGCAGGGCTGGCAGAGAAGAGCAGCTACGATGCGACCAGATGCGAGGCTGGCTGGGTCGAGCGATGCTGTGCGGGATCGAAGACTTGATGTTCAAGGGAGATACTTACGTTGAAAAGGTCGTCGCGGGTCATACCAGGCTTACGGGGGACACCGGCAGGGATGACGACAATGTCGGCGTTCTTGAGCGCCTTTGCGAGGCCATCGTCCTTGGGGAGGTAGCCGGTGACGATCGAGGGGGTGTTGATGTGCGAGAGATCGGCAGCGACACCGGGGGCGTTGACGCTGTGTTTTGAAGCATGAAGCCAAGACAGAGTTCGAAGATCGCACAGGTCAGTGGCTGTTCACACAAGGACATGTAGAGGCAGTCCGAGTGGAAGATACTTACACATCGTAGAGAGCGAGGTCTGTAACGAGCGAAGACTGCTTGAGGAGCAGCGAGAGGGGCTGTCCGATACCACCAGCGGCGCCGATAACAGTAGCCTTGACCATTTTTGCGATATGAGAGAGATGTGAGGGTGTGAAGGGTGAGAAGAGGAAAGTGTGATGGAGAGGAAGAAAGAGAAGAAGCGGGAGAAAGGAGGGACCAACACCTTCCACAGAGACGGGCAGCACGCCAGCACAGGACAAGCGCACGGATGCGGGCCTGAGCCCTCAACTCCACAACCTCACACGCTCTCACGCGGCAAAATGCTGGTGAAAGCGAGACTGCGCTCTGCTGTTGGAAATATTGAAAGCGTGGAGAGATCCGCTCTTTGCACCACGGAACGGCCATCTAACAAGCTTCCGATGCCGGAACAGCCATGCTTGGACGAGGCTGTTGCTCGCTTCCTCACGATCGAGGAGGTGCAGCTGTAAGGCAACGCAGCACCATCATCTGTAGTCCGGTCCCAGCCGGATTCACGCGCTCCTTTCCGAGGCTCGAGGCAAGGCGCCATTTCAGGACTGCCGGCCCTCTCCGGATCAAACTCGCAGCTCAATTTCTCGCAACTATCAAGGCTGTTAGACCACTATGGGATTTTTCGAATTTGTCTTGCTCTTTGACCCTAACAATCTCAGAATTTTTTTGGTTGGGTGGTGAGGCGGATGGATTGGATTGAGTGCTGAGCTGTGACGGTGACTTGAACGCCGCTGCTGCTGGATGCGGTGCCGACGCGTTACAGTTTCAGCAACGAGGTCACACCACCATCCCAAGGAATTTTCAACAGAACGGCAATCACCATCACAAGCATCGCATCCACAATTCCCACAGAGGGTCGAGCAGCTGCTCGCTCGTTGCCCCTTCCCTTCCCGACATGACCGCGGCCACCGCGCCGTCGCCATCACCAGCACCTTCCGCACAACACGCACACACTCCCACGCGTCAATCCCCCATCGCTCCGGACGCAGCATCCCCGTCGCGTCGTCACGATGGCGCTTCTGGCTCAGCATCCCCTGCCAAGCTGACAGGTACCTACACCGCCAGCAGTCTAGGCACCTTGTCCAAGCCTATCGACCTCGCCTCGCCCCCTGCTTCACCCACCTTGGCTGCCACGACCGTCGCCGCATCTGACACCGTCGCGTCCGATTCGACGCGTCCTCAGCAACAGTCATCATCATCACCCTCTGCGAGCACATCTTCGCAAACAGCGAATATAGCGACGTCCGGCGCTAATGCAGGAGCAGCGTCGTCACCGGCATCAACGACCCTGCCTCCACCGCCATTCGGCAAAACGCTAGCAACGACGGGCCGTCTCCTACCCCCGACACCTCTTGGTCACGCCAGCGACCGACTCTCCTCAGCATCCTCTTCGTCGTCAGCCACATCGACGCCATCAAAGCCGGTCCATCTGCCTGCGCCGTACAAAGCACCTCGAGCTGCGCAGAGCGGCGCGTCAGAGTCTTTTGCTACCGCCTATCCAACCCAGGAGACGCGTCAGAAGTATGCTTCGCCCTCCAAGCCGCTTCTCTCGGCAGCCTCAGGGCCTACGCTCTCGCATAAGCGCTCTTGGCAGTCGTCCGGCTCCGTCGACCTATCCAACAAGAAGTATCGTCCTGCTGCGGCTGGCATCTCATCTCCCGCACCAGCCGCCTCGCCTTCGCCGTCGCCTCTGGGCGGCTCTGGCATGGCAGCTCTTCCTGCTACTCCCAAAACAGGCTCGAGCACCGCTGCTGCCCGTGCTATTGCATCCATCCCATCATCATCAGCATCGGCACCCAGCAGAGCCAACAACGTCACCGTCACCAATATACCCAAGCCTGGCAGCTCCATTTCCAACCAAGCAAATGTAGGGCCGCTCAACTTGATACCCACCGTCTCCGGAGCAGAGCTCTCCGCAAACGTCAAGGACGAATACTTGTCCTTGCTCCAAAAGTCAGAGCTCATCGACCTGGTCAAGCAGCTCGAAAAGCAACTCCATGACCTCATCAATGCCCCCACCGGTGCTTCCACGCTCTACCGACAAGCTCGCGTCTATCCCAACCAGATCCATGTGCAGATCGACAGACTCAAAGCACGGCAGCGCATCGAGGCATCCACCACTACTTCGTCGTCAGATCTCAGCCTCAAAGATGTCTATTCACTGCTCAATGCGAGTGGTCTGGCGTCCAACGGCCCTGCTTATACCCGCACTGCTGGCACTGCGCCTCGAGGTGCTGCGTCGACATCTTTGCTCACCGGTCGACCTGCATATACCCCTCCTACGGTGCCGCGTCGACCTTTGCCCACGTCATCAGCCGGTCCTTCGACAGCAAAGGGTGCGTTGACTGGACAAAAGCAGGCCGGCAAGGATACCGTCAGCAACTTGATCAACTCGATCAACGCAATGGTCCGTCAGCAAACGCAACCTGCTCGTGGTCCCAACGGTGCGCCTCTTCTTCCAGCGCAGACGCCCTTCACCAGCTCGACGCCTTCCACTGCAGCCGGTAAAGCACGTTCGATGGCTGGCACGACTCCCCAAATCACACCTGCCGCGTTGCGCAGCATTGTCGGAGATGGGCCGATGCCATCCAACGCTGCTTTGGCAGCTGCTATCGCTGCACACTTCGGCGGCAGCATGCCGGCTAATGCGGCCGCTTCGACGCGGTCTGCACCAGCAACGTCGAGTTCACCTTCGAAGTCAGCGCCGACTGCCGGTGCAGCTGCCAACACCGCCGACGTCGCGCCTTCAGCAAGTCCTGTCAGCAAGGACATTTCCGACAAAATTGCCGCCATCCTCGGCTCGTCTTCGTCGACGCAAACCACCATGCTTGGACCTCAGGGTCTACCGCTGGCTCCTGCCACACCGGCTCCTGGTGCAATGCCAATCGGCAACATCGCTGCAATGCTGTCTGACCTTGCCGGACAGTCCAGCGTGCCCGGGGCCTCAGCTGGCTCACCCAGCGCAGGGGCTCGAACGGGCACACCCGCTGCTCAAGGCCAGGAAAGCGCTCTGTCCAGCCTGTTGCAACAGCTCGAGGAGGCCAAAAAGAGGATGCCAGCACAAGCGGCGTCGTCTCCGGCATCGTTCGATTCTGCGCAAGCATCCAGCGGTCCCTCGGCAGTCAACGACCCGATTGCAATCTTGACAGGTGCCAGCGCCAACCCGCTCTTCACTCCAACGTACGCAAGCGCGGCCTCTTCCCCTATCATGGACGGCCAAAGCGCGGCATCGTGGTCGCCAGAGCCGCAGCCCGTCATCGTCCAAGGGCCTTTGGGCACGAGCACGTTGCCTTCATACGAGGACATGATCGTCGAAGGTCTGCGCGTCATGGGTCAAGCTCCACCACGGACACTCTTCAACTGGATGCAGGATACATATCCGCTCATGAAGAAGTTTCGACCCTCTGCGCATCAAGCGCTGCAAAAGGCGTTCAAGCGTGGCAGGCTGCTCAAGACCGGAAGTCTGTATCGCATCAACCCCTCGTGGTCGGATCCTGGCGAGTCGAGGAAGCCCACACGCAGGCCGCAGGTGGGACGCGACCATCCCATGGTCACGCCCGGTCTCAATGGCGAGGTGCTTGCTGTCAGCCCGCTCAAGGACAGCCAAGCCTACCGCAATGTTGGCGATTCTGGTCTCCGCGCCATGAGCAAAGGTGCGCGGCAAGGACCTCGGCCATACGGTCAGCCTGGTGCCGCGCCTCTGGCTAATCCAGCGAGCACCATCTTCCCAAGCGGTTCGGCGACCGAGATTTTGCTCGAGTATCAGAAGCGCATCGGCAAGAAGATCGAGCCGGACTCGGTGCGGTATCTCTACCAGCTCATTCGCTCCGGCCCCAGCGATGGCTCCATGGAAGAGATGCTGGCGCACATGCTTACACAGACAGGCTATCACGATGCAGCCGCCGAGGCTACGGCTGCTGCAGCTGCCCAGACAGCTGCGGCTGCGGCTGCCGCCAGCATGCCCTCCTACCCTCGACCGGGTACAGGCATACCGGCGACGATGGCAACGGGCATGTCCTCGCCGTCGTCTATGTTCGCGAGAACAGGCGCGACACCTCAGCGCAGAATGCCAGCATCTTCTGCGGCTACGGGTCCCACCTCTCTCCCTCTCCCGTCGACGAGCGAGCCCACAATGATGCAGCAGCTAGCCAGCATGCTGAACGACCTCAGCTCACCCATCAACCCGGTACTCGCCAACTCGCTGCTCGGTCAGTTGAGCAGCAATGCGGCTGCGGCCGCTGCAGCCAGAGCGGCCAGCATGCCTGGTATGGGTGCAGCGCCGCCTCTTCCTGCGGCTCCCTCCAGGGCTGTTCCACCTGCGTCATCCGCCGCGTCGTCGCAGCTCGCCTCGGCGCTGTCGAGCCTCACAGGTCAAGCACCACAGCAGGATCTCGACTCGGCAGTGTCCGAGACGCTTGCGGCTGCACTGCAGCAGATCGGTGGTCCCCAGACCGCTGCTCCCGTTCCATCCGAGGCGGCCGAGAAAGTGCCAGCGCCCAAGGCTGTGGACGCCGCCGAAGGCAAGGAAGGCGAAGAGGGCATCGACCTGGCCGAGTACGAGGACGCCATCCGCGCCCTCACCTCGGCCTTCGGCGACGGTGGTGAGGACGCTGGTTCGGACGAATCTGATGCGGAAGCGGACGAGCGCGCCATTGCTGCTGCTGAGGCAGAACCGGACTCGGTCGACGAGCCCGGACAAGCTGTCCAGGCTCCTCAGAAAGATGCAGCCGAGCAGGAGCAGGCGGAGGCAGGTGAAGCGGAGGAAGACGAGGACGAGGAAGACGAAGCGGAGGGAGGCGAGCAGATGGATCTCACTGCGGTGTTGCAACAGCTGACGGCCTCACTGCAGGCTCACGGCGAGATTGCGCCCGATACTCAGGGCGAGGGCGACGTTGAAAGCGCAGCAGCTAAAACGGATCAAGCGGACGAACAGCCTTCGCTCGACAAGGAGGGCGCTAACAAGCAGACCAGCGATAGCATGGACGTCGATGCGCCTACGAACGAGACCGCCAACGTCGATGGCGAGACTGCAGAGGTCGAGGGCGCATCAGAAGATCCAGCATCACTGCAAGCTCAGCTGGAAGCACTCGTAGCCAGTCTCGCTGCCAATGCGGAGGAGGCCGACGAGGAAGACGACGACGATGATGACGATGAGGAGGAAGAGTAGGGCTCGACCACCATCAGCCGATCTTTCCATGTACTTGTACCGTGTAGAGTACGATGTAGCCCTATGTACTGTGACCGTGGAATGGCATTGTAGTTGTATCGATGGACTGGCACATGCGCGTCGCGTACGAAGATCCGGGTCATGTCTCATCACGCACGAAGGACCTTCTGTTGCATGGCTCGGGACCAGGTGAAGGTGTAACATTTGGTCCTGAGAGCCATGTGATCCAGCAAACCGAACGAGGCCCGATGGCCGCAGTCTTTGCGAATTGGGCGTTGGCTAAAGGCCAAACCTGTGGGTTCGGAACTCGCCAGGGTCGAATCTCGGATGCTGTGGAAACTGTGACGTCACGCTATCGATGACAAGGGTCCTGTGTCAAGCGAGCACAAAGACCCTCGTTCATCTGGCATGCGTGGTTGCACCACCGAATTCATGTGCACATGTGCTTTCAGGGTCGACGACGGTGACACGACGAAACCAGACGACGGGCAGCGGTACATACGGTGCGATGGCTTGCCAAGCATGAGATTCGACCGCTGCTTGGTGACTGCATCAATGCGCTACAGCCGTTGGCGTCGTTTTGACCGGAAAAACCAGGATCTTGCTTCGATGGGTTATCCAGCACGCTGACAAGTTTCGCAGCTAAGAAGATCACGTTGATGCATCCTCATCATGGCAACGAAGACATTGATCGACCTATTGAGCTCGAACCATTGTTTCATCCCATCGGCCCAAATGAACGAGCGCCGACGGCGCAGCTTTGGCTCAATGTTGAACTGCAGGCACCACGCGCTGCACAGATAAGTGACTTCCGGATCGACGTCGAGTGTATGATGGTTCGAAGTCGTCAGATAACAGATGGAGCGGAGAATTTCCATCTCACACAGGAGCTGCTTCGGTGCGCAGTGATGTCGTGAGGCAGCTGGTTTGACAGTCCGACGATGAAGGTATGAGAGAGGTCCCATGTCCTCGGCAGAATCTCTTGCTGTCGATCGGGAGAGGCTGACGGGACAAATGTTTGCTGTTGTTTCACGGGTTATGGCACAGTGACGATGCAGTACAGTTTCTTCTCAATTTTCGATTTTATTTTCTCCTTGTGGCACTGTCGAATACTGCGTCAACAACAGCCAACAGGCGACACTGCTGACATGCCTGGCATCGATGGCTCGAGCACCGTATGCAGCCGTATGCGCGATCGATGCTCGATGACCGCGCACTTCTCAGCTTCCGCCCACTTCCTTGTCTCTTGCCTAGAGGCGTGGTCAGTCGGCGTGTCGGTCGACGGGATCGACCCGCTGGCCAAGCGCCCCGGCGTCCCCATGATCTTCCCGCCGCCCTGACGCGAGTCGCCTCTTCTTCGATCCAGAGGGATTCGCTGTCCCTGCAGCCTCGAACCCTTCTTGTCGCCAAAATGGGACTGGGTGTATGCACAGAATAGATCGTCGCGCTCCTCGTCCTTTCTTCGGGCTGCTTCGGTCCTGTGCCAGCATTCGCTCGCCTGCACAAAATTTTTAGTCAAGGCTGAAACAATTGCGATCCGATCCATCGGTGTTCGCTGGTTGGTGTTGGTTAGTTCGCTAGCTCGGAGGGTCTGTGGGCTGGTACGCCATACAGCGTCTGCTGTTGCATGAAAGGTAAGGAAAAATTCTTTTACGACGTAGCAGGTCGGCTGAGGTCAGGTCGGCGCTTGAATTCGAGTCTCTTGAGATCGTGAACTGATCAGCGTCCGTGCCAAGCGTGAGCGGCTGCCACTTCATCGCTGCCCAGCGCAGCGCAGAGGCCACCTCCCACTCATCCAGCCCAGCCCCTTCGTCTTCCGCCTGACTTCATTTCAGGCCAGCCCAAACTCCACTACTTAAGACTTGAGCCGAGTCTGCTTTCTTCCTGTCCCTATCCTCCTCTCGTTCATACATACCCTTTCCCCTTTATCCACACATCTCACCAAACTCAACTTCGCCCATCATGTCCAAGGCTACTGCTAGCGGTATCACTGCCGGAAACATCTCCACCCAGCGCGTCAAGCTCAACAACGGCCAGGAGATCCCCCAGGTCGCCCTCGGTGTCTACAAGGCCCCCAACGATGGCTCCACCGAGAACGCCTGCAAGTGGGCTTTCGACGCTGGCTACCGTCACATTGACTCTGGTATGTAAACCTTCTTGCCTGTTCCATAGGCGCTGAATCTCGTGCAGTCGAATACCGCAGCATTCGCTTGACACGTCGCACAGAATACTGATTTGTACCACCCTCTCGTTCCATCCTTCACAGCCGCTCGTTACATGAACGAGGAGTCCGTCGGCCGTGCTGTTGCCGAGTGGACCAAGGCTAACAACGTGCCCCGCTCCGAGATCTTCATCACCTCCAAGCTCTGGGATGCTGACCACGACAAGGCCGCCGCTGCCGTCGAGGACTCGCTCAAGAAGCTCCAGCTCGAGTACATGGACATGTACCTCATGCACTCGCCCGGTACCATGGGCGCCGAGAAGCGTCTCGAGGCCTGGAAGGCGCTTGAGGAGGCCGTCGACGCCGGCAAGATCAAGACCATCGGTGTCTCGAACTTCGACGTTGAGGAGCTCGACCACCTGCTCGCCAACTGCCGCATCAAGCCCGCCGTCAACCAGATTGAGTCGCACCCCTTCTTCGCCCACGAGGAGCTCCGTGAGGCATGCTTCGAGCGTGGCATCCACATCCAGGCCTACTCGCCCATGGCCCAGGGCCAGGCCCTCGACCGCCCCGAGATCAAGGCTATCGCCACCAAGCACGGCAAGACCCCCGCCCAGTGAGTACCTCAAACAAGGCTTAGAGCCAAAGTCAACCTCCACACTGCATTTTTGAGCCGAATAGCTGACCGTTGGCGTCGTTTTGACCGGAAAAACCAGGATCTTGCTCCGATGGGGTGTCCAGCACGGAAACATCATCCTTCCCAAGAGTCTGACCAAGCACCGCATTGAGGGCAATGCCCAGCTCTTCGACTTCTCGCTTGACAACGACGACATGGACGCTCTTGGTAAGTACCCTCTTCGGCGCTGTCGAGGGCATCGTTGGACGACCACTTTTTGTTTTCGTCGGCGGTGGCCCTCGTCGCAGATCGCTCATGCTCAGAATACATCGCTGACCACACTCAAACTCTTCCGCTTTGCTCTTGACCGCTTCCTCTTTCTTCCCTGCTTGTTTTGTGCTCTCTCCGTGCTCCAAAACGCTCATTTGATGCAAAAAAACGCAGATGGCATGGATGAAGGTCTCAAGGTCGGAAAATTGGGTCCTGCAGGCACTTCGCAGCCCCCTTCGCCCGGCGGAACCCGCCCTGGCTCGCGCCGCTCGTCCGGCTCCGGCGGTCTCTCTGGCAACAAGCTCCAGATGTCGTCGTCGTAAAGCAATGATCGTATCCACGCCTTGTACGACGAGGAGGAGGTCTCATCTTTAATTTATTTTCCTGCCCGCACACACTTTTCAAGCGTCGTTCTTCCGTTCAAATCCACGTAAGATGAGTCAAGGGGACGAACAAAGCTTGTACCTACTATCAATCAGTTCTTCTTTGCAAAAATCGATATCAGTTACCCAGCATCCACATCGTCGTCGTCGTCCCCTTCTTTGAGTGTATGAGCTTCGGGATCCGATGTCAGTCTGTAAAATTTAGCCGGGCTGCTGGCTGTCAAACAGGCTTTTCCCGGCATTTTTGGTCACAGCTCGCCGTGACAACAATCTGACAGCCGAGCGCCGAGAAAAAGGGTCCCGCCGCTCCACACGTGTTGAGCGAGACAATCGAGCGCCGGCTGTGTCAACCGTCAAGGGTCGTGGTACAGCTCGCTTAGTGTACTACGATTCCGCTTTGCGTCCCTTCCTCTCTGGTCACCAACATCATTCCTCACTCGCTCAAGGCTTTGGAGTACTCCACTCGGTCAGTCACTGACCCCACGAAAGGCAGACATGGCCGGCAACCGCCATCGCAAGGATGCGTGGGTCGTGTTCGCCTTTCTCATCGTGGTCCAGATCGTCTGCTTCCGAGGCAGTCAGCGTCTTCGCGCGGATCTCGACCTGCAGTCACCAGTGCAAGCTGCTCAGAATCAGTTTTTCAAGCGATCAGAACCGCCCGTATATGACGTTGTGAAGCATCACTCGACGTCAACAGCATCATCGGCGAGCGAAACAGCAACAACCACAAAGGAAGGACAGCACCACTCGACATCAACATCTCGGACCTCGGAGCCGACTCACCTTCCCAAAGGTCCAGATGACGAGCCCAAAGCCCCGTCCTGCCAGCCTATACCTTTCCAGAAGTCGCCAAAGCACGTCTGCAGCCATGTGGTAGAACACTGCGCCGCTTCGGGTCACTTTGACTACCTGCGCTTCTACTACTGCGCAGGCGTGTCGGACCAAGACCTCGAGCACGGAAAGCATCCGCATCCTCCTCCTCCAACAAAGCCTCGCTGGCAACCCGGAATCTCGGCGTTGCGCCTCTTGCGGTTGATCTGTATCCTCGCGTGGATGCTCTTCCTCTTCAGCTGGGTCGGCGTCGTGGCTAGCGATTTCTTCTGCCCCAACCTCAGCACCATCGCATCTCGTCTCGGTCTCAACGAAAGCACGGCCGGCGTCACCTTCCTCGCATTCGGAAATGGATCTCCGGACGTCTTCTCCACCTTTGGCGCCATGAAGACTGGCTCTGGCTCTCTAGCCATCGGCGAGCTCCTCGGTGCGGCCTCCTTCATCGTTTCGGTCATTTCCGGTTCCATGATGCTCATCGCACCCTTCAAGGTCAAAGCGTGGCCCTTCTGCCGAGACGTCGGCTTCTTCACTGCCGCCGTCGCGCTTACCCTCACCTTCCTCTTCGACGGCAAGCTCAGGCGTATCGAGACCATCGCACTCATCTGCCTCTACGTCCTCTACGCGACAACGGTCATCATCGGATCTTGGTGGCAGGAGCGTCGAAGAAAGCAGAAGCGCAGGCTCGAAGCTGCACGGGAGGAGTACGACAGTCAAGCCGACGATCGATCCATCATCAGCCGAGACACCATCCGCTCTATACGAGCTGGGACGCAGGACATGGAGCGAAGTCGACTCCTGGGCTTGCCCACTTCACAGTCTCTGCCTGGCCTACCGAGCCCGTCAGAATACGATCCCAATTTTGACCCGTTCGAGGATTGGGCCAACCAAACAGGCTCGCGTAGCGGAGCAGCAACGCCGGAACTCCCTGGTGGTGGCAGCCGTCCACCGTCCATCAACACCCCAGGCTCTACGAGCTCGCGTGCAGCTGTCAGGGCTACTCTCAATGTGAGGCCCAATCTCGTGCCTCGCCACTCGCTGCTGTCGGCCATCGAGTTCCGCGACGTTGTGCAGAGCCTACGCCGTGATGCACACGCAGATCGCTCGCAGGAGATCTTCCAGAGCTGGGACCCCGAGCGCTTCCTGCCTCACCACCACCACGGTCATACCGACACGAGCCTCACCCGAAGCACATCTGGCGAGGGCCGCTCGAATGGGAGCCCACGCCAGCGTCGTGGTGCAGGACACAGCCGCGTACTTAGCCTGGGTCCAGCCGCGGGTGTCGCAAGGAGCGCCTCTACAGCCTCGGGCCATCGACGCAAGACGTTTGGCACGCACGACGGCGTCATGCCAACCGAGGATAGCCGTGGGCAGGGCCAAGTATCCAGCAACAGAGCTGGCGCCAGCGTGGAAGCTGGCAACGTCGATGATCCTTGGAGGGAGCATCTTCCCGGCGATGCCTGTGAACCACTCGGCTCTCCCGCATTGCCCATGAACGGCGCTTCAGACCAAAATCCGCTCGAACAGACACCGCCACGTAAAGCACTGCCAAGACTACAAATCCCACAATGGGACACCAAGGCGAGCCGCAGTGAAGATGCGCGGCGTCAAAACAAACAGCCTGCCCCTGCCTCGGCTCGTGACGACGGCTCCAGCAGCACGCCTACCAACAAGGATCGATTCGATAGCCCGCTCACCCACAGGCGCGTCCGACCCCAACGAACACCCAGCCAGGCACTCGCATGGAAGCTACGCGTCGTCTTCAACGCGCTCTTCCCATCGTTGCGGCATCTTCATGCCAAGTCGGTGCTGGGTGCGGCTGTTAGCATCTTGACTTGCCCTGCGATCCTGCTGCTCAATCTGACGCTTCCTGTCGTCGACGATGACGCGGAGCGTGCCGAGCGCGAGGCAGACACCGCCGAAGCGGACGGGATCGGCGCGGTGCGACTTGAGGGAGACGAGGCTGATCTGCACGCACAAGGCGCTGCGGATGACGAGCCCATCGTCGACCTTCGCGCGTCGCCGTCATCGGATACGCAAGCGTGGAGTGCAGAAGACCGCGTAGAGGCGGCGGAGCATGCGGAGCGAGACGCCAACGCGCATCGCGACCAGGAGATTGCCTCGGCGTTGAGGCACCTACCTTCGGCGGCTGGCTCTCCGCTCTCCTTCGGGTCCAGTCCTACCGGTCGAGCCGGTCTGCTTCGCATCGAGGCCACCTCAGCCTCCCCCCTCCCCATCGACGACACCGGCGACGGAGCGAGCTTCATGAGCCACGAAAGCTGCGAAGCCGAAGAGTCGGAAATGCGTCGTTCGATTCGACGTTTTCTCATCCTCTCCCAATCGCTGTGTGCGCCAACGTTCGTTACGTGGGCCATTGCCTCTTCGTCTGGGGGCGCGCACCTCGGGCTAAAAGTGGCCATAGCTGCGGCGGTGGGCTTGCTCGCGGCGCTATTTTCGTTTTGGGCGATGCGACGTAAGGATGCGGGTCGTGCGCGGTACTCGGATCGGACACTCTCCGGTATGGCGATGGTACGCTGTTCGATGGGCTTCATCGTAAGTGTCATGTGGATCATGACGATTGTCGATGAGGTCGTATCCATCCTTCAGACGGTTGGCATCATCGTTGGCTTGTCGGACGCCATTTTGGGTCTGACAGTCTTTGCGGTTGGCAACTCCCTTGGGGACCTCGTGGCGAACATTACGATCGCGAGACTGGGTCATCCGGTCATGGCGGTGAGCGCATGCTTCGCCGGGCCCATGTTGAACCTCCTACTTGGCATCGGGATTAGTGGCACCTGGCTGCTCAGCGATGGCCACGCTCACGGACATGCAGTCGAGAGATCGGATATTTATCCCATCGACTTCAACCCGACGTTGTTGGTGTCAGGGTTGGGGTTGCTGTTGATCTTGGTAGGGACGCTGATCGCCGTGCCCATGAACAACTTTGAGTTGTCCAGAGGGATTGGGGTTTCTTTGATTGCGGCGTACGTGCTGATCATGACGGTGAACCTGCTCACCGAAATCTTTTGGGTGAGGGGTCCGAGTGTATTCTAGACTTTGGTGGACATCATACGTCACACATAGAGAGGCATGGTGGTGTGTGGAATGATGAAGGATGACAATGAGATGAGCTCAACAGGCAGCCCACCTGGCTCGAGTGTGCTGGCCAAATCGTTGAGCGTGCCACACCGGAACGTGAAATTGCGTTGGCTGAGATGCTGAGTCTAGATGGTGGCTTCGACATCGCAAATTTGCAATCCCACGACATGCCAATCTGGCCAAACCGAAGAGAGTTTGAGCCTGTGTATTGCCGGCCCGTTTCCATGCTTCAGAACGAAGGGGACCAGAGGTGCGATCGCACATCGGAAACATGTTGCGCTGCATCAACTCGTCGTGGAATCGCTTGTGACATTGTGTGACGTGGTCCACACACTGCTGCGCTGCAGCGTTCAGCGTCTCGATCTGCACAAACGAGCTCTCTAAGAGTTGCTGATGGAGAGTTCGCATCTCCGCCTCGTCGAGGGGAGGGTCTCCGAGGCAGAAGCGCAAGATGGAGACTCTCGAGGCGGCCTGAAAGATTCTCATTGTCCGTGAGGGGCCGAGTCACGCTCCTACGCCCAGAGGGAAGGATCTGGTCTTTGTACACCTTTTCGAACGTCTCTCGTCATCCGAAACAAGCGTTTGGTTCGAGGTGATGGTGCGATCCAGCTCCTTTGCCTTGTGCGCGTTTGTAATCTTCGCGATCGGGTGACCGCAGAGCGCCAGCACGAAGAGGAAGTGCTCGATGTTCCGAATGGGACCTTCCAGAGTGGCTCACAGTGAAGGTACGATTGATCTGGAACTCCATCGCGAATACGCTTGCCGAGACCCGAGGGAGGTCATGCACCTCGTCACAGTTGATCGAGGCGTACACCCACTGCTTTGAATACGGGCATTGGGGATCCTTCTTCGCAGACGGCTTGACGATTTTGTTTGGAGCCACGACCAGGAGATTGCCGTTCCACGTCGTTGAGTCTGTAGCCTTGATCGCACTTGGGATCCGCTTGGCCTCGTAGTCTGAGCCTGTGAGGTTCAGAAGGTGAAGGCCGCCCGAAAGTTTGTCGCCTGTAGTGCAGTCTACATGTTGCAGAACCTCCATGGTGAAAGCTTCGGTCAGCCATCACTATGAGCTTTCACCATGAAGAGGTTAGGCTTGTTCACGACCTCCAACTTCCTGTACATCAGGGCGAAGAGGATGCATCGTTGCAAGCCCACAGCTGATACTTGCTGCTGTCTCGAGCCTGTTCGCGTTTCGTTTCTGGAAGAGCTCCGCCTCGCGGAGGCAATCGATTTCGGTCTGCAGGAAGTGGGTCTCTCGCACATTGCGAGCAATCGTTCGCAAGAACCAGGGACTCGCCCTCAACCGTTTGCGACAGGCGGAGCGGAGTTTCGCCTTCTTTGCCCGAGGTGGTCAGCGGACAAGCTCTGAAGCCGAGCTCGGCCAGATCGAACGGCTGGTATTGGGCCAGCCTCGAGGGTGGTGGCACGCGGAAGTGTTCGTCCTCTCGAAGGGCCTGCACAGTCGGGTACGTCTTGAAAAGGTAGCTGAGAGCTCGGAGACATTCGTCCGAGGTGAGCTTGCCGTCGAGTTTGCCCACGTCTGGATTGACGGCTATGGTGCCTGCAAAGTCCTGCATGTCGACCTTCGTGAACAAGACGTCTGCGAAGTTGACGTCTAGAGGGATCTCCTTGTGGGCCTCGAGATGCCGAACCAAGCACTCGGCCTCTTTTGCGTGCGCCCAGACCTTGCCTTCGGCTGTCGTCTTCCAATTGTCGCTCTTGATGTCGCTCTTGGACAGGGGCAACGTCAGCAGGAATGGCTTCCTTTTCGTCCGTCTCGTCATCGCCTGAAGAGTCGTCATTGGGATCGTCGAGCTCAACGAGGTCTTCGTCCCCATCCTCTGCCGTGGGACGAATACTGCGGGCACTCTGAAGACGTTATGAGAGACGATTTCGCTAAGGAGCTGCTGGAAGGAGTACGCTTCACAACCGATTCTCAGGAACGTCGATTCGAAACCTCGAGCATTTTCACTTCGTCTTGTCGTGCTCAGCAGCCCGATCTGTTTCAGCCCATTGTCATGGCATGTATGCTGCGAAGTTAGCGTGAATGTCGCTTAGTCGATGCGACGCCGACCGTTCTCACAAAGGTGAAGGCTACGCTGAGCAAGAAGGCCGGATACGCGACCAATACGAACTTCTATGGCGCGATCGATGCCCGAGAGGGACCTGGACTGGTGGCTCCTGACATCCACACGAACGGCGGTCTTGTTCGTACTGGGAAGTGGAGCCTTGGCCAGATCAAGATCCCAGGGGAGCATCTGGACATCAGCGTATACAAGGCCAATGTCGAACGGATGATCCGCGAAGCGCTCGAGAACACATTCTTTGACGAGCGACGCATTAAGTCTGCCTTCGCGGACGCCATTGAGGCAACCCTTGGAGGGGGTGTCACTGTGCAAGCATGCATCGTGCAGCAAATTGGCATCCTTGGAGCAATGACCGCGTACGACAAAGAGCGGGGCAACAATTATGCTGAGGCCGAGCCGAGCATGATTACGGTGACGCAAGCTGCGCATGTCCTCAGGCCCATCCCAAACGAGATGATGCAGAACATTCCGGCTGTAAGGCTGCATCTCCGGGCGAAGCTCAAGCCCGGGATTCAGACCTCGCTGCCGGTAGTATTCGAGCCGCTTTGGAACCCGTCCAGCAGCCTCGGAATCCCTCGAGACTTTTCGAACATCCCTGCCGTGATGATGCTGGTTGATGCTGCTGCCAGAGCCTTTGTTGGCACGCGCGACAGCATCGGCAGATGGCTGAGCGATGTGCTGGAGCCCAACGCCTTCCATGTCTTCACGCCAAAATTGAAGCTGAGATTTTATTGCGGCGCACGCCGCACAATCACTTCACGGTCTATCCGGCTGGGACTGGTGGAGAGTAGCGTCGTGTAAGTTTCAGGCTTCACGAGGAAGAGCGGCTCGAGACGTTCTACGAGACGTGCACACCCGCCGAACGGAAGAGCCGGCCAATCGCAATTCGTGGACTTGCCAGATGCAGCGCCCAAAGACGACCGACTTGCTCCTTAACAGCTCAGTGCGGGTGATGCCTAGCAGCTGATGGAGAATGGCGACTATTAACATCAAGCCATACACCATCCTTGGCGGCAGTCAAACGTCCTATATGATGACATGGTGAGGGCAGCCTCTCGCACGAGTAGAGTCTCGATTTGCTTAGCCAAGGGAGAGGTTGTCGCGCTCTCTGTCTTTGCAAGCGCACAATTTTCGTTGACTGGCCCGCACTCAAGTTGAATTCGGACCCGCGACTCTGTGACCTGAGCGAAGCTGATTAGAAATCTCAGAGCGCAGAGAGCGGAAGGCATCATCGCAGTGAGCTGCCGCCGCCATCTCCACTCGCGATCTTCCAATTGCTCACCACCACAGACGTCACCTCCGCACTTGACGTATCGTCTCTCTTCGACACACGGGCATCAACAAGTGTCGCACAGTACACTCGACGTTGAAGCAGGTACACAGTGTCGACACAGCGAAGAGCACCCCATCATCCGCCACCTGACCCCCCCATACCTACGTACGGTTCCCATTCACCATGGCGCCTTCTCTGTTCCGCGCCGTTCGCCCGGCTGCTCAGCTCTACCGTGCGAGCGTACCATCGACGTCGAGCCGACTTCTCTCGACCACCGCACGCCGCACGCTCGCCACTGAGGCCCAGGGCACCCACCCGCAGGACAAGGCTGTCCCAACCTCCCCCGCCACCTCGGCCTACACCGTCGAGGAGCTCCACGACAAGAGTGCGCAGGAGATTCTTCGCGAGGGCGGCAGCAGGAGAGACCGTTCGCTGCGCCACTTCACCGTCAACTTTGGTCCTCAGCATCCTGCCGCCCACGGTGTGTTGCGTCTGATTCTCGAGCTCAACGGAGAGGAAATCCTACGAACTGATGTAAGTGCCACAACCGATCGAACATGCAGGTGCTTTTTCGAGCTCGATCGGGCTGTTTCAGTCAAAGCCAAGACACTTCTGTGTACAGACATGCTGACATTTCCATCTGCTACTCATCCTGCTTTCTGCTTTCGCAGCCCCACGTCGGCCTTTTGCACCGAGGTACTGAGAAGCTCATCGAGTACAAGACTTACACACAAGCCCTCCCCTACTTTGACCGACTCGACTATGTCTCGATGATGACCAACGAGCTCTGCTACTCGCGAGCCGTCGAGAAGCTCCTCAACATCGAGGTCCCCGAGCGTGCCAAGTGGATCCGCACCATGTTTGGAGAGATTACCCGTATTCTCAACCACTGCATGGCTGTCCTCTCACACGTCATGGACGTCGGTGGTCTCACTCCCTTCCTCTGGGCCTTCGAGGAGCGAGAGAAGCTCATGGAGTTCTATGAGCGCGTTTCGGGTGCTCGTCTGCACGCCGCCTACGTCCGTCCCGGTGGTGTCGCGTACGATCTGCCCCCTGGATTGCTGGACGACATCTACAAGTGGGCAACACAATTCGGCTCGCGAGTCGACGAGATCGAGGAGGTAGTGACTGGCAACCGTATCTGGAAGGGCCGTACCATCGGCATTGGCAAGGTGACTGCTCAGGAGGCGCTCGACTACGGTTTCTCTGGTGTCATGCTTCGAGGCTCCGGTATCCCCTGGGATATCCGCAAGGTTGCTCCCTATGACGCCTACGACCAGGTCGAGTTCGACGTTCCCGTTGGCAAGAACGGTGACTGCTACGACCGATACCTCTGCCGAGTTGAGGAGTTCCGCCAGTCGCTGCGCATCATCGAGCAGTGCCTCAACAAGATGCCTGCAGGTCAGATCAAGGTGGACGACCACAAGCTCGTGCCGCCACCGCGTGCCACGATGAAGGAGAGCATGGAGTCGCTCATCCACCACTTCAAGCTCTTCTCGGAGGGCTACGCCGTGCCCCCCGGCGAGACCTACTCGGCCATCGAGGCGCCCAAGGGCGAGATGGGCGTCTACCTCGTCTCGGACGGCACCAACAGGCCGTACAGGTGCAAGATCAGGGCCCCCGGTTTCGCCCACTTGGCAGGCGCCGACTTCATGGCCCGTCACCACTACATCCCGGATATGGTCGCTATCATCGGCACCCTCGACTTGGTGTTCGGTGAGGTCGACCGTTAAGCTCTGTGTCTCGTCTAAGGTAGATCTGCAATTGAAAAAGTCTCACGTACATATCCTGATGCTGTCTGTGCTTGTCGAAGCAACCACGCGGACCTCCGTTCGAGAACGGAGGCAGAACTATGGTTGGCAGGTCTATACAAAGCTTTTCTTCTGCACGCCCTCCGCAAATGATGACGACCTTACACGCATCGACCTCCTTCTGCTCGCGATGACCAGTCTGCTGAGGTTCGGGAGGTGCGGGTGAGTCAACCTTCTCCACGGACGATGTCGCATGGGCGTAAGAGTAGGAAGCGTCGCGTGTTGTTCTCCCACCGAAACGGCACTCGGAAGCCGCTTTTCTCCACAGCAAACAAAAATTCCAACACTGACACAAACTCAGTCGGCCTCGCTTTGACTCCTCCTTCCATTCCGCACGCACAAAACATCCCGCAAAGAGTCTCTTCGACTGTCAGGGACCCGATCACTGGCTCGAACGACGACCTGAGAGGATGCCGTCAGACAGATGGCAGCCTCGACGCAACGCAGAGGATGATCGCATCGCCTTCGAACCGGAAAGGAACGGCGAACCGTCACAGCGATCAAGAACATCGCCGAGGCAGGACGACCGCTACGAGCGGCCCAACAAGACCCGTCGGATTGACGAGAGAGAGGCGCCACGCTCTGGCACTGGTGCTCGTGAAGGAGATCGTCGGAACGATGCGGACGATCGTGCAGGACCCTCTTCACCACGCCGCTCGGACAGCACCCGTGACGCAGGCAAACCGCCAGCTCTGACAATACGAGGCGTAGCTGCCACTCACATTCCTTCCTCTCCCGCTCGCGACTCGACGAGAGACAAGGACGATCGACCTCGACGAGCTCGCAGTCCGGATCTGTTTGATCGACTCGGCCGGCGCGACAATGATGCGAATGGCAACCGTTCTCGACCCGACAGCTCTCTGCGCTCCCGACTCGACGATAGTAAGGATCGGGTTGACCGCGATGCGCCTCGACGTGGCGCTACGAAGCTGGCGCCCAGAGGTCAGTACGATGACAGCGGTCGTCGTATAGACGACTCTCCTCAGGCCGACGCTAGGGATCGCAACAGAGGCGGTCGCGCAAGAGATGACCCGCCCACATCTCCACGCAAGCGCGATGGCAACTCATGGAGGCAGCGTGATCGTTCCAACTCTCCTGACGGTGGCCGCTCGCGGTTTCGAGGCGCAGCTGATGATGATGTTGTACGCTCTTGGGACGATCGATCTTCGAGGGACGACCGCAGTCGTCCATCACGACGCTCGCCGAGTCCCACGACTGCGAGGCAGTCAGACAGGTACGACCGGTACGAACGCCGCAGATCACCGCCAAGGGCGAGCGACCGTCTCGTCGACACTCGAAAGGACGTTACGTCCTCAGCGAAAGCGACTCCGAGGGCGCGCAGATGGGGCGTCAAAGCAGGCGAGGAGGATCAAAACGCTCCCGTGCCAGATGCGGATCGCAGACGCCGCACACCCTCACCGGCACCATCCAACGCATCTACACGATCACAAAGGCGAGATCGGGACCTCGACCGTGCAGCCGAGCCCGACCGTCAGCGCGATCGACCCGCTCGATGGAGGATCGACAACGGCAACGATTTTGACAGCGATTCCCGCGGCGGGCGTAGGGATCGAGATGGAGCCCAGCGGCGCGATCAGCAGGGTCGGGAGCGGAGAAGGTCGCCGGATGATAGGCGACCACGCACGCCGCCTCGTGTCGACGAGGGTCTCGATCGAGGCCATGTGCTGACACGCAAGTCGGGCGCTAGTGCCGGCTTTGATGGCGCCCAACCGCCCACTGGCCCTCGACGACAGGAAGTCGAGACGAACCAGCGCAGCATCCGCGGGAGTGGGTGGCAGACTGTCCGACCTGGATCTCGACGCGAGCGCGATGCTGCCCACGCCAAGGACGGCGCTCGCAATGGTCACGACGACACTGTCAAAAAGCGACCAGCGACGCCTCCTCCCCCTGCACCACCCGCGCCCATCGAGCCGGCTCGCGCGGAGCCCGGCGAAGCGTACGAAAGCATCCACCAAGTGGGCGAGGGGACCTACGGGCAAGTCTTCAAAGCTCGCTCCGAACGCACTGGTGCCCTTGTCGCACTGAAAAAGATCCGCATGGACAGCGAAAAAGACGGGTTCCCCGTCACTGCGATGCGCGAGATCAAGCTGCTCCAAGCATTGCGCCACGAAAACGTTGTGCGGTTGCATGAGATGATGGTGACACGCGGCTCGATCTACATGGTGTTCGAGTACATGGAGCACGATCTCAACGGCATCCTCGCGCATCCCGCCGTTCAGTTCAGCCCAGCCCATCTCAAGTCCTTGGCGGGACAGCTGTTTGAAGGGCTGGACTACCTGCATCGTCGCTCGGTGCTGCATCGCGATCTCAAAGGATCGAACATTCTGCTCAACAACGAAGGACGGTTGAAGCTGGCCGATTTTGGTCTTGCCCGGTTTTATGCGAAACGCAGACGCGGGGATTACACGAACCGGGTGGTGACGCTGTGGTATCGCCCACCCGAGCTGCTGTTTGGAGAGACGCAGTACGGGAGCGAGGTGGACATGTGGGGTGCCGGCTGCATCTTTGTCGAACTGTTCGTCAAGAAGCCGGTTTTCCAGAGCGAGACGGAACTGGGACAGGTGCAGGCGATCACGGATGTTCTGGGCCCAGTGAGGAAGGAGGACTGGCCAGAGGTGGATAAGTTGGCGTGGTACGAGATGGTCAAGCCTGCCACGCTCGCTGATGCAGGAGAGCAGGAGCAGAGGGATCATGTTCAGGGCGCCTTTGCAAAGTACTTGCCCGTGGAGGCGCTCGAGGTAGCGCGGGGATTATTGACGTACGACCCACGCAAAAGATGGAGCGCGAAGGAGGCGCTCGCGTCGAGGTACTTCGAGCAGGAGCCGAAGGCGGAGCTGCCCGCTGGGCTGCTTAGTGCGTTGGAGGGCGAGTGGCACGAGTACGAATCGCGAAGGGCCAAAAAGAAGGCGACGGGTCAGAGAGGCACGGACACTGCAACGGTGGCCACGGCAGGATCGACTGACCCTGTCGTCACTCGTAGCGCCGTTGATGATCAGCAGCAGGGGTGAGGTTGCGAATCAGGCTGGTCTCCTTACAATGCGTGGATGCTTGGACACATCATGCAAAGAGAGCTCATGAAGTCGTCTGCGCTTCATAGTCGCCCCTGGCAATACCAATAGCATTCACCTGGAAGGAATCAACACAACGACACTGTGTGGAGCCTGAGGTCTGAAGCTTGCTCACAACGAAAGACACATGCGAGTCAAGGGTCCAGCTGTCCAAACAAAGTCGATCGCTGCTGGGTTCAGACTCGCTTGAGTCCTCGCAGACCCCTTTTCTGTGGCTGGGCGAGCTTCAGAACCCTGTCTATGGATCGACGATTCCATCCATCTTGGCGGACCTGCAAAATTGAATTGACCGGGCTACGTAGCCGTACAGAGACCAGGAGAGGCTGGCGCGGCCTTCGCTCGCTCGCTTGTTCGATCGAGCCACCACAGCCTCACGCTCAGCTGCCATTTTCAACCAGCACAAATGCGGTCAATTTTAGAAAATTGGAAATTTCAAGGCTTTGTGCGCTGATGGCTTGGCTTGTGCTGAGCCCCTCTCTCTCTCTTTCGGCTCAGGAGAGAGGGAGCCTCTGCCGAACTGCCGTTTTGCAGTTGCCTCACCCTCCACTCTTGAAGGACAATCAGCCAGTCTGCATGCGTGCTTGCGCAGCGCTGCGCCCGGTTGGACCCTCGATTCTGCGCGCAGACCGTCAGTGTGGGAGCGAGGCTGAGCGTGCCTGAGCCTGAGTCTGCTGCAGTCGGTCCATCCACACCCGCACCCTTGACTTGGCTGAGCAAGTCAGACGGACGGTCGATCGCTCATATCTGCTCCCCGCATCTTTGTATCTCTCGCCTTCACCACCATCTCCATCAAGTCATCCCCGCTTCCCTTCAAGATCACCCAAGATGAAGCTCAACCTCTCCCTCACCTTCGTCGCCGCACTCGCCACCGCCTTTGTTGGCGTCGATGCCGGCGTTCACAAGGCCAAGCTCCAGAAGGTCACCCCTTCCCGCGAGCTCACCCTCGAGGGTCTCGCTGCCCAGGCCGAGATCCTTCAGCTCAAGTACGGCGGCGGCAACTTCAAGAAGCAGGCTCCCTTCTCTGCCAACCCTGAGCACGACTTCAGCATCCAGCCCATCGCCGACACCAAGCAGGCCGCTGCCTGGTACGCCGAGGCCAAGAAGGGCCACGGCGTTCCCCTCACCGACTTCCTCAACGCCCAGTACTTCTGCGACATTGAGCTCGGAACCCCCGCTCAGCCTTTCAAGGTCATCCTCGACACCGGTTCCTCCAACCTTTGGGTTCCTTCCACCAAGTGCTCGTCCATCGCCTGCTTCCTCCACAAGAAGTACGACAGCTCCGCCTCGTCCTCGTACAAGAAGAACGGCACCGAGTTCAAGATCCAGTACGGCTCCGGCTCCATGGAGGGTATTGTGTCCAACGATGTGCTCAAGATCGGCGACTTGACCATCAAGGGTCAGGACTTTGCCGAGGCCACCAGCGAGCCCGGTCTCGCTTTCGCTTTCGGCAAGTTTGACGGTATCCTCGGTCTCGCTTACGACACCATCTCGGTCAACGGCATCGTGCCACCCATGTACCAGATGATCGACCAGGGCCTGCTCGACGCTCCTCAGGTCTCGTTCTACCTCGGCAGCTCCGAGCAGGACGGCGGCGAGGCCGTGTTTGGCGGTATCGACGAGAGCCACTACAGCGGCAAGATCCACTGGGCGCCCGTCAAGCGCAAGGGCTACTGGGAGGTTGCGCTCGACAAGCTCGCACTCGGTGACGAGGAGCTTGAGCTTGACAACGGCTCCGCTGCCATCGACACCGGTACATCCCTCATCGCCATGGCCACCGACACCGCTGAGATCCTCAACGCCGAGATCGGCGCTACCAAGTCGTGGAACGGCCAGTACTCGGTCGACTGCGAAAAGGTCAAGGACCTGCCACCCCTGACGTTCTACATTGACGGCAAGCCGTTCAAGCTCGAGGGCAAGGACTACGTGCTCGAGGTCCAGGGCTCGTGCATCTCGTCCTTCTCCGGTATCAACCTCCCCGGTCCCCTCGCCGACATGTTGATCGTTGGTGATGTCTTCCTGAGGAAGTACTACTCGGTGTACGATCTTGGTAGGAACGCCGTCGGTCTTGCGACTGCCAAGTGAGGAACTGTCGCTTGGGTATCTTGACGACATGGCGGGAGCGTATCTTGACGCACCTCCGGGTCTGCTTGCCGTACCAGTACCAGTAATTCTCACGGTCCAAGACCTCTCGTAGGATTCCGACTTTGTTTTCCCTTCAATGACTTTACTCTCGCATCGCAATTACATTTTCATGATCGCTCGAACTGCACGACAAGGTTGGCGATACACTTGTGACAGGAGCGCCAGAGTGAAAATGAGCGGCTGCAGGCTGAGTCAGAGGTCCAACGCAGTGGGTGCGTTGGATCGTCATATCGCACTGTGTGACGGTGAAGATTGCGGAGAGCAGTTGAAAGTGAGCGTGTGTTGAGGAAAGGAGGGGGGCGGGGTGGAAAGGTGATTTACGCGAGGGGCGCGTTGGGAGGGTCGCGTGCAATTTCGGGTCGAGACCAACACTTTGCGAAAACCGCATCTTCTTGACCAGCTACATCACCCACCGTCCTTCTCACGCACCATCGTCATCTATGCGAGCTCGCAAGGTCCGCATCAACAGCCTCCTTTTCTCAGCCTCGCTTCCTCGAAACGCCAGCATCCAGCTCTCTCGCCGCCTCACAGAGCAAACAATCGTCGATTCGACAGCACCCAGCATATCACCGCATCCTTGCTCAACGACGCTGATCCACGCCAGCATACCCTCTCATCCACCTCCTTCGCCCACAACCGAGCAATGTTCGGCGACTCCGCACTCAAACTGGCCACCGAGGCCAAAGCCTGTTTGAACCTCGACACTCTCAAACCGTACAACGACGACCTGATCCGACTTCTCGTGCTGGAAACCAAACAACTTCACGCGCACCTCACTTCGCTGCTCACCACGCTGTCCGATCCACACCTGGCCCCGAGCGAGGTGGCGGGGTTGCAGAGTCAGCTGTTGATGCTGCACTTGATTGTGGGGTACAACCGTCGTGCGTTGTTGCTGTACCACAATACGCGACTCGATCTCGTGTGCAGCCATTTGGCAAGACACAGTTCGCTAGCGATCCTGCTTGCTCGCGAACCAGGGTTGCGGACATCATTAAGTCCAGCAGAACAGGATTCCCTACGACGCTATGCGGAGCTGCTCCAGCGTGGAAAAATGGCTTATCTCGACCTGAGCCCCGGCTTGCGGTTGGACGTGTTGGATGGTCAAGTGGCCGAAAGCGTGCCCACAGAGCTGTTGGTGACAGTGAAGGTGGAAAGGGATCTAAAGGACGTTTGGCTGAGCAGCAATCAGGTGGCGCCGACGACGCTGAGGAAGGACCAGACGGTTACGATTGCGAGGAGCGATGTGAGGGGGTTGATCGGGAGGGGGTGGGTGAGTGTTGTGGATGGCAGTGGGTAGTGGCGAGACAGGAGGAGGCAGGGGGGTCAGGGGCGTTCGACTAAGATTGGAAGTCCGGAGGATGACCGCTAGGATGGGAGAAGGGGGCAGGAGGGGGGAGTCTCGACCAGGGCTTGTATTCGTATCCCGCACCGCATCGCATCACACACACTTTCAGCACATCGACCATCGCACCTCATGCACGCTCGGCCACGGAAGTGAAGCGAATGGTGACATTGACACATTAGACGGAGCAACATGTGTAGAAAACGTAGTGAGGATGATGGAGGTGGAGCGAACGCAATCGGACCGGGGAATGATGGAGGGCACATCTACAAGTTTGAAGACAGGGACAGACGAGGGAGCAGGATCTGACGAACGACAGCGGACCAGCGGAGCACTCACGGCAGCTCTTCGATCTGAGGCACGGGCGAGTCTGGATGCTTGGACGACAACGACAGCAAACCGGGCGACTCGGCCTCGGTGGCAGCAGTGGCACACCTCTTGCCGGTCCCCTCGTCTTCATCGCAAGACCCCTCAGCATCGTCCTCCGACAGCGAATCGCCGTCGTCATCGCCATCATCGTTCTTGTGGCCGTCAGCACCGACGTACTCGCCCTCGGCATCCTGATCCTGGTCCTGATCCTGATCCTGGTCCGACCGCTGCATAGGAGACGACAGGCCAGCCACGCGGCCGCCGCCATGCGTGGACGGACGATAAGTGTTGGAACGCGCTCTGCCCTGAGCCGTGTTCTCGTCCTCGAAGCTGGAATCGGCGGCTCTGGCTGTGGGCAAGGAGGACGCGTCGATCGCGTGTCGATCGGCATACACACTCTGATCCTGGCCGTTGATGTGACTCAGCTGCAGAAGGTTGCCGAACGACGTGCGGTGCGTCGGAGTTTTGGCGGAAAAGGCATCCTCCTCGAACGACGAGATCTTGGCGTTGGCGGTCGAGGCCATGGACTTGACAGAAAGCTGGGACGCGGAGGATGGCCTTCCTCCCTGCGAGCTGGGTCGAGTCTCGTTCTCGCCCACATCTTGGGGATAGTCGCCACGGTACGCTCCTTCGGCGTGCGAAAAGCGCCTGGACATGAGCACGGAGCCCGAGTGGATGGCGCTGGGATCGCTGGGCGCCTCCCTGTGGTCATACACGCCGTGAGGGTTTTCTTGCGGGTAGGACGTGCCAAAATTAGACTCGCCGGTGTGGTGATGGTGCTGATGCTGATGCTGATCCATCCCATGCTCGTTCATCGACTGAGCAGAGCAGTCCTGTCGCTCGCCGGCATAGCGACTGTACGACATGGCGTTGCTCGTGTCCATTCCCGCCGAATGCAAACTGCCCAGTGACTGCATAAAATGCGACGATGGCTGAGTAGCTCCCGGCAGGATGCTCGACGAAGCAAGCGAGTAGTGCTGTGCGTCCATGTGCTGGGATCCCGACGCGTCGTAGCTGAGCCGGCTATCCCAACCGCCGAGATGAGCTCGCGAGCCATTCATGGAGCCGTCGCTCATCAGAGTCATATTGCCCGCAGCAGCATAGTTGGCCGTCGACATGCCAGCTGCGTCGATGCGAAGCGTGTTCAAGTCCATCGAGCTTCCCAGCCCTGAGCGAGGGCTCGCCTCGATCGACGTCGGCACGCCGTAAGGACTATAGCCGAGCGGATGACGCTGATGACTGTCGAGCGATGCGTCGGACAGGTTGGTGGTGACGCTAGCAGGGCTGTCAAACTCCCAGTTGTGTTCAGCGCCGAGTCGCATGGGTGTACGGAAGTGGTTCCATGCAGCACTCTTCTGCAAGCTCGACGAGCTCGACATGGCCGTAGCTTGCATCGGCATCTGCATACCGTGGCCGTACATGTCGACACCGGGCAGGGCGGGCGACATGTCGAGCGAGGGCACGCTGGGACCGGCGGATCGATAGTCGACGTTGTTGACCACGCCAAAGTTGTCGGCGGTCGAGCCGGTGCCGGTAGGGATGGCGCCGGCCGCTCGTAGATCTTGATCTCGAAACTGGATAAGATTGCGAAGCACCTCGTTGCAAGCCGCCAGCGACTGTACTGCACTTCGGAGCTCCTCGTAGGGACCGTTCAGAATGTGTCTGCTGACAGTCATAGCTTGATGATCTTCGGTGAAGTCCTCGCATTGCCGCCAGCTGACTCTGGGCTCTTCGGCGCTGCCGTTCTTAGCCGGTGCTGACCTGAACACTTCCATGAAGAAGGTCGGCGGGCGCTCGAGGTCGATGACGAATTGGCCAAGAGGAACACGAACACCCTCGGCCCGTTCAGCAATGGTCGGTTCCTTGGGTCCGTCAAAGTAAGCAGCGCTGATGGCGGTCCACGGGACCTCAAGCTTGAAGCCGATCGATTCGCTGGTGAGGTACCACGTCAGGGACTGCATTCGACGAGAAAAGAAGCAGATGAGCGGCGACACGCGTCGCCACGTTCCGATGCACAAGGCGGAGGTAGGCATGGCGGTGACGGAAGGCTTCTCGTCGATCACATCGCGCGCTGACCGACCAGCCGAGCTGGCTGCTTTATAAGTGTCCCTGTCGCTGAGCTGAATGCTGCAACTCTTCTTTCTGCTGGAGTCGAGGGCGGTCTCGCCTCTCTGCTCGACGACCTTGAGCTTGGCACGGCGGTTCTGGAACCAGACCTGGACACTGCGTTCTGGCATGCGCAGCTTTCGTGAGAGCTCGTGGCGGATACGGCCGGTCGGGTTGCGGTTTTTCTCGAAGAAGGCCTCGAGACTGCGCAGTTGGTCGGGTGTGCATTTGTTTCGCTTCTTTCGTCCCCGAGGTCGGAAGGCCGCCGAGAGCTTCTTCTTCTCTGGAGGAAGATCCGAGTCGGTGCTGTCTTCGTACGAGTCATTGTCGCCGCTGGAGCTGGCCTTGAAGGGCAGACTATCGATGAGCGCTAAAGCTTGGGAGGAAGGCGCGTCGAGCGCTCGGTGCGAACGATGCATACTGTCGGCGAGGTCGAGGTCTCCATTCAAGCCAGCGTTGAGACCTGAGGCTCCTTTGAGTCCGAGAGAGTTTCCTTGCGGGCCGTACGGATAGTGAAGGTCGAAGATGTTGTGCGTGTTAACCGAGTCGTAGCGCGGTGTGGAATGCGGCTGGCTGTCAGTAGCCTCCCACTTCTGCGGCGGCTGATGAGACGAGCTCGAGCCTTCCTGGATCGCAGCATGAGCGGCTGCAGATGAATGATCCTGACTCGACCAGTACGTCTGAAAAGCATCGGAGCCGTAGGAGCCGTTGGCGCTGTCGTACCCAGCGACGGAAGCAAGTGAATGGCCCATGGGGTCCAGCCTGCGCAGATCCTGATGAGCGGACCTTTGCATGTCGATGTCCATGGGGGGCAGCTTTCGATCCTCGTAGCCCCGCTGCTCCGACTTGACGAGGGATGGAGAGTTGGCGATGGTGGAAGCTTGAGGGTCGCTACGTCGGTGTGAAGACAGGACTGCGGCGGTGGCCCGGGTGGCTTGGAGTGCCGCAGCTCGTTGGGGTCGCTGCGACATGTCGGAGAAAGAACGGAGATGAAATGAGAAATGAGCAGGAACCCCCCGCAATGTAAGGAATGGACGTGGAATGAGAGGAACGAGTCGTGGAGGAGCGATATATGAGCAGGTGATGAACGAAGCAGAGGGCAGAGGAAGCAAAGAAGGAGGTGCAATATTTGTGCGTGGGTCAGTACACAAAGAAAAAGCGCAGGACGAGCCAGAACAAGGAAGGACACAGCCGCACGACGTTTGCACACAGGAACTGCGCTTTCTGTTCGGCGCAGGCGTGCACTGGTTCTGGGCTCGAGAGGCCGTGCTGAGTCCTTGTGGACCGAAAGGCGAGCGAAGGCGAGCGGCTTGGGCCTTCCGTCTGTGAACGGGAGTCTCGATGCACGATACTCGCAGGTGCGTTTCGTGTGGGAGAATCAGGATGCGCGACCGGTGGCTTCGGCGGCTGTTGCACAGTGACGAGCCGAGGCAGGTGCTGCGATGAAGCCGACGACAGCAACAATGATGAAAGTGTCGTTACAGCCCACACAACAAAGCATTGTAGGGTTTCAGTCCGAGAGCGAGTGCGCACGGAAAGCAAGCATTGAATCACGACGGCGACGGACAGGGCAGGTCAGGGTCCGGTCGAGGCTCGGTATTTCGACAGAGCAAGCCATGACATGTACCTATCTTGCACCGAAAGTGTGAGCTTTCCAGAGCCGACAGAAAGCTTCTCTCGCTTTGCAGCTGCAGCTGCAGCTTGGTGGGGCGCAGACGTCAAAAGGCAACCCGACATCGCGCAAGCCAAAGCCGAAGCTCGAAGCTGTGGGCGTGGGATTGAGGATTGGGCGCTTGGAGCGGGTGGGACTGGGAACGAGAAAACTTTTGCCCTGTGACCTGAAAGGCCGCATACGGGTCGCCACGCACGATGCAAGAATGCAATCCCAGCCTCCGAAAACCTTGATTTTCCCATCGTCCCACCAAAAGCTGGACAACAAAGATTGGATGGTCCAATCAATGATGCTCAGCGCAATCGATGCGGAGTGGGATGGATTGGTCTCGCATTGCTCGACGTCGGTAGGGAAGCGCAGTGGGATCCGCCAAGGCTGTATGTGGACAGCGAGAACGGATGTCGGCGACCAAAAGTGTGGGATGGCAAACGAGGAAGAAAACGCCGCGGGTGCATGTGACAGTTGCGCTTGAGAGGGCAAATGGACTTACCTGTCAAGAGCCTAAATTTGTTAGGCAGGAGGGGATGTCGCTGGTCGGATACTGAGAGGAATGAAAGATGAACTCGACGTCGATCGAGATCGACGAGGACCTTTATCTACTTTGTCTGAGAGGTCCGTGTTATGGCCCTACATAAAAGACTGTCGACTTTGTCCGTTGATCGAAGGACGAGAGATATGTTCATTTACGAGGATTGACCGCAAGCAGCGAGGCGCTGTTGCACCCGAAGAAGGGCATTCAGGTGGACGATATGCCAAGCTGGACGGCCTTCAAGGTGGGTCATAGTAGAGTTTGTGGGCTGTATATTAGTGGGGAACCGTGCTTGTTAATGGGCCCATGTGATCCTGCACTGCTGCAGTAGCGTGAAGCGCCTTGACATTGGCAACACAGGCCTCGAGCTTGACCAGAAGCAGAGCGAAGCGTCGTAGCAAGGAGGTGACGATTCGCAGCTTCTATACGTCTTTGAGCTCTTCAAAGGAGGCAGCAGATGTCTTTGATCCAGCAACAAGTTGGGCGAGCCGACTTGATGTCATCGCAACGGACGCAACGAGACTATGTCTTAACGAGGCGAGTGGCATGGCAAGCTCTGCTACGCATCGTTCCACTCCAGCTAATTGTTGAGGCCTTTGGCTCCCGGTGCCGGCTTTGTGAAAGCGGTGAGTTCGAGGTCCAGGCGCTCCGCGCTGCGTGCTGAGCCGCGTACGGCGCTTGAGCAGGACACTCTAGTGATTAGCGTGACCAACGGAACGGTGGAGTTTTCACCGCCGACAGGCTCGTGGGAATGAAGGTACCTTTGTCGGACTCGAATAGATCAATACCGGGCGCTCTGATCGAATCGGGAACTGCGCTCTGCACAGAATGGTCGAAGGCTACTGGCGAGGGCTCTGGCGCATGCAGAAGCCGATGGCGGCGACGAGGACATAGCACCAAGTCGCAATGGAGAAGTGCAGGTTCAGCTCCTAGAATATGATGCCAAGGCTGAGCTTGTGTAGGTGCTTGCTCCTCTCCGTATGTGTCGTGGAGTATGAAGAAGAGGGCAGTGCGGAAATGAGCGAACGACTCGCTCCATCTGTACAGCTGTTGAGCCTAGACTGTGGAGGCTGACGAGTGATCCAGCCCCGCAGAGTACCCCTCGGGGACGCTACCTATCCGACGGAAGGAGCTAGCCAGAGCCTGCTCGACTCCCCAACCAACCCCACACAGGTCGGATCCACTGTCTGAAGTCAAAGATCTATCACTCAGTGCGCCGTATGGACTGCGAAGCCAGACTTTGGCTAGCCCAAGACGCACACACGCGTGAGGACAGCCCACGATCGCTTATACCAGGGAGTGAGGCTGAGCTTCTCGACGAGGCTGAGTCCATACAACGTGGATCAGCCGGGGCTCTTCAGTGGCATTGGGCGCCAGGGCGTAGTGCCATTCTGCCGCAGTATTTGCTGCCACTAAGCCGCGATCGCAAAGGATGGCTCTCGTTTACGTGACCTGACAGCACGCACCGTGACTAGAGGAGGCCATTCGGGTCGTGTCCGAATGTGGGAAGCAAGCCCTGGCTGAGCGTGACCAAGGCGCTCCCGATGTGACTAGCGGATGTCAAGCGATGCACTGCAGGTCGGCTTTCGCGAAAAAGGGCGGCTTTCTACGCCGGTCCGCGCGTTCCGCTACGAGCTGGAATTGGCTGTTTGCGCCGCTTCTCTCTGAATAGCTCGTCAAGACGGTAAGATGGCCCTTGCAACCTTGGTCATCCCGTTTTATGATTCATCCCGGCTGACCAGAATCAGATCCTGCCTCTCGACTGATGAGTATTGAGGCAATAGATGAAGCTGCGAGCAGAATCTATCCAACATGAAGCATGCCTGAATCCAAATGGCTCTGCTGCACGTCAACCGGCAATCTCGTCAGGCCGTGCAGCTGCGGACCGTTTGCCCGTTGGCCAATTTCCAAAAGCGCTGAGCGGACCACTGCGGGGCTCAGCCGGATCTGACACCTGCTAGGAAAATCGTGAACCTTCTGCAGCTCAGCTCTGCTGCGTGATGAGGGCCCAAGTGGAGGAAAATCTCGAAAGAAGGAGGCAGATGATCCTTATCAGTCGTGGATCGATGATGCGCCTCTGCCAAAACTTGTCAGTCACACGCCGATAAAGAGGCCGACCCACAACTCGTCACATCACCCTCTCCCATATGGTAGCAGGCTGTCATTGTTCTTGGTCGCCCTGGGACCATTGCAGTGGTTGGCAAATCGCGGCAGGATGCAGCTATTCTTCTTCTCAGAGAAGCAACGTCGATCTTGTGGTGGATGATGGGGTCGACAGGGAGCGGCCCGGCGAAGTTGCTGCGTGCAGGCCACCAGAGTTTTGCGGTGACGACAACTCGCTGATCTGATCTTGCTCACCCAAATTGGCATGCATGATAATCGCAGGGACGTCACAGAGGAAGAAAAGGCCGGAAAATCAACAGCAGCAGCCAGCAGCGAGGCTCAAATACTTCTGCGTCCGTGCTCACCCTCTGGCTGAAGCGCTGAGCCGAAGAGTCTAAATCTCCCAGCGTCAGCATTATCATTCGGTTCTGCTACAAGCCGGCCCAGAGGCGGATAGACCGACGAGAACTACCATCCAGACACGATGCTACTGAGATGAAGCGGCGGAACTAGGTCTTGAGAAAGCAGTTGTCACAATTGAGTCAGGCAAGGCGGCTCGTCCGTGCGGAGGAGCTTCTGTCTGTGTCGCAAATCTTCTTTCGTCCTGAGCGGGACAGAGGGCGTTGGCGTGTGCTGAAATTCCGTTCGGCTTTCATCGCAGTCGGTCCGTCCTTGTGTGCGTCTGTATTCCTCCTCCTTGCCTCATCCCACTCATCATCTCTTAGATTGTTCTGTGATTGCCGCCTTCGCTCCTGATCACTGCCAATCTCGGTCACATTCGTCCTCTCTTCCTCATCCGTGATCGCATCGCTCCACAGCTAACAGCTTCAACATCGGCGACTTGCATCCCGTTTGGACACGCCCCACGCAGGCTTCGTCAAACTCCGTCACTCCTCGGATCCTTCCGGTGTTCGTCACGAGAATCTCCACGGTCTCAGTCAGCATCTGAACGAGCTAGCTAACCTTCGCTAGTCGAGTCGCAATCCTCCGTTCGGAACACCCACCTCTCCCACAGCTCGGAATCGGTCCCACAAGCCATCATGCCTGCCAGCAACGCCCCCGCTTTCGACAATGACACCATCATCGTAGTCCTTGGTGCTTCGGGTGATCTTGCAAAGAAGAAGACCTTCCCCGCCCTCTTCAACCTCTTCCGTCTCGGTCTGCTTCCCAAAACCACCCACATCATCGGCTATGCACGAACAAAGATGGACAAGGACGCCTTTGCCGAAAAGGTCACCGGCCACCTCAAGAATGTTGACGATGAGCAGGGTAAGCAGGATGTCAAGAAGTTCCTCGAGATTTGCCAGTACATCTCGGGTCAGTACGACGAAGACGAGTCGTTCCAGAACCTCAACAAGGAGATGGAGCGCATCGAATCCGAGATGAAGCACGACCACCCCAGCCGTCTCTTCTACATGGCGCTGCCCCCCAACGTCTTTACCGTCGTTGCAAAGGGTCTCAAGAAGAACTGCTACTCAGAAAAGGGCAACAACCGCATCGTCATTGAAAAGCCCTTCGGCAAGGACCTCGAGAGCAGCCGAGAGATGATTGGCGCGCTCAAGGGTCTCTGGAAGGAAGAGGAGACCTTCCGTATTGACCACTACCTCGGCAAGGAGATGGTCAAGAACCTGCTCATCATGCGATTCGGCAACCCCTTCATCGACGCCAGTCTCAACAACAAGCTCGTCGACAATGTGCAGATCACCTTCAAGGAGCCTTTCGGTACCGAGGGACGAGGCGGCTACTTTGACGAATTCGGTATCATCCGTGACATTCAGCAGAACCACTTGTCGCAGGTTCTGTCGCTGCTGGCCATGGAGCGACCCAAGTCGTTCTCGGCAGAGGACATCCGTGATGAGAAGGTCAAGGTGCTCAAGTCGGTTCCGGCTATCGAGGAGAAGGATGTTCTCATCGGCCAGTACACTGCCGGCAACGGCAAGCCCGGTTACAAGGACGACGACACCGTTCCCAAGGATAGCAACTGCCCCACCTTTGCCGCCTTGGCGCTGCACGTCAACAATGACCGATGGAAGGGCGTTCCCTTCATCCTCAAGGCGGGCAAGGCGCTTGATGAGGCAAAGGTGGTGATCCGCGTCCAATTCAAGGACACCCCCGAGGGCTTGTTCAACAACATTGACCGCAACGAGCTCGTGATTCGCATCCAGCCAGATGAGGCAGCTTACCTCAAGATCAACGCCAAGAAGCCCGGTCTCGAGATGGCTACGCTGCCCGCTGACTTGGACCTGACCTACAAGGAGCGCTTCTCCGAGGTGCGCATTCCCGAGGCGTACGAGGCGCTCATCCTGGACGCGCTCAACGGCGACCACTCCAACTTTGTGCGAGACGACGAGCTCGACGTTTCGTGGGCCATCTTCACACCTCTGCTGCACGCCATTGACGAAGGCAAGATCAAGAACGAACCCTACGAGTACGGCAGCCGCGGTCCCGCTTCGCTCAACGACTTTATCGCTCGCTACGGCTACAAGCGCACCAACGAGTCGTACGAATGGCCCACCACCAACGTCAAGAAGGTGCAAGGAAAGATGTGAACGGACTTCGGAAGGGTGCAAAGCTGTGCAAAGGTCACACCATCTCTGCTGAAGGGGTCAACTCCAGTCGTTTCTTCGGCCTCAGTTCTTTGAGCTTGAATTCCTCACTGCATCTCGAGACAGGATCCTCCTAATACTCAACATGATTTCAGATGAGATAAAAAACAGCAGGCTTGTGCTAGTGAGGTGTTCCTTGACAGCTTCTCGGCTCGAGTGTGAGACGTCCTTTGCCGTTTGACTGACTGGTGAGGACCGGCTTGAAGCAGCATCGAAGCTTCCGAAATCGGAAGCTGCGACCAGGCTGACTCAGGCTGAGTCGCTGATTTTCCTCCACTTTGGACAGCTGCACGAGACCCCGAACAAATTCGGCGGCTGCATGGCTGAGTCGCTGCAGCTAGAAAAGCATTGCCGAACTACTCGACGTCAGACTTGTATGCTCGCCATCTCGATTCCTCTTTCCTTCTCTCACCATACGAGCAAGCAGTGCGCACAACTTCTTGTCCATCGCAAGATGTGCTCGAGAAGCCCACAACGAGCAAACGTCTCTACTTTCAGATGAGCTCGCCGCGTAAGCCTACCGGACGTCAAGCTCGGAAGCCGCCCAAGCTCGCTCACGACTGGGACCGCCCAGAAGCAGGGCCAGAGGAGGTCTTTGACATTCAATCTATTTCGTCGGATGAGGAGAGCGTCGCTGCATCTTTCAAAGCGATCAGCAGCATGCCTTCACGAAACAAGGCCGCTGCAGCGCCACGAGCCAAACCGAGTGCTTCGTCAAAGTCTTCCAACCAGCAGCCATCTTCACAGGACATCGTAGAGATCTCGGCTGACGAGTCTCTGGGTCACGGCCAGAATGGGCACGATGACATGGACATGTCCGACTTTGAGGATGTCGACGTGGAAGGGCAGGCAACCGCTGAAGGGTCTCAGGCAGGCAGTGACGACCTCGACATGGAGGACGTTGACGTCGAAGCAGATCAGTCGGCACAGGATCTGCAGGACATGTACGCGGCTGCCTACCGCGATATTCAAGCCAAGTACGGCGACGGCACCGGCGACTACGACGGAGAAGGCGGCATAGAGGAGGACGCAGATCAGGCTGCCGACGATGGTTCCTCTGGGTCCAAGCAGATCCCCATCTTCAAAGACGGCAAGGGTCAGCATCGTGGCGTCGAGATCTCTATGGGCAGCAAGACTAGCAAACAGACCGACTCTCCCAAGCAAAAGTCAAACAACTTCCTCACGCCTCGCGACCGACAGAATCGGATCACCGCCCATAAGCTCCTTGTTCTGTCCATGCTTGCTCACACTCGGGTGCGCAACCAGTGGTGCAACGACGGCCAGCTCCGCGATACGCTGGCGGAAACAGTGCCAGACTACCTCATCACCAAGCTTCGGTCAATCCATCCGAAGAAGGTCACAGAGCAGCGCGAGAGGATCCGCATGTTCGAGAGCTTCCTCTCGGATCTGGTGCACTGGTGGTCGTCGAGATTCCGCCTGGATCCCACCATGGTGGCAAAGTCGGCCCTCCGTCAGCCCGACCAGGACATTGCGACCGGTGTCATCCCGAGCTCCGGAAGACGGGTCGACGGCTGGATCGTCGAAACAGCTTCGGAGCGAGAACAACGTCATCGACGAGAGCGAAGGGAGCAATTGCGATACAAAGAAGCGAAAGAGCGGCAAGCCAAGACGGACGCGGAGGCGAATGGGCAAGGCAAGGGCAAAGGCAAAGCCAGGGACACCTCATCGAATGGCACCTCGGCGGCCGTCTCGCTCAAGCCACCGACAAAGGCGATGGAGATCACCATCTTTGCGCCAGGCTCAGCCATCCGACCCATCTATCTGCGTCTTCTCCCAGCAGCAGAGGACATCGCTTCTCCTGCAGGGTTGAAAAAGCGTGCGGAAGAACGATCGGGTTCAAGAGAGACGAGCGCTCAGCTCTTCTGCGCCCTGTGTCGCTCTATAGGTATCCCAGCTCGGCTTGTCGTAAGTCCACAACCGCTATCGTGGAGCGTGGGTGCCAGCAAGCTTGCAAACACCGCTCAGCCTGGTAGTCAAGCGGACAAGAAGCCCAACAAGCTCCGTGCTGGAGCTAAGAAATCAGCATCACGTCGATTCGCCTCCAAGCCGGTCAACGAGTTCACTTCGGATGACGAGGATGGCACCTACAGTGCATCGGGAGCATCGTCGACTGCACGAAGCAAAGGATCCGTGCGAGCGATCAGCGTCGATTCGCTATCATCCGCAGACGAGGCGAGAGCCAGCGATACCAGCAAAAGCAAGCGAAAAGCTGCTGTCGGTGGCAAGACCGCCAAAGATAATGAGGATCTCACCAAGAAAGCGGTCCTCAGCGCTGCAGCCAAGACACCCAATGGCAAGGGCAAGCCAGCCCGTCGGGGTGACCAGAGCTCACCCATTACTCTGGACGATACCGCTTCGGACGCTTCTTCCACTCGATACGTCTCCAGCTCAAAAAAGACGAAAGCTCACGCGATCGTCACCGCCACCGTCAAGGGAAAAGGCAAAGCTCGCCAAATTGAAACCATCGAGATCGAGCCCCTGCCCGGCAATCGGGAAAAGAGCTCTGACGAGGACTATCGCCCCGACAAATGGAAGAACCTCAAGGCGCCCCTCAAAGTCGAGCACAAGATCAAGCTGCGTGCCTTCCGTCCTAAGCAGCTCAAGGACTCCGAGGTGGCGGGGGACGACACGACTGCGGACCCGGTCGATCTGCAAGCGCCGCCGACCATGTGGGTCGAAGTGTTCTCCAAACCCTACCAAAAGTGGATCACTGTCGACCCTGTCCGATCCATGATCCGACCTTCGGGAAACCGCCACATGGAGCCGCCCGGCTTTGACAGGCAGAACAAGCTAATCTACGTCGTCGCGTTCGAGGAGGATGGCTATGCGCGCGACGTCACTGCGCGATACACCAAGACGCTCAACTCGCGCGTCTCACGCTTGCGTCCACCGACCCGGGCCAAAGGCGAGGAGGACTGGTGGACCAAAGTCGTCCGCTCCATCCATCGCCCGCAGAAGCTCGACCGCGATGCGATGGAAGACGCCGAGCTGCAGGACAACAGCTCCCGCGAACCCATGCCGTCGTCCATGAACGGCTTCAAAGACCATCCGATCTACTTTTTGGAAAAATTCCTCAAGCGAGACGAGGTCATCTTCCCCCGACGGCAGATTGCGACGTTTCAGGGCACGCCCGTGTTCGCCAAGTCGGACGTGCAGACGCTGCGCTCTTCGCGACAGTGGTTCAACGAGGGTCGGGTGGTCAAGGACGGCGAGGCAGCGCTGAAGTGGGTCAAATCGCGTGGGTATACGTTGGCCAACAAGCGAGCCGAGGAGCAGGCCAAGCTGGAAGGCAGGGAGGTGGCACAGGAAGGGTTGTACGCCGAATTTCAGACGCAGCTGTACGTGCCTCCGCCGGTCGGGGAGGACGGCGTGATCCCCACCAACGGGTTCGGAAACATCGACCTGTTCGTGCCTTCAATGCTGCCCGCTGGCGCTGTGCACCTGGCGTACAGCGGCGTGGCCAAAGTTGCCAAGAAACTCGGCGTGCCGTATGCAGAGGCGATCACAGGGTTCGAGTTCCGCAAGCAGCGCGGCATGCCCAAGATCACAGGTGTCGTTGTCGCCCAGCAGAACGCCGAGCTGGTGGAGGAAGCTTTCTGGCAGCAAGAACAGCAGGACGCGCTGAAACAGCAGACCAAGAAGATGGAGCGGGCGATGAAGAATTGGCGCAAGCTTATCAACGCTGTTCGCATAGCAAAACGCGTCAAGGAGCAGTACGGGGATAAGATGATCAAGGAGTCGAAGGGGAGCAAGAAGAAGTCTGTGAAGGACCATAGCGTTGGCGATGAGCAGGATGGTGGGGAGAAGAGTCGCTTCTTTGCTCCCAAGTCCGATGCTGCCGAGCCCGCGGCTGATGTGTCACTCGACACGACAGCGGAAGACCTCGACATCGACACACCGATGGACGACATCCCTGAACCGACATCCGCACCATCCACAGCAGCATCGACCCCATCCAAACGCAAGAAGATCATCTCGCTTGCGCAGCTCGCGTCCACATCTAGCCACCCGGACGACGGCAACACGAGCTCGGACGCTAGCCCCTCCCCTCCGCCAGCCGAGGCTCCACCGGCGAAACGACCGCGCAAGTCGGCAACTCGCTCCGACGAGGCGGCAGAACCAGCATCATCAACACCGGCCAAACGGCCGCGACGAACCCCGACGACGCCATCGAAGACTGTCCAGGCAGAACCCACTTCGGCCCGCCGCAGCGCCCGTTCCCGCACGAGCAAGGCCTACGCCGAGCCAGACACAGATGTCGACGACGACGCCGAAGCCGATGACGGGATCGTCGTCCAACTCGACGCCCCAACCGCAGACGAAGAGCCATCCAGTCGTCGCACCAGCCGTCGCATCACAGTCAAGCTCACGCCCAAGAAGTGACTCATTCCCTCTTCACATCACACCATCGTCAATACCACTTGTCAGACATACTGAAGAATCGAAACGTGTGTATTGCGTGCGAACTGAAACGAATCCATGTGTGCCTACAGCCAGGGACCCCAAGTAGGATCTTGCAACGCCAACTTGCTCGGGTTGCTGGCCGAGTTGACCAGATCGAGTACCACGGAGCTCACCGGCGTCGTGGCCGGTGCGCCGTTCTGGAGCTTATCAAATTCGTGTCTGCAGCTGACCAACTTGGCTCTCTTGACCACCTCCAACACGTTTGTCAGTACGACCTCTCTGGGTGCCTCGGTAACAAGTGCGGGAGGGGGGGCGCCACCTGCCTGAGCAGCGGCCTGAGCTTGACGTTGAGCGCCTTGGAGCCAAAAATTGATCTCGTCGCGCACGAATATGCCTAGGTACTCCTCGAGGTTCCGATCGGGTTCGGTGAGCGTTCTGCCCAACGCCATCAAGCTGCTCGTCAACACACCTTCGACGCCCACCGGCCCGATGAAATGCTGCAGATTCGGCGAGAGACGGAATGGCGTCGGGTCGGTCGACTTGAACTGCGGCGCTGTGGGATTGAACGTCGGCACCACATCCGACATGGCTACTTGACCCGAAGAGCGACTGATGTGGATGCGGTTCGGAAGACGGTTGCTGACGAACAGGCAGTAGGTCACGAACGACGCTGCGGCGGTTTGCAGCGTGAACTGCTTGCGGAGCAGGTAGAGTTCGGACGCACTCGGCATGGACCGCGTGAGGTAACGAGTGAGAACGTTGTCCGGGACGTACTTGGTCGAGATCTCCTCCATGAGGTCCATGCGGAGATTGGTGAAGTCGACATTGCCGCGTGTGGTACCGGCCGGGGTAGCTCCACCGTCCCACGTCGATCGCATCTTTTCCACCCACGCGATGACGGGGTCGTCCTTGCCAATCCCGATCTCCTCGCAGTGTCGCTCGTAGATGTCTTGCAGACTGACAAAGCTCGAGTCGTGATCGATCAGTCTCACCTGAGGTGCCAACGGCAACGCCAGTGGCACGTGGAACGCCAATCCCCTCTTCCGCGTCTCCTTCCTCCTCTCCAGTACGCGGTTGAAGAAACGCAGCAGCTGGAAGATTCGTTCCTCCCGTCGACAGTACCTTCCACTCGGCAGCTGCACCGCAAACGAATGCGTCGTGCCCTTGTTGCTCAGAATCATCAGCCGGCGCGTGCACATCCCCGAGGAACGCACCATCTCGAACACCGGCATGAACCGAGCGATCTTGACAAAGTCCGAGTTGTTGTCCTCCAGCTTGAGGTACTGACCGGGCACCTCGACCTCGTCGAACTTCTGATGCTGAAACTCGACGAGGTAGTGAGAGCAGTGCTCGAGATGCTGCTTGCTGGGTCGACGGTCGAGGCTCGTCTCGTATCGATCGCGCCAGCGTTGCAGTTTGGACACGTAGTCGCGCAGCGTGGGCTTCGACTTCACAAAGTCCTCCTCGAACGACGTCTTCAGTGGGCCGGGCGGGAGGTTCTCGGCAAAGCGGATGACGTTGGCCTGCGAAGAGGCGGGGAGGACGCCAGAGTCATTGGGCGAGACCGCGCGTTGGATGTACTGTTGCAGGGCATCGTTGAGGAGCGCGTTGGTGAGACGGTAGATGTCTTCCTCGTTGGTCGGCTTGAAGCGCTGCTGTATCTGCTCGGCGATGTTCTCCATCGTGAGCGTGAGCAGCGGGAAGGCGGTTTTGAGGATGTTGAGGATCTCGTCGACGTACTCCCAGGGTTGGCGTGGCATGTTGGCTGCTGCAGCGGCAGCAGCGGCGGCGGCAGCATTAGCGGGAGCGGCGGGTGCGGGTGCCCCTCCGGCTGCGGCTGCGGCTGCAGCCGTTGCCGCTGCGCCAGGCGCGGAAGGGGCTGGAATGGCAGACTTGCTGGCGTCGGCGCTACCGTTCGCAGGCGTGCCCGCAGCGTTTGCAGGCGTCGCACCATCCGCTTTCGCGGGACTGCCAGCCGCAGCAGTCTGTCCGTCGGCACCAGCGGTCTTCCCCGCCTCGGCACCCGCCGCAGGCGTCTTTCCGTTCGAAGCAGCCGCAGCCGCGGCAGCCACCTGTTGCTGCTGCCTCGCCTGCTGCTGGGCCACCCTCTGCGCCGCCATCAACGACTGCCGCTTCATCGCCACAAAGTCCTCCTTGGTCGTGCGCAGGTGGAAGTACAGCGATTGCGGATACGTCTTTGCGATCGACATGAGCATCTTCCGCGCGAACCTCGCTTCTTTGTGGCTCAAGCTCTGCAGCAGCTGTGGGATGAATGTCGTCCAGTACCACGTGGGCGCTTCGCCCTTGAACCCTTCAAAGGCCTGCCAAACGGTGCCCTTGTTGTCGTCGCACGACAATAGCCACAGGACGCGGATGAGCACCTTGCGCACCTTGGCGTTCTTGTAGAGACCCGCCGCCTGAAGGTAGCAGCTGACGGCATTGCCAGCCGAGGCGAGGTCCGTGGGGCGGTCGCGGAAGAGGCGATCGTTGTAGCGACCCCACTCGGTCCACGCCTTGGCGAGGTTGAGGTCCATCTGGATCGCGGTGGCGAAGGCGTGATTGGCTTCGTCGTTGAGCCCGAGACGCGCCATGAACATGCCCTTGAGCGTGAAGAATTCGGCCTTCTGCGGCGCAGCAAAGAACATCAGGTTGGTGTTGTTGATCACGTCCAGACCTTGCGTCAACTCGTTCGGGTTCTGGAAGTGACACTTGGCCTGCTCGCGCAGCTTCAGGAAGGCCTCCTGGATCTCGATGTTGGGCAGCGTGTAGATCTTTGTGAGCGACGAGATGCAGACATCGTTGAGGTAGTGCTTACGAGCCACGTGGGCGAAGCGGTTGATGATCCACGCTGTCTCGTGGTAGCCGCGGTAGGCGTACGAGTTGGTGGACGCATTCTGACCGTCGCGCTGCTGAATGACGGGCACCAGCGGCAGGTACGCCTTGTTGATGGCGCCAAACACATGCTGCCTCCAAGCGACCAGGTCGGACCACGCATTGATGTCATCCCACAGGTTCGGCAGACGTTCTCGCCACGTCTGCATCTGCGCCTTGAGCTCGGCGGAGCGCTGGTCCAAGTTGGTCGCGTTGGTGTGCGCCAGACTGGCAAAGATGGTGCTTGCCTCTTGCAGCTCGACGAATTGCTGGAAGATCTGCAGCAGAGGAACGTGGGCAGTAGTGACGGCCGTCGGCAGCGAGTGCCACTTCTTGAGCGTCAGCTGAATCGCCTCGTCGCAGATGCGGCCAAACTCGGCAGGCTTGTCCTGACCGGACTGCGACTTGAGCAGCGCCATGTACGCCTCGAACACGCGACGTCGTGGCGTCGCGCTCGCCGACAGACTCTCGAGCGCCTGCTCTAGCGTCTCGCGCTCCGTGTTCCAGTCGTACAGACGCCAAGCGCACTCGAGCAGCAAGTCATTGTCGCCCTCCATCTTGGCGAGGTCGGTGAGGATGTCCCACTGCTGCAGCTTCTGAGCGCAGAAGACCCACTGGTCCTCCCACAGGTGGTACTCGGCCTCGGTAAAGTTGAGCACGCCGGATCGGGCTTTGATCTGCGCCGTCTCGTACTGCACCTGCGCCTGGTTCCACATGCCGATTTGCTCGAATGAGATCGCGCTATTGGTCTCGGCGTACACGCATCGTCGCCGCCAGAGGCCGTAGAACATGTCCTCCTCCGACAGCTCGGCGTAGAGCTCGGTGAGCGCGTCTTGGCCCGCTTCGCGGATGGCATCGTCCTGGCGGGGCAGCGAGCGCAACAAGTTCTGCAGAAGCTCGATCGACGTGTGCCAGGCATTGAAGTTGCGACCGAGGTATTTGACGACGTGGGGCGGCAGCTCGAGCTGCGGCTTGCACGCCAGAGCGCCTTCCAGCAGCGTCTGAACGACGTTGGGACGCTTGCTGACCTGTCGGAGGTTGTACTCGCGTGTCAGCACGCCGATGAGGGCGCGCGTGATGTCGTCGTGGTCCTTGCGGCTCACCGAGCGCCAGGCGGCCGAGAAGAACGAAACCCAGATCTGGTGGGCGAGATCGCGGTCTGTGTACTGGAGCGCACGGATCGAGTTGAGCATGTCGCCTAATTGCAGACTCTTGAGCGTCGGCACGAAGCTGCTGCCTCCTTTGCCGAGCTGCAGCGAGCTGTGGGCAAGGAGAGGCCAGTTGGTGTCAATCGACGCAAGCATGAGGTCAAGGACCTGATTGACCCAGTAGTGCTCGGCGAGGTACTCCCAGCTCTGGTGTCCGAGCAGGTACTGCAGACGTCCAGCGACTCCGCGAACCAGCGTTCGGTCAAAGATGTCGATGAACTTCTGGCGCACCTGGGCGTCCTTGTGACGGCACCCGAGCAAGAAGGCGTTCTCGAGTCGCACCGTCAGCTCGGTGCGAGCGAATGCGGGCGTCGTGTAGATGGCATGAATGAGGTCGAGGTAGTCGCGGAGCAACTGGTCGTTGTCGCGCGATTCAAACGACATCATCTTTAGCAGGATACCCGCTTTCTCCTTGACGGTCGGGAACGTTTCGCGCTGTTCGAGGATCCATTTGGACATGGTGGACAGCAGGAAGCGGCACAACTCCATCGACGACGAGCGCTCGACGAGCTGGACGAGAGCCGAGAGCAACCAGCGTCGCTGATCGCCAAGATTCGAGATGCGACGCTTGAGCAGCTCGAGCACCAGCATGAGCAGCTTGAGATTGGCATCGTTGGCAGGCACGGGCGCGGTGGCAGCCAGATGCTCCTTGGTCAGCTTGCTGAGCGCCTTGCTGAGAGCAGGCAGATGCGCGTCGATCTTCTCGGGCTTGCTCTGACTCCAAGCGTCAAGCATGCTGAAGACGCTGTAGAGGTGCTGACTCTGCTTAAGACCATCGGCGATGAGGTTCTCAGCAAACTTGCGGAAAGCGGCGAGCTCGTCGGTCGCCTCGGTCTCTTTGGTGTCTTTGGCGTCTGCTGCGTCTTCGTCGTCGGCCTTCTTGTCGTCGCCCGTGTCCATCTCGGCTTCACCATCTGCATCCTCCTCGGGCGGCGGATCCGGAATGACGCGGAAGATGCGCTCCAGGACGGGCTTCTGCGCCTCAACGAGCGAAACCTCGTCGGTGGCAGCACTTTTCTCCAGCAGCTTCTGCAGCTGGGGCACGTGCGGTGCAATGTAGGCATCCGTCTTGTCCTCGACGACGATCTGCAGAGTGCGCAGCGCATTGCAGATGACGGGTGTGTTCTGCTCGTTGATCTCGGTGTGAATCAGCGGGCGCTGGAAGATGGACAGTCGCACCTGCACGTCGGACCAGTAGGGAGCCTTGAGGACCTCGGAGAGCAGAGTGGCCGCCTTGGACACGATCCCGGCTTTCGAGATAGGCTCCATCGAGAGGGACACGAAGCGCACCAGGAAGCCGACGGTCATCTCGCGCAGGTTCATCGGCATGAGATACTCGTGGTCGGCAGGAGACAGATCAGCAATGGCGGCACTGGGCGCAGCGGAAGCCGAGGTCGTCGAAGTGGCTGCAGGAGCAGGCGATGAGCTCTTGGACGCAGAAGCTGAAGCCGAAATGCCCGTCTCATCAATGCGGACCTTCTTGACGGCCGTCGCCTCTTCAGGCGCATCGAGAGCGCGTTTGGCTGCGCCTACAGTGGCATCGGCATCCGTTGCAACGTCGGTAGAAGCGCCGTCCTTGGATGCCTGCTGCGAGCGGACATGCTCTTGGCGGCGCTTCTCCCACTTGTGCAGGAGCTCGACGAGGTCAACGGCAAGCATCCTCGACTCGACATTGACATTGGCGACAAGGCCGAGCTTGGTGAGGTTGCTGACAATGTGCGGGATGAACATCTCGCGACTGCTGTAGAAGAGGTCGGCGTGACGCACGAGCAGGCTCAGGATCGCAAAGAGCTGGCTGACGTTGTGACCCTCGTCGACGAGCTGGCGCTTGGTCCACTTGGCCCACTGAGGGGCCTGGCCAGGCTCACTGGCTCCGGCACGCTTGGGCAGCGCTGGCACCAAGATATCGAGCGCCTTCTTGACCATGCTGCGGCCCTCCGACTGGTGAGCACGCAACAGGCCAAAGTAGACTTGGCCGACAATCTTGATGGGGCTCTCAAAGACCTCGAGGAAGCGCGCGATGAAGATGTAGGCCACGTTCTTGACGGTGACATCTTCGGCGGTGAGGTTGGCCCAGCCGAACTTGATTGTGTCCTTCTTGAGCTGCCCATTCTGGGCGAGATGATCCGAGCAGTGCTCGAGGATCATGGTCGACATGTGAAGCAGCTCGATGCGGAGCGCATCGTCGGAGCACAGCTCGGTGGCCAGCTTTGGGTTTTGGAAGGGCTTCCACATGCGGTTGACAATCTCGGTGACCAGGTCGACATCGATGACCTCGGAATCGTCAGCGACAGCGACGGTGGTGGTCGTGGCGGCAGCAGCGGGGTCGTCGGTCTCTGGAACCTTGCTCGCCTCCGTTGACGCTGCGGCTGTCTTCGCACCGTCCTCGGCGGAAGCAGCGGCGGCGGGTTCTGGCTCCTTTGCGCCGGCAGTTGCCGCCTTCATCTCGACATCGCCGTCCTTGTCATCGGTCTTCTGAGCTGGCGCGGCGGCGACTGCCGCTTTCGGCTTGTCTGCGAGGATGACCGCGTCTGCCTTTGGAGAGGCAGCTGCCGAGGACGTAGGGTGAGGACCGTACGAAGCGAGCAACATCGGGTTGATCAGTACACGAAGCGCCTGCGTCTTGAGCATCTGACTTGCATCCTTGTCTTCGAAGAGCGTGAGGAAGCGCGAAAAGACCTGCCTCTTGAACGAGTTGGTCGCCTTGACGCAGAGATGGTCGTAGATGAAGCGGGTCGCAAAGGTGAGGTCGAAGGCAATCTTGTAGGTGTACGCGTCGAGCATCGCCACATACGCCTCGACATGGGGTTCGATGCGGAGATACGAAAGGAAGAGCTCGATGAGCTGCTTGGTCTCACTGTGGCTTCGCGTGACACCGGGTGCCGGGGTGCCGGTCGTGCTGGCTGTGGCGGCAACCGCTTTGGTGGCGCTGCTGCTGTTGGCCTCCCCGCGTCGACGCGCGCTGCTTGCAGGACTGTTCCAGAGAGCGATGAGCTTCTCGAAGACATCCTTGTTGTTGACCAACCACTTGGGATCGCATTCGACCAGTTGCTGCACGATCGAGATGCCTGCTTGGACTTGGCCCGCCGTGGCTTCGTTGGTGAAGAGCGGGAAGAGCAGCTTCTCGCGCCTCTCCGTCACCTGAGATCGCAGTTCGGGACCGTCGTCAGATGCCAGCGACAGCTTGACCACCCTCAAGAACTTCGGGTTGCTGAGCTTATCACCTTCGAAGAAGTAGGTGACGGCCTTCTCAGCGAAGCGGTTGAGGAAGAGCGTCAGCGGCTTGGTAAACGGCGTGGCACCAGCGCGTCGCAGCTGCGACTCGATCTCGGCCACCGTGGTGGTGAGACGCGGCAGGAACTGAAACGAAGCTTCAGGCAAAAGGCGGAAGACATTGACGATAGCCACAAGCGTCTTGATCTGCTCGTTGTCGCGAAGAGATCCGGCTGCAGCGCGATGCAGCACCGCCGGCTCAGCAAGACTGGTCAGGTGATCCAACAGCTTGGTACCGATCTCGACCTTGAAATAGTTGGTGAGCAGCTGCAGCAGACGAGCGAGACCTTCGAGACCCGAAGCGGTCAGACGGTTGCGGTCGGCCAGGGTCATCAAGATGGGTCGAAGACCGCTCTGAAGGAGATCCTTGGGCAGCTTGCTCTGCTGGCTCAAGACGGTCTTGAGAGACTCGTAGGCCACCTGCACCACCTCTTCGCTGCGCGAGTAGAGACTCTTGAAGTAGACCGAGATGATCTTCATGCGCATCTGCGTGTGCTTGGCGGAGAGGAAGTCGCCGCACGCCATCGCAGACGAGAGCAGCCGGATCGCCACAACGCGGAGCTTGGTCACGGCGATCATGTTCTTGTACTGCGACGTTCGCCCGATCAAAGCCTGATCGTCGGCGTCAGCGAGCGCCAATGCCTCGGTCAATACTCGGTACAGCTCCTCGTTGAACTCGGGCAGCGGCGGCGTCAAATTGAGCGCAAAGGTGATGGCGTCAATGTGACCGATCTGCATGCCGAAGGGAAGCGCACGCAGCGGCTTGGTGAAGATGGGCTGGAGGAGACGGTCCTTCTGCGGTGTCAGCAACTCGGTGACGGTGCAGTTGCGGAGCTCGGCGAGCAGCTTGAACGCCGTCTGCGTGGTGGTGCGGACAGTAGCGTTGGAGCTGGAGAGCTCAGGCACCAGGATACCGATGAGGTAAGTAAGGTGACTCGGCCTCTCGGGCACGGGCGCTTCGGGCTTGCCGTCAGCAGCGGGTGTCTTGACGGTGTAGGCCTGTCGGATGACCTGGAGCAGCGTCTCGCTGACCTCGTCGATGTTGCCGGGAGGATCGTTGGGCATGTCCTTGAGCATGAAGAGCAGGGCACGGACGATCTCAAGCTGGTGATCGCGGACCCAAATTTGACCAAGATCGGCACGGCGAACGAGCATGTCAACACCGAGCCAGCCACCGGTCTTGCGCTGCCAGAGTTGCTCGTAGCATTGAGAGCAGAACTTGCTGGCAAACGAATGCATGACGATGTGGCCGAGATCCGGGCGCGTGGCGGGCGCCTTCTCACAGGCAGTGAGGAATTCGCGGATGATCTGGAGTTGCAGCTCGATGAGCGGCGCAGGATCGTTGCCAGCCTCGTTGAGAGCAAGTGCGTTTGTGAGACCCTCGAGCAACGACGTGGTCATGGGCCACAAGTGACGGCTGGATGCACCCGAGGACGAAGGCATCTCGCGCTTGATCTCGGCATGCAGAACGTGCTTGCAGATGCCGAAGAGATACTGCACCGCCTCGTCGCGCAAGTCGTCAGAGCGCGTCGCATCAAAGAGCCCCTTGATGAGCTTGCCGAAGATGGTCTCGCGCTCCGCATCCATGAGCGAGCCATCGAGGAAGAGCGCTGCGGTGTGTCGAAGCAGCTCGAAGGCGTGCTTGCGGTAGTACGGGTCGGTACGTCGGATGTTGGCCAGCGCCAGCTCGGTGACAGGTGTCAGCGTCATCGAATGCGTCTTGCCCTCAAAGTGCACAGGGAAAGTGGGACCCTTGTGCGAGTTGTACGACAGTCGCGGCGGGTTCTGCAGTAGCTTGCGGTTACGACCGCCCATCTTTCCGAGGATACGCATGGTGGTATGCGAGTGCTGGTGATTGTGAGGCAGTGGCTGGAGGTGCTGCCACAATGCGGCCATGATGTCCGATGCATAGGGTGCCATGATGGGGTCGAGGAACTCTTGGGTGAGGTTGTCGATGCACAACTCGAGCGTTCGAAGACCCTGGCTGACGAGCTCGGTCGACGACTGGAGCGCCAGCACCAAAGGCTTCATCAGATAGCCGAGGTAAGGCAGCAACACGCTCAACCGCACCGGAACCGTGAGACAGAGGTCGACAAAGACCTCGCGTCTGCTGGGCTCGGCCGCGTTGAGAAGCGCGTTGAGGTTCTCGAGAAGCACGGGAAGCAGTGGCAGCACGTCCTTGTAGAGTAGCTCGAATCGGCCACCTCCGATGCTGCGGAAGAGGGCACGGAGGAGCAAGAAGTAGTTGGTGGGTTCGTCGGCCTTGCTCGCCAGCTTCATGGATTCCATGATGAGATGGCTGAGGTGCGGCTGCAGCACCACCTCGTTCTCCTCAGGGAAGATGGTGACCGCCATGAAGGCCATCTTAAAGAGACGCAAGCTGATCGAGGCATGCTTCTTGTCCGATTTGCCGAGCTCCTCGAGGCGGTCCACAAGGAAGCGAAGAAGAATGCCGACAAAGCGTTTCGAGACGGCGTCGTTGCTGAGCAGATTCTGCGGGATGCCGAGCAATGTAGGCGAGTTGAGCATCTCCTGGAAGAGGAAGGGCATGTGCGTTGTAAACACCTCGTGGAAGACTTGCGGTTCGAGATCGATAAAGACGGTGGTGAAGAGATCCAGCACTTCCTTCTCCTCTCTGCCATCGCGATCCTCGTGGAGGGACCAGCACTTCACACCGTCGACGAGCAGCTTGCCTGCTACGGTGCCGTCCGGATGAGCAGCGTTGCGGTGTCGCAGGACAGGGATCAGTGTCTTGAAGCCAAAGAGGATGTTTCGGAAAAGGAAGCGAGCATCCTTGAGCGGGTCGCCTGCGGTGTCGAGCATGGTGGCAGCCGCTTGAATGGGCTTGCCGCGCTCGATGGCAACGGCATCGACAGCCGATTCGGTAGCCGCTTCCTCGGACTGGTCCTTGATGGTCCTGATGCGGTCCATGTCAGAGCGGAGACGATGCAAGCTGGAGAGCTTCTCGACAAAGACGTCCAAGATGGAGGCGAGCGTCTGTGTGGCGCCGTCAGGATGCTTTGTGAGGATGGTCTCCACAAGGTTGAGGAGAAGCTTGACACACATGGTCTGGATACTCGGTGCCAGTGTGGGATCGTGCAAGATCTGCGAGTGGATCTGGACGACACGAACGAGCTGTGCGGGAGAGAGCTCCTGGCGGACATGGTGGACGAGATCGGCGAGCATGCTGATGGCGAGGGGACGCTGCGTCTCGTGCGAAGTGACGCCGGTGCCGATGAGGACGCGCTCGTCGAGCAGAGTGTCGATCTGACCCACAAAGTGAGCGCGGTATTCGGTCGACAGGACGTGGCGCGTGGCTACGAGCAGCTCCTTGCGTGTAGCCGATGCCTCGGGCGGACAGTCCTTCAGCAGACGCACACTGATTTCGGGCAGCACTTGTGCGAAGGGACGCATGACGGGAGCAGATCCGCGCAGGACGTAGGCGAGGAAGGACATGGTCTTGACCTGCGCTACAATCATGTCGGTGTACAGCGACCGATTCTTGATACCCGGGGCCACGCCGACAAAGATCTCGCCTTTGGTCTTGGCAGCTTCGTGCGCCTCGCGCTGAGGTTTTGCCTGGAGCGAGAGACAGCTCTCGATGATGAGAGGCACAAAGACATTGATGGCCTGCGAGACGACGGTGCGGTAGCTTTGGAAGATGAGGACGATGACGATGGGGCATTCTGTCAAGACCTTGAAGCTGGACATGGACTTTGGCAATGTCTTGGCTGTTGTGGTCGTGGCGCCTGCAGCTGGAGTCGATGTGGATGGCGCTGCTGCCGCTGTTGCGCCCGGCGTGCTGGTTGAGTCTGTTGCGCTCGCAGCTGTCGTTGCTGTCGAGGGTGTGGATGTCGAGTCTGTGGCTGCTGTGGCTGCTGTGGTGGTGTCGGTCGTGGCTACTGTGGGTGCAGGGGAGTTGGCAGAGGCGGCTGATGTGGATGGGCCTTGAAGCTGAGAAGCCTCGGACTCGAAGGCCTGCTCGACCGTGTTCTTCATGTTGGAGTAGAGCTTCTTGACGAGCTCGAGGAAAGGCTGCACCTGATCCTGGAGCACGGCCTTGAAGGAGCGATGGAGGTCGATGATAACCTTGAGAGCGAGAACAGCATTGTCTTCGTTGTCGTCGCGAAGGACGTTGAGCATGGCGGTCATGAGGATATCGGCGTAAGGCTTGAGCACCTCTTGCTGTGGGAGACGGTGGGTTGTCTCGAGGATGATGTGACGAAGGCGCTGCTCTGTGGCTTCTGCAGTGAAGCTGCATGGTGTGGACTCGAGAACACTGATGTAGGCGGGGACAACATGTTTGAGAAAGAGAGCGTAGTCGAGGTTCTGGAACAAGTCGAGCAGTTCCTTGAGCTCGAATGCAGTTGCGAGCTTTGCCTTGATCTCTGTGGACTTGTCCGAGAGCTTGTTGGCGAGCTGCTCGACGTCGGGCACGGATCGGCGTGATGGGGTATCTCTGGACGACATGATGTGTCGATGAGCTCAGATGAGCCTGTCGGTGATGAGGCTGAACGAATGGGCGGATTCCTGTCGCAGATTGATTGCAGATGCGATCTTCTCTCTCTCTCAGAGGGTGATGCGGATAGCTGGGGTCGGATTAGCAACGGCGATGCATCCGCGCAGAAGCTTAGCTGAGTCGATGAAAGAGCAGTCGTGTGACCAAGGTGATTCCGTTGCGGATAGCAAGCAGCCCTTTGTCACTGCGGTTTCCAGGTGGACGCTCTATCGGACGCGAGCCGCAATGAGTCGTGGAAACGCCGGAACAGTTCCGCTTGAAGTCGGGCCGAGCTGACTCTCGATTCGGTCAGCCTTTGTCGGACGTGCCGATCCGAAGTGTAGGATTCAGGCGACGAGGAAGAGTGAGTGGATGATGAGGGATGAACAGCGGATGCACGAATATGAACCTTCACGACATGCTTCCAGGCCAAGCAAGGTCTTTGACAGGCACCCAACGCGAAAGCCGAGGCACGCCAAAACGCCAAATTGTTAGATTGACTTTCACTCCCTCGGCATCCTCGAGCCTCCCCTCGAGACCATTGACAGTCAAGATGGTCATTGAAGAGTCATGAATGCCCACAAGGGTCGTGAGATCAGCATCGTGCACATCCTAGATGCAAAAGTGCAGCAATGTCATACCAATGACGGACAAGGGACGGACGTGCCCAAGGTTACGCCGAGAGCAAGAAGCCGAAAAAGTGGGGGGAAATCTCGAAGACGGCCTCTCCGAGAAGGCCTGGCTATCCCATCGACGCTGTTGATCACGTGCAGCAGTCTCTCGACCTTTTCTTCTCGACGACCCTGGCTCGGAAAAATCCTTGAGTCGAGAGGAACGGGGGCCTAACACATTTGCCATTTTTGCCCCGGAATAGCCGTGCCGTGCTTCCATTGTTTGCACCCTTCCCCTCTCTCCTGACCGTCTGGCCGCAAAGATGGCCTTGGCCGAAGATGAGAAGGAGCTCCTACAGTGCCGATTCGGAAGAGCGGACAAGTGAGTCAGGTTCGGCGCGCTGCCGAGTGATGTTGGCAGAAAGCAGTCGGTGGATCCGAGGTGATGTGTGCGTGTTGGTTGAGACGCGAGCTGCTTTCAAAAGTGACACGCAGCGTAAAGAGACGAATCGGCCCTTTGTGAAGGCTGAGGTGTCCGTCCGCACGGTTGGAAAGCGTCACAACTCTTGCTTCTTGAAACTCCGCCTTGTCCGTCTCTCGCTTCTTGGCTCCATGGCTTGAGCTTCTTCATCCTCATTCCTTTCCATCCACTTCATCATCGTTCGCCCTTCCATCCTGGCTTGCAACCCATGTCGAGTCGCTGTTGAACTCGCTTACCAAATACCTCGCTTTATGGACCGATTGGATCGATCCTAGTACGGTCCGCTTTCGTAGAGGCGGTTCGCACACCTTCAACCCCCATCTTCGGCGACAACAGCGGACAGACACCATCTAGGAGCGACTACATCCATGCAATCGCGCAGCTTTCCTCGCTAGTTTTGCTTCTTGTCGCTCGTCGTCGTCGGTCGCGACTGTCTTCTGAGCACAGCCCACTTGCGCCTCCTTCCAAGGTCAAGACCTTGTCGGCAGCCCCTTCGACATGGCGAGTCTTCTGCTTCGGCTCTTCAACTCGAAGCAGTTCTCGCCTCAACATGCTCTCTCCTACCTCCGTACCTATTCCGACAACATAGGCATCACCTACTACCTCGTTGCCCAGCTCGAATCTGCTTTCGAGCCCGAGGAGGTCGAATTCTACTGGCCACAGCTCTGTCACCTGCTCATCACAAGACCGTCCGAGTCGCGCGCTCTCGAATGCTTCATTCTCCGAAGATGTAGCCAGTCGGTCCACGTCGCTCTTCTCACCCTCTGGTACTTCCAAGCCGCCCTCTCCGACCTCTCCTCCAACCCACATACCGCCTCCTTCCACATCTGCCATCGCGTCTTCAACCAATGCCAGCGCATCCTCTTTGAAGATCCCCTCTCCAGCTCCAATTCGGTCTATGCGCTCAGCACAGCTGCAGCCACCAGCCAAAATGCCGCTGGGCCGTCCGGTTCCAATCTGCTCCAGTCAGGCCTCCAAAGCCTGCTCGCCGCCGCCAGCTCTTTGGGACGGCAAAAGGTCTCGTCCCAAGCTCCGCTCGCCAACATCGTCGGTATCGGCTCCGTCATGGCCAGTGTCCCAGCCATGCCAAGTCTAGCCGGCATCACAGGTAGTATCGCCATTGAGCAGGCCAGACGGCCGCCCGATGCCATGCAAGATGCGCTTGCTGCGCGAGACGCTTACGACCACGAGGAGGACGGCGAAGTCTACGGCAGCGGTCATGGACCATCAGGCGAAGATGACGCTGCCGACAGCTCGGACAATGACTCCCTGGACGAAAAGACAACCAGCACAAGAGATGCAGCCAAGTCATCCAATTCGCGCGTGATGTCAAGAGCAGACACTGCTCCTCTTCCGCCGCCTAAAGATAGACCAGCTCCCGCTTCACCCAGCAAGGAAGTCACCTCGGGTGGCTCACTGCCCGTCGCTCCGGCTGCTAAGAAGGTCGACAATCCGTTCGCCACTTTCGCTGCAGGCTTCAACGCCGGCTTCCTCGATCTCAGCAACAAAGCCGCTGCTGCCGTGAGCGACGTCTTTGGCCAAACGCAGGACGAGCACGTCAGCTCCAATGGCACATCTACCGCCAGCAAGAAGAAGCAGGCCTCTGGCAAGGTACCACCCCCCTGGTCTCCATCGAAGCACCGTCAGCTCGCCTCGGTCAGCCACTCAACTGCTCCTTCGCGCTCGGTGCCCAACCTCATCACAAGCAGAGGCAGCGTCTCCTCCGTCTTTGCCTCCTCAGCCACCCTCGACCAGTCAGGCGCCAAAACGGAAGCCATCTTGGCGCTCTACAACGCCGAAGCGCGACGCAGCTTGCTCCGCTCCAACTACTGCAAGGTACAAACGCAGTTCCTGTTGTCGCTGCAGGACATCTCGGCTCGTCTGTTGCTCATCCCGAAGCCAGCTCGAGTCTCGGCGTTGCGCGCAGAGCTGACAGCGCTCAACCACAAGCTACCCGCCGATGTCTGCTTCCCCTTGTGGTGCACGGCGGACGACCGGGATGTTCGAACAGCTTTTGACGGCAGGACGCAGACTCGACGCCACCACCGCGTCATCCGCATCAACCCGAGTGAGGCCGTGGTGCTCAATTCGGCCGACCGTGTGCCCTTTCTCTTGCACGTGGAAGTGCTCAATAACGATCTCGACTTTGATCCCGATCGCAGGCAGAACAGGGAGACGCTGCGGCGTCTGGTCACGGAGGAGGACGTGCGCAGACGTAAAGTGGCCGCTGCATCGTCGGGCCGGTCATCATTCGTTCAGTCGACGACGGAGCACGCACGACGAGGGTCCGACTTCAACACGGATGCACAGGTCAGCACGCCAGACGCTGTGCAGGACAGCGAGTCGCCAGGGCAGGTCACAAGGACTAGCACGCCCAAGCCTCAATCGCGCCCCTTTACTCCGCCCATCGAGCGTGAGGTTCAGCCCGAACGGCGAGCCCAAAACGCGTCCGGCGGCACCAATATCCCCCCTGACGACGGAGAAGAAATGGACCTGACCGAGCAGATGTACGGCTCCGACCTCGCCGGCTTTGGTGGAGACCACGACTCGTCCGACGACGAAGACCTCGCCTCTCGCAACCGAATGCACGATACTGCTGCATGGACATCCGCTCCCTCCGGCACTACCACGACCACCACCAGCTCCGTCACAGGCGGCACAGGCACCGATGAACAGCTCGGTGCAGGTCACCGGCCCATGAAAGAGTTTTCCCTCGACGAGTACGCCCAACGCATGCGCACCGCAGCCATCATGCTCTCGCAGCTCAACAAATCCACCAACGCCTCGAAGGCGCAGGCGATCATCAACTACGGTCCCAGCCTCAACGCGCAGGGTGGGTGGAGTTCGTGGATTGTGCCCACCAACTGGTATTCTTCGTCTGCGCCTGCTGCCAACGGGGGCGGGGGCGGGGCGGGGGACAAGTCCGAGATCGGTCAAGGTTCCGCCGGTGTCAGTACGCATGTCAAGACGAGCATCGATTCGACCCGCGTCATGGCTGGGATGCCGATGGGTGGTGGAGGTGGCGGTTCACGGCTGGTGCACGCCGAGACGGAAGCCATCCGCAAACGCATCATGGAAGAAATGATGGCTTTGGAAGAGGAGCGCATGCGACGGATGAAGGCGGGTGGTCGCCAAGTGTCTGCATCACGGGCGCGCAAATCGGCGGGTCAAATGGCGGAAGACGAGGAGGAAGCGGTCCTCCGTGCTGTCAACAAGGACGATCCCTCCGCTGCGATGTTCAGCGAATCCTGGGCGGCCAAGAAGCAACGCATCCGGGCGTCCTCACCCTACGGCCACCTGGCCAACTGGGACGTGTTCTCCGTCATTGTCAAGACCGGTGCGGATCTGCGACAGGAGCAGCTGGCGGTGCAGCTGATCAACGAGTTCGGTCGCATCTGGCAGGAAACGGGGTCCAAATGCTGGGTGCGCTACTTCCGAATCCTCGTTACTTCGGAGAACAGCGGGTTGATGGAGACCATCACGGACGCGGTGTCGGTGCACTCGATCAAGAAGGAGGCGTACTCACGGATGAAGGAGGAAGACAAGGCGGCTGGGTATACGCTCTACGATCACTTCCTCGCGGCGTATGGTCCGCCAACGAGTGCGGGCTTCGTGGCGGCGAGGGATCGATTCATGCGCAGTCTCGCCGGGTACAGCATCATTTCGTACCTGCTTCAGATCAAGGATCGGCACAACGGCAACATTCTCGTCGATAACGAGGGACGGTTGATCCATATCGATTTCGGTTTCATGCTCGGTATCAGCCCCGGAGGCGTCGGGTTCGAAGCGGCACCGTTCAAGATGCCGCAGGAGTACATCGATATCCTGGGTGGACTGGAGAGTCGAAAGTTTGACGAGTTCAAGCAGTTGATGCGCAAAGGGTTTAGGGATGTACGTGCGCACGCGGAAAGGATCATCATGCTGGTCGAGCTGATGAGCAAGGATTCGAAGCTGCCGTGCTTCGCGCTGGGCGATCTGACGGCGAGCAATCTCAGGGACCGCTTCCAGCTGGGGCTGAGCCGGGAGCAGTGCGACGAATTTGTCGATCGGCTCGTGCTAGCTAGTGCCGGGTCGGCGTTTACACGGCTGTACGATGTCTACCAGAGGATGACCGAGGGGGTTTTGTAGGGCGCAATGATAGATTGGCACAATTGTCATTGCATGGCAAGAGTGTCTGTGTGTGTGTGGTTCCGTTGTGAAGCGCATGTTCTTGAGTCCTTCTGCGGGCATCCTGTTCCAAACCCATCCATCCAGGCAGGTCAGAAGCCTTTCTATCCCTCCGCCTCCCTTGCCTGCCCCTAGAACGGGACCTCGACGCCCACTCCCTCGGCAAACTCGACAATCAATTTCGTAATCTCGACATCCTGCAATCCGACGCCGACACTCTTGAACACGCTAACCTTGCCCTTCCTGCTCAAATTATGGACCATGGACCAGCCGGGGAACTGGTGTACGTAACTATCCCTGTTTCTCAAGTCGTTGTCGGTGGTTGGATGTGCGGGTCGCGGCGGGTATATATCTTCACCGAGCGTTCTACACCCCTTCCGGATGTCCTTCTGCTCCTTTGGGCTGTGGAGCTTGATCAGACACCCAGCTTCCTCTTTGCACGCGTCGAGGCTGTCCACTGTCAACCGTCCCGCCTTGGCCGCCTTCTGGATCAGTTCCGGTGGCAGCTCGCACATGTGTGGCTTGTACGAGCCGACTGCGCAGATGTGTTTTCGCTCCCCTCGACGTAGGCCCAGCTCCTTGATCGTGAACAAGGGTTCGGTGCTGGGGGTGCAGGTGAAGACCAATGCCGCTGCGCCCAGTGCCTCTTTGACCAAGGTGCGATCCGACGCGTTGATGCAGCCCACGTTGACCGTTCGAAGCGAAGTGGCGGACGCCGTGCACAGGTCCCTCAGCTGAGACTCGAGTCGCTCTACCTTCCCCTTCACCTCGTCGTCCGTCAAATCTCGATGGGATCCAACAATAACAGTGATCGTCTCGATCCAGTGAAAATACCGCAGATGCAACCATGCATGGTAGACAGCTTGCAGACCGTCTCCGAAGACAACCGCGTGCTTGACGCCCTCCATCGCCTCCGGCTCCCCGAGCGCCAGTAGCGACGACAACAGGCTCCCCGTCGCAGTACGAAGCGCTGTGAGACAGGTCGAATTCACCACGTGACTCACTTTCCCGGTTGCATCGTCAAAGAGCAGGTTGACACCCGGAATGCCGGACATGGAAGAAGTGGGCAGGGGGACAGAGACGATCTTAACGACGCTACCGGGCGAGGCTGTGCGGGCGGGCATGAAGAGTTGCGTGTGGTGCGGCGTTGTGAGTGAGAGTCGCGGAGGACATTGGGCGATAGGATCGGGCGAGGCGGTGGTTGGCGAGGCCTTGCGCTTCTTTAAGGGCACATCGGATAGCGCTACTGCTTGCGAGTAGAGCAGCGCCGATAGGGAGAGTCGGGGTAGGATCGTGCGCACATCGGCATCCGAGATGACCTTCATCGCGCACGAGGGTGGCAGGGAGCGGCAAGGAAGGTGGCGCCGGAAGGGTGATTCGAAGATGTGGATGCGAAGATATGGACGGGGGCAGAGCGGGACGTGTGCAGTATTGGACGGTTTTGGTGGGGTGGAGGGCGGCGGGGAAGTGTTGGTCTCAACGACGCGTTTTTTGGTTGCGCAGCGTTGCTTCCTGACCACATCGTCACACCTCGAAGCACCACCTTTTGCCTCGACAATCCCTTGTCCGCAGTGCAACCGTCCCATTCGCCATTGAATCAAGAGGATATTGCCGCTCTCTCTGCAAGTCTACTACCCGGGCTCCACGCATCTCGAACACACGACTCGCGCTACGATGACGAGCATCTCCCCATCACATCCTGACGGCGAAGCGTCATCCTCGGCCCGTCCTATAGCACCTTCAGCGCCAATCCTCACCCCGACCCTAGCAGCAGATCTCCGCCTCACCGCCCTCACCCACCTTCTCCACGGCACCTCCTCCGCTCCTCGCACCGCATCTCCACCGGCGCTCACCCGACTCTCCCACATCCAGAGCACACTTTCGACCCTCAGCTCCACCTCGAAACCCCTCTCCTCCCTGCTCTCCGACTGGGAGGTCTATTCGGACCTGCTACATCCCTACCCTTCCTCTTCAACGGGAAGCTGGGACGCAACACAGCAGATCAGCCTGCTCCTGGCGCAGCAGCCCGAGTTGCAACAGGCCCTGTCGGAGCTATCTGCCATCCAGCTGCTAGCGCAACAACGCGGCGTGCTCGATTCACACCAGTCCAAAACCCTCGCCCGCGCAGTAGACGCTCACAACCCTCAACTCACGACATTGCAGGACCGCGAGAGGGCGAGAGCAGAAAAGACGGCCGAGTGGAACAGCAGATTGGTCGCCGTGGTCCAAGCTTGGGCACAGTATACGGAGGCTTTGAGTCGCGCCTTCGTCTTGTTTGACGACCAGCTGCTTCAATTGGAGAGGCAGATGGGCGTGCTCGAACGCACCAGTCATCCAGCATAACAAGGCAAACTCACCGGCCAACGGAGCGCATCACACACTGACAGCGTGACCAAAAGCGGGTGACATTAACCGTCATCACAAGGGCGTTGCAAAAGACTCTGATCGACGGGCCCATCTCGTCAATCGCCGTTCCCCGCACCATTTCCCCCCGTCGCCCCTGTCGCCTCCGCCTCGCCATCCAACAAACTATACTGCTTCATCAACACGCACTCCCCCCCATGCTCCAGATCAATGTTGTAACTATAAAAGTACCCTTCACTCGTCACGACCATTACGTGCGGTGTTGTTGCGCTGAGCGCTACGACACTCGACACGCCCTGACTAGGCAACTTGAGAAAGGCGAAATCGCGACTGGGTTCCCACATCTCAGTCAAGCTATTGGGGAGATAGCCGCCTACGCTGCCGCTGATTCCGCGACCGAGGGCGGCGGAGCGTCGACGTAATGTGCCACCTATCCCGCCGGACGAGGGTTTGCGATTGCCCATGAACGCTTCGTACCCCCCTGTCCTCGAGCCGTTGGTGGAGCCAGGTGGAGAAGACGTATCCGATCCCGCATCGAACGAGCTCACACTCGGCGAATGCATCCCATTCCCCTTTGACCCTGAGGAGAGCTTGAAGATGTGAACCGTCTCGGTATCCGACGAGACCGCCAGAAGCGTAGAAACAGCGTTGAAGTTCAAGCTGAAGATCCGAGCTGCGTAGCTTCCTCTTCGGAACTGATGCACTTTCTGGGCGGCGGGGACGGAAAAGATGCGGATGACGGTTCCCTTGTCCGAGGCGGTGGCGAGGAGGGTTCCGGTGGAATTGAGGGCAAGGGCCGAGATGGGTGTTTTGTGCGCTTGGATCACGTTGGTGACGGATAGCGAGAGGAGGTCGAAGATCAATACGTCGCCGGCGGTGGCGGCGGTACTGGAAGAGGTGGATGTGGAGGAGCCAGCGGTGTTGGCGAAGGGACTCGTGGGACTGGCTACTGGAGAGGGGTAGGCGAGGAAGCAGTTCTCGCTGCTGGGCGATAGGGCGCAGATGGCCATCGGGTTGGGAGACGTCTCGATGGTGTGGAGGAGCTTCATGTTGCTGATGTCGTAGATGTAGATTTCCTGTTCGAGCACTACGACTAGTCTTCTCCTGTTCAGCTTCACTCCAAGAATCGCTGTGGGAAAAAGCAGCTCGCAGATGACAGACTGGCGTTTGGTGTTGACGATCTGCAGTCGTCTTGGCGAGGCATTGCTCTTGGGGTCCGAATCCGAGGTTGCGACCAGGGCGACCAACGAAGTGCAGAAGAGCATCTCGACGAGCGAAGTGGGGCCGGCATTGTTGGTGTATACGCGACCGAAGGGTTCGCAATTGGTGATCGAGTAGCCGTCACGGGTGCCGACGGCGATGCACGAGTGGTCCTGGTTGAAGTTGACCGAGAGGAGTGCATTGGAGGATTTGGTCGGGAGAGAGGTCGACATGTTGAGAGCTGACCCGAGATGGTCTGTGAGGCCAGGATTGCGGGTCGATGCTGTGAACGTGGCTGCGGATGACGTTGATGCTCGAGTTGATGGACGATGTGAGTGAAGGTAGTAGGAGGGGGATGGATGCGAGAAAGAGAGTGAGGCTTGAAAGTGGGCTCGTGCTTGGCAGACACGCACTCGCACTGCACACGGCCTCAGCTGAGCCCCAATTCCCCATCCGGCTCGCTGCCCGGATAGTCACGTTGCCTCATAGCTCTAACATCCTTGAGCCATTTTTTCGCTTCAGATTCAGGGTCCAGCTGGAACCAACACCTCGCTTCCTACTCAGCCTTTGCCTCTTTGCGAGACACCGCCACCCGCGTCCTCAGCCTCGATGCATCTCATGTCCTCGACAGCAGCATGACGTTGGCAAACGTGGCGAACGATGCATCGCCGTTAGCATCAGCGCGCATCACGTTCGACCAATTCGAGTCCTTCTGTCGGGCCTATCTCGCTCGGAGAGATCGGCTGCATTCACACTCGCCGTCGTCGAAGCCAGCATTGTCCTGGCTGACGTATGCGACAGGATGGCGATACGACCCGCCGCTGTTCGCAGGAAAGGCATTTGAGGGTACAGCGGGTCTCTCACGCTCCTTCGACTTCCTGTTACCCTCATCCCGGGCGAGGAGTTCACGGAAAGAGGACAAGCCGGTGGATCACGACGATACGATATCAGCCATCCAAGATGACGCAGTAGAGCGACCCGACAGCTCGATTGAAGCGGCGAGACAGGCGGTGACGATCCATCAAGCCATCGCATACTCTCCAATATGGACTCTTCCGATTTTGCATTTCCACGTCACCACCCACTCTGGCGAAACGGTCCCGCTCGATCAGCTTACCCGGTTCCACATCGTGCATTCTTTAGGCAGCCTTCCTGCAGAAGATGGCACAGGAATGGTGGCAGCCATCTCTGTCGGCGATCATCCGCGAACAGGTCTGCCTAGCTACCATCTGCATCCGTGTAACACCAGCGGCACCTTGAGTGGCCTGCTCGGAGAAAGAGATCAAGGCGAGACCGAAGCAGAAGACGACGAGGACGAGCGAGGTTGGAAGTACATCAGCACCTTCATCAGTCTGTGCGCCTCCGCTGTCGAGATGCGCGCTTGAGAGATACCCTTAGCCATACAAAATGATACCCTGTCACACGCACTCATCGTGCGCCAAACTTGTGAGAGAATGAATGTGCATGGATATCGAGCAGGCTAGTAATACAGTATGGTAGGCGAATGAAGGAATGCGAACAGACGAAAGCATTGACTCGAGGAAATCGATGATCAGGATCGCATCCTGGAAGGTCTTGAAGCGACCGTGGCCGATCGGCTGAGACTGGCCGTCCAGCGCTTTCCCTTCTTGACCTCGGCGGTAGCCTGCGAGAGATCCACTTCGGAAGCGCCAAACATCTTGGTCAGGTCCTTTCGTCCATTCGACCTCCCACCGTACGAGGTGAGGTCAGTGACAGACTTGGCACCGGCAACGCTCAGCCCGGCTGGCACGTCGACGCTGTCGTCGTCGTCGTCCGAGAGCTCCATGAACGACTCGTGCGATTGCTGCTGTCGGCGTGCTTGCGAGCCGGGCAGGGGTCGTCGGGTAGACTTGGGGCTTTCAAAGGCGCTGGCAGCAAGCGCTCGAACGTCCGTCAGGTCAACGACAGCGCTGTCGCTTGCGTTGGTCTGCTTGGCTATAGAGTCAACGTTGGAGCTGAACATCCTCTTGAAGCTCAGACTGGATCTCGACCTTGCATCTCCCGTGGCCATCGAGGGTGTCAGCAATGTCGAACCCATCCTCTGGCTCGGGGCGGCGGCCGAGGTCGGTGTGGGCACCATCGCTGACGACGTCGACGATGAGTGGGTCGACACTGAGGCAAGAGAAGAGAGGCTCGGCCTTCGCGTACTTGCTGAAGGTCTCCGCATGCTGATGCGGTCCTTCCAAGCAGTAGGCATCTCGGCAGCTGCAGCATCGGAAGGTCGCGAGCTGGTGGAAGCAGCAGACGCTTTTCGCAAGCGGCCGAACATGCTGGATTCCGATCCCTTAGCCTCCGCCTTCTTCGGGCCATCGGCATCCGTGACGACTGCGTTGTCGCTCGAAGACAGCCCAAGACGATCCGAGAGCTTGCTTTTGAGCGAGACCGTCGACTTGTTCATGCCGCTTGCCGCGTAGGCTACGAAGGAATCCGTAGCAGTCAGCATCGACGGAGCAGGCTCCAGACCCAAGCGCTTGCGCGCCGCAGGGTAGGCAGGGATTTCCTTCAACGACGCCATCGCCAAGAGGTCGGCGCCGACGTCGGGACTCGACGGTTCGATCTCACCCAGCCCGGGCAGGTACGTAGTGCCGTCCTTCTTGCGGATCCGCTCGTGCAGAGGCACCGGCTCGACGCTAACAGCGTGCTCGTCATCGCTGCCGTCGCGCTGTTCGACGGCGCCGTCGTCGTGCTGGGAGCCCATCCAGTCGCCAAGGAGACGTTGCGGAAACTCTTCCTTGAGCTGCACCTCCCCAGGCGCTGCCGCCACCACCGAGTCGAGGCTATCGAGGCGCGCTGGAAGCTGAGGCTGCTCGAAGCCCTCCTTACGACGACGACGTACTTGACGCGAAAAGCGAGGCTTATTCACCTGTGCAGCTCCATCAGGCAGAGGCGGCAAGGGCATAGCGGCCATACGCAGCAGACCCTCGGGAAGCTTGCTGATAGCGCTCTGGGTACATCCAGAAGGCTGAGGCGTCTCCGAGGTCTCTGTTGGTAGCGGAGGCGACGGCTGTGCCTTGACTCGGACTGGGCTGATGGGCTGTTTGACGGACAAACGTCCGACAGAGTAGCTGCTGCTGGCGATGGACGATGGACGCGTGCTCATGGCCGTGTCGGTCGAGTTGAGCCGCATCATGGCGGGCGCAGCAAGGTGTGCATTGTAAAGCAAACTCGAGCCGTGCGACACAATCGACAGATCAGCGGAGGCGGTCGAATTGGTGGAGAGGTAGCTGGCAGCCGAAGCACGTCGGTTGTCAGGCGAGCGGCTGCTAAAGCTATTGCTCGTTGACCCGTGACCGTTGTCGGCCATGGGGCTCGAGGTTGCATCGTACGATGCCTCGCCATAGAGTGCGGGGTTCTCAAGCTGGGTTGCGCAGAAGTCGCCGCGTGAGACAACCGGACGCAAGGCAGCTTCCTGACCGGGTACTGCAAGACTGCATCGACGCTCAGGCGTGGATAGTCCTGGAGGAATGAGGGTGCGGCCGCGGCCAGCCGAGGCGGCAGCAGTGGCCTGCTCCCGCTCGCCGCGCGAAAGTCTGTGAAGCGATTGCACGCAAGCCTCGAGCAAAGCAACTTGCTCGAGGAGCGAGTCGGCCGACTTGGCCGCATCCTTTTGCGCGTGACCTGGCATCGCCAGGGCTGCGTCTTCGATGCCAAGACCCATGATCGTGACAGTGGGCGGTTCCGTGTCGTTGAGAGGAGAGAGGAGTGGACTGCCCTCTGGCGTCAGGTACTCGTCCTCGTCCGTGGACCGGTGGGAAGCGCTGTGCGAGCTGCTGAGCTGGCGGATCTCTTGCTCATCATCGCTGCTACTGCTGCTGCTGCTGTGATGGGCGAGCTCCTCCTCGAGCCAGGTAGCCTCGTCGTTGAGCGTAGGACTGTCGTCTTTGCACACGCAGGTCGGTCCCGGTACCACAAGACCAGAGATGGACATGGGGAGACGATAGTCAGACGGCGCTTGCATGCTGTAGTTCGCGGTGACAAAGCGATGCCAGTCGAGGCCGCCGTCTTCAGCATGGCTCGGCGAGGCTTCCGAGCCCGTTTGAGAGCCCTTGAGCATCGTCTTGGGGTGCATCTTTGTGGACGTCGATGAGAGAGGACGAATGGTCTCGATGGAAGAGCACATGCGGATGTGGAAACTCTCCTCGGCGATGCTGTGCATGAGCACGGAGCCGACTCTTCCGTGGCGAGTGGGATGCGCCAATGTCTTGGATCGCGGACGCTTGGCCTTGAGGTCTGCGGTCATCTGGTCGATCTCGGCAAAGGAAGTGCGGTGGGTCGTGGAAGGGTCGATGTGGTCGGGCGAGGCACCGTCCTGGACCACCTCCTTTCCATTGGAGTCGACGGCAGACCCGATGATGCCGACATCGCTGCTGGCACGTCGATGAAGGGGAGTCGAGACGCTGATCCTGCGAGCGTGTTTGATGACGGCTTCGAGTTCGTGTCGCTCCGCTCCAGGAAGGACTTCTTGTGACGATGAGGCTGGAGCGTCGAGAGCTTCGAGGGCGACGGACGATGACAACGGCCGCGACGATGAAGGCTCTGTCTTGCACGCCCGTCTCATGACGGGTCTGGCAGGTAGAGCGGCCGAATCAGCCTCGGTCTGGAACGATTTGGCACGATCGGCTACGCTGAGACCGCCGAGCATAGAGGTTCGCTTGACATTGGGCTTGGCGGACATGTCGCTGCTGGTGTTTGAAGATGACGTCGACGGAAAGTAAGGAGAATCCGATGCTTTGGGAGTGAGCTCTGATGATGTTCTTTCGAGAGAAGTGGTGGAGTCGGTGATAGAGAGACGCAACGAGCAGGTCGAGTCGTGGGACGATGAGTAAGAAGAGGCTCTTGATGAGGCTCTGGAGGATCTTTTGGGGGTGGAGGAGGACCGCGGTAGGATGGGAGGCTGAGCAGAAAGATCGAGGGCCTGTGTGCGTCTGCGACTGATGCTGGAGATGCGTGAAGTTGAGGTACTTGATGAGCTAGCGGCGGTTTGAATGGAAGCAGGAGCTAGCGTAGAGGTGGAAGCGACCGCAGCGTTAGCACCTTGGGACGGTGCGGTGCGAATCTTGGAGTGTAGAGAAGCGCTCTGTGACGCCGAGCTAGAGGCCGTCATGGATCCGGGGAAGAATGGGCGGCAATGCGGGTCAGCAGAGTTGATGGGAGGCATGGCCAATAGATACGAGCTAGCGCATGTGCACTACGACGCGGTCGATAGGGGCACGGCGGGAGAAGAGCCCATTGGCAGATGGCAGAGGCGACGCAGAACAATGGCGAGCAAGCGAACCGAGCACCAAGCAGGGTCCAAGGGACGATGTCAAGAGCAGGTCAAGGTGACAGAGAGCCACGGACCCGAGAGCCTGCAGTGGGAGCGATTCAAGTGCGATGAGGCAGTGTAGATAACAAGGCGAGCCCGGTGTTCGAGAGGGTGTCGAGACGTGCGGTGGGGAAGCGCGATATGGAGCCTAGATGGTGGCGAGGAAGCTGGAACTAAGAAGTAGCTCGAGCCTGGACTGTGCTCGCAAGTGCACTGATCGCTTCGAAGGAGCTAAAAGCAGAGGTGGGTTGGTTCGGAAGGAAAGATCCCAGAGCTCTGACAGCGATGCGGCAAGACGTCGAGAGAGAGCGTGTGGGCGGAGATGATGGTAGGGACGACGATGTTCTTGTTGGTGGTGTGAGCGATCAACGAGGCAAGTGAGGCAACGAAGGCGTGCTCATCGCGAAGACTCGGGAGTGACAGGGCGAGAGTGACAGGCAAAGAGCAGCTGCTCGGCTCTGAGACAGAGTGAGCGTCGCTGAGACCGTTTTGTGTGTTGGTCTCAAGGCTGAGCCCCTAAGCGAAGGAGCGAGCTTTCGACGTGTCTCGGGTTCTGTTTCCACGTTGGGCTAAAGGCAGGTGCGCAGTCGCTTTACGAGACAGGAACCGAAGCCACGGAACGACGCTGGTCAAGCACCGCTCGCAGCAGGCGCGGGCGTAACGGCACAGCAGGAACACGAGCAGAAGAGCAGCCATTCAAGGTTTCCATGGTTAGGCGACCCATCGACGCCACTTCGATGCAATGAGGGCACTTTGGGCAGTAGCCACCATCACCACTGCTCGTGTGCTCGCATGGGTGACAGAACAGAACGGACAAGAGAGAGAACGTAGAGGCGCCGGAGCGTGGGCAATTTCGGAGGACGATTCGATGACAACCGAAAAGTGCGCCACATCCACTCTACGCACCACGCTGCAGCATATCGACACTGTTCGAAAGTGTTGCTCTCTCTCTCTGCGAGCGGTGGGTGAAAAGCGGTGATTTTCCAATGGAGCCGAGCTGCAGGTGAACGCCTCTTTTGTCCCACGCTTGCCATCGCTTGCAGGAGAGAGAGCGAAGAAAAAAGAGGGGGACAAGCCGCGTCGGAAGCGAATTCCGATCCAAAGCTTTCTCCCTGGGCTCGGTCATGCCGAGCAAGCGAGCAGGCCATGAACACCGTTTGAGTACGAGCGAGGAGTCCGACTTCCGAATGGTAGCCCCCAGCAGCAGCAGCAGCGGAGCCTATTGCAAAGCACTTAAACGACCATAAACCGAGCCGTTGATTGCTTCGCGGCACTGTCACTCTCGCCTTTGTGCGATGAACCATCACGACGCGTCGAGACGATGGTGACGATCGACTCCCACGGCAAGGCCGCTTCCCTTCAAATCGTGATGCCGTGTCCTCGCGACTCCCTGCGTCAAACGCGAAGGACTTCAGTGGCCCTGCTCAAACGAGCGAGCACTGCGTTCGCAAAACAGCAGCTGAGCGAGTCCAGAGGTCGGGCGGTGTTTCAGCCGGCCATGCAGGCCACGCGACATGCACTGCTAGCTTAACGTGAAACCAACCCTGAGACCCTCTTTTTCTGCGCCTCGCCTGCCTCGCTTTGATTGCCGCTCGCGCCGCCGATTTGCTCGAGACGCGTCGACCTCGCGTGCCTGCCTGAGCCCCATTTCGCTTCTAGCTCGGTTGCACGTCATTGCCCGACTGCCGTGTCGTTATCTCCTGACGTGATGGCTTCCACGAGTCAGAGTGAAGCGAAGCCATCGAGACCGGGACGAGGAACAAAAGAGAGCTGCAGCGGCTGAACTTCTGAACAAAAAGGAAATGAATCGCTTTTTTGTTCCGCAGGCTCGGCCAAGGCAGAGGCGTGGGACGAATTTCGGTCTCTGCTTTTCATAGCCGGCTCTTGCCATCCTCTCGCTGCCGACGCTGCAGTCCGAGCGAATCCAACGATCAGGAACGCGTGCCCTTTTGATACTCCGTCTCGAAACCGGCATCGTTGGCACCGCGGCAAAGGATGTTCCGCTCCACGGACGAGACTCTTGTCGGATCACCCGATTGCAACTATTGCAGCCCAACTTCGTATCAAGATCGCGGTCTGTGACGGGCAGGCTGATATTGTCTGCGTGCGCTCTGCCTGGGCTCTGAGGATGCTCTATGTCGTGTTGAATCAATGACTTACCTAGATGAAAGCTTTCGGAGCTGGTCCGACCTTGTCGTGGGAAAAGTGCTGCTATGCTGAGTGTTTGATGATGATCGGAGGCGTACCGGATGAGTGAGAACGGCAAGGGTGGAGCCGACAGTCGAGAGAGAGTCGATGGAAGAGTGAGGAAGGAGGGGAGTGGACACAAGGTGAGCAAAGGGGATCACGATCTGCCTTCGCTCTGATGATCTTGTCCGTCTTAAGTACTTCTGTTCTTGGTCCGCGCTTTGAAGCAGTCTGCATGCCGGGAAGCAGCACGTGAAGCGAAGATGCAGCACGAACAGGCACGCAAACAGCCGCTATCGTCTCTTCAGCGCTTGTCGTCAGGCTAGCATCGCAACGATCTCATCAAGATCAACGAGATTCTAGTCATTATCGTACCGAAGGCCTTCCGCCACCAACGCGCTGCAAGGGAGCACCCTCCCGCGTACGTGATGACCAAGCTAAATGCACACTATCGCGGTCTTCAGCTTCTCTCGCTGCTCGCAAGCCGATGGCGTACGCTGCAGATGGCAAGGCACGAAGCCTGCATCTCACCCTGACAGGAACGCAGGGCACAACCTCTCTGAGAGATCTCGGGGCTCAACCTTCTCGCGTACCTGACTCTCTCGTTTCGCCCTGAAGAAACAAGCACTCGAATGTATAAGCCGCATTCAACGCAGAGTCGAGGAGGTCCCAGGTGCAAGCATGGCGCCGTCCAGCATGGCGTCCAGAACCCCTCCCTTTCGTGTGCATTCAACCCAGGCCGCCTCTTTTCCCCCGTCTCGCCTCACAGCAGCTATGCGAGGGACTGAGAACAATCGAACCGAGCACCTCCTGCCGCAAGGAGTGCCACAAACCCCGGAAGCTTCGATCATCGGTATTCACCAGCGAGCGCTTAGGCGGAGTTGGCTGTCAAGAGGCCTTACCCATCGCGCAGGCAGGGGGTCGCGCCTCCTGACATCTCGGCTACGCTTCAACCCTGGACGAATTTTTCCACTTTGTTAGACCTTCCATCCGTCAAATCGGGCTCAAGCCTGCCTTTTCCGAGATGCGAACTTGCCCTTCAAAAAAAGTGGGAAGAAACCTTGGAAGAGTCCAAAATTTGCCGCCCTGAAGCTGAGCCTTTTTTGGAACGATCCACACCTTCATCCATCACCTCCTCGACACTTCGTAGCTTCGCCCAGCAACCATGCCGGACGCCTTCTTCCAAAAGAAGCGCAAGCGCAACACCTCCTCCGCGGGCCCCTCGAGCCGAGCGGGTCCTTCGCGCTCCCAACCGTCCTCTTCCAAAACAAAGTCTCGGATGCGCAAGACCGACTCCTCTTCGGACGAAGACGACGACGCAGCCGGCGGAGGGATTGATGACCTCGATCTGCGCCACAATTACGCCAATGATGCGAACAGCGATGATGAAGCGGAAGCCTCCGAGACTCCGGCAGAGGCCAGAGTGCGGCTGGCCAAGATGTACCTCTCCGGCCTCTCCTCCACCACCACGCCAACCGGGGATGATGACTTTTTCGAATCCGATTCGCCCTCCTTTGGGCTAGCAGACGCAGCCGTTGCAGATCGAGAGAACATCGCTGCGCGATTGCAAAAGGATGTGGCGGAACAGAGCGGGCGCGTCCACGTCTTTCTCTCGGATCGCCTGTCCGCACCCACTTCGACCCTGGCGGTGAGGGGGCATCGGCTGAGCGTCACTTCCGCGGTAGCCTCTTCGGACGCACGATGGTTGTTCACAGCGGGGAAGGATGGGAGCATCATCCGTTGGAGTCTGCGCGATGGACGAATGGTTCGTGTCTTCCCCAAACAGTCCAAGCGTCTCGAATCGAATGGTGAGGCTGTGCCTCCGAGCGGGGTGGGGAAGAGCAAGTCCTCCGGTGCAGCACGTCGTCGTTCCCGCCTCTCGAAAAGCGACACCTATCTCACCGTGGGACAGGATCAAGGTCATACAGACGAGATTTTCACCCTCTCCCTCTCCTCCGATGGACAACACCTTGCGAGCGGTGGCAAAGACCGTCGCGTGTGCATCTGGCGCATCACCCCATCCTCCGACACCTTCCTCAAGACTCTTTCAGGCCACAAGGACGCCATTACTGCGCTCTCCTTCCGTCTCGGATCACACGAACTCCTCACCGCATCCCTCGACCGAACCCTCAAGCTGTACGACATCTCCCAGCTGAGCTACATCGAGACGCTGTTCGGACATCAGGAATCCGTGCTGTCACTCTCGTGTCTGTCGGCGGAGACGGCGGTTTCGGCCGGTGGACGCGATCGCACCTGTCGATTCTGGAAGATCCGCGATGAATCCCAACTGGTATTTCGCGCTGGAATCCGATCGAAACTGCGCTCCGTGTTGGAAGGTGGCGAGCTGAGTAAGCCGGATCTTGGGGCTCCACACGAAGCGCTTGAGGGAAGTGTCGATGTGGTAGCCATGATCGACAATCACCATTTCGTATCCGGTGGCGATAGCGGTACGATTTCGCTGTGGAACTTGGGACGGAAGAAACCGATCTTTAGTGTTCCAGTGGCGCACGGGTTTGATGTGACGCACAGCGAGACGGAGGGCGAGATCCGTACGCCACGGTGGGTGGTGAGTTTGGGCGCGATGGCGTTTGGGGATGTGTTTGTGAGCGGTAGCTGGGATGGCAGTGTACGGGTGTGGGGTCTGACGCTGGCGAGTGGACAGGTGAAGGGGTTTAGGGAGCTGTTTACGGTGGATGTGCCAGGGGTCGTGAATTCGTTGCAGATCGTTCAACCGCCGATCAACAGCGTCGTGCAGGATCCGCAGACTAGGATGGTGCAGAGCACAGCGGTGAGAGCGGAGGAATACCGGCGTCGAGGTGGTCTGGATCAACCCTCCACCAGGCCAACGGAGAAGGAAGGGGAGAAGGGGGAGAAGTTACCTCGTGTCAAGGCGACCAAGGAAAACGCTCCGCCGATTGTGATTGTCGGCGTCGGACAGGAGCACAAGTTCGGTCGATGGATTCAGGATAAGACTGCCAAGAACGGGGCGTTGGTCATTCCGCTGCTGCTGACCGACACCGCTGCTTCAGGGGGCGAGAAGCGGAGGGCCAACAGTGAGGCCAACGCAGATCGATTCAAGCTCGTCTAGACACTCTTTCAGTCGCACATCGTTCGGTTGCAATGCATACCATCCTCACACACACACACACCCTGGATTGCGTTGCACGCACAAGGAGAGACTGAAAGAGCGATTTGGTATCGAAGCAGCCTACGAAATGAACACCTTCCTCACGTCCTCCACCCTACACATCTCTCCCGTTCTCGGACACCTCACTCCCCTCTCCCCCTCTCCCTCTTCAACAAGCTCCAACACCGTACTTTGCGCATAGACCCTCCCATTGCCCAAGGCCAATGGTGGATCATCACCATCCATCAGTTTGCCACTCCTACTGCACACCAGCGTGCTATTCTGATGGTGGCTCCAGGGCACTTCTTTCGCCAACACACCTAATCCTTCACCATCGCAGATGGGGCAGTCGGTATTCGCGCCATCCGAATGGTAGCACTGCGGGAGCTTGAGACTCGACAGGCCGGCGGAGAGGGCGATGTGCAAGATGGGTTGCGGGGGTAAGGAATGGATGGAGAGGGCACAGGTGCGGAAGCTGTCCCGGAGCTGACTCCATCGGTGGAGACTGTAGAGGTCTGCGTAGGCCCAAGATGTGGGACCGCAGGCGAGGAGACCGAGAGCACGAGAGACTTCCCGGCGCATCGCGGAGGCCGCGAGACGGTCGTACTCTGCTTCCTTTTCCGCTTGCGTCGGCGCCGTTCCTGCGGTGGATGTGGGTTTGGTCGCAGCTGTCGTGGGAGTTGGCGTGGTGACGAGCGGCAGGAGGTGGCGTCGCGCGTAGGCAATGGCATCCTTCATGCTCTCCATCGACCTGGTCCTCGTCAACTCGACAAACTCCTGTAATCGCAAGTTGAACTCCAACGGCGTGCGGATCTTTCGCAACGTCGCCTTGTTCTCGCTGCACCAAGCCAATGCCAGCCCGCAACTCGGCTTCACTCCTTCCCCTTCAGAACCTTCCCATCCGGGTGGACAGAGCGAGTCTTCTATCCGCGCAACCTCGTCGAAGAGCGCGACATCGACCAGGTCGCCGATCCCGCGCGTCTGCGCCATCTCCTTGGCGCTCTCTCGATAGCCCCGTCGCAGCATGTAGTCGACAATCATGCGGTCCAGCCGCGTCTTGCTCCATTCGACAAAATCGGGTGAGTCGGCGTCGGTGATCGAGTGCAATTGCGAAAGGTGGTCCGTTCGGGACTGGGCCATTTTGAGTGACGACTTGGCTGCGTCGGATAGAGGGGCGAGCTTGCGCTTCAACCCCTTGAGTCGACCGAGGACCGCATCGAGAGACTTTTCTACGTCCGCTGCGCTACTGGAGGAGGAGGAGGTGCGGGAGAGGTCGTTGAATGTGGTGCTGGCAAAGACGAGCTCGCGCTCGATGAGACGTTGTTGGGTCTTTTGCTGGCGACGAAGCTCGTCGAAGGGGACTTTGGCAAAGGGCGCTTCGAGGAGGAGGATGCCGTCGAGGTTAGGTGCATTGGAGGAAGATGGGAGGGGAGACACGGAAGTGTCGCCTGCATTGTCGATCGCCATGGCTTCCATCGTAAATGGTAGAGGATGATGGTGGACAGGGAGAGGGTGCGGGGTGACGAGGCGGTTGGACCCTTATCGAAAGCTCTGAAAGCTCAGTCACAGTCAGGCTGCAGCGAGAGCGCAATTTCAGGGCTCAAATTTCGACGCACATGCCACAGCTAGTGAGTGGAGGTCAAGTCGGTTCTTGCTCATCATCAGGCTCAGCATGAACGCATCTTCACTCGCACACCTTCGCATCACATCATCGTGGCATGAAAGTAGGCGTTTCATTGACCTGAGAACTGTCTGGAAGATGATGTTCACAGCAGCGCCGCGGTGGCGGAAGCAGCCTTGCCCGCGGACCAAGCCCTGACCTCGATGCCCAGCTTCTCGCATACCTCTCTGCCCTTGTCCGCCCAGAACTCGGGCGTCTTTCCTTCCTTGACCTTGTCCTCCCTCTGCACGTCGTTGAGCGCGGTCTTTGGCTGGCCATACCCCTTGATCCCTCCGTTGCAGATAAAAGCGCTGACGTTGGACTGGTAGCGGAGCGTCTCGAGTACGCCGATGGTTTGCAGCAGCACGTCGTCCAGGCGGCTCTCCGGAATGGGCTTCTTCTTGCTCGCCTTCTTCTCCTCCGCACATTCTTCCTCCTTTCCGTCCTCCATCGCCGTCTCAGTACCTGTCTCGTTGGGGATGGACAGATCCGAATCGTACTCCAACTCCTCCTCTGCCACTTCCACCTCTACACCATCCCTCGCCAACTGCTGACGAATGAACTTCTTCATCCTCCCCGCATCCTCCTTGCCAAATTCGGGAATCACCAGCTGATTGAACGGTTGCAGTCTCGCCTTGGCCACGCTATCGTCGACCAGCACGGTATTCTCCACTCCCCAAGGACCGAGTTTCTCGGCCACCTGAGCCGCCTCCCATGCCGCCGACCGCTGCGCCTTCTGCTGTTGTGCTGCGATGAGTCGATTCTTCTCCTTGTTTTTCTTGCCCTTGTACTTCTTATCCGCCTTGGGCGCGGTGGGTGCGGTGGGCGGGAGTACGTCGTCCGGTCGAGCCTGGTCCGCCGTATCCCTCGCCTGGGCCATCAGTCGACCCGGACTAGGCTGGTCGGCGGCAAAAGCGTTGAGCTCGGCCCAAACAATCTCGAGGTCCTTGATGGACTCGGCTTTGCCCGAGTAGAAGCGGTGCGGAACGAGCGTGTCGCGTGCCCAAACGCGAAGGACTTGCGAGCGCACCGACTCGTCGAAGGACGCGCGGACCATGCTGTCCACGTTGGCGGGCTGGGCGGAGGACCAGACGATGACCTCGGCTTTGCCGGACGAGCATGGTTCGTAAATGGGAGCGTTGTCGTCGGTGGAAGCGGAGGTCTGCCAGAAGTGCGAGCCGTGCGGACGGCTGTTGATGTGCACCTCTTTGCCTTTGTTGCTGGTGGATGGCGATTCCGAGTCGTGAGATGAGACGCCCAGACAGTACTGCAGAAAGCACAGCAGAAAGGGTCTCGGTACCGCACGCACCGAATCGAGTGCCCTGCCGTTGCCGCTCTTTGCCCTGAACACGAGCGTGCCGTTGAGGTCGAGAACGACGAGCAGCTTCCGATCTCGCGCTTCCTCATCGCTTAGCTGCCTCGAGGCCTGCTTGGCCTGCTTCAGATAGGTCGGTCTGGGAGCGGCACGTATCGCCGGTGGCAGCCGGTGCGCCGGCGCAGGTCGATACATGGATGGATGCGTAGGCGTCCCTGGCGCTGAAGATGAGTTGCGATCGTACGGCTGGAATCGCGAGGAACCAGCAGCGGATGCTTGCGAGTGGTAGTCCCGTTGCTGCTGCTGCTGGAAACCGTTGTACTTATAGTCGTGCGAGGGAGGATGGGCGCCCGGCCATTCGCTTCCAAAGGCAGCTGCGTCGCGCATCTTCTTGGGCGCAGCAGGCGCACCGTCGACGTGTTTCAGCGCAGCCTGCGCGTTGCTCCAGACTTCATTTGGCGGATGCGAAGGTGCATATGGTTGCCGTGCGTGTGCTTCGTGTGGGTATGGATGCGGCGACTGATATGCAGACATATGATGAGGGTGCGCATCGTACCCACCGTTTGTCCACGGCGCAGCATATGCGTGAGCTTGTTCGTAGCCGTCTCGCCAATCGTAGCCCTGCGCATCGCTGTATACGCGCTGGTCATACTCCCCGTACGCCGACGGATAGGCATCGTAGTAGTCTCGGTCGTAAGTACGCTGGTCACGGTACTCTGCTGGATATTGGTCGTAGGCATAGCCTTGCTCATAAGCATATGCGTCCTGCTCCTGGCTCCCTCGAACCCATTGTGGATGATGGCTCGAGCTTGCGCCGTAATGGGGATGGCGGTATGGCGCGGACATCTTCGTCACTGCTGTTTGCGCCGTATTGCCCTGTGCTCTTTTGGCTAAGAGTCTGAAAGGAGCATATGCAGACTTGAGCGCCATCCGGTGCGCCGTGTGTCTGTGGATGAAGAAGAAACGTCGAGGAGAAGGTTTCCTTGCGAGTCAGAGTGTCAAATTTTTGGCTCTGCTCCAACCACAAAGCGCAGCCGAAATCCGAGAAATGTGTTTTGGGAGACGCAGGGTCCATGAGGGTTTCACGCTCGTGATGTCACCTTTCCCTTTCGGACATGGCTGGTCGCTTTGTTGTTTCGTCCGTCACCACCAACATCGATACAATTGTCACTGTCGACAACGCAGCAGGAGGTCAAGATGAGACAGCGCACCCCATCCTCCAACGACGGCTACTCGTCGTCCTCCTCCACCTCGCCTGCTCGTCAGCGCGCATACACCCCTCGTTCGCCGCCCCGCTCTCGCACCCGCCCATCACCTGACGAGCCCACCCTCACCGGTAGCATCGGCAAGCTGGTCCGGCTAGCGATCTTTGCCGTTCTCCTAGCGCTCATCGTACCCTTCGTTCGCACACGGCTGTTCGGTAGCTCACCGAACCCGGCCAAGAACGCGACGGTCGACGTGAGTGTTCGTCCGACCGCCTTTCCGTCTCAAGAAGTGTTCACCTCAGGGGACGAAGAGGTGGACGTGTTCAACTTTAAGCATGAGGATTATCTAGCGCCGGCACGTGCGGCGAAGAAGGCTGGTGGGGTCTCCTCAAAGCCATCCTCTTCAGTCCCTCCGAAGACCAAGACCAAGAAGCAGGAGTCGAAAGGCAAAGTTTCAAAGGCACCCAAGAAACAACCGCGTGTTCAGCACGATGACGACGAGGAGGACGACGAACGCGACTCGCCCGCCAGCTCAGCACTGTCCACCCTCACCCACCTCTTCTTCACCCTCTACCATCTCACCCGTGCCACCCTCTATCTGACCATCATACCGTTCAGTCACATCTTCCGCCTCGGTGCACGCCTCACCTCGACCAGCTATCACTACTTTCGTCTCTCGCTCTCACACACCCTTCTTCCCGTCTTCCACCTCCTCGCTCCCCTGACCTACCTCGTCAGCGGAATCTTTTTCGTTTTTGTCCAAACGCCGTTCAATCTGGTCAGCGCGATCGTGACGGAGCTGTATCCGGTGTACATCTTCCTAGGCGCAGCGACGGTGGTCGGATTAAGTATGGGCGTGGTTGCCGCCGGCGTGCTGTATTTGTCCGCCTTCATGTTTGTTGATCGCGTTCAGAAGGTCGATGATGTGGGAGGAGGGACGAGGTTCGAGAGGATCAAAGCACCGGGCGGACACGGAAAGGGAAAGGGTCGGATGGTCGAGGAGGACGATGATGAGGATGTGTTTGGTGGCATCAGGACCAATAGCTCGAATGGATCGACGCCAACATATGGGAGGGGTGGGAAGGGCACCAGCGCCTACGATCAGTATTTGTATCAGAACCAACCGCAGAGGAGGGAGTACTTCAATCAGCCTCACTCGAGTCAGGGCGGCCAGGGCGCATACGCCTCGCCAATGCTTTCTCCCACCGCGCCCTTCCGGAACTCCAACGTCAGACGGCACGGAGGAAGGAATGACCACGCATACAGAGCCACTTCTGCCTCGACGCTTCGCGCTGGCGGTTGACATTTCGATGTCTGTCAATGGGAAAGTTAATGCTGTCACTGCTAGCGACTGCTATGCGTACACTATGACCACCGGGATGGATATCCAATGCTATTGGATGACATGCCTGAAGTTGAGGTGAAAGGGATCAAAGAACCTGTCGTCGATCTGCTGATTGAATCTGCCACCTAATCCGACTCGTCTTCGTCATCATCGACGATGCGAGCCCTTCGACGGCGAGCGCTGCTGTCCGTGCTGCTGTTGAGGTTTCCGCGTCTCCCGGCGGTCTCCTCCTCGGTGCCGCTCTCTGACTCTGTAGAGCTGAATTCGTCCAGATCGCTCTCAGTCAGGGCGTACGTCTCACCCCGACCCCGGCCTCGACGATCACCGCGGCCTCTGAACTCCACGCTCGAGTCCCTCTCCTCGTCCTCGTCGTCGGAGATCTCAATGGCTTCGGCGCGGCCGCCGCGACGAGGCCCAGGGATGAAGTCATCCTCCTCGTCGTCGCGATAGCGTGCGAATCCGTCAGCCATGCTGCCGTCCTCATCGCTGGCAGTTGCATCGAGCCAGTCGTCGATGTGCCGATCAGTGATTCCACCATCAGCATCGGACATGTCGTCCCGTACGATGAAGCCGTCCAGGTCGTCTTCATCGTCATCGTCAATGTCAATCTCGTCATCCCCGTTGTGGCGACCGCCGTGTCTGCGCCCGAGTCGACGCATCTCCCCGGTATGGTCCTCCACCAAATGCTCGTTGTCCGATGAATCGACGTAAGTGATGCCCGTAAAGTCATCCGGCAGATCGAGCCGGTTGCCGCCGCGGTGGAGACCCTCGGATCCGCCATGGCGCCTTTCAAATTCGGCGATGCGATCGCGAAGCGTTCCGTTGCCTCGAGGTCGACGTGGACCACCTTCGCCATCGTCGTCGTCCTCATCCATGTCCGAATCGAAGTCGCCCATGTCATCAAAGTGCCCGCGTTGGAGGTCCTCGTCGTCCGAGTCGTACTCGATGCCGCACGAAGGATTGCTGCATGCCCCGTCAAAGATCTCGGATGCACAGTTGCCGCAACGAGGAACGCCATCCATCTCGTCAAAGATGATGCGGCGTGGACCGTCTTGATGAAAGATGTCTTCCCACAGCTTGGCGCCCTTGGGTAGATCATCTCCCCTCTCGCGCACCTTATCATCGACCGACAGGATGGCGTTGCTCGATTCAGCCATGTCCGAGTCGACGACGTCGGTGGCATCTTTGCTGAGCTTGAGTCCTTGGTCGACCTTCTCGAGCATGTCCCGGACAAGATACACCTCGACAGGAGGACAGGCGAGTTCGGTTCGACAGGACGGACAGATCTTCTTGCGGTTGAGCGTGCGCGTACGTTGGTAGCGTTCGATCTCGGCCTGTGACCAGCCTTCGGGAGCCGTCGCCTCGCCTGCTCTGGGCTTGGTGAACCAAGAATGGAGACAGTGGACGCAAAAGACGTGGCCGCACGGAGCCAGGACATTCGGGCGGAAGGCTGGCTCGAGACAGATGTGGCAGACGCACTGACCGTGGAGGTCTTGGAAGATGGCTTGCTGAGCGTGGATGATGCCGGCGCCCTGCTCCACTTTGGCTTTGGCCTCGACCAGCTGTATCTCGAGTTGGCGAATTCGGAGCTGAAGTGAGACAGCATCTGAAGCATTGATGCGCGGCGCAGTATCGCCCTCAACAGCAGTGGTGAAGGACGAAGAGCTTGGCTGCGATTCAACGTGAGAATCATCTGATCCGGCTCGTCTGCGCTTGCGGGATGGGATCACTACTTCAACCTCGCCTGCCTGCACGTCGTTGCTGATTTGAGCCTCAGATGCTGCTGCTGCTGTTGCTGCTCCTTCCTCTTCCTCGTCGTCGAAGAGTTCCTTGGCGAGATCGACGGGCTTCTTGATTGCTGGAGGTGTTTTGCGTGCCGAGCGAGACGCGCCTTTTGAATTGGATGCTTTGCTAGAGGAGGACTTTGCGGCGAGTCCGCTTGCTTCAGATGGTGCCGCCTCTTTGATTCCGCTCGAAGCAGTCGGGGCGACCGTGCTCGTTTCGTCCGTCCTGGAAGAAGAGCCTTGATTTTCGTCTGCCTTCGCTACGGCGCTGTCATCTTTGGCTGAGTTTCGACGAGTTCGTGTCTTCCTGGGCGGCTCGCTCGTCGGAGATGGCGACTTGATGGTATCCCGACCTGTGAGGTGCAGCGGTAGAAGATGAGCGAGAGAGCAGAAGCGCAGATCGTCAGTATGAGCCAGTCGGTGAACACAAACATCAGCAGCGTCACTCACTCGAGCTCGCTTTTGGACCTTTCTTGGTCCTGCTTGTTGCGGCTTTGTTGGAAGACGAAGGCGGTGAGGCTGGGATCACGACCTCGACGGTGGCGTTCTCGGTTGAGGCGGTCCTGCGCCTGCGAGTGTGCGCGCTGGGCGTTGCGTCGTCCATGATGACTTTGCAGAGACCAGCCGAGTCGAGCGAGCGTTGGCTAGCAACAGCGCCGTAAATATCACGCCCGGTCTGTGGGTGGCCGACAGCGACGGGGATGGATTCTGATCACGACGAGTTCGAAGCTGGAGAGCGGAAGTATCGCTGCGGCTCGAATTCGGATCGAATGATGGCTTTGAGCGGGAAAGAAGGCGGTGATGAGGCGATTGACAGGTTGTCGATTTATAAGGAGGCGCGTCGAGCGAGAATGGCTGAGTCGATTTCTTGTATGGCTGCTGAGAAGGAGGAGCGATGGAAGCCGACAAGAGAGTCAGTGGCGTGGTGAGTTTTCGAACCTCACTGGCAGCTGACGTGCCGTGATAGTGGCTGTGAGCAGGCGATGTGATTCGATAGAATGGAGATGTGACGATAAGGGTGCAGACCTGTTGTATGCCAGCCAGTCGGCCAAGTCAGAAGCGCAGATGGTAGATGGGGCGAGGCAGTCGGATGGCTTCCGCAGCACGCCGAATGCTCAGACCCTGTGTGTACAAGATCTTGAGAGTGACGTGATAGAGGGAGACGAGAAGAGGGATGTGATAGGCAGAGAAGAGAGGTTATGAAGAAAGGGCTGAGCAACGCAGCGCACGCACTTCCAAAGCTCAGACCCTGGCTTGAGGCTTCCTGGCTCAGCCGACACACAAGAAAAAAGTCCAACACCAAAGTCGCCACGTCCTGCTGCTGGGAAGCGCCCGAGAGCAACACTTTTTTTTCCGGCAGCAGAGCGCGACTGTGACTTGACAAAGTGGAGGCCAGAGAGGCAGAAGCCTGTCACAGCCCTCATCATCCTTACCCAACTGTGAGCTAGTCTCTCGCAATCCACCACCATAACCTTGCTGCAACCCGTCGTCGGCTCCTCCGTCTTGACAGTCTGCCTGCCCTCGGCACTGCATCTACGACCGGCTAGTCCGCTGTGCTTCAGTCAGCTCATTCACACGGCCCTTCCTCGAGAGAATTTCTTGCATGGATGATAAATTACAGATGCACATGACACGAGATGCGGAGGATGCTGTTGGCCTTCAAAGAAGAGTCTCGCCCATGGCGGAGCGAATGAGCGAGCAGCCGACAGCGATGGTCTGTTGCGCTTCCCGGTCCTCGAGCAATGACGGGTTGACCTCCATCAGGTCCAATGCCACCAAGCAGCCAGTCTCGTACAGCGCTTCGCAGATGTAGTGGCCCTCGCGGAAGGTGAGACCGCCTCGCACAGGGGTGCCCGTGCTGGGAGCAACACTGGGGTCGAGCGCATCCACGTCAAAGGAAAGGTGGATGGGTCGGTCACGCTTGCCAGGAGCACCGTTGACGTGGTCGAGCGCCATCTCGACCACTCTCCCGATGCCGTACTTATCGACGTGGTGCATGCTGAACGCTTTGATGTTGTTCTCCTTGAGGATCTTGCGCTCGCCCGAGTCGATGTCGCGGAGGCCAATGTAGACGAGGCTTTCGGCCTTCAGCAGTGGCTTCTTGGGCACCCACGAGTTGAAAGGCTCGACGTCGGTGCCTTGCAGGCCCAGCAGGAACGAGACGGGGCAGCCGTGCAGGTTGCCAGACTCGGTGGTGTCGGGCGTGTTGATGTCGGCGTGCGCGTCAATCCAGATGAGCGCAGCATCAGGGTGAGCCCGAAGCGATCCGGAGACGGTTCCGAGCGCCAGACTGTGGTCGCCTCCGAGCGTCAGCGGCAACTTTCCCTCCCTTGCGTGCGATTCGACGGTAGCAGCCACCTCCTTGGTGACGGCCGAGACGGTGCGTGGCAGCTTCATGTTGCCGATGTCTGTGTCCTGGTCGATTCCCTCGTTGATGTGGTCGAACGAGTGGTGGCCGTCAAACTCGACCTTCCAGCCAAGCGACTCGAGCTGCTTGCAGATGCCCGCCGAGACGAGCGAGACGGGGCCGGTGTCGACCCCCTTGCGCCTCTGACCGCCCGAGAAGGGGCAGCCGACGATGGCGACCGTCTTTTCCTGGAGGAATCGTTCGTGAAGTGTCTTGGTCATTGCGGTACGTGTGATGTTTGTGGTGATGGTGAAGACTTGGCAGCAATCAGATCGGATGACAAGATAAGGCAGCCTTCTTATATGTTCTGTGCCGGTCGAGCAACCACGGCGGATAGTGCAAGTGCGAACAGCAGCGTGGATGCCGGCTTACTCACCGCAGCGATCAGGGTCTGCTGCGATTTTTTTTGGCTGACAGCCGGCAATCAGTCCGGGTATCGAAGTTATACTGGCTGGGCTGTACCATTTTTCACCTCTTCTTCTGTCGATCTCTTTGCGGATGCTTTACCTTCGAATCTCGGATCGCTTGCTGCTCTTCTTGGCTCCACCTGAGCTAGTCGGCACGTCCTGATCCGCTCCGAAACGCCCCTCTCGTCTCTTTGTCGGCGCGTCATTGCAATCTACTCAGTTAGAGCACTTGGCGGTGTCGAACCTCGCTCTTCCTGTACCACCAAGTCACCCACCGCACAGCATGCTCGGATCGCGTATCAGGCCGGCATTAAGACTGGATCGCAACATCCATTCTGCTATCAGTGTCGCCCTCAGGCTTCAAATCGCGAGCCTCCTGCTTATCGCGGGCTCAGCCCCCGTTCGGGTGTCTTTCACGAAAGTGGCTATATCGGGGGTGTGCTAGCCCAGATCGGGCGATGTCACAAAGACCAGGATTTCGAGACCGCCTTTTCAGCAACGACTTTTTCTTGGCTTGTATTTTATCCTGTTGAACACGACGAGTCTCGGGCTCATCCGCCATCACCCTGTCTTGCGTCCAGCCAGAACAGCGGAGGTCGGATGTTGCTTGATCACTTCACTCAATTCATGCTTCAGGCCCAATACCGATGCATCCTGGAGACTGAATGAAGCGAGAAAGCGGAAGCAGCGATCCGCAGTGAGCAAAGACTCTATATCGCACGAGAAGCGGCCGAAACAGCGGACAGCACTTGGCCAGTGTCCACGCGCTTCTTTTTGCAGAAAAGGGCAGCTGAATGCGATCACCTTGAATCTGCGCAGTCTTGTCGGGTTGCTCTGTGCAGATGCACGCGGGCACTCTTCCACAGCATTTGGCGTTGAGAAGGTCGCGGAGCGTGTTGGTTTGGCTGAAGCGCTCTGTCCATCCGCGCTCTGACATTTGAGATTCCTTCTTGGCTCCTCCTCGTCGTCGTTCTCACTCTTCACCATCACCATCCACCTATCGTGCTATCTCCGACCCTAGCTCGATATCCATCTTTCTCGCTTTTCGTCTCGTCTCGTCCCATATATAGCTCCGTTCGACACTCTCACCAGCTTTCAACATGTCCGCCATTGACAACGAGGAGTGAGTTCCTTCTTCGCTCACCGCCACGCCGCGACCCGCCCTTCTCGGATCCAGTAAAACTAACCTCATCGCCTGCACCTGCAACGCACCCTTTCTCGCCTCGCCGCTCAAAGTCTCATCGATTACGAGGAGGAGGTCGCCGTCGCTCCTTCCTCTACCACCAATGGTGCCGCTGCTACCGGAAACGGCGCAGCCGCCACTGCCGATGCCGACAAAGACAAGAAGGCAAGCATCCCAACCGAGCATTTCACTCGATAGATTTCGGATCACATTCTAAACACGGCCACTTCCGCTCCACTCCCTCCTCGGAAAACGATATACGACGTCCCTACAGGGCTCCTACGTCGGTATCCACTCTACAGGTTTCCGCGACTTCCTTCTGAAGCCCGAGCTTCTCCGCGCCATCTCGGATCTTGGTTTCGAGCACCCTTCCGAAGGTCAGTGCACCGACTAGCAGCTCTATCCATCTGTCCCGCAAGTTCGACCCACTGACTCGCCCTTCGCTCTTCCAACCCAACAGTCCAGCAAGAATGCATCCCGCAGTCGATCCTCGGCATGGACGTCGTCTGCCAGGCCAAATCGGGTATGGGTAAGACGGCCGTCTTCGTCCTCGCCACTCTGCAGCAGATCGAGCCCGTCGACGGCGAAGTCTCTGTTCTGGTTCTCTGCCACACCCGAGAGCTCGCCTACCAGATCCGCAACGAGTACGCCCGCTTCACCAAGTACATGCCCGATGTCCGCACCGGCGTCATCTACGGCGGCACGCCCGTCGCCGAGAACCAGGCTATGCTCAAGGACAAGACCAAGTGCCCGCACATCATCGTCGGTACGCCTGGTCGAATGAACGCCCTCGTCCGCGACAAAAGCCTCAAGGTTTCGGGTGTCAAGCATTTCGTCATCGACGAGTGCGACAAGATCCTCGAGCAGGTCGACATGCGAAGGGACGTGCAGGACATCTTCCGCGCTACGCCTCACCACAAGCAGGTCATGATGTTCTCGGCTACGCTTGCCAAGGAGGTGCGCCCGACTTGCAAGAAGTTTATGCAGAACGTAAGTAACGCGACAGCAAGCACTGCGGCTCCCATCAGGCGCTCGCCCGCCTGGTCGCCATTTGTATACTGACTGACATCTGTTTGCTATTGCCCCTACCGCAGCCCCTCGAGATCTACGTCGACGACGAGACCAAGCTCACCCTGCACGGTCTGCAACAGCACTACGTGCGTCTCGAAGAATCCACCAAGAACCGCAAGCTCAACGACCTGCTCGACTCGCTGGAATTCAACCAGGTGATCATCTTTGTCAAGTCGATCTCTCGCGCCAACGAGCTGGACAAGCTTCTGCGCGAATGCAACTTCCCTTCGATCTGCATCCACGGTGGTCTTGCGCAGGAAGAACGCATCAAGCGCTACCAGCAGTTTAAGAATTTCGAGAAGCGCATTCTCGTCGCCACGGACATCTTCGGTCGTGGTATCGATGTGGAGAGGGTCAACGTGTCGATCAGTTATGATACGCCGACGGATGCGGACAGCTACCTGCACCGAGTGGGTAGGGCTGGAAGGTTCGGTACCAAGGGTCTGGCGATCATGTTCGTTAGCAGCGACGAGGACGCAGAGGTGCTCAAGCAGATTCAGAGCAGGTTCGAGGTCGCTGTCCCCGAACTGCCCGAGACGATCGATTCCAGCTCGTACATGAACGCCTAGTTGCGCTACCTCGCATCGACGCGTTTCGGTATTTGAAATCAAAAACACTCCCCGCGACAGACGACCCCTTTTTGATGCTCTACTTTCTATCTTGGTGTGATGCCCGGTGTGTGTGTGCCTTGTGAGATGTGAGCACTCTTGAGGAAAGGTAGACGTGGGGGGAAGGAGGTCATGCAGCGTCGGAAGTCGGCCAAGCTGCTCTTTTTTTTGGCAGGGTTGACCCTTGCTGGACCCTGAATTTCTCCTCAACATCATCCTTCTTCACCCCGCCTTAACCATATCCTGACTCTCGCATCGTGACCACCTCGGTCCAGCACACACCGTCAACGGCGACTCAAAGCACACACGAAGCTGCACGATGTCCTTATCGGCGGAGCGGAACGAGCAGTTCTCCGAAAAGGAATACTGGGAGCAACGCTATGCCAATGAGACCGAAACCGACTTTGATTGGTTCAAGACTGTACGTCCTCGCCTTCCTCCAACTGCTCCGTCCCTCCCTCTTCTCATCTCATCACATCATCTTGTGAACAGGACTCATAGCTGACCACCCATCTTCGAACAGTATGAAGATCTCAAATCGCTATTTGACGAGCTGCTACCCGATCGGGAGGCACGAATCCTCATGCTCGGCTGCGGCAATTCGACGCTGTCCCCATCGATGCACATTGCCGGCTACAAACGCATCATCAACATCGACTACTCCTCCAACCTCATCTCCTCCCTCTCTCGCCGCTATCCCGACCAGACATGGATCGAGATGGACATCACCCAACTTTCCCTCCCTTCCAACATCACCACTTTGGGTGGGCAAGGCAGCTTTGATATCGCCCTAGATAAGGGGACCATGGACGCCCTCATGGCCGAAGGCAAGGGCAGCTCGGTATGGAATCCCAGCGACAAAGTCGTCGACGATGTTCGGACGATGTTGAACGGCGTTGATGGATTGCTGAAGGAGGGTGGAAAGATGGTGTATATCACCTTTGGTCAACCCCATTTTAGGAAAAAGTACCTCGAGGAGATAGATGGATGGAGTGTTGAGGTTAGGACGGTAGGGGAGATGTTTCATTACTTTGTATACGTGGCTACCAAGCTACCTGCGACCACATCGGTGGAGACCGCAGAGACGACAGCGTGACACATCAAGAAAAAAACAGCATTCACTCATCAGCGTGACACAGAAGGGGACAGAGGAGAGACTCGGAGCAAACCTCATGTTGATTCGTATGCTATCGTCGTCGCGCAGCTGCCCGGCCCGCCGTCGAGGTTAGACTCCCATCCCTTCCACTGCTACTGCTGTCCCCTCCACCTATTCCAGCAGTCGAGTTGATACCGGTGCTCGGCCGCGCAGCGACGCGCGCATGCGCCCGTCGAGGACTCGTCCAGTTGCGCTCGGCCCGACTCTGGCGCAGCGCCTCCACCTTTGCCGCGGCTACACGGTGCGTGGCGGGCGAGAGCAAGGAAAGTGGCGTGTGCGAGACACCACTTGATCCGCCCGCCAGGTTGAGCGACGACGTGAGGCTTGTTCGCCCTCGCTGCCCTCTTGCACTGGTGTCGAGGTTCGACCGAGTGGCTGTCTGCGGGATGGATGTGGTCGTGATGGAGGTTCCGACGTTGCGACGGCTAGGTTGTGCAACTGAAGCGCTGGCACGGGTGGCTTGTTCGACGGTGTGAGCGCTAGGTTGGGGTGGAAGCGACGTGGTGGTGCGTGAGCTACGTTCGATGAGGTGGCTGCTGGGCTGAGGTCGGACCGCTGCGGTTGTGCGTGAAGTGTGCTGTTGCGTTGCGGTCGACTTGGCAGCCGGGCGAGTGGACGTATCGGGCAGGATTGAGGTGGCGTTGGTCATCAGGGACGCGTTGATCGTGCTCCTCATTCCAACGCTGCTGAGCATAGATTCGACCATCGAATCGCCCTCCGAGGTGTCCGTCATCGATTCGTCCGCCACCGAGTCATCCACTCGACGTCGAGTTGCACCCACGGACGAAATCTCGAGTTCGGCCTCTGTCGCTTTTCTCTTGCCCTTATCCCCCGGTGCGAGACGAGGACTTGCCAATAGCCCACCAAACCCACCGCTGAGGCGCGAGATGAGCCGCGTCGCTTTGGTCATCACGCCCTCCTCTGTCGCTGTCACGGTCGACGTTGGCAATGGCGGATACAACGAGCCTTCCTGTGCAATTCTCTCCTTGGCAGCCCGACGGGTCGCCTTCTTCAACAATCCCGCAGCAGGCGTGCTATGCGCACCCGTGCGGTACGGCGTGCCGAACGACACCCGTCCTTTTGCCCCACGCCCAGCCTCCTGCGTCGCAGCCGTCGTGTTCGCGTTCAGACTCCAGTCCAGATCCTCCGTCGCGATGCTCTCGTCCCCATCCCTGCTGGCTACCTCGTGATCCCGCAGCACTGTAGAGTACTTGCTCTCCACCTTCCGCAAGTACTTTCGCTGCAACGCCAGCAAGCGCGCTTCCACCTTGGCCGCCTCCCACTCGCCAGTGCGGGAGGTTTTGTCGATACGCATCTCGTCCAGGAACAGCTCTGCGATCTCGGCAATGTCGACGCCGAGTAGGGCGTCGGCATAGGCGCTCGCTTTGACCGCTCGGGATGCGCCCGACCGCGCGATGAGGGCGGAAGAAATAGTCTTGACGCCGGAAGTGAAGTATTTGTCCAGACGCACCCAGTCAGCCGTGTCCCAGATGCGCGGGTTGAACGTCGACGCGGTAGGAGGGACAAGGGCGGCGGAGAGACGGGCTTGTTTGGCGGGAGGAAGACGCGTGCGTTCGGGCGTGGACAGGCCAGGAAAGGTGAAGCTCGATGAGGGTCGTTTTCGCTTGCTCTGATTGGCGATGGTCGACGTGGAAGTGGCGTCGGCAGCCATCGAGCGAGATGCAGCGAGGACGGACGGCGAAGCGTTCCGACCGCCACCCGTTGTGGAGTCAGCAACCGCCAGGCGAACTGACGCAGGCGTAGCCCGGAATCCGCCAGGCAAGAACGGCGTCGCAGGCGAAGCTGTGACGGGTCGCTGCGAAGCAACGCTCGTCGCCCTCGATCCGAGGAAGCTCTCCGTGTCCGCTGTCCCGTCGCGTGCTAGCGAGAGCTCTGCATCCATCAACAGCGTCGTCAGGTCTGCACCTGCGTCTTCGGCCGCGATCGATTCGGAATCGTCTTCGAGTCTGCGGCCCTGTTCAGCGCGCTGGATTGCGTCAACGACGCGACGCATCCTGCCTTCGGTCGCATCGCCCATCTCAGCGCCCGAGATCCAGCCCTCGTCAACGTACTTGTGGAAGAGCTTGAGGATCGCCGTTGCACGGGCGGCTGCGCGTGGGTCGAGGGAGGAGATTTCGACAATGGGGGTTGACGTCGGTTGCCCGAGCTTGAGGACTCGGCTGCGAGAGTGCGAGGCGTCGGCTAGAGTTTGGCTGCGGTGCGTGTCGTCGGCGGTGGTTGAGGGACGAGGTGCCGGTTGTCGTAGGTGCAGCGTGTGGATCTGAGGCTCGTCTTCAAAGGCGCTGTGCTCGCTGGCGCGAAGAGACCGGTCGCGAGGATCGCGCACAACCTTGACGACATACGCCTCCTCCTCCTCTTCGTCTTCAGATTCGAGCACAGAGGTCGAAACGCCGGAAGGGGAGGCGGAGGAGGAAATGATGACGACAGGGTCCATGAGCGAGCCGCTCTGCTCGTCGACTTCCAGCTGCGAGTCGTCGCCCTCTTCTTCAAGATCGTCCTCGAGATCGTCCTCCTCTTCTTCGTCCTCCTCCTCCTCATCGTCACGCTCTTCGCCGCTAGAAGCCGCGTCGTGGCTGATCGCAGACTCGTTTCCGTCCTCCTCTTCCTCCTCCACGTCCTCTTCGTCTTCCTGCTCGTCGGTCTGATCGTCCTCAGCGACGCTGCGTGCACTTCGAGAGTGTGATGCGTCGCGTTGTCGAGAGCTTGCATCGGCGTCCTGGACATCTTCCTCGTCATCAAGGTCGTCCTCGCTGTTGTAAGGCTGCTCCTCAGCATCGCTTTCAGCTTCTGAATCGGTGCTGAGCGAGAGCCGACGAGACAGATTCGCTCTGCGATTCAACGCGATCTCGCGGCTGTCCTGATACTTGCGTCGCAGAGCCTCTTCCTCCTCGTCGTCCTCATCTTGCTCCGATGCGCCCATGGACGACTGAGCCGACAGAATTGACGACATGGATTTGGAGCGTGGTACCGCGTTGCTGTCGTGCAAGGGCTCAGCTCTGGCTTCAGGAGAGTTTTCGGCCATTGATCTGCTCGCATCAGCCATCGAAGCGTCTGCGCTCTGTTCAGTTCGGCGGGACGCCTCGTTCTCGAAGGTGAAGTCTCCATCGATATCGTCGTCCGCATCGTCATCGCGTCGTGCCTGGTGCGCTTTCCAGGCCAGGATGGCGCTCGAGTCCTCCGGCAAGGTCTCGAGCAGCACCACGGGCCGTGGAAACATGGACCCGTCCATGGCTGCCGCTGGAACGGAGGCTCGTTCGCTTTCTGTAAGGCTGATGTCCAAGTCGATGCTGCCGAAAGTTGAGTCAACCGGCAGAGTCGAGGCGTTGCCCTCATGCACGACGCTGTGATCATCGGACGTCTGTTGATCACGTGCGACTGAGTCGTCCATGTCCACCCTGGAATCGTCGGCCGTGGTTTCGTTTGGTGCGGAGGCCTTGACAGACGCATCCTGCTCGAAAGACTCGACGTTAGCAGAGGCCTTTGACGCGTCCGCCGCTCGCGAGTCGTCAGCTGCGTCCCTGCTATCTTGCACTGCTTCGGAGTCAACAGTGATGTCGGCAATGATCGAGTCGTTTGCGGGAGGAGCGTCGCTGGATGAGACCTTGGCCGCCTGATGGATCTGATCGATCTCTTCATTGATGCTGGTAGACATAGAAGCGTCAGTACCAGCATCCTCGTCAATGACCGCCTCCTTGACGCTGCTGCTGACGTCCTGACTCTGCTCGTTGTTGCTGAGCACAGCCGAGTTGTCGTTGATGTTGGCTTCCGTGGACACTTCGATGGATTGGTCGGCGATGGATTGGTCAACGGCGCTGACGTCTTCGCTCTCCTCTTGGCCGCTGAGCTCTGTGGATGGGTCTGTGACGCCGACATCAGCCTCGTCATGGCTGCGCTCGTTGGCGAGCTCCTCGCTGACCTCCTCGCTGAACTCTTCACTGACCTCCTCGCTGACCTCCGCAGTCTGGTCTGCGCCGCTGGTGTCCATTGTCTGATCACCCTCGCCATCAACGCCGCTTTGATCGTTTGCATCGTGTTCCACGCTTTCGTCGTGTTCTTCGGTCTCTGCGCTGACATCGATGCTTTGATCCGCAAGAGCGACGTGCAGACTCTGATCAACCACAGCGCTGTCGTCGACCTCCGCAGAGGCCTCAACTTCGCTGAAGACCGACATATCCACAGGACCGCTAACCTGGTTTCGCTCGTGGACAGCAGAGTCGTCGGCAAAGCTGCGCGAGACATCGCTCATCGACGAGATGTCTTCGAGATGTTGCTCCGCGGGAGCGGCTTCCAGCGGCGGTGTTCTCGGCGACGCGGTGTCATGTTCAAAAGCGACAGGCTCGTCCTGATCCGAATCGGAGGCAAAACCTGCATCGTCGAATGGCAGGAAGGCGACACCGGCCCCGTCGTCGTCGTCGTACATCTCCTCGGCGTGCTCCGTGCGCTGACTGTCGTCTGCCTCGTCATCTTCGGCGGCACCAACAGAGACATCGACGGGCGGCTTACCAGACATGCGCGTATAGAGCGAGTTCCGGCTGGCAGATGAGGAAGCGGAGCCGGCGCTGTCTCTACGTCGGGACGATACAGCGGCTGCAGCCGGAAGAGGAGTCGAATGGCTGTGCATGGTCAAGCTGGCATCCGTCTGAGCGGCTGCCATCTTGGAGATGCGCGCCGTGGATCTGTTCTTGGCGCTGGGTGTCTGGTCGTGGTAGACGACGTAGGTGTCTGGGCCAGTGAGTAGCAGAGGGTCGTCGCCGGGCGAGTCGGGTAGTGAAGGATGATCGCGCGTCAAATCGGCGATGACAACAGGTGGTGCGACCGACGATCTATTGGATCTCATGCTCGAGAAGGACTTGTTGGACCGAGCTCGAGACGCCCTGCTGGCGAGGGTGAGAGCCGAGCCTGAGCTTTTGATGGACTCGTCAGAGATATCGTCGGCCTCCTCGGCAGCAGCTGCACAGGCACCTCGCACGGAGCGAGCACGACTGGAAGCTCTTGATGCCTGGCTGGGGGCAGGTGAGGCACGAATTTGAGGGGTCTTGGATCGAGACTGCGAGCGTGCGCGTGCGCCGATGGAGGACTGGCGAGAAGGACGAGGCGGATCAGGTTCGAGGTAGGTGAACTTGATAGGACTTTGCGGCAAGGGCTGATCCCAGCCGTTCTCCTTGATCTCTCGGATGAAGGTAGCATCAGGACCTCCTCGTTTGAAGCTGAGGAGTTGGATCTCTTCCTCCTCCTCTTCTTCTTCTTCCTCCTCCTCATCCTCCATATCTTCTTCGACCTCTGGCAAGGACCTCATTCGGCTTGAGGCCAGACTGTCAGCAGATCTTAGGAGGTCGTCCTCGTCGCTATCCTGCTCGTCGCCGGCACGTAGCGACCGGCCTGCTGAGCTGCGCTGGCTTGCGCGCGGCGTGGATGTCGATGCTGACGCTCGGGTGGGAGTTGCTCGAGCAGGTGATAGAACGCTTGTGCGTGAACGAGACGGCAAAGGCGAAACCGGCTCGCGCGGAAGAGAGGAAAGAGCTCTGTTGGATGGACCAGGCGTGGTGGTCAAGAATTCGGACGAGCTTGGCGGAGTGGGCAGTCCTCCTGGAGCGTCCAGGTTGGCTCCAAGTTGTCTCATGACGCCGAGCTTGGACTTGGAGGGACTGCGAGGGGCCGAGGCAGGCAGCTGATGTGCCGCGCGAGCCGAGCTTGCCTTGTGTGTCTTGAGCTGCTGGGTCTGTTCTTGCGAGAGGGGCTTGTTGAGCGAAGTGATGGCTGAACGCTTGAAGGGACTTGGGAGGATGTCGAGTCTCGCATTTGCCGAGTTGGGCAAGCCGATGGTGGGGTCTGGCAGGTTGTAGAGGAAGCTGTTGGAGACGAGAGGAGAGGATAGCGGCTCTGAATGGAGGAGTGACATGGATGTATCGGTATAGGATTGGGAGGGCATCATGTTCTCGTCGTTGATCACGGATGAACGAGAGAGTGTGCGCCGACGTGGCATTCTTCTTGATGGAGACAGCATGTTGAGTTGGTGAAGAGAAGAAGGATGAGAGTGAGGGCCTAGTGCACTTGTGCGAGCTTGAACGGTGTTGATGTGTCGCTGCCCTGATCAATGTGACCAAATGAAGTAGCGCGGCAGAAGCCTGTGCGTGCAAGACTGCGAAAATGAAGTCTGGAGCGAAACGTGTGGGTGGATGCGTGAATGCCAAGGCGGCTGCTCTACCGAGCCAGAGCTTAGCACGGCGCACACAGATGAAGCAAGGATGTACCGAGCGTCGAAGAGGGCTCTTGATGCCACGCTGGATCGACAGGGAAGACGGTAACTGTGATGCTGCAGCGCTCCCAACGTGGCTGGGGTTGAGACGAGTGTATCGAAGGGCAGCGATGAGGTTCCACGAGAACCGTCCGGTGTCCTGGTGTTCAGGCGTGTGCACTGTCTGGGGGCGGACCTCGAGTCTGGTAGATGATGATGGCGGTCGTGGAAGGTGGGAGGACAAGGCAAAATGACACTTTGACGAAGCGCTGTTGGACTGCATATCACTGCCTTCTCCACAAAGTCACATCCGCGACTATCAGGCGCACAAGGAAATTTACAACGCGAGACCCTGTCTAGGTCGCGGGCTCATCACGTGCGTCAAAAACAATCATTGTTAGACCTTGCCTGTCGGTGTCACCGAGTTTTGCCTTTCTGGAGATGTCAGATCGCAAACTTCGACAGCTCGAGCTTTACCAGCATGTCACATGACCTCGGCCGAAGCAGTGAGAAGAATTTCGGAGTGAGGGCCGATCCTGGCAAGAGTCATCTAGTGCCTGGTTGACGAAGAAGTACTCAGCACTGCGATGAGCTGCCTTGAAGAGGTCGCCAGTCCATCTGTCCGGTGTGAGGCAGCTCAGCGCGGCGCCTCGATTGCTAGAAACACGGCTTGGACCTGCACAGTGTGCCAGTCAGCTTGTCGAGCGAGCGAAGGAGCCTGCCCAGCAACAGCCTGTCAAGACAGTCAAGCGCGAGCTCGTCACCATCTTCTCGTTCCTCACCATCAAGACTATCCAAAATGACTAAGAAGAGACGATCCGGCGGGTAAGTTTCGACAGCACACATCGTCGAAAGCACATCGAAGCAATGCAGCGTGAACACGACGTCAGCACCCAGATCAGCCAAGCCAAGCTCAGCTCAGAGAACATCGACAACAAGCCGACGTTTAATGTCGACAGAGACCAGGGCATATCTCAGACCATAACACCATCACCAGTGCGCAGCGTCGAGATCAGACATCGCGAACACACCACAGCGAGCTCAGACAGCGACCATTGCGACAAACGGAGGAAGAGGAAGATGTGTCGAGGATTGGGCTCGATTGACAGGAACAAGCGAGCCAAAAAGCCGTACACGATGATGGTCCGGATTAGAGACAGGGATCAGGATGAAAGCGCTCGGTGACACAGCTCGACCGAGATCACCACCGACTCGTCCACCATGCGGCTTTGGTAGCAGCTCCGGGTTGAGATGAAGGCCAGAGCAGTCTTTGGGACCTCGATCGAGACTGTCACTGCCGCTACGCTTCGTAGTTCGCATCAGTTGCGGTTGCGCCCGGCTCTGTCCTGCATTCTTCGCTCCCTGCCTGCACCGAACGCTCTTGTGCACGCTCGACTCTCAACATGATCTCCCCAGTCCCAGTCTCGAAGTCCACCGCACCATACAACATATCACCAGGAGCTCGACAAGGTCCTTTTTGTCTACACAGACGCGCTCTTCGGATCAGCATCGCCTCACACCCGACCGTGCACGTCACGTCCTCGTCGGCGGAGCTCTGGCTACAGCTCGACTTGGTCTCTGACTTCTGCCCCGACTGTTCATGCTTGCTTCGACTTGCTTTCGACGTTACGACAACCTCGCACGACACGTTCATGCCTGCTGACACGCATCTCCACCCTTCATCTTCCCCTACCTCACCCTCCACAGCCGCAACAAGTCCGGCCGAGGCCACGTAACCTTTGTGCGATGCTCCAACTGCTCGCGCGCTGTCCCCAAGGACAAGGCCATCAAGCGATTCACTGTGCGCAACATTGTCGAGGCCGCTGCCATCCGTGATCTGTCCGAGGCGTCGGTCTACCAGGAGTACGCGCTGCCCAAGCTGTACATCAAGGTGGTCTACTGTGTCTCGTGCGCCATCCACGCTCACATTGTCCGTGTCCGTTCGCGCGAGGGTCGCCGCAGCCGTCTGCCCCCTCCCCGCGTCCGCTTCAACAAGGACGGCAAGAAGATCAACCCCGCCCTCGCCCAGGCCCAGGCCCAGCGCGCCTAAGCGTTCCGAGCTCGGTTACGGTTTCCCTTGCACAAAATCACATGTACATTCATATGCGGTTCGAGTCTCGATGAGATGAGGCCGCAACAAAAGTGTCAGAGGCTCGATTGAGAGTCGTTGATACGCAACCTACACATCATACGCGCATGCCAAATGCCATTCTTCTCCTAAAACCAACCATCTTGTCTCGCCTGGTGTTTGTGATACAGAATCATTGTCGATCGACCTCTTTGAGATGAGCCGAGTCGGCGTTCTGGAAAGGGGGGCACATCACACACAGCTGCAATCCACGAAACTCACAACCACGACCCATATCGTCTTGTGTTTGGACGCTTTGTCGATTGACCATCTTTGTCGGGCTCTAGACCTGTTCGAACCCCAATCGCAAGCGCAGCAGATCCTTGAGCACGAGCTGGACACGTTTGTGTTCCGACTGCAGCCGCAGCTGTTCCTGCCTGTCAAAGTCCTCTTCTTCGGCCTCCTCCTCCTCGTCTTCCTCTTGGCGTTTCCTCTTCTGATCGGGCTTGATCGTGTCCAACCCGTCCCAGAGGCCCTTCAACGTCCGGACGGCCTCCAACATCTTTGGTCTGCTCAACCAGGTGAATCCATCTAGGGCCCTTGCGTCCAGGACGCCTTTGGCGAGGGGTCGGGATACAAAGTCGTTCCTTACCGCCCTAAACGCCCGAGGATTAAGCGCAGCGGTGTGCATGACGGACCTTACCAATTGGCCTTGCAACAGATGCAACCGCTTGGCCACCCTCTCGTCGACGCTCGAAAGAGATTCGAGTGCACCGTTGGCTTTGGCGAGAAGCAGCTTGTTGCGTCCCTCCTCCCTCCCTCGCAGTTCGGAATCGGACAACCATCGTCCATGCAGCCCCACGCACCCCGTTGCGGCGGAAGACGTCTGAAACTCGGTCTTGAGCACCAACCGTGTCCCTCCACTCGCCAGGTGCGGTGCATACTCGTACAACCTCACCACCCCCTCGCCCAACCCGAAACCCGTATGACCCCCCAAAGCCACCCCGCTGGTCGAGATCAACGCCAACCTCTCCCCATGCACGAGGAACCCCCCAAGGGAGGCATGATACTCGTTCACCTCCCTGCCCAACTCGACAAACCGATACGGTTCCTCCTGAAACGCCAAAAACATCAACGCCTTCTTGGCGTCACTCAGCAGGAGGAAGTTCTTGACCACCCGAATGGAGGTGATGTACAACGGACAGTCGAGGAACGCCACACTGATCAGCCACTCTTCCTTCTCCAGTGCGCGAACGAAGAGTTTTTGACCGCATGTGGTGATCAAAAACCCGTTCAGGTGGGCGATGGCTGTGACGGGTCCTCGGGCGTCGTCGGTGCAGATGAGCTTCAAACGCAAATCCCGACCGATGGAATAGCGGGAGGAAACGACTTCGATGATCTCGAAGAGGTAGACGCTACCTTTGGAGGTGCGGTCTTCGCCGTGGAAGGTGGTGGTGCCAGCTGCGATGAAGGTTTTGCGTCCCGAGAAAGAAGAGGGCGCGTCGAGGATGACCGTTTCCAGCGAGGTGACGGTTTCGTTCGCCTCGAACTCGTAGCCGTCCGAGGCGGTGGTGCGGTCTTCGTCGATGAAGAGTTCGAGCGCACCGCGAGAGGAGTGCGTGGGATGGAGCGTGTGGGCGGTTTCCTCATCGATGTTGGAGGTGCGGATCGGCTCGCCGTCCTCGTCGAACAGGATGAAGCGACAGGGTTGGATGGAGGCTGCGATGACGGTGTGGGTGGGATCGTGCGAGACGACATGCGTGTAGGTCCGGCCGGTGAGGTGGATTGTGGTGAGCCAGTCGGGGGACGTGTAGAGCGCAGGTGGGATGCGGGCGAGGTAGAGATGGCCGGCACGGGTGCAGTAGGCAAGGCTGGCGGTAGAGGATTGTGTTGTAGGAATGGATGAGAGGGATGAAAGATCCCCCTCGGGCCAGTCAAGAAGACGATAAGAACCCTGTTCAGTCCAGCACAGGATGCTCGCTTGCGCTTCATGACCTCCACCCAGCACAGCGAGAGCGTTGCATCCACCACCATCAGCCTGCTCGCCTCGCGGCGGTATCCGCACCGGCTCGAGCTGCACAGTCCCCGACCGGTAGCCTGTCTTGACCCCGCCATCCAGGTCGTACGAGCGCGCACCAGGAGCGGCAAGCACATGCACGAGCACCTTGTTGAACATCAACCCCAGCGCGCCCTCATCGCCCACCCGTCCTGCTTGGCGGATCTGCGCCCTCGCCTTGTCCACCTCGTCCGCGGGCGCCCACGAGTTGCTCCGGTAGACAGTGAGGAAGTTGTCGCTCGTCAGCGAAGTGATGCACAGCGTGTCGCCGATGTGTTGGGCCACCGCCATGGTCAGCACCGCCTTCTGCTCGGAGGCGAGTTCGGTGTGACTGCGCTGTTCGTAGCGGAGTCGCTGGGGCTGCGCCGCGAGACTTGCGTTCTTCCATACGAGCTGCAAGTCAGGTAGCGAAAAGATGCTGCCGACGCCGTCGGAGTCCAGTGCGAAGAGGTAGGCCGGGTCGGCAGATGGTGAGGATGCTCCGTTGGCAGGCTTGACATCGCCGTTGGACTGGGCGTGGCCGTTTGCAAATGTCTCTTCGTCGTCCTCGCCGTAGTCGACTTCTTCGTCGTCGTCCTGCAGGGACGAGAGCGGGCGGGACGCGGCCACGGCGACTGGAGCAGCCTTGACAGATGCAGTAGCTGCATCTCCATTGGCGGACTTGGCACCTGGTCGGCGAGCCCGCTCAATGTCACCGTACGTATCTCTGAACACGTTCGCTGAAAGCAGCGGCGTGGCGCCGAGAGCCGCGGACACATCGATCGGTTCGAACTGCTGTTGAGCTGCGTCGTAGCGATAGAGCAGTGTAGCGTCATCAGAGGTGTGAATGACCGCGTACTGCTCGGCATCAAGGCTGGCGTGAAGTATGCTGCCCTGGTCCGGTTGCATCACTGTGGTCTCGTTCAGAACGTCGAACGTGTCGGAAGACAAGACTTGCAGGCTGCTGGCAGTGATACGCGCTACAGCACCTCCACCTAATAGGCTACCCGCGCAGAGAGTAGCTCCTTCTGACAGCTCCTTAATGCTCGTCCAGGCGGATGGTTGTTGCGACTGTGAGTGCGATGAGCTGCTGGCTTGAGCTGGCGCTGAGAAGGCGATGGACGATCCGCCGTCCGAGTCCGACGCAATCATCTGCACATCGCCGTCGGCCCCTCTGCCAACGACCCAGACCTTGGAAAAGGTTCGAGTGCCCTTGCTTTGGTCGTCCGATGTCGTGGCCGGAACAAGCTGGGTGCGGCCCTCTGGCACGAAGCGAGGATCCATATAGGCAAGACCGGCCTGGCTGCCGGATCCGCACGCGCCTACCAGCCCATACCGCTTCGACGAGCCAGGCTCGCTCGCGGGAAGCTTCCGCCTCGCGATGCTGTGCAGCTGGCCGTGCGAGCAAATCTCATCCGCCTTGCGCACAGCGAGGACCATTCTTTCTTTGCTGGCATTTTGAGCCTTTGCGCTGCCACCACCGATAGCATCTGAGGCGCCGTAGAGGTCGTCGTCGAGGTCGAGATCCATGTCGTTGTTGGAAGATGCCGCTGCTTCCGCTTTGACTTGGTCCGCATCTGCTCCGTCTTCCGGCTTGAGAGGCTTCTTGATGGGCATCAAGTCGTACAACGTCGAGTCGCCTGACATGGAAGCACCGAAGAGGTAGCCACTGGAAGTGGACGACAACGAGCTGGAAGAACGCGGTGCGAGAGCGAGACAGGAAGGAGGTGGCCCCATGGCAGGGGCGAGCTCCTCTGTCTCGACGGACGACTCCTCCATGCGCTCCAGACGTATGCCTTCGACACTTCGACCGTCCATCTGACAGCGGAATCGATACATGTCGCCACTACTCAACGTCAGCACACCATCAGTTTCGGAGGTGAAGATGAGCTGAGAGCTTTGCAGATCCGCGATGCCGGTGGAGTCGAGCACAGATTCGGGCTCGATGGCTGATATTGTCTGGAACCACTGGTTGAGGGCTGTGACCACGACTCTGCCGCTCTGATCGACATGCAGGATGGAAGACATGCATACGACGAGGACACCTCCGAGGGTCTGCGGACATGAGACCATGTAGAGGCAGTCGTAGGGGAGTGCTGAGCTGGTCGTCACGACAGGGTGAGCGGATCGTATGGTGCCATCGTCCAAAGCATCAGCAGCCGAGCCGAGCGTGGTGCCATCGAGCGATGCGGAGAGGTCGAGCGTGAAGAGGTAGACGGAGAAGGTGTCCTTCCGCTCGGCCAGCAGACCGGTGCATGTCGGCGTGCTTGAGAAGAGTACAGCCACGGTCGGCTTCTGGAAACCTGGGAGGAAGCAAAAGTCCTGCAGGTTGCGAATCTTTGGGTCCACCTCGCGCATGGTGAGAACGAACGAGGGCGAGTAGGGCAGACTCTCCATGTCAGCTGCTGCTGCTACGGCTGCCGCGTCGTCCTTGACGAGATCGAGATTGAGGTCATCGTCGAAATCAAAGTCGGCGACATCGCGATAGAAAGGCAGGATGGCCAGCGCATCGTGCGGGAGAAGTAGCGCAGCACATCTGGAGAGCGGATCGACGTTGAGGATGGGCTGGAAAAGGTGAGGTGCTCCATTGAGAAGCTGAGGGGCACGCTCGTAGGTGTGGATGGAGACGGTCTCGAGGTCGTCGGTGGCATCGTTCCACTCTAGGAGCGCGAGCTTGGCATCTTTGAACGAGACGAGCAAGCGGTCACGGCCGTCCTTGTCGCTTGATAGAGTCTGTACCGTCTGTAGCCCGGTGACGGCGCCAAACAGGTTGTGTTTGCGTGCCATGACGAGCTTGTGTGAAGTAGAAGGGCTACAGGAGGAGCTTGATCCCTGTCCTGTGCCGTTGCTGGTGGTTGTGCTCATCGACGAAGAGGCTGTCGAGCGCTCGTAGACGTCGTAGATGGTGAGCAGGTCATCGCGTGCTGTGACGAGCTGTGTACGGAGTCGCCCACGATGTTGATTGACTTGCTGTGATGTGGAAGGTGCGGGGCTGTGGTAATGCAAGTTGAGGAAGACGGCATGGCTGCAACCGCCAGGCGCGACCTCTTGCTGCAAGTATCCGCTCGCCATGATGGCAGAGGCTCACAGCTTGGCTTGGACGCTGCGTCAGATGATTTGCGGATGACGAACAGCGCAGCGAGGTGTGGAAGCTGGTTGATGAGAAGAACCGACTTCGCACGGTCATTGGAAAGAGTAACAGCCAACCGAAAGCGCACCCAATCCCACGCCCGAATTCCGAGAAGAGCCAGCCAGCCAAAGTGACAGAACTCGAGAAGAAAAGAAGGGCAGAGAGCAGCAGCAGCCCAAAATGAAGCAGGAAAAGGGAGCATTTCTCATCTCTGGACGACGCGTCTGCCGTGCCTGATGCTGCAGTTGACTGTGATTGCATTCAGGCACGAGCACCGATAGGGTCTTCCGCAAGTCCTTGCAGCAAAGTGAGCCGGAACGTCGTTGAACGCCTGCTGGGCTTGTACTACCACCATCTTCATCTGTCATCGGATCATAGACGCAGCTTGCACGCCTGCTCGCTGTCTTTTCATCTCCCAGACATAGACGGGATCGAGCATGCTGGACGACGAAGAAGCCATCGACTATGGCGAGGACGAGCTTGTAGCACCGGTCGCTGGTCAGGATGAGGTGAGCCTCACTTTGGACGATGCGGCACAAGCGGACGAGGGCTCTGCGGAAGGGACTCCGGAGAAGGAGGAGGAGGCAACACTTCAAGAAGCCAAAATTGCGGAGGCGGCCGAGGATGCTGTGGGATCGTCGGGTACTCCCGATGAGGCTGCCGCTGGCGCCGACGAGGCAGGTGCTGCAGCTGTGACTGCCGACAAAGAGCAAGCATTGGATGCCGCCGCCAAAGATGCTAGGATCGCCGACAAGACGGACTCGGATACCCCTAGGACCACGGAAGGCGACCGCCGTAGAGGTACAGACGACCGAAAGAGGGACGACAGCGACGATCTCGCCCCCGGCTGGAGGGCCATCAAGTCACGCTCGTCTGACGGCGAGGTCTACTACTACAACGAGAGGTCGGGCGAGAGCAGCTGGACCAAACCTACCGTTGGCAGTCAGTCTCGCGATCGAGCGCCGCAACAAGGCTCCAGGTCGGCGGCCGATGCCAAGACGGGCTCTGGCTCTGGCTCAGGTGCGGAGCAATCAAAGAAGAAAAAGAAGAACAAGAAGAAGCGCGCGAGGGACGTTGCAAGGGCGGATGCGGCTGCTGCAGCAGTGTCTGCGCAGCGAGGACGCGACGGTCGCGATCGAGGCCAGGACAACGGCAGACAGAGGCAACAGGATTCGGGTCGGAAGGATGACTCGTCCAGGGCCAAAGAAGATGCGAAAGTGGAGCAAGGATTCAGCATCAAAGGTTCAGCTCAGCGTCAGTCGGACCCGGTCGATTCGAAGCAGCAGCAGCAAGGCAATCAGAAATCAACTGACTCCCAGCAAAGGCAAGGCGAAGCAGGAGGGAAGCGCAAGAGAGGCAACGGCGGGCAAGAGAATGCACAGGGACGTGCCAGAGGCGAGTCGAACCAACAAGCTTCGAATCGCGATGCCAAGGCCGACGACGGAAAGCGACCGCGCACCGACCGAGACGATCGCCGCAAGGATGGTCGATGGGGCGATGACACTCCTCGCGACAGGCTGACGGGTGACTCCTGGCGACCCAGCGGTGACGGTGCAAGAGGCGCATCGCGATATGCCGATGAAGCTCGACGAGATGACAGGCGTGATCCTCCGCGTGATCGCCAGCGAGACGCCGCACCGAGAGATGCAGACACCAGAGACCGGGATCGCGATCGTAGGGACGATCGTGGTCGGGACCGAGAGCGCGAACGAGAACGAGAGCGCGAGCGCGAGCGTGTTCAGGATCAAAGACAAGCACCTCGAAAAGACGCACCACGCTCTGACTCAAACAAGCCGACAACAGGCAACGCAAGCGACGCCCGCGCCCAGTCAGACAGTAGAGGAAACGCCGAAAGGAATGGAAACCGGAATGATAGAGACGCGAGGGATGGGAAAGGGCATCAGCAGCGACAGGCAGGGCCCAAGGGACAGCCGCGCGATCTCAGCTCGATCAACTCGACAGGCTCACAGAACAAGCGACAGTGGGGAGGAGCCGCTTCCAGCTGAGCGTCCAAGAGCAGACATGCTCCAACTAATTTGGCAATCTGAAGTGCTCGTTCTAATCTTCAACGACGTCTGGCTGCGATGTCTGGCTGCTCGTCTGCCAGAGCAGCGTGGAATGGCTATATTGTCATAGAGTCAGACGAGCCAGCCCGAATAGAAGGTGTTGGACGTCGCCTTCGCCCTCGCCTCTTGTGTGACTTTCGATGCGTCTCGCGGCCATTGCAGGATGAAGCGATCCACAAAAGGTCGTATCAACTTGGCAGTGAGCGAGAAGCTCTTGACGCGAGCGAACGATTCGACGTAGACCAGCTTGGGCGAGCGGCGTCCGAGAATCTGCAGCACAGTCGGCAAAGAGCGAGGTAGACCTGAGGTCATGTCAGTGCTGAAACGATGGCAAAGGCTGCTTGAAGCAAACACGTACTCTGAGGAGGTAGACAGCCGCGACAATGGGCACGCAGGTTCCAGGCCCGTTCATGAGGATCACATCGGCCAAAACTCCGTCAGTTTGGCTTCGAACCAGCGGCCGAAGTGCTACGTGATCGATGCAGAACGCGATGCTCCGAGTCAGACTGAATGGCGTGGTGAGAAAGCTTTGATGCACTTCCCTTGCTCGTGGAATTCGGATCACTTTGCTGGCAGGGCTCGGTTGCGGCTTGTCCGATGAGGCAGTGCTTGACGAGAGCTTCCTTTCCAGCTCATTCGCCTTCTCGAGACTGAATCGATCACCTGACGATACGAGGTAGATCCGACGAGTGTAGCGATCCGTCGGAAGCGCCGATACGAGCTGCAGTAGCTCGGTCGTGTGACCGCCTGACCCGAGGAAGACTCCCACGGTGCATTTGTCACTTGCTGTCTTCTTCAGGTCGGTCTGCTGCTGCTTTCGACCTTTCCGGATGGGCAGCACCCACCATACCCGAAGCAGAAGGAGACAGCCGAGCAAGAAGGTGATCGCAATGTAGCGCAGTGGCGGCAGTGGTGGAATGAGATAGAGGAGAAGGCTCGGCGGCAGAATCTCGTTGATGGGTCGTTGAATGTATAGCTTGCCCGCTTCGTATCTCTCTGCGAGCCTGTCCATCCTTGCTGCTGTGTTGCTATGGCTGATGCGACATGACGACCAGGTCCCTTTTCAGAGAGGCAATGGTCAGATCTTTAGGAGGACACTTGCGGAGGACGCTCAAGCCATGTCGGTCACTTCAGGGTCCAGCGCTCGACGCTGTCCGAGTCCCGTATGGACGACTTTTTTTTGGCCAAAACGTTTGATCCGCTGCCAAGGCACCAAGCTGATCCTTGTCCGAGAAAACCACTCCACGCTATGAGGTGCCAGGCACCACAGATGTATCTAAGACATACAGCTGCGACAAGTGGGACGACTTGCCCATCGGACAATGATAGCCTCAGGGGCGCAAGGGGGAGATTGACGGTCACACATACACGATCTGATGTGAGATGGGCTGATGTTTGGAGAGGGAAGGTCTTGGCTTTCGCTGCACGATCTGCGCGATTGACAGGCGAGGCCAGAAGCAGTCTTGATTCTGAATCAAGGCAGGAGTCGAGATCAAGGCCAGCTGCATCCCTGACCTAAGGAAAGTCTCGGGCCACTGGGCGGAGAATAGAGGAGACAGCCGCCTGCAGCTCGTGTCTATCTTGTGCGCGCTAATCCGAGCTTTGGGGAGAGGTCGAGAGAGACAAAGGGAGCAGGAGACCGCGGTGTGATGGTAGAGACCCTGAGACCGAGCCATCTGCCTTTTTGTCGTTGCTAATTTTGATTTAAAATTCCGAAATAAAAGCAATTTACGCTCGCTCGCGTGTTCGATGGCCAACGCCCTGCCGTCCAAATCGGCGGTGGGCGAAAAAGAGTCGCCTGCAGCTTTCGACCCCTCCTCGGCATGTCAGGCCGCGATACAACCGCTGCCTCCATCAGATGAAGCTTGACACTTCGGATGACTTTTGCACTACCGCTGTGATTGAAAAAGGCTGTCACATTCAAGGCAGCTTGCGTGCTGGTGGGAGGTGATGGGCAGAAACTCGAACGGTGGAAGGGAGCAAATCCGACAAGCCGAGGAGAGAAGTGGAGCGAAATTAGGTTAGCCAAGCTCAGACAAAGGAGCCACGCCTGATTATGCTAAGCAGCGCCAGAACGAGCGAGCCAGGTGAGCAAGCCAGCCTGCCAACCCTTCCGTCGATTCGATCTGCTCTCTCAGTCGGAAGCCATCCTACGACTACACTCATCGCCATCGGATGCTTGTGATCGTTTCGATTGACGTCTGCCATTGCTTTCGGACCATGCGAAGAAGCCTATGTTATGTGTTTGACGTCGAGGAGGTGGGCTGACTATCTGCCGCTGCTGCTTGCAAAGCAAATTTCGACTGGAAGCTGCACACTGCAATGCCCTGCAGCTTATTTGCAAAGCGCGCTGCGCTGCTCAAGGAAGCGGATTTTCGTAATTTGAGCCCAGTGACCGCATAATCATCCGCCGTCGGCTTTGCCCAGGCAGTGTCGTGATTTATGCGCGCGCACAGCGCCTGAGCAGTCTGGCTACTCTAAATTTCGCCGCCTGCTGCTGCTGCTGCTGGGCTGTGGTGCTGCTTAGCTTTGCTTCGCTTTCAAGCTGACGAGATGCTGCTGCTAGCTGTCTCGCCCCTCACGCTGTCTGGCCGTCTCGCCTGCTCCACCACCGCTTTCCCGACCTTACGATATCCAACCGTCATCTCTTTGCCTCTCCCTCACCTATGCCTTCGCTGGCTGCTCACAGAAGGATTTGCTGTCCTCCGCTTCCGCTCGCTTAGCACATCCACGGCCACTTCCATTCGCCTTGCCAGTCTACACTACGCCGCCCAGCGCTTCACCCCTCGACCGGCCACCAACCACACTCGGGGCCTTGGCTAAGCTCGCTCTCGCCTCTCCCTGCTCAGCTCGGCTTCACTCCCTCTTTCCTAGAGACACACACCTCACCCACTAGCAGAGCTGGTCCAGCCTTGACGTTCGTCCCTCGATCATTCCTCAGCTGCCCAGCCACTTCGACATCGCTTACCACAGCCACGTCTGTGTCGTAAGGGTCGTCGCAACCTGTCATACGCGACCTACGACTTCATCGCATCCCACACCTTGCCGCCATCAACCACCAGCTCAGCAGCCTCCATTGCCATCCTAGTGTCGTCGTCCTCCCCCGACAGCGCTCGCCGTTCGACACATACATACCCGACGCTGTCTTCTGTCAGCACCATCAGATTCTCACGGATTGCATCCTGCAACTACTCGTAGCAGCAAAATCGATCTATTCAGCTGCTTGACCTCCTACGCCATCAGCATCTCCAACACTTTAAATATAGACCGACCTTCCTAGTCAAGCTTCGACCTCAGAGCTTGTTTGCTCGATCGCACTGCGAGCACTCCTCCGCGCCATCATCGCCACCATTGCTGAATAGCACTGCAGCACTCGACATTACCATTACTAAGGGTTTCTTGTTGCCACCAGTCCATCTGCTGATACCCGTCACCTCGGCCGCCCGCCTCTTCACCCCTAGCATGTCGGAATCAGAATGAGCGCGGCCTCGACACAACAATCACACCACACTTTTAGTGGCGGCTGTAGCTCGGGCGACCAATCGCCCACGAGCTCAAGCTGTCACAGCCATATTGTGAGCCCCGTCTCTCCGACCTCTCACGATCATCACATGACATCGCCGCGACAATCCACCTCAGCAACACCTGCGACCGCTTCTACTCTCAGCATGATGGGTCAAGCTGCTCCTACGTCGAGCGACGTTGCACATGCCGCCGGTCAGATCTCGACATCCGCGACACACGCACAGGAAAGGCAAGCTGCCGCCCTTACGTCCTCGTCGACACTCTCGTCTGCCACACAAGCAGCGCCCGGCTCGTCGCGCTTGCAACAACAGCAACAGGTCCAACTTCGTCTGCCAACTGCTGCGCAACGCCGACGCGCACGCGAACTTGCCACTGTCCTCTTGACCCTCGCCACTTGCCAAGGCTGTCACCGACCTGTGCAAGACCCCGTGACCTTGCCTTGCGGCCATTCGTCGTGTCTCCAATGTATCAAGGATCATGTGCTGCCCCGATCCATTCCCTCCGAGGAGGATGTGCGGCCACTTCCTTGTCTCACTCATCTTCCTCCGCGTCTTCCTCTTAGCCCCATGACCGTACCCTGCCCTGCACAAGGCTGCCCACGCTCCGCTGTTGGACGCGGAATCGGCGTTTGGGCTGGTCATCAGCCTCGATATGGTCTCATCCCCACCTACACAGAAAGGCTTCCGGTAGACTCACAAGACATCGGACCGGGAGCACCGCCTGTCGATGGCTTTGTCATGGGTGTCGCAGACCACCCTCTTCGACTGACCGTCATTGGCCCTCAGACTCGATCCAAAGCACATCTCTTTGCCGTGCCGCCGCAGGGTGTCGAGCCCAACAACGCCAGCGCTCATCACCAGACCGCCACCACTCTTCTGCCATCCTTGGCGACCAGCAACATGCTTCGCACCGACGTCACCCTCAGCAAAGCCGTCGCCATCCTGATGCGATACGCCTCTTCCCCCCTGCCTCGACCTCCTCGTCAGCGACGCAGTCTGCCTGGCTCCAGCGGACCCTCGTCGGGCAGCAGCTCGAGGTCTCGCCATTCTTCCAGGCGTGGCAGCACTGCTCGCGGAACCCAGAGTCATCATGCCTCCGCAACTTCTACACTCGGCCTTCGAGCACGAGCGAGCGCGCGCAGTCAAAGGGCGACGCATGGCAGACAAGGGGCTCGGGCTCAAGCTTCTGCATCTCTGTCCGCTCGTCGCTCCCACCGATCCAGCATGTCGCACGCTGGAATGGGAATCTTCGGTCAGAACGAGTCGGAACTCGAGAGCGGTACCGTCGGAGGTGTGCGTGCCGCCGCCTCGGACTCGGATGACAATTCCACGACCGGGAGCAATCAGGATAGCAGCACCGAAACTGCGCACGAATCGTCCGCCTATCGCGGCCTACCTCGCAGTCTAGCCGCTTACGTCGACGACGAAGCGGCCGGCTGGACTATGCAGGGCGGCGCTGATTTCGAGGGCAGCGAAGAGGAGAACAGCGATCGCTTCTGGCCCGATCGAGTCGGAGGTGCTTACTCGCGACCGCTCGTTTCGAGCAACGCAGGTCGCAGGCGCGGCAAAGCTCATCTGAAGCGCCGTCGTGGACGACCTAGTGACGAGAGCACCTCGGGCGCCAACTCGTCTTCGAAAGACAGTCGATCTCACGGAGACATCAAAGTTGCCAGAGCAGAGCTGGCAGAGCCGTCGGACCAGGCAACTCTGCGTCACTTGGATTCAGGCTGGAGCACGGAAGATTCGACCGCAAGCACCACGCTGCAACGCGCCAACGGCCGTGAAGCATTGGTGGATGCTGTGCGTCGTCGCCGTGCTGCTCAAGCCCACAGCGCAGCCAGCACTGCCAGCGATGCTGACACCGACATCGACAGTCAGCGTCGTGCCATCGAGGCCAAGCACAGTCTAGCCTTGTCCTCCCGAACTGGAGTCAACGGCGAACCGCTCATCCAGTCTGTCGCAACGCTGCACTCGGAGCTTGTCGAGGTGCTGGAGTGCCAGCTCTGCTATTTGCTGCTCTACGATCCTCTCACAACGCCCTGCGGTCACACCTTCTGCAAATCATGCTTTGCCCGCAGTCTCGACCATGGCGATCGGTGCCCACTTTGCCGAGCGGATATGCCCAACTTCTCCTTCTTCCAGGATCATCGTCCCAACACGGCTCTGCTCAAGATTCTCACCTCTGACACCGCCACGTTTTCTGACGATGACGGTATCGACTCAGACTCAACGCAGGAAGCCAAGATGACGGCTACGAGCACCTACGCAGGCATCTCCATCGCTCTAGGCTCCGACGAAGGCGCAGACGCGTCGATGGGTGGAGGTCGTCGAGCTGGTCTCATCGTGGACGACGATCCCGAATCGGCACCCCATCATTACGGGTTCAAGCGCCTCTACGAGCAGCGCAAGACCGCCATCGAGCAGGAGGAGCGCGAAGCTCGATTGTCGACACCGATCTTTGTCTGCACTCTTGCGTTCCCGGGGATGCCCACAATTTTGCACATCTTCGAGCCGCGATACCGGCTCATGGTACGTCGTTGCCTCGAGAGCGGCAATCCGCGATTCGGCATGGTTCTGCCATCCAGGAACAACGGCGGCACAGAAGAGTACGGCACGATGCTGGAGATCAAGTCGGTGCAGATGCTCGCCGATGGACGCAGCATGCTCGAGACCGTGGGCTCGTATCGCTTCCGACTGCTCGAAAAGGGGTCGCTGGACGGCTACACGGTCGGGCGCGTCGAACGAGTGGACGACATCTCGCTCGAGGAAGAGGCCGAGCTGGAACGAGCGGTGCTTGTGCGTCGAACCGAGCTGGAGCGCAAGAAGGCGGCGGAGGCAGTCGAACGCCCGCGAGCCTGTCCCATGGCACCTTCTTCGTCTGCACCTGTGCGAACGCAGCCCAGCAGCGAGGAAGGACAGCCGGCATCCGACGCTGTCTCTGCTCGACCGGACATGCCTAGGGCTGAGAGCGACGCGCTATCCATCTACCGCAATTCGAGCTCAGCTGACACACGCTCTGAGCAGCAATCAGAAGCGCAGCCTATGCAGGCCAGCGGCACGACTGCTTCCCGCAGCAGCGCTGAGCGCGTCGAGCATGATAACGATGACGACAATGCGGATGAAGCCGGCTTGCTCCCGTTCAAGCCTGTTCCTGCGGAGCCATCAATTGAGGAGCTCACCGACATTTGCACCACCTTCATCGAGACTCTCCGCTCTGGCTCAGCACCGTGGCTGCTGTCCCGTCTCAACCACACCTACGGTCCCATGCCCAGTGCTGACGAAGTCGAAAGGCTCGGATACTGGATGGCGCTCGTGATGCCCATCGACGAGCACGAAAAGGCTAAGCTGCTCCCCATCCGCAGTCGCCGACTTCGACTGTGTCTGGTGGTGCACTGGATCGAACAGCTCCGACAGAGCTGGTGGTTCAACAGCGGATGCACTGTCTCCTGATCCCCTAGATCGAATAGAGATGCCACGACGATGAGGACGGTTTCCTTGTGGCCATCAACATACCCTTTGACTGCAACACACGATCTCGCAGCTCTTTTCCCCTATCATCAGATGCTCGAGTAGCATCTCTGTATCTTGGTTTCTTTTCATTATCAGCATTCTCGTTAGTCTTGTTCCTTTCCAATCCATCGCATTCTGTACACGATAACACGAATGGCTGTGAGTGGGCGGCGGCTGACGTTGAATGGATTATAAGGAGTGATGGTGCAAGAGCGGAATTAAGCCGGCCGGCTGAGTGTGGGATTCTCAGGCACCAGAGCAGTGTAGGGCACGCGCCTCCACATTGCAGAAAAGGCGCGGTAAGCAACACCGGCTTTTCGGTGATCCGTCAACGTCACTTCTTGGTCTAAGCTCCATCTCTTCCTTTTTCCTGTCGATCATCCACCACGTTCATAACCGCTTCACACATCTATCGTTCATAGGTGTGTTTCGATTTGCAACCATAGGTTCCGCACTTTCCATCGCATCTTCCGTCCTCGGCAGCAAACCCGCCTGGACTCAACTCGACGACTCGCGCAAGATGGCCGCCAAGCAAGCCGCTGAGAAGCTCATCTCGGAGCACCTCGTTGCTGTGTTCAGCAAGAGCTACTGCCCTTACTGCAGTCAGGCCAAGAGTGTCATCGACAAGCTCGGCCTGGACAAGTCCAAGGTCGGCATCCTCGAACTCGACACCATGGGCTCCGAAGGCTCCGACATCCAGGTAAGCATTCCCGATTTGGAAGCAAAGAAGATGATGAAGCTGACAGAGAAAGTGTTACAATCTGTGTGGTGCACAGGCTTACCTCCAGGAAAAGACCAGCCAGCGAACCGTCCCCAACATCTTCATCAACCAGAAGCATCTCGGTGGCTGCTCCGACTTGCTTGACGCCCAGAAGAGCGGAAAGCTCCAACAGCTCGTCAAGTAAAGTCACCATGTAGATAGGATGACAGGAATCGAGACGTTTTCGAAGTTGCTTTGTTCCCCCCTCTTCTTTGCGAAGAATCTGATTGCGTGACTGAGAAATGACGGCAGGTTCATGGTGGTGAGCAATGCGTTCAGCGCGAGCGTCTGATCGGCGTTCTGCAGTCTCTCGGGGGGTCAAAGTGCCCCAATGTCGCAGGACGAGCTGGGGGTGCAGGCCAGACGCACTGGAAAGAGGACTAGTGCAGACTCGCTCAAGCACGATCCGTGTCCAATATGAAGTGACCGCACGCACCTCCTCAGACATGTATGCATGTTCATGTGATAGTGACCATGACGGTACAACGCGATACTATTATATGAGCGGTCATAGAGCATCGGCAGGGGGCAGTGAAAGCGCACATTTGTTGGCCGCAATGGGACCGAATTGGCAAGGTGCAGCGGCGAGCTCTGTTGCAGACCGAACACGTCTGTTTGTGGCGCTAGCGCGAAGATGCCCTACGCCCTGATCGCCGTTGCCTTGTTCGACTGCTCATGGCCCCCTTGGCGTAGATCGTAACGGGCTGAAAAGTTTCGCCTGAGACCAGAAAGAGGACATTGTGAAAGAACCATAGATGCAAATCTTGCAGGTCACACAACGGCGTGGTCAGGAGTATTGCCCCGCAAGCAAGCTTTGACCCTTGCCATAACTTAGCTTTAGCTGCTCCGGCCAATGCTTTTATGAAGTCACAGGTCTGAAACATGTCAAGTAACAGCACACAGTGGGCGTAGCTATGTTCTAGACCATATCGGTATCAAGGGACATCTAAGCTGACACAGCTTTCGCATCCATTGTACACAGTGCGTCCACTGGCCCCGTGTTCGTCGCTTTCAGTAGGCGGTTCCGGGAAATGAAATCGAGGCCCCGTCCTGCCGGCATGGGCCTGTCGCATGGTCAGATCTTCTGCTTAGACCACCACCTCGGGTCTCTTTCCCCTCGAAACGTGTCGCCCTCTTCCCTTCTGCGTACGAGCCATGATGGATCTGCCGAAGTGTCCGACTCTTACATGTCAGGGCGCGCTCTCACGAAAGCTCGAGACACCGCTATCAGGTTCCGACCTTTCACCCAACGCAAAATCCCGCTCTGGTCCCCCTCGTACGTGATCCTTCGGGCATCGCAATCTCTCGAGTCTTAGCGTTGATCACATGTCGCAGCCTGCTTTCGAAACAATAAGAGCCAGGAGAGCGCTCGACTCTTGACCCGAGCCTCCAGAGCGGCAGCTTTAGCTCAACGCTAAGCAGCATCGTACATAAGGTGGCTACTCTCGAGGCGATATCCACCTTGCCCGCTTGATCTCTTCACCGTCCCTCCTGGCCTGCACTGTCCTTACACCTTCCCCATCTTGACAGCGGAGGATCATCACTGCTCCCCAGCCTTCGTCCCTCGACCTTCTTTTTCTCCTGTTCATCCCTCACTGAACCTTTCGGCCACAATGGACGTTCCCACGTCGCTTCCGGATGCTCTGCCAGACATTGCGCAGGTGCTGCGCAAGTTGAGTCCAGATGCGCCTGGCTTTCCACTCGCCGCCAACGCTTCCGCTCGCGAAATGTTGACGTTTGTTGACGCCCTCGCGCTCAAAATCTACCCCAAGGGCTACTGGCAGCTCACGTGGACCCTCAACGCAATCAACCTGTTTTGTTTCTTCTCGGTTACGCTGGCTCTGCGGACCTACCGATCTCATAAGAGTCCGACTCCCTTCTGGCTGTTCAAGCTCGAACATCGACCGTACCGAGTCAAACGAACGCTCTCTTCGAAAAAGCCTGCAGAAGCACAGAAGCGCGGCGAACAGGCCATACGACTAGGCTCGACGACAACCTCCCCGGGCAAGCTCCAAACAAGCGACCACATGCGTATGGGTCGTTTCATCACGGCCTCTTGCGTCAATTGTCACCTTCTCTTTACCAGCGCATATGTCATCCTGCTCTGTCTCCAGGTCATCGAGAGCTACCTCGCGCGCGGAGCATTCGCAGCTCCTCCGCTTCTCGAACCAGCCTTACTCGACACCTTCATGCTGTTTGCCATCTACTCGACCGCTTATTTCGCAGCGATCGGCTACATCGCTCTACTCCTTCCCAACGTCCCTCCTTGGATGTGGAACAGCACCGTCGTCCTCTACTACGTAGGTGCGGTCGTAATTGGTCTCACCTGCAAATTCAGCATTGCATCGAGTCTGAGCAGGATTAACGCTTTCCGCGTAGGTGTCCATGAAGGATTCGCTCTTCTTCCTGGATTCGACGAACTTCTCAACTATGGCATTCCTCGGGTCGACGAGACCGCGAGAATATTGCTGCTCAACATAGTCAAGGAGGCGTACAAAGAGTCACTGTGCTGCAAAAAGTGGCAGCAGTGCATACACGTACTCGTCGTCTTGAACGGATATACTCTTGCTCTGGGCTATCTGGTCATTCTCGTCTTGCTATCCAGGAGGGTAGCTAAAGAGCTGGCTCAGCTGCGAAAGTCTCCGTCGTCACATTACGTAGACAAAGATGCCGCGCCGATGGACTTTCCTACGGTGGCGGCGTTGCCGTCGGTCGCAGCACGATTCACCATGCCTCTGGGAGCACCACAGACCCCGACCCCGACCTCTCCATGGTCTATAACACACCATCACCGATTCAGCCTACCTCCTTACGGGATGATCAGAACGCCTCCTCCAACGCCCGCACCAACTGGACCTCTTCCCTCTCCTCCTGCCGACGATTCGCAGCCAGCTTCGCGCTCCTCGACGCCCGAATCGCTCGCCTACGAGGTCGGCGACACTCACGGCCGATCACACTCAGTCTTCCATGCCAGACCGGCTTCATTCCCCACACGGAGCGTTCAGGTTGGCAATCTGCTCACCGAGAAGCCAACTCAAGGCCTCTCCTCCCGAGATAGGAAGGGATCGAAGCAAGAAAGTTACGGCGTCTTTCCTGTGCATCAAGATGTTCGTGCGGCTTCTTTGGGCGACATTGACGCCACGAGGCTGCGTCTGGGGCCACGAACACGTAGGGACTCATGCCCGGCCCCATGGGATCTGGATACGCTGCATGGAGATCTTGCCAGCAACGAAGGCTATGCCGCTGTCTGCCGTTTCCTCTTCAATTGCATCATCGACCACGTCATGATCATGCTTCAGTGCTTCGTCTTCGGGACCCACTCAGTAAGTACCCTCAAACTGCTGCTCTGGCGCGAGACAGGTCACTACGGACCACTGACCCGTTCCCGAACTTTGATGCTGATGACCTGTGCCACACAACAGGTCTATTTGCTCTGTGTCTTCACTCGCGACTATCCGAACGATCCTCAAGTAGCCAGCTCGAAGCAAGGCGTGGCCACGATGGTCTCGGCAGTGAGCTTCACGGTCCTCTACTACATCAATTGTCTTAATCTTTTCGCACCTTTCCTGCTCTTCCCCGCATCTCAAGTAAAGCTAGCAACGATGCTTGCCTCTCTCACACTTCCTGAGCATCGACCCGAGGTAGACGTCGAATGTCATGCAGGCGTCTCGCACAGCCAGCTTCAAGGCGCCGGAAGGGAGACCTCGAGGAGAGACTCTGTTCAGTCTCATCGAGTAGCGAGTGGACGGACCAAGGTTGTCCCGGAGCTGAAGCATCAAAATTCTTCGCGGGCGCTCATCAATTCGGCTAGCAAGGAGACAAGCGAGACCTACACAAGCGGCTTGCTTAGCAAACATGCCTCCGAACGGCAATCAAACACTTCGCACCAATCGTCTGCTGGTTCGGCAAGAAACTCCATCATTGGCGACGATCAGGAATCGGTCTGGAACAATGCTCGAAGCGCATACGTATGCGTACCGGCTTTTTCCTCACCGAGACAACATGCGAGGTCGAAGGCGAATCTCCACAAGGACCAGCACCCCAACGAATGCGCAACAGCCGACAAGATCGCGGCTCACGTCGCGGCTGCAGTACGACTTTTCCGTTCGTCTTCCTCCACCAATGTATCTGGACAGGGTCGCAAAGCTTGCGCCGTCCCGGATGGATCGAAGCCTGATATCTCGCACGCGTCGGATACGGTGACCTCGCCGGCATCGACTTTCCGCCCAGCGAGTCTGAGCGAGGAAGAGCCAAAAGCTGGAACAAAATCCTTGGGATGGGCGTTCTCGCCGTTCTCGCGAGACCGCGTCGGGGATACCAAGCCGAGCTCTCTTTCTGCCTGGCGTTTTCCGAAGTCTCGAGACGAAGCAGCGGCCCGGAAGCGCCGACCAGGCTTCGAGACTGACCTGACTCTCGACACGATCAGCGACAGCAATCAAGCGCCAAGAACATCGCCGAGCGCTCAGTTAGTGCTGGACTCGCTCATCTCATCGCACGCTCTACCCATTCGGGGATTCTACTGCCACATGAACGCGGCTGACGAGTCCGCTTCTCAGCGGCATTACGACGTTCACAGCTCGATAGAGTCTGGCTTTTGGACATACGAAGGACCCATTCTTGCGGAGAAGCGTCAGAGCTGCATCAATCAGGCGCACACTTACCAGTATGCTCGAGAGTGTGAAGCCAGAGAGGAGCTCACAAAGCTTCAAGGCGAATCTGACGCAGAAGACTTTGGCACCGTGGGCGAAGCTTCGATGCCGAGAAGGCAGCGTCTCCGGCAGCAGTTTTATTCTCAAGTCGACCAGCGTCGTCGTTCCTCCAGCCCAGCCCCGCAGGCCGGACAGGTGCGTTTGTCTAGCTCCAATCGCCTTGCACCGGGAACACAGGAATGTGGGAACGTACGCAGCATTCGAACAGTTAAGCTCTTCGGCACGGAGCTGCGATCCGACAGCCACACCACAGTCCCAACCATCGTCGCTCAGCCGCCCACCCCGGAGCCTTCCGCGACTCCGTCCTTCAGACCATCTCAGGAGTACGGGCAGGAGACGACCATCTCTCTGCCGTTAACGGTGAGCCCTCTCTCGGCGAGCATCTATCTGGCCGATGAGGACGACGAGCGAGATTTTCGCACCCAAGACGCGGAGCAGAGCGACGACGACGACGACGCTTCGATTGCCTCTAGTACCTTTGGCGGTGCCTAAGCTCTCTTCTCGTTGAGCCACTTCTTTTTTCTCTTCGTATGCCACTTCGTATCCGATCACTTTTGCAGACCTGCCCAACAGCGGCCATATCACATTCGTTTTCACCCGTCCCTTGGGGAATCATCACTTTCGTTTACTTCATCCATTCCTGATCCACTGTGCCGAAGTTGTGATTCGACCGTCTTCCGTGCAACCCGCAATGTCCCTCACTCGCTCTGCGCCGCACAGGTTCTCATGTCGCACATCATCCAAGGTAAGCTTGTCATTGCCACCCTCATCGTCCACGTGAAACCTCGGCCGCCTTTGTCGCTACGAGTAGGGATTGTGTCCGCTCGGCCCACCCGCGCCGTTCCTCGGCGGGCCGTCAGGTCTAGCTGGCAGCGCATGCTGTCTGAACTGCCCCTGTCCCTGCGGCTGTGGATACGGATGAGTTGGCCGTTGCGCGTTCGGATGAGGGAACCTTCCCTGCCCACCTAGCGGTCCGGGGAACGGATGTCGTCCCGGCGCAGGCCGATCCCATCCACTCGCCGGGTCGGGCATCCCTCCGCCATTCGGTGCGTACGCCGGCGCAGGTCTCGCATACGGTCTCCCCTGCTGCTGTTGGGCAGGATACGGCATCTGGCCCATCCCCGGTCTGCCGCCCATCCCCACCCCCGCTCCGCCGACTGGCCCCACCTGCACCGCCGCCGCCGGTGCGACCGCCGGCGCAGGCCGCCACTCCCTCCTCCCCCTATCAATCTCCTTACTATGCTCGTACTTGGGCAAACTGCCCCGGTCAGCCGGATACGGTTTAGTCCAGAACCATTCGTGCTCCAATGCCTCTTGCGCCGTCAACCTCTTCCTCGGATCCAGGACCAGGAGCTTGTCGATCAAATCGGCGCATCCGGGACCGGCGTCGTAGACCGTCCGAAAGTGTTCCTTCACCCGACGGGGGTGATCGCCGAATGCGTGCTGACCTGGGATCTCTGGGTGTGGATCGGGTCTCCCGGTCGGATCGGCATCCTTAACACCCGGCAACGTCGACCATCCTGGAAAACTTGTCTCGTTCGGACTTCCACACAACTTGGCAATAAGCTCCAACTGGTTAATCTCGCTGGTCCCCTTGAACAACGGTTTGCCCATCACCATCTCGGCCAAAATACATCCGATCCCCCACATATCGATCGGAGGTCCATATCGCTTCTCCCCCGCCAACAGCTCGGGTGGACGATACCATCGCGTCACGACCATGTTCGTATACCGATGCGTACCCCCCGTCCAACCTTTGCCCGTCCAACTCTGTCCCGGATCCCGGTACGGTCTTGCCAGACCAAAATCCGCGATCTGCAACTGACCCGTGTTGTTGATCAACAGGTTGGCCGCTTTCATATCTCGATGGAGGATCCGGTTCTTGTGCAAGTACAGCGTTCCTTCGAGCAGCTGTTGCATGTAGAGTTTGATCTGACTGTGCTCCAACCTTATCGAGGGGTTTTCCAGCATACCGTTAAGATCGTGATCCATGTACGGTTCGACCATGTATACGTCGCCCAACTTGCCCCGTTCGGTGGACGGGCGGAAAGCCATATCGATCACCGGAACGATCGATGGGTGATGCAGTTTCTTGAGCAGCTTGATCTCGCGCAACGCCGTGATGGGCAGTCCGTCCTTCGCATCGTGGATCGTCACTTTTTTCAGCGCGACAGAGGTGCCAGTGAGAATCTGACGACCTTTGAGAACTTCCCCGAACGTACCCTGACCGAGCTTGATCGAGATCTCGTAATCGTCGAGCGAGGAGCAGCCGACAAACTTGCGCTGGTGGAGCGGTATGCGTGGTGCGCGAAGCTTGCGTCGCTCGCGACCGGTGAGTGGCGGTGCGTCGGGTAGCTTGCGTGGAAGACACGAGAGACGAACAGAGGGGACGGAAAAGTCGTCCAGCGCATCGCACGTCGCGTCGTAGTTGGCATCTGCTGCGACTGTCGCTGAGGGTGCAGTAGCGGTGGCGGTAGGATGCACGGAACCCGGTCGGCTGCTAGGTGGAGCGGTGTTGGCGACCGACTCGGATCCCACCCGCGAAGGGACCGGCAGGACGGGAGACTGCATGCTATCGATCCTGGGTGGGATGGGTGCGCCAGGTGCCACGTTGTCGGTCTCACCTTCCTTGTCGCTGACAGGGGCGATCGTGGGCGGGACGACCGCGTTGAAGTTTGCTTTGCGCTTCAGCAAGCCAGCGGGCGGAGAGCGCGAGCGAGGACGTTTGAGCGCCGTCGGCTCGGCATCCCGCGAGACAGTGGGTGGAGGTGGACGCTCCGCGTGCGAGAGGAGCGGTGGTGGTGGTGCAGCTCGTCCCATCCGGAATTGAGGTCGTGGGGGTAGTGCTGCTTCACCATGCTTGCCATTCGAGGCTGTGCTGGATGGCTGCGTATCTGGTGGTGTCGGTGACCATCCGGCATATCGCTGCTCTCTCGCCGCGGCGGGTGGAGACGGTACTCTGTCCCGTCCATTCCTCTCGTATGGCCTGTCGCGCGGGTGCTCGCCGCCTCTGTGGTCACCGTACCGCTCATGCTCCCTCGGTCGCTCGCGCTCGCCTCGATCGTTTCGTCGCTCAGATTCCCGCCCCCACTGTCGCTCCGGCCGTCTGTGATCGCTCCAGCTACGGTCGTCACGGCGATCGTCCTCCCAGCCTCGTGCAGGGTCCTGCGGCCCGCGGCCCCAGTCGCGCGAGCTTGCGGCAGGATAGCGGTCGTCCCTGGCACGATGGCTTGGAGCGCCGTTGCCCGCCTCATGACGGGACCTATCGTATTCCCTGCGATCGCCTTGCTGGCGATGGTGTCGGTCGTCGTGATGCGAGTGCGGCGCGGGTTTGCTGTCGTCTCTGCTACTGCGCGGTGGTGAAGGGCTGCGAAGATGGCTCGCGTGCGAAGGAGCAAGAGTTTGAGGTCTCCGTGGCGGTGAGGGTGAGCGTGGCTGGTACGACCCTGGTCGGCGCTGATCCCTCCCCGAAGCTCGCTCGTCGCTCGGCGCGCGAGCCCCAGCTGATGGATGCGGTGGAGTCTTTGGCGGAGGCGGCCTGAATCCTGACCTGGACGAAGATCTCGGAGCATCGTCGATCGCACCTTCTTCCTCCTCATCATCCGCAGGTGGCGCTGTAAACTTGCCGCTCCCTCGACGCTGCACCGTCTGCGGGCGCTGTGCTGCCGGTCGGGATGGCGCTTCTGCTGCTCTTGATGCTCCTGGCTGCATCGGTCTCGTAGGTAGACGGTGTGCGGCGTGCCTGTCCCTATCGAGCTTGATCGGCGAGGACGCCTCCTTTGCTGGCTGCGTTGAGGGCGAAGGGACCACCGAGGCAGAAGCAGACGGTGTGCGACTCGCGACACCAGCTATGCGGATCCCGCCATTGGTATTGGCCGCCGAGTTCTGCGACGAAGAGCCCTGGTCCGAGGACGAATGCTGCATCTTGACGGTCTTGCTAGACGTGGGTCATTGGTGGTTTGACGAAAGGAGCGTGATGCCGTTTCTACGACAGAAACGAACGTGAAGGAGGTCAGAGATCTAGGCGCTGCATAGCGCTGTCCGTCACGGAGGGGTTGGGTGAGAAGATGAAAGCGAGCGTCGACGACATCGACTGCGCCTTTAGCTGTCTGTGCCTTGTGTGCCTCGGAAAGCGCGTCTTCTCGGATCGCGGAGTTTGGAATTTCTCTCGTGTCATTGAATCTGTCGACCTCACAATCTCAGAAAAATCGAGGTGGAGCTGAGCTGAAGTTTCAATGAGACCCTGTCGCTCCCTCCTTCTTCCCCTACTTCCATACCGTCCATCACCGACTCGCACTCGCAGACGTCTGTCACCATGTCGGCACCATCCACATCCGCAGCCGGTGCGGCCAGTAGCGCTGCCCCACCCGGCAAGCTCTCCCGCTCCGAGTTCCGACGCCAAAAGGATCTCGAGGAGGACCGCAAAGCCGGCCGTGCCCCCGCAGAACTCGACGAGGATGGCAACATCATCAACCCGCACGTGCCCTCGTACATGGCCCAGGCACCCTGGTACATGGACACCGGCTCGCGCTCGCTCAAGCACCAGAAGAAGCCGATCGACCCGAACGCCGTCAAGGCGGGCATCAACGACTGGTACCAACGTGGCTCCTCGTCAGTGGGGGACGAGGTGGTGGCAAAGAAGTTCCGCAAGGGTGCGTGTGAGAATTGCGGATCCATGTCGCACAAGACACGGGACTGTCTCGAACGACCTCGCAAAAAGGGAGCGAAGAAGCTCGGCAAGACCCTCGCTGGAGACCACGCGCTGCAAGAAGTGGCAGGGTTGGACTACGCTGCCAAGCGAGATCGGTGGAACGGCTACGACCCCTCATCGCACAAGAAGGTCGTCGAGGAGTTCGAAGCGATTGAAGCCGAACGTCGACGCCTCAAAGAGGAGCAGATCGACAACGCCACCTCGTCCGATCTTAAACACGCCAAGCGTCTTGCGCAGAAACAGTCCAAATCGACCGATCCCGACGCCCTCGATTTCAGCTCGGACGACAGCGACGACAGCGACGACGAAAAGTACGCGGACAAAGCAGACGCGGTGGGGCAGAAGGTCGACAACCGCATGACGATCCGCAACCTCCGCATCCGCGAAGATCGCGCCAAGTACCTGTACAACTTGGATGTCAACTCGGCGTACTACGATCCCAAGACGCGCACGATGCGCGAGGCGCCGAATCCGAACGTTCGGCCCGAGGATGCGGAGTATGCGGGCGACAACTTCGCTCGTGCCCAAGGAAGCGAGAGTGGGGCGTTGGCGAATCTGCAGCTGTTCAGCTGGCAGGCCGAGGCAAGGGGCAACGATCTCAATCTGCAGGCCAACCCAACGGCCAACGAGCAGCAGTTCCGCGAATTCCAACAACGCAAGGAGAAACTGAGGGAGCAAACCAAGGGTAGTATCCTGGACAAGTACGGTGGAGCAGAACACTTTGATGCGTTGCCACGCGAACTGTTGACGGGCCAAACGGAGCAGTATGTGGAGTACAACCAGGCGGGGAAGGTGGTGAAAGGGTTGGACAAGGTGGTGCCCAAGAGCAGGTGGGAGGAAGATGTGCTGGAGAACAACCATACGCAGGTGTGGGGGTCGTGGTTCTACATGGAGGCGGCCGAATGGGGATATGCGTGCTGTCGGAGTCGGGTGTGGAACAGTTATTGTACGGGTGAGGCGGGGATCGAGGCGAGCAAGACGACGTTTGCGCCCAAACCCAGGGCCGAGGTCAAGGAGGTGGTCGAGAAGGAGACGAAGCAGAGCAAGAAGCGCGAGCGCAAGCGGGAGCGGTCCGCCTCGGTCTCTTCGTCACGCTCTCGCTCTCGGTCTGTCACACCGTCAGATGACAGCTCCTCAGACTCTGGAGGGCGTCATCGTCGTCGTCACTCTCGCCGTTCCCATCGTCACCGCTCGCGCTCGCCGCCGTCAAAGTCAACCTACGTCTCGCGCAAGGACCTGGGCAACGGCGACGTCTCCTCGCGTCTCGACCGTTCCGCACTGCAACGAGCGATCGAGGAGGAACGTGCCAAGCAGGACCCGGCGCTGGCCGCCAAGCTGGCCGAGGAGAAGCAGCGGCGCTTCGAAGCGCTACCCGACTGGGTCAAGGATGCGGAGCGCATCAATGCCAAGGTCAACGGCTCCAGGCGCGAAAGGGGAGGGGAGACAGAGGTCACCGAGGAGCAGCTCGAGGCGTACCGCTTGGTCAATCGCGATGGCAAGGGCGGAGTCAGTGAGGATCCCATGGCGAATTATAGGGACGAGGAAGATGTGTGAGGCAGCAGGACGAAGAGCACGGGCAAGGGCGGGACGCGACTATCCTTGGACCTCGCGCACCGGAATGGAATAGCAAAGTCTCAGCATGCCGAGCGTTGGCAAACGCAACCTTTGTGTGGATGTGTGTGATGTCGATTCGCGTCGATGAGGAGAATGCATTGAATGGCAGTAGAAATACAGATGCAGAGAGACAAATGTGTTCGAGAGCAGTGACTAAGTATAGGGCAGAGAGTCTGTTCAGCGCGGTGAATGAAGAAAGGTTTCGCGTCAGCATGCAAAGCTCGTCGGCGAAGCGTCGACGAGGAGTCGTTCCAGCAACAACAACAGCGAGCGAGTCGAGCAACCATCAAAGAGTCAGCATGCCCACACCCAGCTCGACGGCGACGTCCATCGCTCAGCTTGCGCGCGCAAAGCGGTCGAGAATGCGGGGCGTCTCAGATCTCTGTTCTGTAAGTATGCTGCGCAGCGGGCCCATCGACAATCGATGTTCCCTAGCAGTGGTGTAAGCACCAGCTCGCACGTCGTCTCCTATCCCTTTCGCATCTCTTGCGCCAACCCGTAAAAGGTTTGCAGAGCGCAATCCTCCCTTGTTCCGAACGTAAGCCAGTTGCGGTGAAAGTGTCGCACAAGGCGGTTCGCTGTCCGACCCGAGGTACCCGGAGCCTGACTCGCAAAGCTCTGGAGGGAAAGCGAAGCGAGGGCGTCGATGCTTGTCGATGGGTGAAGCAAGGAGGACGACATATGACATAATAAAGGTGAAGAAGGTCGAGACAGCAGCAGTGTGGGTGGGAGCAGCAGCAGCAGAGAATACCGAGCAAAGGAGCCTGCAAGCGACCGAGTGGGAGCAACAGGTCTTTCTAATCGCCTGTTCCCTTATCCCAGAACCAAATCGCTTTGGCCGGGACAAGACGGCAGCCACCCAGAAAGGCAGCCTGCAACAAGGGATTGCAGGCGGCCCCAACGTGGGTCGCCAGAGCACATTGTTGTAGTCGCAGTCGTTTAAACAAAGTTGTCGTCGAAACATAGCAAGCAGGCAAGCAGGTATGAGGGGTCGTTCGGTCGGTCGTAGGAGTCGAGGTCGAGACGTTCAACGGTCCGTAGCATCGCGTTCGCTGGTGCTGTCAGAGCTGATCAGTCGTTCGTTCGATACCGCAAAGATCCTGTCACTCGAGGGGGAGAGGCGCCGCTTGAGGGCATCAGGTCGGGCGACGACGCCAGAAACACCTCGGGGCGAAGGACGCTGGCTTTGAAGCCAAAGCGAAATCCACGCTTGCCGCGATGCTGTAGCGCATTCCATTGTCGCTGTAGACGATTGCATCCAGGGTGGTAGTGAGGGCGTTGGCGCCAGAAACACACGCACCGGACACCGGAGAGTCGATCTGTGAAGTCGGAATGGGGCATCCTGTGCAATCTTTGAGTCGATCGTTTCAACCGGCACGTAGCACTCGGAAGCGAGAGCGGGCTCGAGAAGGCGCGTCAGGAGCCATCCATCGTCGTCGTCGAGAATCGATCTTGCCTTCATGGTCCTTGACGTCAAGAAGCGGGGATCGTTGAGGTCTGCACAGAGGGTGGGTGCACGCCAGTCGAAAGGGTCGGGCGAACAGCCGGTCGAAAGCAAAGTGTCCCGCTACAGCCGGCCCCAGGCTCTCCAGGTGACCTTGCATTAGGTGAAGAATTTTAGGGTCCGAACCAGAACAGCCGGCCGCGGGGACACCTGCCCGACATCGTCACCAAAGTTGTCGCTTGCTTAGAGGTCGTTCAGATCCAACAGCCAATCAATGTCAAAATATCATGGGTGCCGGTCACTGTCATCTTCATCTTCTTCATCGTAGGTCGTAGAGGTCGGTGGTCGTCACGTCGTCATACATCGTTCTTCAGTCTGTACAGAGGTCGTGGTCGAGATATCCGAGTCGAGTTCAGCGCACAAAAGCAAGCTTTCCCAGTCGTTTCATCACTCTCGATCCATCGTGGATGACACCTTGCCTTTGCGCTTTTCTTCGCAAGAGGATCGAGGCACCACCCGACGCTGAATCAACAAGCTTCAAAAGACGCGGAAAGACGATTTTGGGTACCAAACATCGCACACGGCTCTGACTCGACGAGCGGTCAACCCTTCCCCTGGATCTCGACGAAGGAGATCCGGATCGCAGGCCAACCCCGCAGCGCTTTGAGGTCAGAATGACCCTGGGCGCAACCTGTTTCTCATTAGGTTTGCGGTCCACGCCACCGACCGGGGCTGCCGTGCGGCGAAGCTGCCCAATCGACGACGGGATCTCGCCTCGCTGTAGGTGGCTGTCTCCCGTGCTTCCCCCCCTGTCTGGTATCTTTTCTTGATCTAGACAAGGTAGTGAGGGAAACGGAAAGGGGGGCTCGGTCTAGCTGCTTTGTCGGATCTCTGCTGCCACTGCTGCTGCTGCTGCTGTGTATAAGGCATGGGTCGGATGCAATCCGCTTCGAGGCTAAGCTTCCTCCTTCCGACTTCTGAACGGCCCATCGGTGTGGTACGATGCAGCAGCGCAGAAGATGCGAGAAGGACGGGAAACGACATGGAGGCAACTCTATGTGGTGCAAGCGTATCTTGTGCACTGTTTCGTCATCAAGGACGCTGCATCTCGAGACTCTGCCGGCATAGCCTCGTCGCGAAGGGAAGCACTGCCAAGCTGGGAATGGTCGGGGTCTGCGGACGGATCTCTGTGGGAACTGCTCTGATCGCTGTGTTGGCTGAAGAAGGCGACTCACCTGAGATGTCCCTTTATGCTTTTGTTGATGCGGGTCCGAGGGGTCGATTAGTAGAGAACGGAAGCAGCGACCCGGTACCGTCCACCAGTGTCCTGGATGTCGAAGGTTCGAGGAGCAAAGTAGGTGTTGTGCCACCTCCTGACTAGACGCATGGCTTCTGACTGGGTCTCACAGCGCACGATGAAATTGGCGGTAGTAGCATCCGGGTGTGACTTGGGAAGCTTGAGCACACCACCGAGGACAGCGTCGTGGCTACCACCGTAGCCTTTGGAGTCGTGCAGGTATCCGGCATAGGATATCCTCTTTGCACGCCATCGGTCCTGTGGCTTGAGGTCGTAGCGGGGGGCGAGACGCTCCTCCAGACGGGCCTCGAAAGTGTCTTGCGGGATGCCACGCAAGAGGACGAGCTTTCCGGTATCGTACTCGATGAGATCGAAGGGGATCTGATAGTCTGCGGGCCAGTTGCCGTACGCTTTGAGCAAGAAGTCCTTACGTTGCTTGACCGAGCGGAGATTGGCCTTGATCATCTTACCGCCGACGATGCGGCCGTGTGCATCTTCCTCGAACATGCGAGCGCGCATGGTCGCAGAGAAAGAGACGAGCGCTTTGCCGGTGGGCTGAAAGGATCTGGTGTACATGAACTCGATGCGGCCTACGTCGTTGAACGTCTTGGTCTCGCGGGCGAGTGCGCGAATGTCCAGTGGAGTGGCAGTTGTAGGAAGGCCGGTGATAAGGACGTCCTTTTCGCTGACGAGTGTGCGCCGAAGTTGGCCGACAGAGACGTTGTCCGCTTCTGCCCTATCAAGGTAGTCGTCGGGCATGACGAAGCCTTGACCTGCGGGTCGATGTGATGAAGAGGAGAATGGCGCAGTGCGGATGGAGGTCGAAGCGGCGGCGGCGGTGCGCTGAATGCCCGACTTTATCGAGGGCATCAGCGTCCCAGGGCGCAATGCGAGCGGCGCCCTGAGAAGCGCCATGGCGAAGAGAGTCGAGAGGATGCGATGGGAAGGTGATGGTGAACAGGTAGGAGGATGGATGGATGGCGGCTGAGTTCTGCAATGCCACACACGCGCGCCCGCTTTCAGCCAAAATTTAGATTTGAACCCTGGATTGGATCTTGGGCAGATCGGGCTCCACCTCGATTCCCGATTTGCGTCGACAAGGGTTCAAAACACTCGCGCGCGCAGCTGAGAACAACACCTCCATCACTCACACCAGAGGTGGTCACGATTCTTGCTTCTGTTCCAACCACCCACTAAATATCACACGTTTCCCCAAGATGGACGGCCGACGAACGTCTAATGCCGGCGCCTCCGGCATCCCCCAAATGCGTTCCGGCATTCCCCGGCCAGGCGGTGCAGCTGCTCCCACCAACGGTGCTGACTCTGCCATCCCTCGACCCTCATCCCGAATCGGCACCATCCCTTCTGCCGGTGCCGGCATTCGTGCAGCGAGCGGGCCCATGGGTGTCTATCGCTCCGCTTCCTCAGCTGGTCGGAGCTCGGTTGGCGGTGCTGCCTCGGGTCCATCCTCGATGCTTCGTCAAGCGCCAGCCAGTGCAGCGCCCGCATCGCGCACCTACTCCGGTCTCGCCAACCGCATTTCGACCCTCGCACCGCGTCCACTAGATCCGAATACATCCACCAACATGCTCGGTGACGACATGTCCTCTGCTTCCATTCTGCTCGACACCTCCCTCGGTCCTGCTGCCGGGCTGGGAGGCCACAAACGCACCGTCTCCGCCGCTGGCCTGGGCGACGACAGCGTTTCCTTCAGTACCAACCTCAAACGGCCTCATCTTCGAAAGCTGAGCATGGACGGCACCTCACCGTTCCTCCTTCAAGCTCAGAGCGATGTGCATCCAGCCAGCACACCGAGACCAGAATCTCCCGCATACGAAATAGCAGTGCTCCGCACGCATTACGACCAGCAGCTCCTCGCCGAGTCGCGCAAGTACAAGAAGCTCGAGTCCGACTACGAGGCGAAATGCAAAGAACTGGATCGCTTCAACCGGCAACGCGTGGAACTGCTCGACGAGTGGGACAAGCACTCGGAGGCCACGAGCGCAAAGGAGGCCGAGTGGGTGCCGAAGCGCGCTTCGCTCGAGGAGGAAGTGGTGCGATTGCGAAGCAGCAATTCGGAGCTGACGCATCGGAATGACGAGGTGAATTTGACGAGCTCGACACAGCTAGCTGAGTTGAGAGGGAGAGTGACAGCCTTGGAGTCGGAGCTGGGGAAGGCAAAGGCGGAAGCGCAGGCGGCGACCGTGCGCGCAAAGACGGCAGAAGACGAGGTGGGTGCAAACAAGGCCGAGCTGGAAGACTTACAGAATGCGCTCGAGGATGAACAAAGGATGCGCATGCAGCAGCTCGATGAGGCGAGGCTGGGCGGTGCAGAGCAGGGCAAGAAGATTGCGGACGAGCTGGCGAGGCAGACGTCGCATTTGCGCAAATTGGAGGCGGAGAATGCGCATCTAGTTGCCGAGAACGGAAGGCTGTCCGGGCAGGCGAGCAATGTGGAGCTGTTAAAGGAGGAGAAGCGATCCTTGGAGGTCAAGCTGCGTACCCTGGACTCGTTGCGGGATCAGCTCGCTGCGGCTGAAACGCTGGTAACGGAGCTGCAGGAGAAGGAGAGCAATTGGGACGCCATGCTGCGCAGTGGACTGCAGGCAGATGTGGACGCTGCTTTCGCCGCGGCTGCCAATACGGACGCTTCACTACCCACAATCACCGCTCCCGAGGTCATCGACCGCACCACCCTCCCGCGCTACCTCTCCACGCTGCGCGGCACGGTCTCTGGCCTCTCGGCGCGCTGCACCGCCCTCTCTGCCACGGTCGAGAAGCTGCGCACGCGCAACCTCACCCTCGAAGAAGACGCCAAGGACGTTGACGCCAAGGAACGCAAGACCTCACTCCAACTCACCGAGCTCCAGACATCCCTCGCACGGGCCCAAAAGACGGAAGCGCGGCTCACGGACGAGATCGCGCGGCTCAAGACGATGCTCTCGTCGTACGAGCAGGAGGAGGCGGCTCACAGCTCTGCCACTTACTCCGCCGCCCACGCGCAGAGGATCAGCCTGCTGGAGGGCGAGCTGGAGAAGGCGCAGACGGAGAACGCGAAGTTGGCCGAGGAGGTCGAGTCGCTATCCAAAAGCTTGGCGGAAAAGGGAAGCAAGGGTGAGGAGGGGGAGCCTGCTGATCTTCAAGGCCAAGTCGAACAGCTGACGGGGGAGAAGGCGGTGTTGGAAGGCAAAGTGTCGGAGCTCGAGGGCACCATTTCCTCGCTCAGCAAGGAGCTCGAGACGCTGGGCAAGGAGAACGAGAACCTCTGGCTTCGCGTAGGCCGGGGAGAATTCGACCAGGAGCGTCAACGATGTCTCGTGCTCGCCTCCAACCCTGTCTCGCACGACCTCTCCCTTCGAAAAGCCAACCTGGACGCGCTCAAAGCAGAAAACGCGTCCCTTCTCTCCCGCGTTGAGGAGCTCTCCACCCAAGTCACCTCGTCCTCGTCCACGACTACTGGAGGCGAGGCACTTGTGCCGCAGTCTACGCTCGCCAACCTCCGCTCCGAGCTGCACGACCTGCAAACATCCATCGCCGCCAAAGACAAGTCGCTGCTCCGTCTCAAGCAGGTCTTTAGCGCAAAGGCAAACGAGTTCCGCGAGGCCATCCAGTCGCTCTTCGGCTACAAGGTCAAGTTCCTCGACAACGGCAAGGTCAAGCTCACCTCGATCCACAACAGGTCCGCCAACTCGACCAGTCTGGTCTTTGAGAGCGAGGAGGGCAATGTGGGCAAGATGAAGCTCATGGGCGAGGCGGTCAAGGTTAAGGGGCTGGTAGATGTCGAAGGGTTGAAGGAGTATTGGTTGGCTGGAGGGGAGGGCGGGAGACAGAGCGTGCCGTGCTTTTTGGCCGCGTTGAACCTGGAGCTGTACGAGGGATGTACGATGGCCGTAAGAAGGGCGAAATTCGATGATGAGGGAGAGGAGGATGAGTAGAGTAGGTTGATGACGGCATGATCAAGTTATCATAGCTTGGACAGAGTGCGAGTCTATTGTACATTTAGTGACGCAAATTATCGCCTTGTAACACTAAGCTTTCAAATGGCAGCAAGCTCTTGCTCGCACATCGTGACGATGGACTGATATCCCAGCCACTCTGCTTCGTCCTTGACCTCATGCAGACGGCATCGGAGCTGAAACTTAATCGCTCGATCTCCATCTTCTTGAGGGTTGCTGCTCGACGATGAGGTGGACGCGACGACGAAGGATGCTCGAAGCCGGTAAGGCAGTTTGTGAGCGCGAAGAATGTCGAGCAAGTCGCGGTAGAGGTCGGCGTTTCGATCCACGAAGATGCTCGGCGGTGAAGCAGGGCTTGTAGTCGATGAACGGTCCGGGGGCGGACTTGGAAGGAGGTGGTGCGGCGAAAGATCCTTGTCTTGCTTGTCTTCGTCCGTGCTGTGAACGTTCTCGGCTTTTGGCGCTTCCTTCGACCAGCTCGAAGCATCCGACATGTCGCTGGTACGGCAAGTTGAGGCGTCCGAATCCGAGTTCGAGCCAGAGTCAGAGCTCGACGCAGGCAATGAGCTGCACGACGGTGATCCTTCCACGCCCTTCATCGAATCCAGCGCGGCATTGAGCTCGCTAGTCAGCTTCTTGACAACACTCGCGTCGTCTAGGACATCAGACAGCTGGGACAGTGCACTGCGAGTGCTCTGATCCGAGTCGGATCGCTTCCGATAGGCACGCGGCCGGGTCGAGTCGACACGCTTTCGTCGAGCTAGAGAGGCGTCCTTGCAGAGCGCATCGAAAACTTCTGGATTGCGATGCTCTCGTCGATCTTTCAGCAGCTCGAGAAGACGCGGTTTGTCGCCATGCGCGCCTTGAAGCGTAGAGACCAAGGTAACATACTTGGTTCCGCCAACGTCGAGCGTCACCTGAGAGTCCTGTCGCAGCGAAGACGCTCGGTCCGGGATCGCTTGCGAGACACGCTGTAGTGGCGCCGGGCAGGTAAGGGGCCCATCGTCTGAGGCTGGAACCGCCTTGTCCCCAGGCGTAACAATCTCAGCTGATATTTTGGACGCAAAGGAGGGAGGCTGGTCACCTGTTGGGCCCTTAGAAGGTGGGGGCGGAGGCAGACACGTCTGCGGGGGAGGCTTTTGCGGGGGCAGACGCTGAGGAAAGCGCTTGCGTGGAGACTCCGTGGGTGCCTGCGTCTGTATGTTTCGAGTACAGCTGGTGCTGCTATGATCGCTGACAGTGCTTGGCGGAGTATCGAGCATGGCCTCCCAAGCGCTGCGCTCTACGTGATGAGCTCGCTGTGGAAGCTGCTTGATCGCCTGAGGACCAGCCACGTCTGGCAGAGGTGACGTGCTACGCTGTGGATAGCGTGCGTCAGATCGGAGTGTGGTTGAGGATTGCGACTTCCTCAGATTTGCCTCTTGACGCAGGCGAAGCTCATGGGATGCGCAGTAGGGAGGTGGATGTCTTTCTTCAACGTACGCGGGTCTTGGATCGACCGAGACTTGACGACGATGTGAGGGACGGTTATGATCTGGAGGGCTTGGAAGCGCCTTTGCTTGCTCTACTGGCTTGCTGCGGGTCTTTATCGGACCTCCCTGAAGACCGCGGATCAAGTCTCGGTCGGTGGAAGCGACGATACGGCTCCTGTCCTCTTGAGATGAGGAGCCGAGCTCCGAGGGAGCAGAATGATGATTGAAGAGGGCTGGACGAATTACGGAACTCACACCGCTGAGGACAGAGCTAGATGCGACTGAGGCATGGTGTTGCTTGTTGCTACACTTGTCAAGCACGAGGGGAGCTGGACGATCTGGCGTGTCGGATTTAAGGGGAGTGGTGTGGGAAGAATTGCGACTGTGACGTTTGCCCTTGAAGAGGCGACTTGCAGTTCCGATTGCAGCAAGGCGTGCTCTGTTGGAGACCTTGGAGATGGAATGAGGAAGGCCTTCGAGCTTGTCGTCGTCGTCGGAATCGTCGAATTGACTTCTCATAAGCTCGAGGGATGGCGCAGGTGCTTCTGTCTGGCCAAGGCGCGACGGGAAAGGAGCAAAAGAGCTGAGGGTGCTGCGGCCCTCGCGGAGGGGCGAGTCTGAGTCGTCATCGTCGAGTTCGGACGACGAACGTTCTACCTTTGAAAAAGCACGATCTCGTCTGACGTTGATGGATCCGAACTCGGAAATTGTCTGCATGCGAGGATGCAGTTGGAGGGAGGAGAGGCTAGTGGCGCGTTCACGTTGTAATTCGAGGGGCGAAGTGATGCTGCCGGATGGGCCATGGATTGTTGTGGTCGCAAATGGATGGGGGAAGCGGAAGTGGTCTTGAGAGGAAGAAGGCGTGTGCAGAGAGCTTTGAACAAGCTTTGGTGAGTTGAACGTGGGTCGCGGGCGATGATGGAGTGGCGATTGTAGCGGAGAACTGGCTGAAGAGGTGGACGCCATGGCTGTTGGATAGAGAGGAGCAGCGCCGCCTTGTCTGACCAGTGCAAAAGAAGGTGAAGTTGGATGCATCAATGTCTGGCCAGAATGGTGCTTAGTCAAGAAAGTCACGGTCTCGGCAGATGCGATGTGAAGCGTTGGCGTAGCGACGTGTGCAGGTGTGGTGGTAGTGATAAGGAAGAAGTATCGCGAGGCAGGTTCGCAGTTTGTTTGGCAACGCAGAAGGCACAGACAGGGGAAGGGCCCTGTTTGCATTGGCCGACAAAGGCAGGGGATGAGGGTGTCCCTTTGTGTTCATTTGGGAGTCCAAACCCCCACCGTCGCTCAATCGCCTCTGAGGCGCTACACTAAGACGGTTGCTGCCCTTTGTTGTTGGCCACTGAGATCCTGAAGCTTGAGATGTGTGGTTCATACCACAGCCTTGCGGCCACCATCTCAAGCTGACAACGCGATCGGCTCGAGTCCGACGTGGCTGAGCCGAATCCGACACAACCGGTACTGGGCGCAGACTGCGAAAGGCGCTACACTTGTCTGTCGGCTCTCCCTTTGTTGCAACTTTGCTCACCGAGTCGGCTCAACGGATTCTGACAAGTAGAGCTCAGACCGAGCCGGAGACCCCGTGGGAAAGAAGCTAGAGCTGAGTCGAGTCGGTCAAGGTCGAGATTCGGTGCTACCGATTTCATCTACTCAACGCCTTGTACGAAAGGGTGCAAACCGCACTTTACACGTCGCTCTCGGCTGGCCAGCTGTCATGGGACGCGGACCGAGGTCGCCTTGAAGCGAGCTCAGACAAAGCGTACAGGGTTCAGAACGAGACATGAAAGGGCAATGCCAAGCAGGCTACCTGTCCAGTAGTGAACGACAAAGGGGCCAGGAAGCGGGACCCTTGAATCCAATGCATTGAACCGTTTGGCTGGCAACCCAATCGAAATCGGGGGTGGCTCTCTGAAGCCCTGCGCTGCGCTGTGTCGTGTTGGCTGTGCTGTCCGTGCGAAATCGCGCTTTTTGCGGCGAGTCGGAGAGGCAAAAAAAGGGTTCGCGTCGAGGCAAAGGAAGGCCGCGTGCGAGCGTGTGAGCGTGTGAGCTTCAGGTGTTGGTCTTTCGGAAAGTGGCCGGTTTGAAAAGCAGGCTGAGGCGCGCGTCTGTGTGACTTGTTGGCTGGCAGCAGCAGGAGGACGACAGCGCAAAGCGTTCTGCTGCTGGCCAGTTGGAAAAGCGCACCAAATTCACGTCTTCTCAGACTAAAAAAAGAGCGGTTCGCCGCTCGCTCGGAGAGCTGCACCGCGTTCGAGTGCGACTGGCTGACTGGCGTAGAGCTCGATTCCACGCCCTCGGAGTCTAGCGAGTGAAAGTGTTGCATACGACTCGCTCACCAAGCTCAGCTTCATCCGTCATCTTCGCACCGCTCGCCGCTTCGTCGCGCTTCTTGATCAAACGCATCGATCGCAACCGCCGACAGCAATCGAACAAGCTCACTCGATCACAGGATCTCATCCGACAGCATCCACAAGTTTGGCATTCGTCTCTGTCGCTTGCTCGCCTTTCATCTGCCGAAGCGCATTCTGCAGCGCACACGCCTCCCACTCAACCCCATTGTCTTCGCAAGCAAACAATCTCGCTGTCAGCTAAGCCGGCTGCTTGTGCTCCTCGTCAGCACTCGTTCTTCCCTTCAAGACTCGTCAACCCCTATTCGACATGGCTTACCGCAACGGCGTGCCCTATGCGGGTCAGTCGCCTCTTCCACAGGCCCGTGCTCTTCCACACGTGCAGCAGCCCACCAATCAAATGGCCTACGGTGCACAGTATGCTGCTCCCATGGGTTACAACATGAACCTCGCAAACAACCACGGCCCAGTCGGTTACGGTTACAGCTCGGCTGGTCAAGGCGGTTTCGCTCAAAGTCAAGGTTCGTTCCTCCTTTCTTGCCACCTTCATCTCACCTTGCCTCCATTTGCTGACACGCTCTTCTCATCTGTGATGACATCTCCTTTGCGCGCGTAGCCTACGCACAACAAGCTTCAGCCCAACAGCAGTTCCAGGCACCCGCTCATCTCCAGGCACAGATTCATCAGGCTGCCATCGCCGCACAAGCACAAGGCCCTCCATCCCAACTTCAGCATCCCGCCATGTCTCAAGCCGCCCAACTTCAGCAGCAGCAGATCGCCGCTTCCCAACAGCAAGGCTTGCAAGCGCCTCACTCTGGCTACCCACAGCGTGTACCCGGAGGATCGCCCAGCAACAGATCTCCATCGCCTTCCGCTCGACCACTCAACGCCGCTCCAAGAAGCCCGCAGCCCTACGGTCAGGCCCAGACCTACTCACAGCAGCAGCAGCAACAACAGCAACAGTACTACCAGCAGCACCAACAATCGCAGCAGGCCCAGCACCAACAGCAACAGCAACAGCAGCAGTACGGCCAACCAGGCGGGTCCACCTCGCCCAATCTGTCCCACGAAAAGCCCGCCGACTATGTCTACTTTGAGCGGTCCACCAATGGCATGCAAAAGTCCACCATCGAGGCCGCCACGGGGGCTAAGCTCAAGCTCGAAAACTTCTACAAAGTGTACGTCGAGCAGGCGGTCGAGCGCATCAAGCGCGCTGCCGAGCTCGAGGACCGTCTCACCAACCCACCAGACGGTGTCCATCTTTCCGACGAGCGCAAGGCGCGTCAGCTGGCGCAGCTCGGTCGTCGCGAGTCCAACTTCCTGCGTCTCCGAAGGACGCGCCTCGGGCTGGACGATTTCCGCACCGTCAAGGTCATTGGCAAAGGCGCCTTCGGAGAGGTGCGACTGGTCCAAAAGACCGACACAGGCAAGATCTACGCCATGAAGACGTTGCGCAAGAGCGAGATGTTCAAGAAGGACCAACTGGCGCACGTTCGCGCCGAGCGAGATGTTCTCGCCGAGAGCAACTCGCCCTGGGTCGTGCAGCTCTATTATTCATTCCAAGATACCGCCTACCTCTACCTGCTCATGGAGTTCCTACCGGGAGGAGACCTCATGACGATGCTTATCAAGTACGATACCTTTTCGGAGGATGTGACGCGCTTTTACATGGCCGAGTGCGTGCTCGCTCTCGAGGGGATCCACAAGCTCGGCTTCATCCACCGTGACATCAAGCCGGACAACATCCTCATCGACGCGAAAGGCCACATCAAGCTCTCCGACTTTGGTCTCTCCACAGGCTTCCACAAGCAGCACGACTCGGCCTACTACCAGCGTCTTTTCGAAGGCACTGCCGGTCAGAACCCCGCGCAGACAGGTCGCAACTCGGTCGCGGTCAACTCGATCAACCTCACGCTCTCCTCCAAGGACACCATCGCAACCTGGAAAGCAAATCGTCGCAAGCTGGCCTACTCTACCGTCGGTACACCCGATTACATTGCACCGGAGATCTTCCTGCAGCAAGGCTACGGCAACGAGTGCGACTGGTGGAGTTTGGGAGCGATCATGTTCGAGTGTCTGTGTGGGTATCCCCCGTTCTGTTCCGAAAACGCGCATGATACGTACCGCAAGATCCTGGCGTGGCGCGAGACGCTCGCTTTCCCGGACGATATCCATCTTTCCCCAGAGGCGGAGGATATGATTCGTCGTCTCATCACCGCACCCGAGACGAGGTTGGGTAGGAACAGCGCAACAGAGATCAAGGACCATCCGTTCTTTGCGGGTGTCGATTGGGCTACCATCCGACACATCGACGCGCCTTTCATCCCGCAGCTCAAGAGTGTGACCGATACAAGCTATTTCCCAACCGAGGACTACCAGGACGTACCAGAGACCCCGCAGGGCGCAGATATCGGCGTGGGCAGCAAGGATCTCGCCTTTCTCGGGTACACGTACAGACGGTACGAGAGCAACGAGACGGTTCTTTGACGCGGTACACGATCAGCAATCACAGACCATCCTGCATTCTCACGGTTCGAGCGTGCGGTGGCAACAGCGTGCGGTCAGAGAGATGTGGGATGTGAGAGAGAGAGGTGCGATTGTCCGTTGTGTTCCGGCATGAAAGGCGATGCAAATCGGTGAAAGAAAGTGTGAACGTGTGTGTATGCTAAGAGTTGTCCTTTTGAGGGTCGTTTTTCAAGCCAAGAGCGATGCTGTCACGGCGACAAGTGCTGTCACGATGCCGACCATGGTGCTCGCGGACATGGCCGCAGCAGCATTGGTGCCGGATACGCCGCCGAGACCGCCGGTGGCACCCCGTCCTGCTCCGCTTCCGGTCGATCCACCGCCGCTTCCACCACTGCCACCCCTACCACCGCCCGCACTAGCAGCCGTCGTATTGGTCTGCTCCACCATGCCTCTCGTCCAATCCTCGAGAATCATCTCTGACCCCACCTCCGCCAGTCCATACGTGATGCTCATCAGATGCGCACTGAAGCTGATCGGTGGAACGCTCGCGTCGACGACCCTGACGTTCTGGGTGCCGTACACTCGCAGCTTGCTGTCCACCACGCCGCCCTGCTCGCGCGGGAGCATGGAGCACGTGCTGCTCGGGTGGAATTCCGTCCCCACCGCGCCGCGGATCCATTCTTCCCACTGGGCGTCGCTGCTCACACCGCTGCCTGGGGCAACTTCGGATGAGGTGAAAGTGGACAGGGGTGCAGTAGACCCGACACGACGGGCGAGCTTGAACCCTTCCCTCAAAATCGTCATGTCCACCGGATTCGATAGGTAGGCAGGGTCGATCGCAGGCGGAGTAAACGCATTCGTCGACGTCACTTTGATGCTTCCCCTCGACAAAGGGTGTTGCAGTGCCGCTTGAACTTGCACTCCCCCAAACGACAGCGCGAACAAAAGCTCAATCGGTCCGATCTGCGATGGGAAGAATCGATCCACCTGCGCAGTGTACGTCGCATTGTATCCCGCTTTCACCGCGGCAGGTGCGTCGTACGCGGCGACGTTGGCGTCGCGATCCGTGCGCATCTGTGAGATGAGCGAGGACCAGGTGGTGTCGCCGAAAATGGTCGACCCTGAGACGTAGGCGATGGCGCTGTTGACGTACGAGTCTGTCGCGCGGTTGCCGGTGACAGTGGTAGGGGGCATAGTGGCCGACGAAGAGGGGGAGAAGACGACGCCGGTGGACAGGTGATCTTGCAGATGATATCCGACGCCGGGAAGGTCGACGACCTGTTGGATGCCCAGACTGCGGAGGAGGGCGGCGTCGGCGATACCGCTCAGCTGCAGGATCTGAGGGTCGTTGACCGCCCCGCCGCAGAGGATGACTTCTTTTCGCGCGTATACGGGTTGCGGTGTGGCTCCGCTGGAGGAGCTGAATTCGACACCCGAGGCAACGGCGCCCGAGGCATCGGTGGTCGAGTTGAACGTGATGCGGGTCACAAGGTGACCAGTGAGGACGTCGAGGTTGCTCCTGAAGGTGACCGGGTCGAGGTAGGCGGTGCGGGAGAAGCTGCGTGTCGAGTTGGTCGGGTTGATGTTCGACGTAGCCAGGAAGGCGCCCCAGCTCTGCCCCGCATCAGGATTCTGCGAGAGTGGAATGCCCACATTACTGGACGAGTTGAGGAACGCGCCGACCTGAGGATAGGTGGATTGCGGATAGCTGACGTGCACAGGACCATCGGTTCCGTGCGAGGAAGTGTCGAAGGGAACAGAGACACGCGAGGTGGTCGCCTGATTGGGCGGGGTATACGTCTCGCTCTTCTTCATGGCATCGAGCATGCGATCCCACGTCCAGTCTTGTTGGTCGTTGATGAGGTCCGCCCAGGCGTTCTGTTCGATGTCAGAGTGTCGTACGTAGTAGAGGCCGTTAATGGCCGAAGAGCCCCCTAGCACTTTGCCGCGCGGCCAAGGGGCAGATCGACCCGATAGACCCGCTTGAGGCGTGGTTGTCCATTGCCAGTCGTACTGGGTCCCGACGGACGAGTCGTAGAGATTCGCTGCGGGTACGACAAACTTGTTGTTGTCTGCGTAGCCAGAGGCGCCTGCTTCGATGACGGCGACCGAGATGTTGGGGTTGGCGGAGAGGCGGTTGGCCACCACAAGACCAGCGAGACCACCGCCGACAATGATGTAGTCGTAGATGGCGCCGGCTAGTTGCGATGCATCTGTGGTGACGGATCGCTTGAAGAGCGAGTAGTCGACAGGTATCGAGGCGGACGAGACGAGGGGTAGTGTTGTGGATGCTGTCACCAACGCCAGGGCCAGCACCGAAGTGGCGGAGACTGAGGACGACTTCATGCTGTCGCTGTGACCACTGTCTAGTCAGTGAAGGATCGTCTATCTAGTGAAGCGACCGAATGTGTTGAGAGAAGATGGAAGAGGGGAAGCAAGGTAGTATCGAGGGGATGACAAAGGCAAACGGCACAGGGCCGAAGCTGCGTGACATCGGAGCAACCGGAGTGATATACATGTCACACTCAAGCCGCTTCTTCTCGGAACCAGTCCGACAGAAGGATCGGAGTCACCGGTAGACCCCAAAAGTGCGGATACTGCGCCCGCGGAGAGAGAGCGGAAAAGACGGTGTTCAATTGGGTGATGTGCAAAGCCAAGCATCGAAATGAAGCACAATGCTGCGCCGCCGCTCATTCAGCTGAACTCCTGTGCTGTGCGCCCTGCCAAGAAGCTTTGCCATCCGATCGAAGCCGTGGTAAACATGATCAAGCTTCCAACCTCGCACCGTCACAAGCACTTGTGTTTGGCTCGCCACAAACCAACTCATAACGAGGCGCAGTCTCCCTTCCCTTCTTCATCAGTCAGTCAGGGGAGCCCTCACCTGCCAGCTGACAATGAAGCTCGAACGAACCTCACTTGGCAAACATCGCACAGAGCTTGGGTGCGCCTCCCTATGCATCGACGGACTTGCGCCGACATCATTTCTCCACCCACAAGCTCGGCAGCATGCAAGGGGCTTGGCTCAAATGAACCCTGTCCCAAGATCGACATGCAGCTGGCCTGAAACAAGAAAATTCGCCGAGAACTGTCAAAGAAGAAGGGCTGTGCTATGACATGCGAAAAAGTCGTCAGGGTGCTTGCCAAGCAACGCACCAAATCAACAGCCGAGGCGCGCTCCTTAGGCAGACTCGCGAGAATTTCGGTGCGCCAAGACCCTGGGTAGCACGCCGGTTGAATTTCGAGAAGAGTGCAAAAGCTTCTGCCGACGATCCGACCAGCCAAGACGCAGAACGGAACGGCTTGACTTTGTCGGATGAGGTCGTCTGGCACCTACAGTAGTCCTCATCAACAGGGTCATTCGCCTTCTTGGACCCTTTGTCGATCATCTCGTCCGTAGTTTGGTGGGTTTGACCGTCGTGTTGAGATGACGTCGGGTGTGCAAGCTCGGAGCCTTTTTCATTGCGCAGCATGCTTCTCGCAAGCTCATGCATGTACGGCGCACTCCCGAACACTGGATCGCAACTTGACTCGATCTCACACCTCTCCGTCGGAAGCAGGGACATGTCGGTCCGGATGCTCCCGAACATGTCAAGCTGCTCACTGCCGCACCGTATCAACATTCGCAGCCGCAGATTCAACAACACAAAAGAGGATCGCAGAATTGCTGCATTGCGTTACAGATGAGGCTTCGTCGTCATGCCCACCTCAAAAGTCATAGCCAGGCACCTTGAACGCCGTCGCATACGCAAAGTAGTTCTGCATCAGCTTGAGTATCGCCTGAGGCGGGCTCATCGACACGAGCGTGTACGACACCTTGGCTAGTCCTTCGGTCTTGATCAGCTTGAACAGGCTCGTGGCCACCGCGCCAGGGAAGCTGCCCTCCATGTACCACCGGTGGTGGTACGCCGTCAGTCGGATTGCCGTCCACAGGCTCCTCTGCACATCGCGCGCCTCCGTGTACAGCTCCAGCAGACGCAGGTAGGCTTTCGCGCTGAACTTGACATCGACACAACGCTGGAAGGCGTCCCGCGCTTCGTCCTTGTGCAGCAACCGCAGCGCCAGCTCGCCCAGGATCTCCCACTCCGTTCCCGTCTTGCGGTACGCCAGGTTCTGCGTGCGGAAGTGCGCAATCTCGGCCCGCCAAATGGTGTACACCCGCAGGTCCTCGTACAGCACCATGAACAGGTTGTCCAGCCACCGCTCGCACAGTCGCTTGTCACGGAACGAAAAGCCAGCGTTCTTCTCCTTCTGTCGCGCTTCGGCCATCGCGATCGACGCATCGTGCTCGCCGTTGACAATCGGGCCAGGTTTGCCGTTGGCAGCCGTGCTGTGGTGCGACGTGGCAGACAGATCGCCGGGCACAGCCGTAGACGTCGAGTCGGTCCTCCCGTGGCCCGCCGAGGCTTGAGCCGGCTTTTCCAGCGGCGGGGGATCGATCTGGATCGAAGGTCGTTTCGCTTCGTCCTCGGCCGCATCGTCTTGCTGACCCGACGGCTGATTCATCGTCTTCATGTAGTCTTCCAGCTCTTGCTTTTCTCGCTCGTGGTCCGAGTCGGTCGAGATCTTAATGGTGGGGATCGACTGCGAGGACGCGTTCGCAGCTGTGTTGATACCCAGTTGCGATTTCGCCGCCCCGTTGTTGGCGGGCTGCACTTCGCTGCTGTCATCACTCCGGTCATCGGCGTCGTCTGCCTCAGTATCCAGTCCTGTGGCGCCAGCAGAGAAGCTGGACGGTTGTGGTGGTGTGGACGATGCAATGGCAGGCGAGTCGATCGGAGCCACTCCTCGAGTCGAAGCGTCATCATCTTCGGGCTGCGTTGCGGCAGCTTTTTGTGCACGATACTCCTCCTCCATAACAAACACCTCTGAGCGGTATCTGAGCAGCTCATCCCATCCGATCGAGCTGACCAGACGGCCCAGCAGCGCGTATGCTTTCGCAAACGTACCGCGCAGCGCCGGTGCAGGCAAACGTAGAAGCGCAACATCTGCCTCGTTGTCGCGAGCACTCTCCTCATCAACCAGTCCGCTCTCGGTGATGAACGTCTTGACGGGCAAGTGGCTGCGCGCTGGTGTGGGCATCCTATGCAAGTCGCGCTCGTTGTAGGTGAACATAGGACACGAGTTGAGCGTGTACAGCGCCGACTCCCACTGCTCGAGATCGATGTAGCATTCCGTAAGCTTAGCCCACGTGACAAACTCGGACGGAGCGCAATTGACTGCCTGCTTGGCCACCTTGAGCGCCCATTCGAACTTGCCCTTGGATCGGAGGAAGTCGACCTGAGCATGCAGCAGAGCATAGGACTGCGGAGTCTCCTTGATGGCAGTGTGCATCACCTGGACGGCCTTGATCTCTTCGTTCATGCCGAGGTAGGATTGAGCGACGAGAGCTGCCACTTCTGGCTCCCTCGCCCACAGCTTCTCGAAAAGGTTGACGGCCTGCTCGTACCTGGATGCCTCGCCAAAGTACTTGAGAATACCAGCGGTGAGGTGATTTGAAACGACGGTTGCGACCTGGATCTCGGGATCAGAGCCGAGCTGCCAGCCTTTGAAAAAGAGGTTCTCCGCTGCTTGTAAAAAGCGGTATTCAGCGTCGGGACTGGAGATGGGGTCGAGCTTGCGATAGCCGGCGAGGCGGTAGTTGGCATCGTCGGCGTAGAGAATGGAGCGGAGCAGCGCAGAGAGGTAGACCTCCTGCCAGATCTCGGGTGTGGTTTCGTGACGCTCTCCGCGAAGGTCCACGACGTAGGCATCTACACTTCCTGGGATGCGCACTTCTACGCGAACATCGACACGCGAGAATGCATTGAAGCAACAGTATGCGCCGCTTTTGAGCTTATAGGCAGCTTTGCTGGAGAAGAAACTGGTGTTTTGGTCGAGCTCGTAGGTGAGGCTGTTGATATACGCGGCAAGCGCGGCCGAAGACGAAGCATCGACGCCCGAAACGTAGTGATAAGAGCCGATGTCGCGGGACCTGGCGCTGCTGCCTGTGGATTTGATGACGTGAACCAGATCAGGCGGGCCAAGCTCTCGGAAAGAAGCGAGGGTTTCGTTTCTCGAAAGCAGACTCTCACCGAGCTCCACCTCGAAGAATTCAGGTTGATTGGTGAAAGTGTCACCCATCGTGTCGCGGGGTATGGGCAGAGCACGTCTGCTTCGATATGGCTGGGTGCTTTCGCGTGAGTGTCCGCTACGCCAGCGAAAGGGCCGGACAGCTGATGGTGATGGCCTTCAATGAGGAATCGTCTGGGAGCTTGTTGTAGCCTAGGGCGAAGGTGAGGATTGCGTGGAGGATAATGACGGTGTGAATCGAGAAGATGGCTTCGAGAAGATGTCAAGTGCTCATCACGAATTGAGGGCAAGCGCGGCGCCTTTTGTCTTGGAGATGGCTGGTGCGTTGCTGGCGCTTTCTTCTCGCGCTGCCGTGTCTCTGATGGCTTTTCTGTTGGCGGAGCACCATTCGCGTGCTTCGTGACTTTTTTTCAAAGTGTTAGGTTAAAATCTCACGTGATGCATAAGGGGGCCTCTTTTTTGCTTTCTCACATCGCTTTCTTCTCGCCATCTCAAAAGCATCATCTACCGGCTCTGCACCATCGTCACGATACCGCGCAAGTCCCAGCAAGGACTGCATTATATCTCAGAATGTCGTGGAACATGGTTTCATCACTCTTGCGAAGCGTCGTCGCCGGACCCTCTCGTCTCGCCTCTGCTTCCGCCCCAGGCTTCTCCGCCCAACGAGCGTTCTCCACATCCCAATCATGGTCTGTCACTCTGCAACAGACTCTCCGAGGAGCACGTAAACCACATCGCCCTCCTGTGAACAAGGTCCCTGCGCTCGAATCAAAGCCCTTCGTCAAGGGTGTCTGCAGCAAGATCTTCACCACCAAGCCCAAAAAGCCCAACTCGGCCATTCGCAAGGTCGCCCGTGTCAAACTCTCCAACGGCCGTCTCATCACTGCCTACATCCCTGGTGAGGGTCACAACCTGCAAGAGCACTCGGTGGTGCTCGTTCGAGGCGGCCGTGTACAGGACTGCCCCGGTATCCGATATCATCTGGTCAGAGGCGCCCAGGACCTCGCCGGTGTCGCAGGAAGACAGACTTCCAGGTCAAAGTACGGCGCAAAGAAGCCAAAGGCTGCTCCTTAGTCGCTTTGACAATATACAGCATCACGAGAGCTCATCATGCATACCAAGCATCGGTTTCCGACGAGACTCCTGCCTTCAGGACCCGCATTTGTACTTTTATTCTTCGATGGGGATCCCATCTCAATTAAGTCTTCCTGCTATTGTATCCAGCAACCACGCCTTCGCCTTTCGTGAAGACGAAACCAGGCCAATCACCACAAACTCCCAGTGAAGCAGAGTCAGATCCATTCATGTCTATTTCAAATCTCAAAGAATGAATGATGGATATTTTGGGACTGAATGTGGTGGATCCGCCCTCGCAGTGTTTGTCCTTTGGCTGGTCCGTTCAGTCACGAGCGCCATGCAGCTGAGACCACGGTGATATCGGCCTAGCCCCGCCTACTTGTCCTTGTAGTCGGTCTTGCCAAGGTTCTTGAGCTTCTTCTCGCGCTCCACATCGTCCCGCACAATCTTCTCGATCTCGTACGTGATGCATCGCACCCACAGATCTCGTTCCGTCTTGCATCGCGCCCGCATCGCAATGTACTTGTGCGTCTTGTCGTCCAGCCTCGGCAAGCTGCATGCCGTGTCTCGCGACTCGGCCTTCTCCTTCCCTTTCGACCCCGCAGCGATGCCGGTCTTCTTCTCGTTCAAGCTCGTCGAGACAGCCGGATCTGCCGGAACGTTGACTCGCTCTGGGCGGTACCGAATCACGAAGGTGCAGTCCTCGTCGTCATCGATCGAGAAGAGACCATCGGCATACACTCGAGGCACGCGATGACGTTTGCCGCTGTTTGAGCCGCCACCGCCGATACCAGAGACGGCCTGGGCCGGATCCGATCGTCCGTTCTTGAGCATATCCTCGCTCAGCTTGCCACTGTAGACGTAAGCATCGCGCAGATGAATCACCGTGTCCTGTCGTCGATGGAAGATACCATTGTTCTGCCTGGCCCGTGTGGTCCTGACCGAGTTGACCAGCTTGAAGCAGATCAACCGCCCAGCGATGAGGACGTAGTCGCGCATCTTGAAAGCGCTGTAGCTGCTCTTCTTGTGGAACAGCCGGCCCGATCGGATGATGTTGCGGCAGCCTTCGATCTGGCACCAGTTCCAGATGTTGCTCAGCATCGGGGAAAGCTTCTGCTCGTCGACGCCGCCGTCAAGACCGTGCTTGTGCGCGTTGCGCCCCTGCAGATGCTTGTGCAGCTCGGAAATATCCACACCGGCCGCGTACATGAGCTGTGCCGCGTCGGCTCGCTCTCTTCTGCGCCAGTATCTGACGAGCGCGTCGATGCTTTCCACCCACTCACGGGCCACCGAAGCGCTGAAGGCCTCGAGTTGAATCGTCTTGCCGTTCGTGAGGGTCATAACGATCTGGCGCGCGCGTCGTACTTCGTCGACGTCTTCGGCGAGTTCGTAGCCCTCTCGACCACCGATATCGGCGATTGTGTGGCTTGCATCCTCGTCGTCGGATTCCTCGCCGTCTTGCTGAGCAACTGCGAGGTCACCCTTCACTTTTTCGGTCAGCGGGTTCGAAGCTCTGCGCATGGGTCGACGGATGTCGTCTTCGCCAGGGCAACGAACAGGACCGCTGCCGGCTGTTTTGATGGTGTGGATCTGCTTGAGATCGATAAAGCCGTCCGAGCCTCGGATTTGCTCAAACTGCCTCCGTCTCTCGAACGACTCGTACGCCTCGATTTGCGCTTGAAGCTCTTCTTCGGTCTCCGCCGTGATGCTGATGGCGTCCAACACATTCTGACGTAGCGTCGCCATGTCTTCGTCGCGTCGCGCCGACTTGTTGGCGCCCACAAATTTGCCGAGAGCACGGGACAGGGCGGTCCTTGTCGCAGGCGTCGCAGGCTGGGATGCTCGACCCTGCGTCGCGCCACTCGCGCGTGGCACCCGCGTGCTCATGGCCTCCTTCATCAGGCTTTCGAGGTGGCGATCGGGCTCGCATGCTCGGGTCATGCGACATACGTAGATATGGCCGTCGTACGTCGAAAAGTAGAGACGGGTGAGAGAATTCGAGACTGCCTTGACACGCCACAAGAACCCTTCCACAGCAGGGGGTTCCTGCATGAACTGGCCGGGTGCCAGGAGCACGGACGTCGGATAGTGAGCGGCAGCCCTGAGCTCCAAGATGGCAGGTTGCTTGTAGTCTCTGAGCAGCGCTCCGCACAAGACGGCCCAATGTCGCGGCTCGTTCTCGACGGTCCTTTCGTAGATGATCCAGTCAAGCTCTGTGCCGCGCCTCCACGCAAGTTCGAGCCTGAGACCGCGCTGCTCTGAGACCTTCACGAGATCGCGCCACTCCTCGACTCGGCGAAAGAGATTCCAGATCATGGCGATCACATTGTTGCGATTGACGAGCTTGAAGCCCTCTCCTCCTTCCTTGGACTCTCCAATTGAGCTGAGGGCGAGTAGACCCCCTGTGCCGGCGCTGAGCTGACTAGCAGGTGTCGTGGCCGATTCCGGTCGCTCGACTGGCATAGTTTCGGGCACTGGAAGTTTCACCTTCAGGCCGAAAGAGGGAACGTGCACCTCGAGCGATTCAGGAATGAGTCCGCCGAGCTCCCTCCAGAGCTCCCATACCCAGTCTGCTGCCGCCGAGCGTGCTCGACAATCGAAGAGAACGATGTCCGTACCCTGTCTGCGCAGATGGAGTCCTCTCTTGTTGTGCTGAGCTGAGAGTACCTTCCATGGCTGGAAGGTGAGACAAAAGATCCGGTCGATGGGAGAGTAGAGCGAGACGAAGGTCGAACCCCGAGAGAGGGGAATCGTCAGGCGTAGTTTGAGATGGTCGCCGTTTCCAACAATTTTATTGGTCAACGATGGATCCGCCCAGAGCTCGAGCTTTCCCATGCGGAAGACCACGACGTACTCGTGCCAGTCCTCCTCTCGAATCGTATATTTGCGCGCTTGCAGCTCGTCGAAGTCGCCGGGCAGATCCTCGTGCGGCGTCCAGGCGATCTTGACGAGCATGCGATCCTTCTTGAGCTCGCTCCTGCGGGTGACGAAGCTGGCTTCACTCTCGAGAACCTCGCTTCGCGGAGGTGAGCTGTCTTCCGATGTTGGCCTCTGCAAAGCGTGAGGCTGTGGCCGAGCAAGCACTTCTGCAGGCGGCCGAGGCTGCGCATCGCCAGCTGAAGCGCCGAAGGGGTGCGAAGGCAGCGCTTCAGCCTCTGCAGACTTACCGCCGAACAGAGAAGCGGTCCAGCGACTCTTGAGTGGAGGCCGCACAGAGCCTGTGTCGAACTTGACCGTCTTCTTGCGTTGTGGGTTCCCCGAAAGTCCGACGGCCTTGAGCAAGCCGTTTGACATGGCGCGCGAAGCGGCCTTCTCTTCGGTAGGACTACCTTCGAACGGAAGTGGGTCTTGCTCCAGCAATGGTCCGGCGTCGAGAGTTGCTGGCTCGTGACCAGGGGTCAGGCTGAGTGGAGAAGCGACAGGCCGAATGGCCACCGCATGGTCGCTAGCAGCGTCAGGCAAGTGATCTGGCCTCTCGCCGAGGTCACTTTTTCTACGAAGCAACTGATGGACAAGCTGTGGATCGCTGGCTTCGACGGAGGCCGGCGGGGCCGGATGCGACAAAGCATCGCTTCTGGTCATGGCGGGCGCGTTGCCCGAGGCCAAGCTTGACGCGCGAGGCGCAAAGCCGTTGGCTTGGGTAGACGGATGGAGAGAAGCATACACCGACTTCGAGGCTGTCGAAGCTTTGTCCGACTCGATGAGACTGGAAGATCTGGCGAGAATCTTGAGATCGGAGTCCGTCGGTGGTCTTGGCGATGTTCCCTGTGAAAGATTACTTGCGGCGGGCTGGTGAACTTGTGCAAAAGTAGGCGCCTCAGCTTGGTGCGCGGATGAGGAAGATACGCCCGTCGACGCAGTCTTGCCCTTGCGATCAGCCTTGCCCACCTTCAAGCCGTTGCTCAGCTCTCCCGTAAGAGACGACATCTTTGACACTATCTCGCTCCAACCCTGACGTGCTTCGATAGCTACAGGCGTCGCCTCGTCCGGATGAACAGTCTGTATGGTAGCGGCTGACTCATCGTGGGTGAGCCTTCTTCGAGAAGGTGCCGCGTCTCTGGCTTTGCCGTTGTTTGAGTGTGTGACGATGCTATCTTGCATCTTGCGCTGTTGGCCGCTCAGCTTCTTCGAAGTGTCATTCAGAGCGTTCGCTTGTGCTACTGTTGTCTTGTCATCCGTCGCGTCTTGTGCTTCCTGCGCGAGGAGCGTGATGACGCCGTCTGGACTTTGCTTGAGGTGTTGGACCTTGGCAGCGTATTGCTCAGCCCGCTTCTGACGGGACGCGTCGGAGTGGTTCGACAAAGCATACTCGTCGTCTGCAAGGGCTCCTGGGGCATGGCCGCACGTGCACGGCAGCGACTTTTGCAGCGAATCGCGGCGCTCGCTGACAATGCGCCAGAAGCTTTCGCCGACCTGAAAGCTTTCGCCGGTCCACTTGGTTCCACCGCCACTGGTGCCGATCGCGCCCGGCCGAACGCCTCTGATACGCGTGGACGAAGCAGAGTCGTCGAGTGACACCTCAGTGCCAGTAGCAGATATGCGGCGCGAGCGGTCGCGTTGCAGCGAAGCGTAGCTGGTGGAACGAAGTTTGCGTCGACGGGTGACAGCGAACGGAGATGTATGTTTGCGTGTTCGGGCAGAAGACGGCGAGCTTACAGCGAACGGATCGCGACTCGAGACGGTGCGGGTTGGATCGATGCTGAGACGCTGATTTGAAGCAGGTGTTGAGTTGGAGCGCTTCGAATCTCGACGCAGACTGCCGCCAACGAGGAACCTGCGGGCAAGACTGGAGGAGGGACCAGCTGTGGCACCAAAGCTGCCCTCTGTTGCTACGGTGCCGACGGTGTTGAAAGTGCCGGTTGTGGATGCTCTGCTCACGCGACTCTGGCGCGAGAAGTCGCGGTGGTGATCGACAGCTCGAGGCAGATGAATACCGGCCGAAGTGCGCTGAATGTGGGCTGCACTAGGGTCCCTACTAAACGTGAGGGAACGCTTCTTGCTGGGCAAGCCCCTGCCCATGAGATTGCGCGACGCTTTTGTGGGACTCTCTTGACCGTCTTGAGGCACCGTGCCCGAGGTCGGGTTCAACAAGGTAGTGGACCCGTCGAGAACGGCGCCATCCTGCGTATCATCATTCAAGGCGGGTGTCGGGTCTGCTTGACCCCAGGTGGGATGCAAGAGATCACGATCATCAGGCTCAGTATTGTCCGCAGCGGATCTTGAGCTGCCTGTGAAGGAGGTCTTGGATCTGAGGACTGGATCGCTGCCGCGATTGCGGAGCTCGTCGCTACCACTGAAACTCCGACGTTGGCCATCCTGTATGGCGTGGTGGCCGTTGATAGCGCTTCCGTTTGGGTACGGGGCATGACTAGGACCCTTGGTGTGAGATGACGAGTTCTTATCTGTGATGGCGTCTTCGATCTCGGTAAGAGGTAGGTCGAGAATAGGCAACGCATCCGGGAGCGTGGAGGGTGACGAAGTTGCAGATGTGAGCGAGCGCGGCGAGCCTTCGGAGCCTATCCTTCTCTGTTGACGAAGGGCTGACACACGAAGGTTGTCGGCGCTGCGAACGTTGCCGATGTTTCCCCGTGTGGTTGTGGGTGCATGAAGATACGTGTCTGCTTTGTTGTACGGCGCAAGCGAGGCGGCGGTTCTGAGAATCGAAGTGGGTGGCCTCAGCGAAGCGCTAGCCGCCGCGCTGGCAGGGAAGGACTGGTTGCTCTTTTTGGAATGGAGTGCAAACCTCTTTTTCGACGGACTGACGGCGCGATTGGTCGATGATGAGGCATGGTCGGATGTGGCAGTAGTTGGAGGAGGGTCAAAGGCAGTCTGACCTCGCTGGGCGGTCTCCGAGTCGCTGAGAGCCGATCGTGCCATGGAATGCGCGCTGACGAAAGAAGCGTTGGAAAAGACCGAAGTGGAAGAGGGATCTCTGTGGACGACGCGTGGACGAGGTGGGTGGAGTTGCATGTCTTGCTTCCTCGGAGAGGAAGGATGAGACACATCGTTACCTTGCGCATACCGTTGAGGATCTGAGGGGCCTGGATTGCGGACAGGGTCAGTCCATGAGTGTGCTTGGGTGGCTTGAGTCAGACACGGATGGTTTGCTGGGGAAGCTGCATAGTCGGTACTTGTGACATTGGTGTCGACATCAGGCTGAGATGGTTCGAATGGCTGAGATCGAGGTTGATCATTTCCAGCTCTTGCTGCGTTGTCCTCAACGATGGCTTTGGCCGTGGCTCTTGCGACTGGTGACGGATGAGGAGTAGGACCGATATAGTGACGGATGATGACATGATTAGCGGGAGTGATGATGGAGGTAGAGTCTGCGGGATGATTGGTGGGGATGCTAGCAGTGGACTGAGACAGTGGAAGTAATGGCCTGCATTTGAGGCAGAGCGGCTTCGAAGGCGGGAAAGGGACGCGAGCTGCGAAATCGTCTTTCGGCCCTCTGGAGGAGGATGCAACGTGAGAAGCTGAAGCTTTTGAGGTTTGGGCCATGGGCGAACGTGGAGGCTCGAAGTCTCGGAGCGGAGCGGGCCGCGAGGGGCTCGCAGTTGCCATGATGCCTGAGTGTCACGGCTGAAAGCGAGTGCGGTAGATCAAGGTCGGAGGCAAGGCATGTTGAGGTGTATATGCAACGCGGAGGGTCGATGCAGATGATGGTGGTGGTGGTTAGCAAAGAAGGCTGAGTCGAAGGCTGAATATCCTGCTAGCAGAGCGCCTCTCGTCGATGGCTTGGTCAGCTTTCCGACTCAGCTGTGATGGTATAGAGAATGTGATGTAATAGGGAAGGAGAGGAGAAGGAGTTGGTCGAGTGTTGGTTGGTAAGTCAAGGTGGAGTGGAATTGGCTGTTTTGGCTTTGGCGTCGCTGTTTGCTGCTGCATTTCCAAAATTGGACCAAAATCAGGGGTTCAGAAGCCCAAATGCATCGCAAATCAGACCCGCACTCTGCATGCACTCTGCCGTATGGTGCAGATGACCGACGTCGCGCTCAGATACACACGAAATGGCCGCTACTCGCCGAGCTTACCGCCAAGCATCCCACACACACAAACAAAAAAAGGGTCCAACCACCAAACTCGGCTGCAGTTTCGCTTCTTCTTGTCTTTCGATTCTGCTCTTCTACGATGGTGTAGCACTACCAAGATCCATCGCTTTAGTTTGGCCCGCCTCTGCGCTTCAGATTGGCCAGCGTCTTGTTGGCAAGATCGAGTACCGTGCTCAGGCCCAGCAACACGCCTTGGTCCGGTCCTTGGCCAGCCACAATGGTAGCATGTCCGAAATCAATCAGCCGCACTTGCGGCCTTCCTACGCCCTCTTGCTCCAGTGTCTGCCTGAGTCGGCTCGTCTCGCCTTCGTACACCACTAGCAACGAAGCGCCTCGCATCCGCACCTCGAGCTCGGAGAAGATGGCGCGAATCTCCTCCAGGTCCTTGATCAAGTGTTGCTCTAGCATCTTCTCTACCAGCTCATCGGGCAAGCTTGGCAGATGGTACAAAGAGGCATCGTCTGTCATGCTCGTCCCTGCTGAAATTGCGTCAGCGCACTCTGCGTCTCCTTTCTCGGGGCATGCAAGAAGCATTCGCATGCCCGTCTCTAGGTGTCCGGGTTTGATCGTCTTTCCGAAAGTCTTTGGGACGCTGTGATATGTACCACTCTTGCCATCATACGTCTGTTCGACGAGGCATTCAGAGGATGAGCGGACGTTAGCAAATGGTCTACCTGCCGACGAAACTTAGTGGATACGCACCTGCCAGCCTGTCAGTCGAATACCGTGCGAGCCGCTGGTCGTGTTGGCGGCTGCCTTGTCCATCCTCTGCCTCTTTTCTTCATTTGCATCTTCGTCCCAAAGCTGCGTACCAAGCTTGATGTCGCATACGTTGGGCTTCTCGTATCCGTATGTCAAGTTCTCCATCACCACCCGAGGCGCTTCGTCGCCAGCATTTGTTTCTGCGGGCTTGGAGGGTCCAGCTGGGCTCCCCGTGTACTCTTCCCAGCTTCCTCGGCAGTCAGGCATCCTGTCGAGAAGCCTTCCGAGCAGCTCAGTTTGACGAGCGTTCACTGCATCGTTCCTTGCGACTGCTTGCTTGACTTGTCGGTAGAACTCGAGCTCGCGCGGCAGGCAAGCTTTGACAACGAGGCGCCCTCCATCCAAGCTTTGCACGCCATCGGGATGACCAGCCACTTGGTTCGACAGCGGCACCATCTCGTGCGGTTTTGAAGAGGTTGTGTCTACCATGTCGCTGATGCTCGTCGCTGGGCAGTGATCTAGAAAGTGTTGGTGGCACAGACGATACGAGGCCTGTGCGCATGTTGAACAGCGCACGCATTTTTGGACGTTGCTGCGCTTTCATCTCGAGCCAAGACCAACACACGCAGACTCGCTTGCATGCGCGCGTGCGTCTCGCTTTTCGAGAAAGCGTTTCGATCCTCCACTCATTCCAACCTCGGATTTCGGTCGCGATCCGTCAAACCATCATCTTGCTCGCTCACTCGCAGTCACAGCCTTCCTACAAACCCCACGTCTTGAGCGACGCAAAGCTCCGAGGGCATACTTCAAATGGCTGTTATCGAAGAAGCACACATCTCCGAGGAGATCCACGAGCTCAAGGCCCAAGCGAACCGCCAGTTCTCTAACAAAGACTACGACGGCGCTCTTTCCACCTACCTCGACATTCTCGCAAAACTGCCCGCCCGTGAAGCACCTACAACATCAACCACCGAAGCTGACGATTCTGGATATCTGGACGCGGAGACTGACGATGAGGATGTCTTGCGCGTAGCCAGCAGCGAGAAGGAAAAGGAGAAAGAGAAGGACAAAACCAGAACAGCAAGCTCATCGCCACCACCAAAACCATCGCGAGAAGCCGAGACAGAGGAACAAGAGCAAATTCGACTGTTCCGCTCCGTCATCTATGCCAACATCGCAGCCACCCATCTCCGTCTTGATCAACATCGCGATGCCGTGAAAGCATGCAATCAATCGCTCCTCGACCGACCCAACTACGTCAAGGCGCTATACCGCCGGGCTCAAGCTAACGAGCAAATCGGCGGTTGGGCTGGCTTCTCTTCCGCGCTCGAGGACAACAAGCTTCTCCTCACCCTGCCGGATCTCCCTCCAGCTACGAGACCCGAAGTCACGGCATCCATACAGCGCATCGAGCCAAGAGCACAGCAAGCCGCCGAGAAGGAGAAGGACGAGATGATCTCCAAACTCAAAGGCTTGGGAGATAGCATCTTGGGCAACTTCGGTTTGAGTACAAAGAACTTCCAGTTTGCTCAACAGCCGGGCGGTGGCTACTCGATGAACTTTGTTCGCTAGCAGCCACAGCAAAGTGCCGCTCTTGTTCATGCCTTCGGTCTCGGTACCTTCACCCATCTCTGTATTTGTATCATCATGTCGTCTTCACTGCACACGCACTCAGCATCATCATCATTACTTTTGCATTCGCAACACGGTCATCGTCAGGGTGATTTCTCGTGTCATTGTGGTTTGGTGAGCGCTTTCACTTGTTCATGAGCGCCTTCATGCGTTCCTCCGCCGCTCGAGCACGCTTTTCGCGTTCGATCCGTGCGCGCATCTCCGGCGTCAGTCCCTGCTGCTCATCCCGCTGCTGCAGCAATGCTCGTGGAGCCGTATTGTTGCCTCCAAGACGGTTCGTCGTGCTATTGGACGGTTTCGCTTGCTGCTGGGGCGTCACTTCTGCTGGTTGCTCCTCCTGCGAAGCACCCGATACCGACTTTTCGGCTGCCTTGCTTGCACGCTCGCGCGCCTTCTCGCGCAGAACCGCTCGTCGGTCCTTCTGCTTTGCCGTCTGACTGTCCTGCATCTCCTCTGTCAAGGCACTGGGTACACGGGCTCCGCCCGCCGACATGCCAGCCCAGTCGCATTGATCGGGATGCTCGGCCATCATCCGACGGAAGACATTGCGCACCTCCTTGGTGCTACAGAGATCGTACGCGGTACGGTGTGGAAGCTCAGCCGACGCTTCTTGCTGCGAGCCTGCTGCATCAGACGGAGCCGAGCGCTTTCGCAGCTCACTGAGTCGTTCGGTGGCGACGGTCGGGTCTGCGTGCTTGTCCTCGAGTAGATAGCGCGCGACGGCTTCGCTGCCTGCCTCAGCTGCCAACTGAAGAAGATTGCAGGGAATCAGCCTCGAGGCAGGAGCTGACACGCCCGCGTCGGACGCTTCTTGCTCCAGCATCCAGTCAGGAAGACGCGTGTCGATGTTGCCGTTGAGCAGCTCCTGCTCGTTCTTGCTCAAGAACGTCAAGAGCGCCTCGGTCCTATTCTTGCGCACCATCTCGATCATCCGTGTCCACTTGCTTCGCTCTGCCTGCTCCTCTTCGGTCAGACGAACGGGCTTTGCGCCCTTCTCAGCCCGAGCCTTGTCAAGCGCGTTGGCCCTCTCTCGAGCCTTTTCTTCCCGTCGCCTCGCTTCGGCCCCCTTGCGCGACTTCTGATTGATCTGCTCGAGCACCTCCTGCTCCTCGGCTGCGAGTTGCTCTTCGGACTTGTGCTCGACTTTGACCTTGGCGAGCTCGAGAAAGCAACGCACAGTCTCGCCGATGGTTGGACGCCTTGTTGGGAAAGGCAGCGACCCTAGTCGACCATCGTTGCGAGCCGCTTCGAGGGGACTGCCTCTGCTCGCTTTTGCGCCCTCCCAGGACCAAAGAAGACCTCTTGCGGCGCGTGCGCCCGCTCGGATCCAAATCTTTTCACTGCGAGAGACCAGCTCTCTCCATCCAGGTGAATCG